AGTAAGGATTTTAGAGACTTAGCACCACCCAGGTACACAATACCGTCAATCGGCAGGGGACCTGAATATTCAGCACCGTTGAAGGTGAAATACCAGCCTGGTAGATCCCGTTACTCAGGGAACGCCGGTCCAATAAATATGCAGGGCCGTGTCAATGACATTCTTGGTGAAATGACAATCCTATTCGTTAAAAAAAAAAGCAAAGATAAAAATAAAATTCTGACAACAAAAACGTAGTCTCTGTCTTCATTCAAGTTCTTTCACACTCACCCTCTCCTCTATTCTTGTTAAATATGGCATCGTCACTCTCACAAGTTGTTTTAATTCCAGGCTCTCCGTGCTCTCCTTTATTTCCTTAAGTGCCCTGAGTACCAGTCTTTTTTTGGATACTAACACCCTTGGCGATACTGGGAAAAAAAAGGAAACAGTCCTAACTGTTCATTCTTTGATGTGATTATGATTATTAAATCCACTTTCTAAATTTGAACAACTTGTCAAATAGAAAGTTAGTGAAAAATAAAGTATTTATACAGTTTTTATGTATATCCCAGCTCTAAGGACTAAGCCACAAATATGTGTATGACCATTGCCAGGGAGAACAGTTTTAGATCATACGGTAAAAAAGGGTTGGAGGCGCAATGACAACCACCGCAAAATTAGCCATCTACTTGTAGGTATATTTGAGAGCTGTAGTAATGGTGTTGTCAGCAGTTTGCTTGGCAAAGCAGTAGTTCAGTAAATGGTTTGAACCTGGAGGTAACATGTAATAGTGTAGATCACCGTTCTCAATCCAACGTCGTCTGTCAAAATTTTCTCGGATTGTGGCTGGTAAGACACTGAAAAATCTGTATCGCTTACAAAAAGTGACGTTCAAAATTTCTTAGGAGGGGAAGAAAACAATAATACGCAATTCTATTGTTTTCTCAACCAGTCCACCCCCATCCGTCGGATAACGCTATCCACAGGATAAATCTCTATCCAGTGGATAACGCTTAACGTTTTGCCATCATTCACCCGCAGGATAGCGATTTATCCGTTGGATAGCGTTATCCGCCCTTTATACAACTGGGCCTTGGTGTATTCCTCCCTTAATTGATTTTAAATTCGACATTAATACAATAATGGTTCTTTTCACGGTTATTTCGTTCAGGGTTTTTTCTGATTTTTAATAACCCTTCCGTGATAACACTTGATATAATGACTGCAACTTTGGGAAGAAAGGTTTGACGCAATGGCCCAAAGATGTCTTAACAGGAAATTGCTATCATCTGAAAATGACCCAAACACTTAAAAAAATGCCTAAGGCCTACATCAAAAGTATGCGAGTGCATTGCCTTGAATCAACTCATGCCCTTTTTGGTAGAGAACAAACGACTAGTCTTTGAAAAAAGTACAAGTAAAAAATGATTTTCCAGCGAAACCTCTCTCGTCTCTCATGTATACTGACTATACTACTGGTCTCGATTGCTCGAAGGTTGGATAATGCTATCCACTGGATAAATCTCTTTCTAGTGGATAACACTACGCGTTTTGTTATCACTTATCCGCTGGATAGTGATTTATCCGTTGGGTAGCGTTATCCGCCCTTTATCCAACTGGGCCCTGATCATTTATATACTCGGATATCCGAGCCCGGTGGGGGTGAGAAATGATACGAGAAATTAGCAAGATGTTCCCTTGTATTATATATCAAACTTCGAATTGGAGATTTGTAACGCTACTATAATTTCATTTTCTAGGTCGATTTTGGCTTCTTGTCTTCGAAATATATCCCACAGCTTTATCTAAGCATCGTATTGATCACATAAGGCATGCGCAAAAAAGAAATCAGCAACAAAGACTGTAACAAGAAAAAAGTCTGATGCACTTTAAAGTTCGCTGCATTATAATTAATAGTCAAGCCTGGAAAACTGAAAAAAAAAATCAAAGTTTGGATTTTTTAGAGCGGCGATGTTGTTGCTTTGCTTTCCATCCGTATTTCTGCCTTGTTTTGCGGTGTGATGCCGTCGAATATTCTGCGCCTTCCTTTGTCCTAATAAGGTAGGATAGTGTGATAGTGGAATAATAATAATAATAATAATACCTAAACATCTTGACGCACTTTCTACCAGTTTAAAAAAAATGTGCCTGCAATACGTAAACCCCCTCAATGCATGCTTTTACTTTATTAGCAATAGCGTAGCGTTTAGAACGAGCGCACTGTTGAAACGAAGGTTGAATATATGAGGAAATTCGTATTACCTGCGGTTAAATGTGCAATTTACGAACCGGAAGTTCAACATTTCATATCATGCGAAAGAGCCAAAATCGAAGTTTTACATTACATACCATTTTAACTTTACTAAGATTAATTTTCTCTCGACTAGGGGTGGTACAGTCAATTTATGCACCTTACTTACCTTGTGATACAGGAACGCAAAATTGAAACGCATGGTCGGTAGAAAATTGACCCTGGACCCTGTTGAAGTCCTAAATGTAATAAAGTCCTAAATGTAATAATATTTGGTCCTAAATGTAATAAAGTCCTAAATGTAATAACTTTCGGTCCTAAATGTAATAAGCCTCCAATGCAATCGTTTAACTCCTTCAGTGCATTGTTGTTATGGCGGACATCCACATTGAGATGTTAATGACAGCTGTTGTACCCAAAAAACCGCTAACCAGTATACATGTCACATTACGGGCTCGCTGATATCAGTCAGCGTCTTTTTACTTGCTAGACATAAGAAATATCAGCAGTCGAACTATGGTCCTTAAAGCGGTTTATTGATCGAGTTCAAGAAAATCATTTCCAGCCCAAAGTGGGCTAGTGCTTGGTTGGAAGCTCAATAGGATGGAATCGATTGGTACGTCACCATTAAGACTTTTTGGAAAAGAAATTGACTACAATCGATGATGAACTAGCATGCTACTGTTGATGTTATCGTTCGTGTTAAAGTCTTTAGTAGTGATGCACCATTTTAGAGCAGTTTGGATGATTTCGCTGTGTCACATGTTAATCCAAAGAAAATTATTATTATTAGTAGCGTTACTGAAATTTTGCACATCAATGTTATTCAGTGTCAATTGATTTTAATGAAACATTTGAGTTCATTTTTAAGAATGACTATCCTGATTTATTCAATTTTGAACCTGGGGTGTTGCATTTCCAGCCTTCTATGGCTTTACTCCACCTCAGTAATCAGTTCATGTACCATATGACTATAAGTGGAAACTGTTGAGCTTTCTTTTTTCATTCATCTATTTATCTATTCATTTTCTCCCCTCACGGCAGGGAGACGAGGTGAAGACAAAAAATGAAATATAAACTTGAGATAAACTGTAAAATATATGTCTTCCCAATATTTCGGTTCGGGAACTGATGAACCCGTCATAAGGGGCTAAAGGAAAAAAATGAATGGTTCATTAGACCGTCAACTGACCATCATGTGTTGAATGTTGTAGCTCAATGGTTCAATTTGACTCTTGCGTGGAAAAAAGGCAACATGTCGAGACCTGTGATCGTGAAATGGGATAACATATGATTGGTCAGTAGATATCTTGCTTTGTAGGCCACTTTATCATTTGGCTCGCAGCGCACGCGGACAAGATGAAGTGAATCCTGTGTTCTGATTGGCTACCTGAGCGGGCATGATGGGCCCACCCTCGCCCGCTCGGGATTCCCCGTATTGATCCCACCCAAGAAAACTTACAAAGTTCGTAACTTTTGGGCAATGTTTGCATATACATAGAAAAAAATAAACGACCCTCTTGGGTTTATTGTGCTGCAAACACAGTTGGCTTTCACCATCGGCTCTCGAAATAAACAGGCCATTCTTGATTCTTATGAAAGCGAAATCTTTTGCTATACAATGAATTCTTTAATGATTAAGCCAAGAGAATATAAACTCTCTTGACCAAGCTTGTATTGCAAGATTACTGGATATTAGCCTCGTTCTTTTACTACTTTTTTATGGACCGAGACTTCGTCTCAGTCCATAAAAACGCAAAAAAAAAAAAAAAGAACTCGGCCAATATCCAGCCATTTTGATCTTACGCTTGGTCAATAACGCACACGAATATATTTTTTATGCAGACCCGTACAAATCTGGCAAGGGAAGACAGAACAAAAAATGTCCTTCCGAGCCCAGAATTTGTCTAACGTATAAGTGTTAACTTCAGCATTGATGACAGAAGTATATCGTCAAAATCTGTCACACTTAAGAGTCTGAGCCAATGATATAAAGAGAGCTATTAGTCAACTTTCTCATTGCTTTTGCGTCCGTCAATTTGATGCCAAAAGCACATCAGTATCAGTATAAGGTTTTGTAGCCTAAATCACTTTTTCGCCAAACGGATGAGTATGAAAGTACAATTATCTCCGGAGGTAGAAACTCTTGACTGCATCCGCGTACAAATGTGCGCAATAAGGGTGTCATTGTACCGTCAAAAGATACAAAGAGCAACGCAATGACGTCACTTTACGACCTGCAATAGCGAGGACGGTAGGTTTAACCAAACAGCTAAAGTTACGTTTTGTTAAAGTTAACCCTTTTGATGAGCCCCTTCTGAAAGGCCTTCCCAAATCGATATCTCATTCTAATTGAGTGTGGACAAATGGTCTTACCCTTTCAAAATGGTGTTTTTTAGATATTCAAAGCGTAATAAAAACACAGTCTTGAAGAAAACAAACTCAAAAAAATCAGAAAGGCCCATCAAGACTAACAAAAATATCATAGGGAACCAGAGAACTCAAAGTTGGTGAAACAAGACAGGTTCAAAGTCTGAAAAAATATGTCGAATTAACGAAGAGGACACCAACCGATCAGTTATTCGGTATCAGCAAAGTAAGTAGAGACAGAAGGAAGCAAAACACAGACAGACAAAACATTCTCCATTTTGTTCCTGTTTTTTATTCATCAAGAAATCAGCAATTGTTACGAAGCAAACCCACGTTTAAAAGCACCTTAATTGTTACCAGTCAAAGCGTTTATGCAGGAATGAATGATAAGTTTCGAAATCTAAGCTTGCGGTTTCGAAATTTCCTCAACATAGATCCGCGACACTGATTGCCAGCCAGTGTAGGCATCGTAACCATTTCGGCTACTTGACTGACAATTACCAACCCAGAACCCCACGCGCACCTTGCCTTTGTGGATGTTGTTACAGTGACCCTCAATATGGCGGACACGGTGAGGATTTACAGAACGAGCACCACCCAGGTACACAATACCGTCGATTGGCAGGGGACCTGAACATTCAGCACCGTTGAAAGTGAAATACCAGCGTTTACAGCAACCAGTGCAGCCATAGACTCGAAGAGCTCCAGTCCAGGAAACACGGAGAGATGTGTAGGAAAAGTTCTTGGTAAACACACACTCCTGAGAAAATAAGTAACGAGAAATGAAGAAAAGAATTACTAGGAACCGAAGATATACGGATAAAACATGGAACCGTAAGCGCCCGGAGGGACTTAGCAAGCGTGACTTCTTTGTTTGTGAGAAATTAATGTTGTTTGCAAACGAAGAAACTAAAAAGTTAAATTGATAACATAGCAATTGTATGTTAGACTATTTTTTCGTCCTACTATCATAACTATTCACCTTAATCAAGCCGTTGTTTTTGGGGTCATTCAAGTTCTTCCACGCACACTCTTTCCAGTTCTTAAAAGACATCACACCAGGATTCCCCGGGATTCCATTTTTCCCACTTTCTCCCTGCTGCCCCTTTTGGCCGGGAGGACCCTGTACTCCAGGTTCTCCTTTAACACCCGGAGTTCCCTTGAGGCCTGGAGGTCCTTGAGGTCCAGTCTTCCCTGGGCTACCTCGGTCGCCTTTAACTCCTTCGCGTCCATCACGGCCGTCACGACCAGGTGCACCAGGGAGCCCAGGCTTTCCGTGCATACCAGGCATCCCAGCATAAAAGTATGGTGGAGGTTGCTGGTATGAATGTGAGATATGTTTTGAAAAATTGTAAATTCTAATGAAAAAGCTCTCATGGACATATTTCAGTGACATGGATCCAAAATTTCTAATATTTTTCATCACAGACAAGTACTGGTTAACTCTATTTCGTGGAAAAAGGAATCCTTATTCCAAGAACTTATTTAAGAGATATCAAAAGAGTTTTAAAACTTACCACTTTGCTGTTTGATGGTTGACTAGACTTGTTATTCGCTGCGCGACAGAAAAACAAATATGACACCGCGAAAAAAGAAATCCAGAAGGTTGCAATTTTTACCACCATTTTGTATCGGTGATCTGTTTAGAAATAAGCAAACATAAAATTCTTAGTAAGATCAAGGAAACGTCTGCGGGAAAGAAACACGGACGACATATTAAAATTTACAGATAAAGAAAAGATCTTATCGGCTCATAAAAGTTCATAGCTTTTGATATGAGTATTAAATTGAAATTTTTTCGCATGATCCAAATTCGACGCAAGAATGGCAGCAGAACTTCATTCAGAGACAAGAAAGTTCAAATATGGGTAAAGACATAAGAATTTTGCATGAGGCTCCTGCATTTCTCGATTCTATGTAACTTTCTTCAGCGTATGGAGATTTCAAATGTATTGTAATAACTACGATTTCTTTTCTAAATGAAGTTTGATTTGGATCGGAGGTTTTGTTCAAATGTAAATAATTTAAATTCTAGTAAAATAAAAAAACGTTCCTGCTTTTCTTTTCATCTAAAACGATAATCATATTTTTTACGGTTCTATTTGATATTCTCAATTTGGGATATCTCAATGGGGCTATCGCTTTTACGGCTAACGGCTAAAATTTTGGCTTAAGACCCTGTGTTTTACTCCCGTAAGTTTGAGATGTCTACTTAGCAGCCATGTATTCCTAACACTTATTCAAAAGATAATCCTTTGGCCACAATTTTAAGCAGTTTTACGAGGTACTTTTGAAGCGGTGGAGTTTATCAATACCATTGATTACTAAACTAAATTTTGAAAGGCCAGGGAGAAAACATTTTTGATTAACTACTTTTGTTTCAGCGATTAATCTGTCCTCCGACGAATGCTTGTTTGGAGGGGATGGCTTTCGATCGAGATGTATTAGAATAATTTCTGAGCATAATAAGGAACTTAAGCAGGAAAAGATGGTTGCAGACGTTATAAATTGTAATGGTTCTTATCGTAACTTTGTGGCTCGCACTTTAAGGCAGAGCTAGAGCCAGGTATTGAAATAAATTTTGATTTACCTTCGTGTTTGCCACCAAAATCTTCAGGACTGTGAAGTTAACTGAATAGAAAAAGCCAGAAGAAATTTTATATTTCACTTATATCAAGCAAACAGAAAATCAAAATCGGCAAGAGTAGTGGCTTACAATATAAGAGAAGTCTCTTGTCTTGTCTCCTTGTCACTGTTCGCTGCCTCACGTAGAATGATTCCCGATAAAACAAGTCAGCAAAGTATTGGTTCAAGAATTAATTTTAGATGACAAGAACCATTCTTACAAGAAAATTATTGGTCAGACCAGCTTAGTTGTTCCCAATCTGTCCAATGAAATGAAATTTACTACTAAACCCATGCGAAACGCTTACGTGTCGTGAACTTGATAACAAAACCTTTCCAATAAATTTTCTTTTCCAAATCTAGATTAATTAAGCTCGAATGTAATATTCTTACCTAACCCAACAAAGTAAAGAAATGTTTTCATAATTGCGATCAAAATCAGTCTTACTTATTCCTGCTAAACTGAATTGAAACGAAAGAGCACATTTCCTAATCCTATGCATGTCGATAAACTTCTTGTTTATCATATAATGGATGTCTGGAGTACGACAAATCTCGTATTGTTCGAGGAAAAAAATAATTTCAAAGTGTGCCTCTGTGACTAAGTTATTCAAGGTCAAAGAGGAACAGTTCGAAAATTTAGAAATGCCTAGAAATGCCTAGTTTTAACAGGAGTCAGTCAAAGAAAGTTCATGTGGCAAAATTTTGTTAAGTTGGGCTTGGATTATTCAAAACTCATTGTTGCGAGACAGTCTTCCTCATAACATAAACAACCCCCTTTCTAATGCACAACGATTTCTCCAAATCTTTGGACTATCTGTCGAGCAATTAACATCGATGAAAACCTTGATTACAATAAATTAAGTCAACGACAGAGAAAGAAGTGATAAAAATTGCCATCTTATTTTTTTCTCATTATACTCTGCTATTTAGCATTTGAGCAACATTATTCTCGACGAAACAAGTTTTGGTAATTGTAATTTATTGAGCCCACACAATCTAAGGCTGTTTGAACAGATGTTACTCACTGGAGAAGATTTGATTTCCTCAGTATTTTTGTCTAATGTAAGCGGATTTTTTTTGGTGTCGGTTGATGTAAGTTTTTGAAATCGGCCAATGCGATGAATATTACTCACAGTTAACGTCTTCATCCTCTCAATTAGCTTTTGATGATCGTTGTATGATCATATATATCTTGTAAACAAAATCTACAGTGCGTGCTTGAAGCTCGCGACTATGGAAACAACTGTAAAAGAATGGTAAATGATATAGTTTTTAAGATGTATTGAGCAATTTTAATTGAGTGAGGATAGTGATCTCGAAGTACTATGCGTTTGCATATGTAAGCCCCACTCTCAAACTGACGGAAAACAAGAAAACAATCGCGACATGGTCGCTTGCTTTAGGCAGTTTGCGGTTTTTTATTTATGTACTAATGGGATTCTTATGTTTTTTCCACTTGTCTAATTGACTGTTGTGATTACGTTCGTGCTGGTATTAGGAAACTCAATCGACCTGTCCTCGAAATAAGTCTAGGTTACTTGAAAATTTCAGTTATTCATGCTTTGCAACACTATGAAGAAAAACTGTACTGTCAATTTTATTATTTTAAATCTGCCATGAAAGAAGTTGCCTATTTACCTTTATTGATACATTTTCTTCGGAGCGAACCTGATTACTCTGTGTACGCAAAAGTAGCTCTCTAAGCCGTGCATCTGCATCAAAAACCAAAATTCAGTGCAGAACACTAGTATTCAGTTAAAAAGCCCGAAAACGGCTTGAATAAAAATAATATTGATAGCGGACAGGGAGAATCGAATGTAAATTAGAGCTACTATTGAGTAGATATTAAAAATCATTAGAGATAATAATAAGCAATAATTGTTGTTTTTGCAATGATTCAACACATTTTTTCACCTTGAGCCATAGCGCCGACGCACTTTACGATTTTTATTCAGGGATTGTCGATCCTTTTATTTTCATTCGTTAATAAAGTCGACATTTCTTGTTAGTGAGGGCTATTGTGTTTATAAAACAAACAAAGTAATTCATGGTTGCTTGTAGATATGGAATTTTTCTTCTCGTGTTCAACTCGACATCTCATTCGTTCGCGGCGCTCACTCGTGAGCTATCGAGTTAAACACTAGAAAAGAAATTCCATGTTTACGCGCGCCCATGTGTTATTCTCTATCTATCGACTAAGTTGATAATGTAAATTGGCCACTGTAAAGAGTTTCGTAAGCTGACGTTTCGAGCGTTAGCCCTTCGTCAGTGTGAATGACGACGGACTAACGCTCGTAACTCTTTAAGGTGGCCAATTTACATTATCAACCCAGATATTATAATATCTTGTATCAACTCAGTTGATAAACCAAGTTATCTGTAAAAATCAAACAACTTGGGGAATTAAATTTTCAACTCCCCTAAAAATTTTGCATGCAGTTAGCCACTTAGGGATGATGGACAGAAATTCCCTTTTAAAGGTTGCAGCATTGTTGTTGTCATGGTTACAACGGCTGTTTGTTCGCAGCCTAAGGCCTCAGCTTTATATAAAAATCGCCAAAAAGGTGTGAAATGTTTATTTCTCCTTCTAAACCTCATAACACCATTTCAAATTGGTTTTTCTACCATTCATAAGTGGTTTCATTTGTCTCTACTCTGAACGTGAATGTAAACACACTAACTGGATTACTTATCTCGGTACAATTCCGATCGTTTTGGCTGCAGGGTAAAACAGGTAATACGTTTATTTGAATTTCTGCAAAAGTACACCGAAATTTTCTTAAAAGTAAAGTCAATCCTGAAATCGCTAATTTCAAAAGACAAAAAGACGCGGCTTTTGCCTGGTATTTTGAATAAATTAAGAATCCTTTCACACTGTCGAGAGAAGAGATGACATTCGTTCATTAATTTTGGTTAACTTGCTCTTTGAGTTCGTTCTTCCAGGACTACACTGAAAACTTAAATTTTTCAGCTGATTTGTTTACCCTCTTCAACATCAAGGAAATGCGCCAAGAACACAGAGAAAAAGCCGGGAAAAAGCGAACAAGCAAAAGCCCTTTGTTTTTACATTTGCCCTTTATTTCATCAGCGTACTTAAATACCATTACAAAACAAACCCATAGAGAAACTAAGCGCTACACAACTGCAGAAACCTTTGCTCCTCCGTTTGTCAGCCTCTAAATGATGAGTGTTACGCTCTAAGATTGTGGCTTAGGAACTTCCTCGATAAAGATCCGGGAAACTGAATTCCAGCCTGTGTAGGCATCCACGCTTCCATATCCTGGGCAATTACCGACCCAGAACCCAACGCGTACCTTGCCTTTGTGGATGTTACTGCAGTGGCCCTCAATGTTGTCGACGCGATGAAGATCTTGACTTTTTCCACTGCCTATATAAACGAGACCATCAATTGTTAGGGGTCCAGAACACTCAGCGCCATTGAAGGTGAAATACCAGCGTTTGCAACACGAATTGCATGACGCAATTCGTAGAACACCAGTCCAATAAACATGAAGCACTGTACTTGCGTGTTTCTTAATGAACATACAGTCCTGGAAAAAAAATCTTTCTTTCTTTCTGTTTTATTATTATAACTATTTTGAAAAAGAAGGAGATTGGAATACGAATTTCACGCAGCTGTTATTCTGCAAAGCAAACTAGTTTTTACAAATAATTAATCTTTGTTTCAAGAAGGTAGCACGGAACAGTTACAGATACTAGTAAATTTGTGGCCCTCTATCTAAAATTGAAACTACAACAATTTGTCCGTCTTTTCCATTTTCCTTTTCAATCATTTTTGTCATCCCATTCGTAATCTTAGTTGACTTCCTAAAGTATAGGTGCAATTACAATTTAATGATAATAATTTCAGAACCTCTATATAATAACAGCTTTTCTCCTTAAATGATTGACACACACACGCAGACATATATATGCATATTTGTAGAAGATATAGCCTGAGTATGATCTGAGGTAGTAGTAGCTAGTTAGCTTACAAAATAAAACTGCTGCGTAATTCTAAGGGGTTTAGAATGTGGGAAGCTGATTACACCTCTATCGATAGCTATCGTCTCGCTGTAATTTATCTTAAAAGCATAGAACATATAAATTCACTGTGCATTGAAATAAAATTTTATTTCATCAGCCCCTGTCATCTTAAGTTAGAGCGATATATGTTTTTAATATTTTCTTATCATATGAAAAAATAAGTTCCGGTTTTTATGTCACATTTAATCACGTGTAACAGAGAATTTTCGCATTTCGTTAATTTTCGTCAAAATATGGGCTAGTACCAAAAACTACAAGCATTATAAGCCAAGATCGGCCTGGGAAATGAAATTATTGTGGCATAATAATCACCTTCTTTGAACGTTCAATACATAGTACAAGCTGACATTTACATAACTTTAAGCGTCACAACTGAGAAATGAAAACAGGGTGCATTCAAACACTGACACTTTTGGAAACGCCTCTGCCGTTTTTCGTCCAACGGATGAGTTCGAAAACACAACAATCACCAGGGGTAGAAACTCAAGTCAAGCCTGGAAAACAGAAAATATCAGAGTTTGGATCTCTTAGTGCGGCGATATTTTTGCTTCGCTTTCCATCCGTATTTTTGCCCTGTTTTGCAGTTTGATACCGTCGAATATTTTGTGCCTTCCTTTGTCCTTATATGGTAAAATATTGTGATAGTGGAATAATGATAATATGATAATAATAATTTATTAAAAAATATCTTGACGTACTTTCTACCAGTTCAAAAAATATTGTGCCTGCAATACGTAAACCCTCTCACGTGTATGCTTTTATGAATTAGCAACAATGTAGCGTTTAGAACGAGCGCACTGTTGAGACGGAAATTAAAGATATGAGGATATTCGTGTTACCTGCGATTAAATGCGCGATGTACAAACTGGAAGTTCAACATTTCATATCCTGCGGAACAGCCAAAATCGAAATTTTAAAATATATGACATTTTAACTTTACAGATGACTTATGTTATATCGTAATTATTTTTCAAAGAATCATGTTATACTTTGTCCTGGGCAACATCATATTTATCATCATCTTAGAACGAGATGAATTCTTATGTTTACTAACTTCTGTTCTCACATGATTTATGAGATCACTCTGTAAGTATCCCCAAATTGTTATCTTCGTGCATTTTCATTTTTCAGAGGGTATATAAAATGTACTGCTTGATTAGACCTTCAGAGGAGTTGAAGAGGGTCGATTGAGGGTTCTAAAAGTTGGGAGTTCGGACCAGACTTTTACCGAGAGAACCGTGCGAAAAAGCCTAGATTCAAAAAGAGAAACCAATTGCAGCGTATGTTTAAAAAAGGTACGTATGTTTACGGGAGCGATTGAGTTGTAATTTTGGTTAGTATATACCTGACAGGTGAAGAGTGCTTTAAGCACGCTGATTAGCTGGCCCGCGCGTAAACAATTTAATTCACGACCATTTTTTGGTATATACTCCTTTTTTGTTGTTTGTGTGTAGTACATACCGAAAAAAATTTTCACCTAAGTGTCGGTAAAAGTGGGGAATAAGAGCGAGCACCCGGTCTAAAAGTCTGTAATGGGATACTTCACCAAATCGGAAAATTCCACAATGCTCTGTGGATCATAGAACTTAAGCGAGCAAGAGCCCTGACAGACTTAATGAAATCATCCTTGTTCCTGATAAGTCCAAGTATCGAGTTGCATTTGCAGCTTTACGTGACGCACCCAGCAAGAAGTATCTTTCAGAGAAGTTTAGTTTCAAGCTCATTTAGGACAGTCCTGTGGACTATCATAGTCAAACCAGTGCACTGATAGTGGGTGACCCTGAGGTTGGCTTGGTGATGTACATGGGAAGCCGTAAGAATATCACAGAGCTGCTTTTTGCTAGAGAAGAAGTAAAAATGGGTGGACAACTGCTGGGCCTTTGCTTGGAGAGAACGCAACAAAACATGCGGTATTTCAAGTAATAAATACAGTTAGCTTGATCATCTTTGCTGCACATGGTAGTGCCGAGAGTGGAGAAATTGCTCTCTCCCCTAATTGTACATCTAAAAGTGCTAGGATTACACAAGAAGAAGACTACCTTTTGACGATGGCTGACATTTCCAAAGTTCAAGTGCGAGCTAAACTGGTTGCACTTAGCTGCTGTCACAGTGGGGGTGGGCAGACCGGATCGGAAGGAGTTGTGGGAATCGCCCGAGAATTCTTGGGATCCGGTGCTTGCTCAGTGTTGGCTGCACCTTGGGTTCTGGATGACACAGCAACAGAGCAGCTCATGAACCGTTTCCATGAGCACCTTTATGATGAAGAAAGTGCCAGCGAATCTCCTCATCGGGCCACACGGAAGTAGATGAGAAATAACGGCCTTACTGATGTTTCCAAGAGGGCTCCGCTTATGCTGATTGAGGGTAACATGACCGTTGACTTTACCAAAAAAGGATAAGTTGGGTTTGGTTTTTTCAGAAGGCTGCGCACTCGTTGCCCTCATCTGTAAAGTACTATAACAGCTGGGGGGGGGGGGGGGAAGGGAAATTTTCAGGCTGGATGAGTCCAAACTTCCCCACGTGCATCCATAATTCGATATACGCACGGCTCAAAGCACGAACAAATTGTCTTATAACAAAGTGGACACAACTTGTACTTGAATAAAAAGATTTTTATTATTATTGTGTTGCGTTTACCAGGTAATCACGATCTACCCGAATATTATGTCTAAAGGACGAGGCAAAAACTACCAAGAAATATTTCGAGACAATAAATTCGGATAACTGCCCCAGTTATTATTTTAGAACCACATTCAGTGTTCTATTTAAAATCTAAGCTTGAGGTTTGGGGATTTCCTCGATATAGATCCGCGACACTGACTTCCAACCAGAATGGGCGTCAGCGTTTCCATATCCATCACAGTCACCGACCCAGAATCCCACGCGCACCTTGCCTTTGTGGATGTTGTTACAGTGACCCTCAATATGGCGGACACGGTGAGGGTTAAGAGACTTCGCACCACCCAGGTACACAATACCGTCAATTGGCAAGGGACCTGAACATTCAGCACCGTTGAAGGTGAAATACCAGCGTTTACAGCAGTCGATGCAGCCAGAGACTCGAAGAGTTCCAGTCCAGGAAACACGGAGAGATGTGTCTGAAAAGTTCTTGGTAAACACACACTCCTGTGAAAAAGAGTTATTTTGAATAGAGTTATTATGAACCTAAGATAAACGGATAAAAAGAACATGGAAAATGTAGGCGTAACTTCAGAAAGGACGTCTTTACTTGTGGCCGTTTTGTTTGTGGGAAATTAATGCAATGCAAAAATAAACAAACCCACAAACCAAGTAAATACCACAACAATCTCACGCTTAATTATTTTTCTTCTCAAAATCATTACTATTCACCTTGATGAGGCCGATATCTTTTCAACATTCAAGTCCTTCCACGCACACTCTTTCCAGTTCTTAAAAGACATCACACTAGGAGCCACACTCTCACCAGACTGCCCCTTTTCACTAGAAGAACACTGTACTCCAGGTTCTCCTTTGGCTCCCGGAGTTCCTTTAGGGCCTGGTGGTCCCTGAGGTCCAGTCTTCCCTGGGCTGCCCAGATCACCTTTGACTCCTTCACGTCCATCTCGACCGTCACGACCTGGTAACCCAGGGGACCCAGGCTTCCCGTGCATACCAGGTATTCCGGCATTACAGTAAGGAGGACGTGACTAGTTTGAACATGAATTGTTTCCTCAAAGTTAGAACTCATAAAGGTATTTTGTACGTATGTATGAAAAGTAAATATTAATTTAAGTAGATACTAAGGAAGAGAATGAAATCTCTTGATTCTGAGATGTTGGTTCGGTGGCCCGAGACGTAGCGAGTCAATCAAAAAAGCATTGTGAAACATAACTATGAAGAGTCAAAATTTTTCTCACTTGCTTTCAACGCCTAACTCAAAACGGCTTAATCCCCGCAGAAGCAATGCCATCAAAACATTTGGTTGGTCTCAATGACTTACCATGGGCTGATCATCGTTCTGTTTTCCATTTGCAATTACCGCTGCAATATGGAGTGAAGCTAGAAGTAAGAGCAACAGGGCTAGACTTGCACTCGACATGTTGGCCAGCTGATCAGTTCCTAGTGTAGATTCAACCTCTGTGGATGAGGACCGAGTCAAACTTTGTAAGCAGCTGATATTTTATCATTTCTTTATTCACTAAGTTTTTTTCGAAAATTTTAGCCGCTTATAACGCTGAAAGGTTGCTTGGCAGAGTCGCAAATATTGCGCTATGTGCTTGGATTGATCCTGCGGCCCACATAAAATACACCTTAGCTTTGCTCTTTTTCTTCGCACTTTTCATCAAGTCCTTTGATTTTCCCTCCCTACGAAATCGTTTTCTTTTTAAACGATCTTTAACTCTAATTAATGTTCCACAAATTTATATTCTCTTGCGTTACATGAATGAATATATCCAATAACCTCTGCTAAACAAATTGCCCTTCGCCAATTCTCGAACTGAAAGTGAAGGTGTTTTGCTCAGCCTCGTTCAAATGATTTGCACTGGTACTGCTTCCGCTACAAATCTGATTGTAGTTGGCCTGATTGAGATTATGTGGCCTTGCATAAATCTCATATACATCTGTCTTTGTGTAAATTTAAATCAACATAACTGTAGACGTATTTAAAACGCTAGCCAGAAGTTTCTAAATATGACAAAAGAAAAAGTAGAACTCACTATTTGTGATGTATACGTCCTGCGAGGCTAAATTGCTCTTCTCTTGTGAGCGAGCAGCAATTAACTGAGAAGATTCAGCGAATTGATGATAATATTTTTCTAGGATACGGTCTTCCTGTAGCGCTTGCTCCTTTTAGCCTGATTGTTACTGAAGAATAAATAACAACTGAATTTCTCATAGGTTTCGATTTCACTCCTAAAGTCATATTAATGATCAACAGCCATATGAGTCATCACCTTTCACCTTTAAATGCGCTTTAAGAAGCTGGCTACGTGAGAAAACTTACATTCATGGATCTGGAAACACGACGATCGTGACGAAAACACCGCAAGGGTACGATTAGTAACATGCGAGTGGCCAAAGATTACATAGGAAAACATAAGTTGCCTATATTCTAACACGTAACACAATGCAGTTAGCTGCACGCTATCTGCCCGACGTTGGTCTGAATGTGGCGTAAAATTTGAACTGGTAATCAGGGTAACTATTAAAGGCAGCTGAATTGCTCTTTATCACGTACATCTTAAAGAATGAATTTGAGACTTACGGGAAGTTCTTTTCAGCATCAATCGTAGGGAAAGGAACACATGGTTAAAACGTTAGCTTTTAACCTACCACAATAAAACTTTGCTAATGCGTAGGATTGAATTATGTTTAATTTCAAATGGAAGAAAGTTTGATTTCGTGACAGTATGAAGTTGGCTAAGGGGGTGAGTACCGGTTCAAAAATTTCGAAAAAAGTTCTAAAAATTTTAACTAAAACCTTAAATAGGTCGGGTCGTAAGGAAAAATTGAGGCTCTTCGTCTCAATCAACAAGTACATCATTTGCTTCGGAAGTTTATCCTTGCTCTTTGAAACTGTCAAGTGGACAGTTTCCTTGCTGTCATAATCGTTTGTTTTGTTTTTTTTTGTCTTCTCATTGCGATGATGGTCGTCCGAGGATTGGAACATGAAAGAGGCAAAATAAATTGCACACTCACCCACTGATCCAGCTGTTCCCTTGAGTACAAAAGACAATAAGTTGTTTGGGATAACGAATCGGACTGTGGATTATAATGGGCCCGAACAAGACGTATTCCTGTCCATAGCTTGTCCTTACAGAAAATATTGATCAAATATTTGATTACGTGACCGTAATTAAAACGCGGCGAACTCTTATTAGGAATAAATCTCAGGTTCCATAGGAATTAGTTGAAATCGGTTCAGATCAAGGATTTGAAATAGTTATTTAAAGTTGACTTTTTTCAAAGTTAAATATATTTCCTATTATCCTCTTCAGCCTGTAAATATAACCCTTGCAGTATAGGCCTTAATTGTTACATATAAAATTTAAGCTTCTTTTCAGGATTTGAAGTTGATCCTTTTAAACGAGGATGGCTGAGTATGGAAATGACCATACTTATTTTATTTTTTAAATGCATATTCCGCGTTGTAGTGAGAAGCATACTTGGTATCTAGCCATAGAGATGAGAAATCTGGAAATTCAGAAGTTTTTGTTAAAAAGACTTTGAAGCTGAAAGAGGGTTTGTATCCTACTTTATTCTAGTTATTCACAGGAGGCTTTCGACCTCGCTGATCTTAGCTGTCTGTGGGACGCGTGTCACATATAAACGTAACAACGGCCTTGCTCACCGAGGATCATCAAGACTGACAAAAAGATCTGTCGGTGGAAAATGTCGCATTAACAAAAAGGACACCAACCGACAAGTTATTTCTAGTAAAGGAAGTAGTCACAAATGGAAACCAAACGCACACAAAATATTCTCCATCGTCTTCCTGCTTTTTATTTTATCAGCAAATAAACAATTATTACAAAGCACACGTCATACTTAATTGTCGCCAGTCCAAGCTTTTATGCTGCAAGAATGTGTTGTTTCGAAATCTGATTAGGCTTGGGGTTTGGGGATTTCCTCGACATAGATCCGCGACACTGAAATCCAACCAGTGTAGGCATCGTAATCGTTTCGGCTGTCGACCTGACAATTACCAACCCAGAATCCCACGCGCACCTTGCCTTTGTGAATGTTGTTACAGTGACCCTCAATATGGCGGACACGGTGAGGATTTAGAGACTTAGCACCACCCAGGAACACAATACCGTCAATTGGCAAGGGACCTGAACATTCAGCACCGTTGAAAGTGGAATACCAGCGTTTACAGCAGCTGGTGCAGCCAGTGAGTCGAAGAGTTCCAGTCCAGGAAACACGGAGAGATGTCTCGGAAAATTTCTTGGTAAACACACACTCCTATTAAAAGAGTTATTACAAACTCAAGATAAACAGATAAAAAGAACATGGAAAATGGAATCGAAACTTCAGAACGGACTCAGTACTTGTGACCGTTTTGTTTGTGAGAAGTTAATGCAATGTGCGAGCAAACAAACTCACAAACCAAAAGAGTACCTAAACAATCACACGCTAACTTATTTTTCTTGTCAAAAAGATTGCTATTCACCTTGATGAGGCCGATATCTTTTCCTTCATTCAAGTCCTTCCACGCACACTCTTTCCAGTTCTTAAAAGACATCGCACCAGGAGCCACACTCTCTCCAGGCTGCCCCTTTTCACCAAAAGGACTTTGTACTTAGGGCCTGGTGGTCCCTGAGGTCCAGTCTTCCCTGGGCTGCCAAGATCACCTTTGACTCCTTCACGTCCATCTCGGCCGTCACGACCTGGTAACCCAGGGGACCCAGGCTTCCCGTGCATACCAGGTATTCCTACGTAACAGCAAGGAGTATTTGGCTGGTTTGAAAATAAAATATTTCCTCCAAGTTAGGATTCAGAGAGGTATTTTGTGTATGGGCCGGAATACTAATTTTTACACCAAGATTGTACGATTTAGTGGGAAAATCTCAACTTAAATGAGCGTACTTCAGATGATAAGAATTAAGCGCGGGAAAAACAAAATCTCTATCACATGTGAGGATTCTTTCTTTGGACTTCTGATTTTACGGTAAGACGCTTTACGACTTTAGCGGCATACGCCTCCTTCATGAGTTAGGCCATAGAATTTGGCCACTCCTTTAATAAATTTTCTTCGTTGAGCAATACCACTGAAGAGATCTATGAACTAAATGTTGGTTATTACTAGAATCCCCGGCTCAAAAAGTACAGAAAGTTTGCATCGATGCCTGTGTCAACATCTCAGGCTGCTGTTTTTCTTTTACTCAGTATGGGAAAATATACGTTTTTATCTCAAAATCTCCAAGCCTCTGGCTTGGTTTAAACTGAAACTAAAATATTACGGCGATTGATCAGAACAAATATGCGTAGCTCAGTAAGTTCCGGCTGGAGAACGGAAGGCGATAATAGCCACGTTGTAACTTTTCGTTTTTTTCGTCTTCTTTTTACATAAACACTATTTGGTTGCTGTCAATGACTTTACCATGGGTCGTTCATCGTTCTGTTTCCCATTTGCAGTTTCTGCTGCAATATGATATGCAGCCAGGAGTAACGGCAACAGACTTGCACTTAACATATCTTGACTGGTCGGTTGTTCGTAGTCTGAATAAGTCTATCGAGATTTCCAATATTTTTGTCTGTGGATGAGACCATGAGTAAAGATTAAATAACCGAATTATTATTTTCTTTATTCATTCATTCATTTATTTACTTATTTTCCACGCACCCTCGCGTCAATCAAAAATATCCCTTGTTGTACATGTCATAAGGAACTTAACTGGGTGTCTCAATGGGCTGATGGCATTTACGACTATTGGTTTAAATTTTGGCCATTTTACGTCTAACGGCTAATCTAATTCTGTTGTAATCAAAAAACAAATGTTTGAGGGTTAACTTTTTTTAAGACTAGTGGTTAAAATTTGTCAATTTTTTTGCGCTTATCGGCTTAAATTTTGGACTTTTTACGGGTGACGGTTTACTGTGTGGAGACCTTTTGAATAAGTAGAGAAGTACTAGGAGCGTGACGGAGATAACTGCAGCCAGGGATTAATTGAATGGTCTTTTTCATGATCAGTGATACTTGTAATACATTTTTTGTCAATATGTACAAAATATATTTTTTCCCTTTTTTAGTGAAATGGGTGTCGTAGAAGTGAAAGCTGTTAAATTCGTCTTAAGGTCACAGTTTGCATCTCAAATGCTAAAGTTCCATTTTATCAAGTGTTGCTCGTGCAGAACTAGACCGAGTAGAATGTTTCTTTTTTATCTCGCATAAACAAAGCCGAAAGCCGAGTCGAATTTAGCCGAAATAGAACATGGAGCGTGGCTTGAGAAAAAAAAAAGGCGAAAAATTTACAGTACAATTGTTGACCTTTAGCGAAAAATAGTATTGCAACTACACAGATTGTAGAAAATGCTTCAAGATTCTAGACCATGTAGTATCTTGCGTTTGATCTTGCGTTTGGAGCGTTAAGTTTATAGTAATCTTTTAAAAGTTCGGAAACTGGGCAACCCACTTCATTTTGTGGAAAAATGCTATTCGTCTTTAAAGAAGTAGAAGTGTACGCCGAACAAACAAAGCTCTCGTTTTCGGCATCATTGCTTCAAATTAACGTGGAAATTAGTCTAAGATTGAGCCAGAGAGAGAGGAATCGTATCTGCAACGCCATCACTTACACACATGATTATAGAAATCTTCCAGCTCAAAAATTTAGAGTCAAGTAATCTAAATGATGAGTTAAAGAGACTCTAAATAAGAAAAGGAAACTTACTATTGGATTTGTGTCTTGCAAGGATGAATTGCTCCTCCCTCGTACGCGAACAGCAAAGAATTAAAAAGATTATACAGCAGAGCCTGATTATTTTCGAGATATGGTCTTCCTGCAGCGCTTGTTCCCTTTCAGCGGCTAATTGTAGCTGAGGCATGGCCAACAAGTAAAATTAACCAGCTGTTGGTTCGCGATAGACATGTGGAAAAAAGTGTTTTAATAGGAATAAGAAGAAGTCCAAAACTACCAGAGAAGAAGACGATTGTCCCTACAGTAGTGACCTGAATATGGTCTTAATTTCAGTCCTTAGAAATCTTAATCAGTCATATGGAGTAGTGAATAACTTTCAGTTAAATTAATCTTGAAGAGCTCTGTAGGGGAAACAGGAAGTTTTTTCGTTGCTCATACTGTCTTGTAGGCACGTGAAAAGGAACAAGTGCTACAGGAAGAAAATATCTTGAGCTAATCACGTTCACTACGAAGTATCAGTTCAGACTTCAGACCGAAAGGTGACGAAGTCTAAGATTTTATCTTCAAGCTGATCGAAAAAGGGAAAACAAATTACACAAAAACCAGTGACATAGGCTTGATTGAGCTCAAGTCACTTGATGTGTTCCTTTCTTTTATTTTCACCTTTTGCGTTACAATTAGACCTAAAATGTGAGCACTGTTGAGGGAAAAAAATCTTGAATAAATTCGAGGTTCAACCAAGTAACGTCATGGGACCCCACAGCCCCACACACATAATGAAAACCACGGTACTATTTAAAAAATCGTGTTTAGGAGCTGCACGTAATAGTGCCAGAAAAAGCCGCTTGGCTCTGCATATGGCGCGCAAGATGCTCAGCACGAGAGAGACGGCGGTCATCTGATGAAATGCTATTAACTAAGGCAGACCAGGGTGTAGAGGAAAATACGTTCTCTCTTCAACCCAAAAAATTTTGCAAAGAGTTGTGCAGTGACCTCAGTTAAAAAGATCCTCCATGTCCTCCTCTGTGCATTCCTTTTGACTTTGTCGTCATTCGAGATTATTAGAAGCCCAAAAAAGATGTCAAGATCTTTCAAAATGATCAAGAAGCCGTGAAACTGTGTACATTTTTTCACCTTTAATTGACTATTATTTATTTATTACATTATAAGCTTTTCTGTCCTAAAAATCAGTTTTGTTGTTCATAAATCATCATTTTGGTAGCTTGTTGGACATCAGCGACGGAGTTAACAGTTTTTAAGGTTGTGGAGGCGGTACCTCCTCTATGTAGATGCGGGACACTGAGTTCCAACCAGTGTGCCCATCACAGCTCCCATAAGAAGCGCAATTTCCGATCCAGAATCCCACGGAGACGATGCCCGCCGGGATATTTTCACACACTCCCTCAATATGTCGGACACGGAGTAGATTCTTCCTTCCCTGATTTCCATATAACATGAATACCACTCCATCAATTCTAGCCGGAAACGCGCACTCTCTTCGGTTGAAAGTAAAATACCATCGCTTACAGCAAGAGTGGCAGTTAGTAATGCGAAGAACTCCATTCCAGAAGACACGAAGGCCAGTTTTGGATGATTCTTTTTGAAACGACATTCCTAAAGGAATAAGGAGTCGTGACTAATTAAGCAGAAGATAAAGCATGCATACCGATGAATTCCTTACAAAAAACTTCTGTTACTGTATTTTACTCATAATATATTATGATTGTTTCAGTTCTCGTGGCCATCTTATTCAATTTTTTCTGGATTTGATTTAGATTTCTCGGACGCATTAACTTTCCAAATATTATTTTCTCGCTCAATCTGGTGGACAGACCAACCGAATCTCTCGAGATTCCTTAAAAAAACACACACATGTACTACATTTTAATCATAGATACTCATATTGAATTAGTAACAGATGAAGAGTCACAAAGTGGATACCCTGTCAATGAACCTTTTGCTTATTTCCAGTTTTACTTACATGTCTTTTTTCAAGACGTCACACAGTCGCAACGTTTCTGTGATAAGTCTTGGTTAAAAATACAGCCAGTTAATATGATTTAATCCTTACCTTTATCAAACCAATGTCCTTTGAATCACTGAGGCCGTTGAACACGCACTGCTTCCAGTTACGTCCGATTGACCCTGGAAGGCCTTGGGGGCCTTGGGGGCCTTGGGGGCCTTGAATCCCTTGTTCGCCCTCGTCACCCTTTGGGCCTTGAGGACCAGGTGGTCCTTGAGGTCCCTGACTCCCAGTTTACCAGGGTTACCTTTAGGTCCCGCGGTTCCTTCAGGCCCGGGCGCTCCTGGAGATCCTGTTGCTCCCGCAGGTCCGGGACTTCCCGGAATGCCTGGGATTCCTGGCATGCAACTACAACCAGAACATCCACAGTGTGTCATGGTTTGGGTGCTCTGTTGAGAAATTTGGATGAGTCTTTTGTTTTTTTCGGCTCGTTGAATGTCGGTTTATCAACAACAAGAGAGAATTCGAAAAGCAAAGGGAGCGTCAAGAACTTGTCAATGCATACAATATCTTTTTCAATCACTCTCCATTCAGAAAGAGCAAAAGGCATGTTTCCCTTGAACAAACCACTGACCAACTTCTTTTTTCGCTATAATAATTATAGCTTTTGTCACTCTTCTGTGTGCAACTTTAAATTAAGAAATGTGATTTTACGTAATATAGCTGTTTTGTAAAAGATGGGAATGGGAATGCTACAAAAATATGCCACCTCTCGTCTTCTACCTTCAGAACTTATTTACCACTTTTAATAAAAACTCAGAGTCAGAGAAGATTAACATTTATCAATTATCACCCGATGGATAAATGTCCAGTGGTTGACTGCAATCCTAATTATTTTCAACTCACGTTAAAAGCAGAGCCCAAAGCGATCAGTATTAAGGTCATCAAACATTTCATGATGGCTGATGAGGTCTTGTTACGGAATCTCGGCATTGAGATCTTTTGAACTGAAATATAAGAGGAAATGTATCGTTGAATCAACACTGGAAAAAACTGTCTTTATTGCCATTGAGTTTCGTTTTTGTCTCCTAGGTTCTCCTTGAAAATTTGGACTCGTTTTCAAAGAGATCAAGACAAGGGTTTTTCAGCCAAAGTATTTCTGTAAGTTGAAGAAAAAGTATTGCCAAAAAAAAAACACCACAGAAGGTATATACCCGAATAACTTACCTACACGGAATAACTCAGGTTACTGGGTGAAGTCAGGTCAAATGGCATAAACACAACACTGCAAAATTGAATCAAAACATTACGAACTGTAAGTTGAAGACAAAGGCTAACGAGAACCTAAAGGTGCACTCAATACCTGCCTGTTGGTCGAAAGTGAACGAAATGTTTGGCTCGCAACTCTTGTTATACCTTCAGAGTGGTTTATACAGCTGTAGATTCATCCGATATAATGTTGAAGATAATTTGTGTCATCTAGGCTTTTGTGTTTGCATTGGCTTGTTTTCTCAGTGTATTTAACCTTGAGATGCAGCCACGTCCGAGTGAGATCCGTTCCATATGAATCAAATCCCGTGAACACTCACTCAACGTGTGTCAGATACTGTCAATAACACAATCATTTTAACGGAGTCCACGTAAGCGTGGTAAGCTCTCGGCAATCTGGATCAATTTTTCGCTATCTTTTAATAATGTTTTAAGCAGATTAAAACATTCTTATAAAGAGTTCACCTAGTTGTTCCTTAGCTAAATTCACGAAAGCTAGAAGAGGTACCTGGTACATTTAGTTTTCATGAAACTTAGACAGCAAAACGCCTCCGTGAATAACCTGATGATCTGACTGCTTCTATTGATTTCATCAAAAGGTTAATAAGGGCCGCATGCACATCACATAAGTCGCTTTTTATGATACTGATCATAGACAAAGGGGAAATTTCGGGAATTGGTTTCAGCTTTGAATTTTCAATACTTTTGTAACGTTAGACTAAAAGATCTTCGAAATATAGACAAGACTAACAGACTCGTGGGATGAACTTAAAACAAAGAAACGCGAAATAGTCTGGTTCTAAATACCTTCTTTGACAGAATTTTAGAGAGGCAAAAAATGCTGCAAAAATGCAATAAACAGGGCAGGTTATTTAAGGTGGCTGTAATTAATTGGAGAAAATCTTACGAATTGAATAGTTTGATTTGGAATAACTGTTAGAGAGGCTGCTTCAGTAACTCCTTTTGTGAACGTGAATCACTTTGAGCGTGCGAATCAGTGCAGCTGGAAGAACAAGGCACGGTACAAATCAATCCATTAATAGCCTTTAGATTTCCAGTTTACACCATTAGATAGATATACGTGTGACCTGTCAGAGTGGGATTTTTTATAACTATGTGTGAAAATATCATGAACGATGCTATTTTTCGGTGTATCCGTGTTTTGATAAATATTTGTGAAAGATTTATCCAGGTTTTAGTGTTTATCTGCTAATTGGGCCACATTAATAGATTATTATACAAATACCGGATAACTCCCGAGGTAATTTGTTACGTTAGCGATACTGAATGTCAATTCCATTTTGAATCTATAAGTGTTGCTTAGCACTCTTCAATGCAATTTTAAAATCGGTGAGAACTGATTATACAATTCACAATAGTGGTATCAAAGCCCTTCGTTAAACACCCTCATCAATAAACTTCCCGATATGTACCGTCAATGTTTTAGTCAGTGATTCGCCGCACGAGGTCTTAGCAATCTGATTTACTTCTATTGCAGTCTGTGACGTGTATTCTGCAGCCTTCGTTTTCGCTGGAGTAAATAGCATTTGCTACAGCGTAGCAGCTGCCATGTTTTTAAATGTTTATTTCTCACAGCAACTGAATAGGAACTAAGTGGTTCTTGATACTTTGTTTGCATTTTCCAACAACGTGTTTGCTAACTTGATTGTAGAGGTCATGAGGTGACGGAATTCTATGCACGTACGGATTAAAGATGGATGAGTTTGGCTACTGACCAGTGAATGGAGGGAATGGGCTATTTTCATGAATTATCAGTCCAGCAATTGTGTCTGCTTGTTGTCATAGCCAGCCTAAATTTTTTCATTCGAAAATGATCATGGCACGACTAAAGAGAGGAAAGCAAAGATCTATGCACATTCTTAACCAGAGAAGTGAAATAACAACCTGATGAATACATCATTCTCCTCTCTGAGTATGATTATAGAAAATGATTTTTTGTAATTTTATTAAACCTCTCGGTCAGGTCGTTGGAAATATGCCGATATGAAGGATCACGTTTAACAAATAAAAAACAAACGAACAAAAAACAGTATGTAGCATCGAAAGAAGTTTTAACTTTTCACCTTCTTTTATGCATTTTCCTCACTCTGGTTTCTTAGTCACTGCAATCTCATAGCGGAGCTCGCAGTGCTCGCAGCTTAGCCTTATACTTATACCTACATACAAGTTGATATCTGCATATCAAGACCTCGGGTACAGTTTTTTGCCGGCCTCACCAACCTCACGCCCGGTAACTAGCTTATAACACGGAAAATAAAAATTAAGGCAAACTATGTTTCATTGTTGGTTTTAATAACCAGAATCTGTGTTCAAGATTCGAACTGATTTGTTTCAGTTTATACTCAACGATTTATAGAGCACAGGTTACGTTGAGGTATTTGAGTTGAAATCTAACGAGAATCACTCGGTGTGAAAACAAAATAAGGACTAGCGAACATAATCGTCGGTATAACTTGTATTCCACTAAGCTACAAAAACTTTCTCCGACTTGATCGTCAAGTAACAGTGAAAGAAAAACTGAGATAATCGCTGTTTTGCCAAAGTATGAGTTTTGATTGAATTATAGTATATTTAGACCTTTCAACGTTTTCTGAACCCCAACGCAATCAACACAAGTCTTAACAGGTTGACGTCCCTGTACTTTATTCCTCGATACAAATGTAAAGATTCTTTAAGACAATATTTCTTTCTGAGAAACTTCATGCATACAGTTTTCTCCAATCAGTAGCCTTCTCTATTTTTGGCTTTTTCGATCTGGGACACGTTTAACGACAGCAAAATATTACTGTTGAGCCTTTGGCACCTCCTGAATGAAGATACGGGACACTGTTGCCCAACCAGTATACGTGTCAGCAAGTGTATGACCCGTTTTGCAATCACCAACCCAGAATCCCACACGTACTTTTCCCTTTTGAATGTTGTTATAGTGGCCTTCAATATGGCGGTGACGATGAAGATCTTGGTCCTGCCCGCGATTCATATAGACTGCGCCTTCGATGGGGCCAGGGGAGCTGCACTCGGCGCCATTGAAGGTGAAATACCAACGGCTATAGTACTGGTTGCACTTATAAATCCTTAGATTACCAGCAAAGTATACACGGAGGGAAGTGTCGGAAAAGTTTTTCGTAAATTCACAATTCTGTGGGAACAAAGTAAATTTCTATGATGAAAGCGTTCGAAAAAGTAGGCGACAGTACATACATATATATATATATATATAAATGTGGGGGTAGAGTCTACTTTGGCATAAAGTGCTCAATGCTGTGGTAGCAGAGCTGAGTATATATAAGTGAAAGAATCAAAGAGGACGCATCGATTCTCTGTTACTCTGGGTTTCGCGCCTAAGCGCTCGTCAGACAGAACTGTTCTGTCTGACGAGCGCTTAGGCGCGAAACTCAGGGTAACAGAGAATCGATGCGTCCTCTTTGATTCTTTCACACACACACACACACTCATATATATATATATATATTTATATATATATACCCGTTTTAAAAAAGGGACACTTTTTAAGAATAAAACAAAAGATATATCCATATATTCCATACATATTTTCAATGTTGCGATGTTTTTGAAAACGGGTATATATATATATTTATATATATATATATATATATACACATGTATAAACAAACCCCAAACATGATTAGAAAGGAAATATATATTTGTAAAAAATTCTGATCTTCTCCTTGCCGGATTCAACAAATTTCAAAGTTATTTCTTCATGGCTTCCTCACAATCAATTGCTGTGAGCTTTGAGGTGAGAACTGTTCGAAGTTACTTATTAATCAGTATTACCTATTTCTATTTCGTTTGATACAAGCATTCCTGAACACTAAGCAAAAGAGACATTCCGAATGATTCTATTTGAGAAATCATTTCTGATCTTGGACTATCTCATCATCATGATTATCTGACCTATTATCTCTGAATTTAAAATAAGAGTTATTAATCACCTGGATCAAACCTTGGTCCTTGCCGTCCCCTGCTCTCCATGTACATTCTTTCCAGTTCGAATTCATGCATGAGGAAAGTTGAAGCGTCCCTGGCTTTCCAGGCTCGCCTCTCTCCCCTCGCTCTCTTCTTTGGCCGGGTGAACCGTGAGTACCAGGTTCTCCCCTATCCCCTTTATCACCTGGTGGACCAGTTGGCCCCTGGAGTCCAGGGCTCCCCGGGCGTCCCTTTTCGCCTTTAGCTCCGTCGCGTCCATCACGGCCGTCGCGACCAGGTAATCCTGGGATACCAGGCTTGCCGTGCATACCTGGTACACCATTTTTTCCCGGAATTCCTCCATAACATAATCGAGGACTCTGTTTTGAGTCATGTAAAAATAGAATAAAAGATAGAAATAATTAAGTAGGAAAAAATAATAAAACTTATGGATTTTCGAAAGATGCCATGAAAACGTATCTTTATTTTGATGCGTTATTAGGTTTGAAGTATCAGGTTGGATTTCATGCGCTGTGAAGACTTTCGTGCGTCACTTGATCGCTGTCTTTTGTGTTACACTTGCTAATTGAAATAAACTTACTTTGTGGTATCCTGGAAGGTTGCTAGACTCGTTGTGCGTCGCAGCGCACAAGGTGAACGGCGGCACAATAAGCAAGAACATGACAGTTGAGGAATAAACAAAATTTTCTGTCCTGAAAATGGCAACAAATTTAAAAAATAGTGTCGTATCAAAACTATTTCGTGGGCAACATCTCTCTTTTAAAGCATTAGAAACTCTTTACGGTGGCCGATTTACTTTTTCAACTCTGATAAGAAAACTAAATTATCTCTTTTTTAAGCTCTTTAAGATCGTTTTATTGTTATTTTGGGAAGTGCTATAGAGCAATTTTTATTTTCTCAGATTTTCTGTTTTTGTTAACGAAACCAGCAAATCACATGATATAATTATATAAAGACACCGTCGTAAGTGAACATGCAAGTCAACGCTTGTGTTAGAATTAACGCTCATGATGTTTCATGCCGAAAACGTTTCAAGATATCGGCGTGAAACGTAGAGCGCTTTAAGTAACCGAGATTTCCTAATATTTTGATAAAATTGCTGCGAGAATGGTACGGCAGTCTAAGAATTTGGAACGAAAACAAAATAACCAAATATTGCTGGATTCGCTACCAAAATATTTGAAGCAAAGCAATTAAAATAAAACGTTTGCTTTCTTTTCGGAGCTTGGAACGATTGGAAATAATAAAGAATCATCTTAGTTCTTTGAGTCTGTTTTACTTACCTCTTGGGCTGTTATACACTGTCAATAGGACAATAAAGGTTAAAATAGGAAGCTGAACTGTGAGATAAACTATATATTACCTGATGAATTTCAAAATAAGCAAAATTGACATGACTGTAAAGTGTCAAGGGAACCGACCAAGAACACAAAAACTCAGAAGTATCTCTTGATCAGAGGGTTCACCAATACTCCAGTGCTTCTGAGAGAAATTTAACGCTGTTGTTTGCTCAGTGATCATGATTTTGTTTAATGCAAGTGTCCTCCGTTAATGTGTTTCAGCAATTTGTTTGCTATGGTCTGTTTGTCTGAGCTGTTAGCACAGTTCACTTGGTATAACTAAGGTCTGACTGAAGTTAAAGCTGTGTAAACCGTATATATCTGTGTATACAGATCTATCTATAATTTTTTAAAAACAATGTCAAGACAAATATTTCATTCCGAAATTAATTTTATTTTCTGGATTCTTTCATAATCCTGTTTGAATAAAGCTTGATTGCTGTTTGGATAAAGTTCCTGTGTTCAAAAACCCGGAAAAATCTATATACTCAATCTTCATGAACGGCGGACTAAGAGGAAGAATCTTTGTTGCCTATGTTTTAGTTAAATTTTGATTCTCATTTCAGCTTGTCACTTAAGAAAAGTCCGGCGTATTACTATTCTACGTAGCAAACTCAGTATCTAATACACAGGCTCATTTTAATGGCATGTTAATTTGAAGGTTGCTAATGAAGTCTTAAGTGGAAAATAATGTACTTGGCAGAAAATGTCAATCAAGAAGCATACGTAAGCTAATTGAATTTTGATATTCAATGCGGTTCCAACCAACAACGATATTGTTATGAAACGTGCAATGCTAATGTTTAGAAGCAAAATAGCTACATATAAAAGAGTTCATCTCCAATAATAGTTTGCGGAAATACATTTGTTCGCCAAGCTGATTATAAATTAGACGGGCTGAGATAAATATGACACTCAGTCAGATCAAAAAGCCTAATATGTGACCCTCTTCCTTAATTTTCTCTGAGTGTCATTTTTTCGTTACTTATCTAGTGTTAACATCGTTAATACCAATAAATATCAATATAATGATGAACCATAAAGCTTGTAAATGAATGTGTTTTTTTTCAGTGTATTTATTTAAGCATTTTTAATACTTTTATTTCTTTCAAACAATTTTTAGACCATTTTATCATTTAAAAAATCGGAGTTGGTTTCCTATTTTCTTTCCTTGTGACAATAAGGTGACTACACAAAATTTCGGGACAAGTTAGCGAAGTGGATGCTAAAAAAAGTGATCAGAAAGTACCCACAAGTTGTGTCAAAAGTAAGATCGGAGGTCGTCCTTAGACTTTCACTCGGAGGGGTATCAATTTTGAAATAATGTTTATGGTCTTAAGAAATCGTCGTGGCCCGATGAATTCATTCTGTCAACAAAAGGCTATGGTTATTTATTTTAGTGATGGCTGGTATTCTCATACACGCTCTGCTCTGCTTGGGAATACTGCTGTGTTGCTATAGTATGAGAAAGAAGTGGACCTTAAAAAAAGAGATAATTGATGCAAACCTTGTCCTTGTAAGGGAAAGTGTAAAGAAAAAGGAATACGTCTCTTACGCGACGAAAAGTTTCCAAAACAGTGAAGGATTGATTGAGGCGTAAGCTACTGTATTTTCTTTTGCTCCAAGCTTTCAACGATCTACAGCAGCGTCGGAGATACTGCATTTACACTCTTTATCTTTAATTTCTACTAAATATTTAGTTATTTATTTATTGTTTTTTTTTTAAATACATTGATTTGATACAACCTTTACCTACGAAAACTTAAGAAAACAGAAAAATTCTTATCTCCTGACAATTTTCATGTATCGCCTGCTTTGCCAATAAGAGTGATAGCTGTTCCTGCAAGAGAGGCTGTGCTCAAGGAGTTCTAGGAATTCCCGGGACCTTCGGTTTAATTGGAGCGCCCGCAGCATTGGGTACCCCCGGGGTTAATGGGTGCACAAGGGCCAACGAGTGCAAAAGGCGAGATAGGAAGTACTGATCCTCAAGGTCCGCCCGGTCCATCGGGTGGTAGTCGGAAGCAGTGCGTTTTCAAAGATCTCAATTAAGATAATGATAATGGCCAAGTCCTCTCACCAAAAATTGAAGAGGCGTTTTGAGGTAGCTGGTCACATGGCCAATAATTCGTAAACATACCACTGCCATTCCATAAATCCAAGAACTTATGTTTACAGATCATGTTCCACTTGGCCAGATTGCTGAGTTGAGGGCGACGCACTGAAGAATTCAAGGGAGGTTTTCGGTGCTGACTTTCTTTAATGTTTCACTTTTATTCTATTTCTAGCAATATGTTTTCATCAAAAAGTCGGATGACACCGGGTTGCGCGTTTTCTGGAATCGGAATACTCGCATCTACAGCTGCGATGCACGTTGCAAACAATGGTACCTCATCTTCAATGGTGCGGAACGGCACCGCTGCTAGAACCATTGAAGGTCTTCTCTATATTTAGAAAGGCAAGTTGAAAGCGTGTGAATGAACGTTGCCGAACGCCAGGTCACAGTGGGTTTCTCGGTCGGTAACCTCAGTGGTTGTGGAAACGCTGATTGTTTTATGATAAATTCAGCTAAGGTGTTCACATTATCTTGGCCACTCAATTTATATCATATAATGGAAAGGTGTCACTGAGCTATCTTTTTTATGTTGAATACATTTGAGAAGGTATGAAGAGAGCAAATACAACCTCGAAAATGAATCATCAATTGATTTGAACTGGTTTGTTATGTTGAGTGCACTGGGTCGTGGAGGTTCATCAGTCTCTCGAACGACCACATTCCGTAATAGGCCAATTCTGGAAAAATATCGCGAGCTGCATACTGCCGATGGGCTTTCAATTGTTTCTTTTCAATGCAAATCACAACAAGGCCTAAAACTACTTCTTTACAAAGAACCTCTTCTGCTTTTTAGTCGATCCGCTATGGGTCCGTCAGTGTGAAATGGCAAGTTTTCTTTCTTTTCTTTTGTTTTTTTTGGCTTTCTTTCATCGGCCGTTGGAAGTCCATTGGACTCCGGGCAGGGCTGACGGTGGCAATCGGAGCACATGGCTAGCAAACCATCTCCAACTCATCGTTGGAGATGGTGTTGAGCCAAGAGATGCAGAAAATTTATTCGTAGAAATCTGTTCTGGAAGACTACTACCTTGTTGCAAATTGTCTGCGTCATCTTCCAGGATTTTGCTTTGAAATGACAAGCGGCTGCTTTGCACGTTATTTTTGAAGAGATGCAAAATTGTTCTCTAGCCGGAGCACTTGAATTTCCAGGTGCTTTGAACGGCGTGCTCGAATCTCTTCTTCTCCGTTACCGCTGCACATTTCTGATATCTTGGTTCTCATATATATGAAGTTATCAACATTCTCCACGGCTTCTCCATTCATTCAAAGGTATCCTTTATCTAACAGCTTCGCTATGCTTCCTATTTTATGAATAGTGTATTGTTCATTCCTCTCCTCATTGTTATCCTAAAACATCAGAATAAGATCGTTGTAATTCGCTTTATAAATTAGTTCATGTTTGTTTCCAGAGAACCGTACAGATCTTTTAAGTAATTACTTCTTTTCCTTCTACTTTTGTTATAATGGAATTTTGCTTGTTTCTGGTTCAATATGCGTATATTCGGTTTCTGGTGAGGTTTTTCGGGCACTTGTTCATTTCCCTTGCAATATTTTTTTCTTAGCGAGTCGCTACTTAATAAATTAAAGCACAGGGAGTCATATATACAGTTCTTACTCACGAAAATTGTTGAGAGGACACAATTTTTCCCATTTTTCACGTTTTCAAGCCAAGGTAAATGCTTGCATGCTCATATTTCTTCCCATAATTATACTTACAACTGTATCATCAGACAATTCTTACCAACATATCTATTACTCGAAAACCAATGGTAATACGTGAGAATTATTGATGGAATGGCGTGAGCCATTTCATTGTTTATCATCTTCCTGTACACCTCACCAGAGATATCACCAAAATAGCTCAGGATTTTACTACACTTTCCATGTTATATTTTCATCGATACCTACCTGCGGTGGTTCCCTAGACACCAACGGAGTCACTTTGACATGCGCCAAGACATGCGCCAAGGTTTGGAGTAAACAGAACTCTTCAGACGATGATGGTGGCCTCTCAAAACGGGTTAGTGGTCAAAACAATCTTCTTTGTGTTGCAAGTTTAACTTTTAGCAGGGGAGTGGTAGTACTCTTAGACGCTTCGTGCTAAAGAAACCGGGACAAGCTCCGACTGAGGAGCCACTTGGCTTGAGTACAGACCTTACCTTTAGACTATCAGAGATTCTCTTGGACTTGTTTTACGTTAAAGCTAGCGACTCCAAAACATACAGCGAGCATGTGTTAATGACATGCAGACCTCGCAAAGGACACGCTTTTGATTTTTCCGAATTTTTTTCTCGCAGGAAGGACAAATAGCAGCAAAATTGTTGCGGTTACTCATTCTTTAGAATTCTTTTCTCTGGAAACCATCACTCCTCATTATGCAAAATCATTATCAACTCTATAGTCAAAAGGATATTTTCAGATAACAGGAAGATATATAACTCTTTCGTGCCCGGCTTAACTTTTGAGTCCTTAGCTTTTAATCCCAAAACAATAAACAGCATTAGTGCAAACAAATTGCTTCACTGAGTTGAAATTTTTTCCTATTAGTAAAACCTCAAAATTTGCATAAGTTCCTTGTTTGATTTCATTGGTATTATGAATCTATAAAAATGTGTATCTTTACTACCTTCGTCAGTCTTAACGGGTAATTTGACTGTGTAAACACGCACCGAGCTTGGTTGGTTGCATATCAACTTGGTGAGTATTATTTGCTTCCTATTTGAGTTTAGCTGTTTTGCCTTCAACCGATTGACCCGTCCACAGCTAAACAAGTTCATTTCCGCAAAAATCATATGAACCATGCACTCTTTTCTCTTTTCGCCCCCTCTCCTAAACAGCAACAGTCTCGGGATCTCTTGTCAATTGCCATAACTTCTCTATCAGCCGATCAACCAGCGACTGCTCCTAAACAGCAACAGTCTCGGGATCTCGTATCAATTGCCATAACCTCTCTATCAGTCGATCAACTAGCGACTGACGTAAGGTGTAGCAAATTGCGTGAAAACTTGCTTGTACAAACAGCTCTTGACAACTTGGTTTACTAAATGGGAATGAAAATATTTGCATTACCTAAAGGGAACGTTTTACAAGTTGACCAACTCCTGAGGCCGGGTATTCGAACAAAGTTATTAATTAGTTTTTTAACAAAATCGCGTCCTAAACAATCCTTAATTTAGCTGGATATTTTATCTGAACATTAGGTTTTGTGAACATTGACAAGAAGACCTAAGGCTTACAGTGGAAGGGCAGCTATTCAATCCATAAACCCTCTTGTAGAGAGAGCCTAAGGCCCGATGATTGCGTAAAATCGTGGTTTGGGTTAGACCTCGTGTAAATTACCGACCCTTAGTGCCCTTCCTCTTTTCCTCTCCTTTGTTGAGGCTCAGTCTTCTGAACATCGATTTTTTTTTACATTCCGTTATTCAACATTGCGAAGCTCAGAACTTTCCGCTTTGCGTGACCACATAACTGCCTATTTGAACGTAGATTGCCGCCCTTAATTGAAGATATGTTTTTTTTGTCAAAAGCTAATTAACTCTGATTGTGCCTTTACCAAGCAACTAATTATTTGAGTGCAAACAAGAAAAAACACGCCGCTCGCTCTTAATGACGTGATTATCGGTTTTATGCAGTGAGATATTATATCCAGGGATGTCTTTTGTGGACAGTTTGCAGTGTCATGAATCTTGAGAAATAAATTTTATTATCATATAAACTACGGTTTTAAAAAAGGATTTCCAGCCCTGAGAAAAGCCGTTAAACACTCGAAGAGAAATTCCATATCTACGCGCGCCCCTGTATTATTCTCTATATGTATAACCTTAGCCAACGCGTTTCTCTATATTCTTTTCCAGTGCACATGTAAAGTCCCTTTTATTTTAGCTCGTTGCAGTATTCTAAAAAATAGCAGAGCGAACTTTTAAGCTGTCCCTGAAATTGTTTCACTAGCTTTGACTAAGAGAAGAGGCCACGACCTACGACCAAAGCATTAAACCTTTGAAACTGTTTAATAATGTGAACACTAAAATTCTCATCAAATGTTTGTTTATGTGTTCTATTTCACATTTCTTCAGGTTTATTCAGTATGTTGACTGCTCAGTTCGCCATAGTAACAGTGCTTCTGTTACCTTACTTGTCTGTTGTTGCCAGACAGAGTAGAGAATACTATTCTGCCGAATGTAGTCCCTCGTGTCAGGTTAGTGATCATTATGATCTTCTCTTTCTTCCCAAAAGGTTCGTTCTATTTGGGTATGAGTCGTGCAGAGTGAGTGAACAATGAGCAATATAATAATAATTTCAGTTCAGTGACTGAACAACAAGTTGAATAATTTTACTCTTCAAGGCGTAGAAATGCCTGGATTCAGCAAGATCAACAGTAAAATGTTCCGATATCAAGACAACAAAGATCCATTTACTGGTTTAAGACCAATGAGCCAATATTTTTTATTTCAGTTTCGGACAATTATCCTGTGTTTTTTTAAAATGAGTTTGATCAATCAACTCCAAACTACTAACTATTGAGCGTTAATAGCCCTCTTAAATGTATGTAACAACTTAGATTATGATTCTAAATTGTCTCTTGCAAATGGGCATTCTCTAGAACATTCTTTCGAGTATAAAATAATCTATTCTTTAAATGTATAAACGAAAATGGGCCTGATTGCATCTCTAATTTTTTTAGAGCATCGTAAAACCCATTAAACTCAAAGGAATAGTGGTCATAATCTTGTTTCACCCATCTATCATACTTGGCATTATCATGCATAACTCATTTACTTACAAGATATCGCAATTGTGGAGTAAGCTCCTGTCATATATTGAACAATCAACAAACTTGAGTGACTTTTACATGAAGTGAAGGATATTTGATTTTTCACACTTAAAGGCGAGCTGCAAAATGAATGTAGCCATTAGATATTTCCATTTGTTTTAGCATTAAATTTTTCAGAATTGTGGCCAGTATTTTGGTATTATATTTTTCTTACTGAATGCGTCTTATACATGAGCCTCTGGCACGGATACACAAAGAAACTTGATCCCACGCATTGACATTAATAAAGTGATTAATTAATTGATTGACTGATCAAAAAAGAGCGGAAAATCATTCAGATAACCCCTCTTTCATATCTTTATTGCAGTTTCCATTAATGATTTTTTTATCAATTTATTTATCCATTTTTTGAAGGTATTGGTCATAAACCTGATATTGTTATCTTCTATTTGCGCGTAATTCACAATTAGAGAGGTTGCATGACAATTGGAATAAATTTTCCCTTACATCAGTGATTGATATGCCCATGAGTGAAACCTGAAGCTTTCCTGAAGAGATATTAAGCAGTACTCGCTTTTCTTTATTTCACTTTAGTGTTCAGACTCATCGTCATCCTCCAAGAGAGGCTGTGGTCCAGGAGTTCCAGGAATTCCCGGGACACCCGGTGTACCTGGGACCCCAGGGGTGAATGGTTTACAAGGGCCAGCAGGCACAAAAGGCGAGACAGGAAGCACTGGTCCTCAAGGCCCGCCCGGTCCATTGAGTGGTAGTTGGAAGCAGTGCGTTTTCAAAAGTATAAACAATGGACAAGACAATGGCCAAGTCGCGGTAGGGATACGTTATTACCGGAGTGAATGGGCGTTTTGTGATAGCTGGTTACCTGCTCAATAATTCGAAAACATACCGTCGAAACTGCATATATTAAGAGATCATAAGGGTTTCAGAGAAGGAGGCTTCTAGTCCAGGCCTTGAGATATGTCAATTTCATTTAAGTTTTTTAACAATTTTCCGTGAACGCGTTGGATATGAGATTGTATATAGACAACGAGGCGCTTAGCGCCGATTTTGATATGTCCAATCACGTACCCAGCGAGCTCCGCAATTATCGTTGGTGCAATGTATTTTCATATCAGGTGACTCATAATATGAGCTGATAACTGGAGTTGAGTGAACCAATTAGAAAACTAGAAATTCAATATTCGGAGTTATAAGAAACTTCGGATATTATGAGCGCTGTCATTGGTTGAAAAACCGTGTTATTTGTTTGAGTAACAAAACTCGGAGCTGAGCTAAAGCTGTCACGCCATCTGCCAATTTGTACAATATCCGACCATTTCTCGGACTTCTCCCGAGCTTTTTTCGTCAATCTAAACTCGGAGAAATTTCGGAACAAGCGAGCCGGTAAGTAGCAACAGAAGAAGCAAACGAAGATTTATCAGGATTTCAAGCGCCTTAATTGACGTTAATATAACGCGAGCAGAGACCAAAATCACCAAAGAGAAAACGAAATAGACTGTGAGGGTTTTGAAGGTTTTCACGCTCAGTTAGACTGTAGCCTACGTACGTTAATAAAACTCAAACACAGCTAACAGTCGTATGGTACATATATAGTTTTGTGTAATTACACAGAAAAAAGAGGAATTATGAAAATAATGACCAAACTGGCCTAACTGTTAAAATTTATATAAATCGTGATGTGTCAGAGCGACTGCGATCATGCGACGTATCCCAGTCAACGCCCTGATTTTCCATCTGTCTCCTTATGATCTCTTGCATAAATCTAAGAAGTCATATTTACAGATTACGTTTCATTTGGCCGTAACGCAAAGTTTAGGTCCACACTTAAAGACATTATGAAATCTTGAGAATTCAAGACAGATTTTCGCTAACTATCTTCAATATTTCCCTCACAAATATTTCTAGCAATGTGTTTTCAACAAGGAGTCGGACGATACCGGGTTGCGCGTTTTCTGGAATGGAGATTTTCGCATTTACAACTGTGATTTATGCTGTAAACGGTGGTACTTCACCTTTAACGGTGCAGAATGCACCACTCCTGGCACCATCGAAGGTCTTCTATATCTTTGGAAAGGCAAAGATGAGGAAAATATCCACCGTATCCGCCATATTGAAGGTGTGTGCATGAACGTTGCCAAAGGCCAAGTCACAGTGGGTTTTTCGGTCGGTAACTGCCAAGGTTATGGAGACGCTGATGCCTTCACTGGCTGGAATTCACTTGCCCGAATCTATGTGGAGGAAGTACCACCTCCGCAGGCTTAGCCTATCCGAAGAGTTCACTCCTGTAAGCAGCTCATTTATGAAAGATCTCAGTGCTTAGAGGCGTAGGTGTTGCAAAAAAATTAGCCAACTAATCAAGGCTGGATTTTTGCTTTTATCATAGGTTTTACTCAGCGATGCATTTTTTTTTTGTAAAACAACTTGTATAACCTGTCACTTTACAAATGCTAGTAAAGTTCGTGTCGTTTGTCAGATCATTTCTGTGTTCAGTCCTTATATTTAACAATATTAGCATGGGCTTCAATTGCGCTGGCTGTGTAGCCAATAGAGAAAGGAATTCCGAAAATAGTGATGATAATAGAAAAGGCACCGTATTTCGCAGGAAATTCTCTTGCTGACAATACACGCTGAGTGGACGTCAAAACGAGGCGAGAACATCAGTGACACTCAGCTGCGCCTCGTGTGCCACTTTTTTCGTCCTTACCGCATTTTAACATTATCTGTGATCTATCACTGAACAGAAACAGCAAGATGAAATCTATTTGTTAAAAATAACACAAAAGATTCAGTAAACCCAAATAAAAGTTTCCCAAAAGCTATACTGTCACCGGTGTTGCTATTGTTCGGTTTGCTAGTGGCATTTACGTCATCAATTATTGCCACTTGAAAATCTTCCGCTTTGCACGAGAGCTGATATAGGGTAGGCGTAGATGGCTGTGGGAAGCCAAAAAACTAGACTAACCTTGAGGCTAGCTTTTACGTTTTAACTTCAACAATATAAGCGATGTTAAACATTTTATAATAAACAGAATAGAATTTAAGTAATTCTCATTAAAGTATAAAAGGTATGTATTTGAAAAGATGTAGTGAATGACTAATTCAAACAACAAATCGTTTGGAGAGGTTAGGAACTGTTAAGTTTAAGCGCAAACAAAGAAAAATTATCTAAATGTTTATCAAAGTTTATTTAACATTTTTCATGCCCATACGTGGGTGTTTCTTTAGCTTTTAAGCTTCTGCTTCACCACTCTGAGCCATCTAAGTGAATTCCACTTTCTGTCTGTGCCTTTAACGCCTGAGTTATGTTCTAACCTTGCGTTACTCGGATAACCTGTGTTGCTCTAGTTGCTCCAGTTGCTATCTCTCTTTCTGCTGATGCTTATCTTGCGCTAAGTGATCAAATCTCTCTAGATTTTTTGCACAATGGACATCTGCTGCCGCTACGCTAATTTAGGCGGGAAGGTCTTACAATGACGCGACGACAGCAACAGCAACATCGATTCTTGATTGATACCCAGCATTTTATTTCCTTTCTAGATCATATATATGAGAGACGAAAAGTGTCCTGACTGCCCTCAAATAATCTAATGGAGCTAGAAAAATCAGGGCGGCCATTCTTAGGATCACAATATACGATATATCGTTTAAGGGTCCAGCCAGGCATTTAGAAATGCAGGAGCGCACTCGCGACGTGTTCAGCCCACAATAAGTAAAACAACAACAACCAAAAATATTAATTATTAACTTATTGACTGAGTGCGGTTGTGCTGCCGAACGGGAAAATATTTGGCTCTTAGTCATAACTTTCGAACCTCGCTGCGCTCGGTGTGTACGCAATGACCTCGAGCCACTGAAACAATTTATCTCATAACCACTAAGAGTGAATAATTTCGAAAATTTTGTTTCAACTTAAATTAAACGCGATGGACGTGTGCATGGGTGGTAAGCGCCAAAAAGATTCAATTTTCCTTTATTGTTTCGAATCATAACAGGAATCTCACAATTCATCGAAAAGTGCATTTCTGATTTCTTTTTTATTCTAGTCCGTAACAACAGCGAACATAAATAATGCTTTTGTTGTTTTTGTTTTGACTTGTTAGATGGCTTTTTCTGCACCGGCTCACGTCAACCCGTCCGCTGACACACCGTTAGCTTTCCTATGAGGTAGGATCGCAGGCCGGAGGGGTCATAAGATAACACGTCATCATTATATGTACTTAATGACTGAGTGGGTGGGCTGGACGGAAAAATATATATTTGGCTTGAGGATTCTTGTCTTTCTTGGTTGTATGAAACTTTAACCAAGTTTTTTTTCTGTTTTCTAGGTTTAGAATATTCCATAGAGCGCTTGATGCTAAAATGAAGGACACAACAAGGGCGAGAAGATGCCGGTCGCAGAAAATGAAGAACAAAAGTTCTGGGAATTGGGACTTTTAAGTTGTAAGTCAGTCAAATCACTGCTTCTTACAGTTTATTATTATAACGGGAAGTTATTTGGGCTTCGTGGCGGTTAACATAGAAATATAACTGTAGCAAATTTTGATGTTGGTTTGAATTTCATCCGTTTCGAAGAGGACTCTTCGCGGTGGTCTTACCGATTTAAAATACGAACCACGCACAGTGGAACATGTTTGCAGGGGCCTCGCAGAGGGAGGGGTTGGGAGGGCTTACAAGCAAACATTTGTTAGGTAGTATCTATTGTTATTTCAGGGCAGAGCTCCAGGTTGGGACATCAATGGATTATATTACAAACGAATTGGTTCTTGAATGTTTACACAGGTAGCATATTGTGCAGTATTATGTTACATGTATATGAAACCATGCGGTTGACTGAGTAATTATGTAATCCGTAAGAAACATCAGACGAACTTAAAATAAGTAAAAACACACCTTGCTTTTCCTAAAAATATTTCAAAATACAGATGACGTGAAGATAACCTAATCAATATACGAGTTTCTCTCTTCCCAGCCTGTCTGCTTTTTAGTCTTTATTTTTCTGTATAAACCATTTGTCTGACTGTTCGCAAGTCTCTTTCTCCTCCTCCCCGTGACATCTCACACCAGAGAAAAAAGCGCCCAGAAGATGAGATTGTCTTTTAGTCTGCTTATGGCCATCGTCGAAATTTAAATTTCCCATCTATCTCTTTCTGACCGCTCTCTAACTTGCCCTTGCTTTTTCACTCTGTTTGTTCGGATTCGCCATCAACATGAATTCACTGTATTATCTCTGTTATTTTCTAAGGGCCCCAAACCATCAAACCGCTCATCATCTTTTTCCCAGCGTGAGTCAGATCTATTATCCACAGATCACTCCTACAGTCGCGCAAACATGGGGTTTGGGGTGAGGTACAATTACTAGCAGTCACTCTACGAGGGGATTGTTAATCATATTTCATATCTTAAAGCCCTGGCCCGGAGAAGGAGAAGTCAACCTTCTCCAGGCCAGAAGTAATGACGGGCTGAAAATAACGTGTGGTACTGGGAAGGAAAAAGGGTCAAATGGTTCTTCTTTAGCAAGATCTGTAGCATCCAAAGTAGCGTGTTTTAATTAAGAAAACTAGCCGTCAAAATTTGTACATGAAATAAATTATTCAAAACAGTTTTCTACCTCGCTGGTGATCATTTGAATTCTTTTCTCATTTCTTTCTTTTATGCATTAATAAACACTCGCACTGAAAGAATTCGTAAAAAACGCCTACGATCGTCAGAACAAGCCAGAATGATTTTGCCTCGAAATTTTGTCTCCGATAGCAAGAACACTTTAATGCCACTTTTCACGAAAAAGGTCCAAAGAGCTTTGCAATGAAGCCGCAGCAATTGAGTGAGTTGACACTGAGAAGATCCCATGAACATACCCTTGCAATGATTGGTGTTATAATTATTTTGGTTTGGCCCAAAAGTCATTCGACTTGCTAACTAGTTCTTTCAAATGTTCTTTACTAAAGAGAAACTTATAAAAAGACTCTTCGAAATTTCAGCAATGCTAATAGCTCTCTCCCTGAGAAGGTATTCATATAACCACGCATTGCTATAACAGTCAAGGGTTCTTGAGAGTTACCATGAAAACAGAAGCTGAGCCGTGTATTGTGCCTCCTCCTTTTTTCTCCCCACCCCTCCCCCCCCTCTTGCCGGGTAACTCACATGGACACACCGGTCGACCCGGATGAAAAAGTTAATGAGCAAAGCGTCTTACTTGTCAGTTTTTTTTTCTAAACTAAACACTTTTTCCTTCTTTCGTCATTTCTGGGTGCACTTTGAACACTCTTCTCCTTCATGACTTTCGTGTCTTTTTTCAGTGGAACGGCTGACCCCCGAATGCTGGGTACAAATAATAAATATTTAGATTTGTAACTCTTTGAAGTGGTTCGACTTAGGCCACCAATTACCCCGGGCTCGCGTAAAGATATATCGGAGAAGAGAGTGGTGTCAATCGTTAAGGTCAGCTGAGATGAGTCCCTCTTAACCAAACAGATAAACGAAACTTTGATTGGGCCAATCAAAATAGTCCCAATCATATTTATCAAGTGGTGTGAAAATTAAACGGTAGACTGCACTACATTTTTAATTATACAGTCGATCGATTTTCCAACGCATTTCGCTCTGTTCAACGTTCTTGCGAGAATATGTCGGGAAACAGGCAGTTTACTTGGCAAGAGCTTGCCAGTATGAATCTGGAACATAATGCACACATCGCAATTAACGGGAAGGTAAGAAAGGCATCGAGTTTTTTACTACGTTATTTCGCTAAAACTTCAATTACGTGCATACAATATCTTATGGATTACGAGGGACACTGATAGTTTGCTGCTGCAGTACATCCCTAAAATGGGGTTCGGAAATCATTTTGATTTAATCGGTCAAAATGAAAGTATTGCAGTTGGATGTTTGCAAAGTTTTCTTAAGAGCACTGTCGAACGAGTTTTGATCATCACTTCTGAATATTTAACACCTTATGGTTGATTGAATTCAAACCCTAAACCATAACCCTAATCCTGGTGAATATTAATCACCCACACTGAATGAAGCATTTGCATGTCCGCAAGCTAATGAACCATCAAAACATCATGATATTTGCTAATGTTTTGCTGGACCCAAACTTGCGATGAAGAACGGACTTTTACAAGCAAACAAACAACAGAAAACAAAAGATGCAGTTGAATTTGCTATACAGGCAAGTGATTCGTTAAGACATCAAACAATCAATGCAATCAGGAACTGCTTTTGAAAGCTGTATTGTATTTCCTGATAATTGTTTTAATAGTTCTGCAATATGCAAATAACAGCAAATGTGACAGAAAACAGGGAATAAGGTGAACCCATACATAGACACGCTAAACAATAGGCTGCAGTGAGAGAAAAGACACGCCGGCTTCGGAAACCATCTTTTTGTCAATAGGGCATGTTTTTCGGTTAGCTCTGTGCCATTTCTTTGTGAAGGAAAATTTTTTACCGTGTTGCTAGCAGCACACTAGTTGAGATAAAGGCTTGAGCATGCTACACAAAAGCTGTCGTGCCAGCCGTTGTTTTGCCTATCAAATATTCGCACATCCATGAGACTGATGACATGCTTAGCGTGCTATGTCATTGCAAGCGTGCTCGTGACAGCACCTCTTTCCTTTTTTTCCGAAGTACTGGTCTGTGTTTGTACAACCCTCTACAGTGTAGAGGGTTACAAACACAGATCAGTACTTCATAGCCAATGAAAATCTTTATGAAAAGATTCTAAGTATCTGATCTGTAATTTATGTTCTTATTTTTATCCTCTCATTTTTTTCAATCAATTTAATCACATCTCTAAGTTGTAATAAAGTATAATAAATTGCGATTTGCCTCTGTGATTAAACCAAGGGTCTATCGGGGAATTTAAAGCCTCTTTTATCGAGGTGGTCCACCATCACGGCTTTCGGCAATCGCGACTTATTGTGCGACTCTCTGCTGAAAAGTTACACACAGTCCACATTTCATACACCAGCAGAACTCCCGGCTGTTACAGTCGTAATGTGAGCTGACACGCATTGACTCTTAAAATGTCTCAGGAATGCCTCATAAACACCGGATGAAATTTTGGTGTTTTGCTTCTTCACACGGAAGAGAAGAAAGAAGAAGAGATATAGGCGTACGTGTTAACACTCAATGTTATGGATGAACGTGTTCAAACATATTGCTTATGCACAATCCGCTATAAACGTCGCATTCACATGTTCGTGGTCGCTCTTATGGTTATGGTCTTTGTACGAAAAGACCTTTTACTGGTGACTTACTACACTACACTGATCTGGAAGGGGAATTGGATTTCAGCGAGGAAAAGTAAATTGAATAGGTCACGAAATAGATGTTTCAAGATAACTCAAAAGCGTAATGGAGTCATCTTGCTTATTTCAACGTGTACGCTTGGCAATTCAAATGATAATTTGTATGCTCAAAATGCTTTGATATTGATTATTAACAGCTCGTTCTTCACTGTATTTTGGGGTCTGCTGACTCGCTGAACTTAAGAAGTTAAACTTTTGGCCCCGAGGGTAGGATGTACAGCACGCATCCAAATCACGCAAATTATATGTTTGATTGAATTCTCGTTTCTTATCTTCTTCCTAAGGTTTATGATGTGAGTAAATTCCTTGCTCGTCACCCTGGTGGTAAAGATGTCTTGTGTATGGCAGCAGGAAAGGATGTTACCATTGTTTTTCAGTCGTATCATGTCTTCAGCGACGTTCCACCCAAGTAAGCTGTAATGTTGCAATTGAAATAAAATATATAATAAGCTCAACTGTCTTCAAGGAGATGCAAATGAAATCTCGGAGTTTATTGCTTTACGAAACATTTGTTACAAAGTAATTAAGCTCCCGTAGTGTTCAAATGAACGTTAATTATCATGTCAACTCCTATTTTCATGACGGAATATTTCCTAAAGTATCTCACAAATATTCGCTCTTGCTAAGGCTAGTCCCAGCTGATACCTTCGTACAAAAATAGTGGGGGTGCTGTTACTGTTCTTTCCAGCTTCAAACACAGATTTTTCTCTCACTTAAGGCGTTCAGGACTGAGCTCCCATTATTTTTCTTGCGATGAAATGTTCAGTGTTGCAAGCGGAGTCATTAAATTCCTTCATTATGTCAGGCAAAACGTGATCAGCATTGACAGAAGGTGCGACACCATCCACAAAATCACAAAGAGTTCTTATGGACTGCTATTAAAAAAGGTACATCTTACAGGATCAGTTATCCTCCATCCATGGCCAGATTGGTTTAAATCTTCGAGTGGCTTTCTCGTACTCTTTTTAGCCCTTTCCTATCTTACCAAGCGAGATGCGTGGTCCATTATGCTTAACAGACATCAGCTCCAAGAGCTTAAATCCCAGTGGTTTATGTGTATCACTCTCAAGTAAGCCAATAAAAGCTTATGGAAAGAGTATGTCGAAGAGATTCTGCAATGTCCAAACGAAGCTTCGGCGACATGTCGCGAACATAATCAATTAACCGTGTAAAGTACACGGAGTGTAACATCTGTAAAATGATGTGGCGACATGGGTGCGGCTTTTACGTCAGAGAAACACCAGTCTTGCATCGTGATGGCAGTTTTTCCTTATCTAGCAATCTAATATAGGGCTGCTATTAACAGGCATGTTATCATGATGACTCTGTGTTTTTTTCCTAGAATGCTAGACAAGTTCTATGTTGGTGAGTTGGTTTCCACGCAGTATCCCACTTTCCCAGAACCAGGGTAAGTTAAAGGTTAAACCGCGGTCAAGGAAAATCTGTACCTATAAGAAAAGAAAGAGCAAACAGAATAGCACAAAACTTGATGGTGATAAATCTTTCCACTTTATGAGGAGGGGGAGCACCCGATATGCCAGTGACCACAGATGTTCTTGGTGTCTTTTTTTTGACAGGGCTTTTTACAACACAGTAAGAGAAAGAGTCCGGAACCATTTCGAGGACACAAAACAGGTAACGATGCAGTTGCGAAGACTTTATAGACATAGAAATTGTCTGAGAGGAAATTTGTGCTGATCCGTCAAGACAATCCATTGCTCTAAAATAATTGCTCTCTGCAGCCCTTTAAAAGCCCTGTGACAGCCCTCTGATAGTCCTTTTCAGAAGTACCTTGAAGCATTTTTTGGCCTGGAAAATTAGCCTAGCATCTCTACCAAGAAGATTCATCTTTCAGCAGAGTTGCAAAAAAATATGAAAAGCTGGGAATATTGTGGAAAAGCTATGTAGGAAGATGAGATCTGATCATGATGTTGATAGCAATCCAGTACTTAAAAAGAGAGTCCTCGAACTCGTTTTTGAGTTACAGGCTCATAACGCTGAAATAAGAGATGACGTTTTATAGGTCTCGACTGCTCATTGCTTGTTAAGAAATAATCGGGCATAATTATTCTAACGAAAAACGAAAGCAGTAAGAGGCAATGATCCATGATAGAAATGGAACTTGGTAAATATGCGAAACCACTTTGCAAGAGTTGCTAGTTCAAATTAAAACGTTTCCTTTCATCGCTCTCGCTGTTGAAAATACCGGCGCCACAGCTTACGAGCAACAAAAAAATTGTTGTGTTTTCAGTCTTCTTAGAAACGGTCATTTTGATATCTTGGTGGCCTGATAGTCTTGGCTTGAAATCCAGGCCGAGAAACCTGGGCCCACGCCCTGTGATGTGTTCGTGGGCAAGTCACTTTACTCTCACGGAAACCTTCTCCAGCACGATCAAAGATCTGTTACTTAGCGAAATCCTGGGGTGAGGGAGTTAGGCGGACCAGCCTTACATTAAAAGGAAGTGTGAAGTCTGCTTGTCTCTTCATACAAATCGGTGTAAGCTCCCTCTAGACGGGCAACAAACTCGTTAGCCTACCTAACTTCTTTAGTTAGCCCTTCCAAATCAGGCAAACAGATCACCCATCTCATCTTAACTACGACATTCTCAAAACCAACAATTTCAGGTAATGGAAAGAAACTTGGATTTCAAAGAGTTGTTTGTAGAGTTCTCAAATGACTTTTGTTTCTATGCATTTGTGATAGGATCCAAAGATCTCGGGATGGATGTGGTTGAGGTACTTTCTCGCGGCAGCGATGACGATCATTCTGTGGTTTGCACAGGTAACGGTTTTTACTCATAAATTTTTGATCCTGCAGTCATTATTATTCTTGTTATCGTTATCATCTACTGAACGAGTGGAAGAATTTAAAATAGACGGATACTGACATGGAACACATATGGCTAAAGTTTGAGGGAGTCCACTTACTAAATTCTCAGTTTGGATGAAATTGTCATCGATAGTGGCTAGATCTATTGGTCCTTGATTTTTCTTGAACTGCTTGTGCTGAATTTTTCCATTTAGATATTCTTGTCCACACAAAATTTCTTCTTTGCTTGTGTTGCGGGATTTTTCCATGGATGGTTCATTGCCTTAGGAGCCATGTTCAGCTCTCACGATGCAAGGTAAATAAAAGAAACGCTGTAAAGCAGTCCCTTAAAAACCAAAGGAGAACCACAAGGGAGAGACCACACCACTATTAATTATGATAGGCCATCACTGAATACAAAATAAGTTATTTCACCACGGACCCAACTCACAGTAAAGCAGAAACCGCTACCTTCTCTAAATATATTTTGAAGCCAAGCTAGGCAACAATGGCTCTATATCGTTTTCTCCCAGTAGCGTTTCTCTGCTGAAAAAATCAGCTACGACTATTTGGTGACGGGTTATTTGTCAAGTGATCATTTATAAAGTACTCTAGACCGCTCTGGAAAACGAAAAGTGATTCTGGCGGTAGACATACGTTACCTTTAGAAAATTCTAAACGGTTCTAAGCCTTGCGGTAAAAAGTTTTAATCATATTGTTGGATTTATAATTTTTAAAATTTGTGAAACGCCTTGTTCACAGTTACTCTCCATAACGTAGGGAATTTCAGCAAAATATATATTTTTCAAGAATTCTAGAACTGTTAATGCTATATGTACATGAAATAGTTTTGCTCAGTTCGGCTGCAAGCTGGTTTAAATGTCGGCCTCATTTGCCTAATTTGACAAATCGGAACATTTAATTATATCGACGTCCACTCTTGAAATCTAACGGATATTTCTTTTCATGTTACGTTTCAGCCATTTTTCTGTGACAAGTAATCCTCTTGTATGGAGACTGGTTGGCCATGTGGTTGACTTTATAAATGGAGGGTCATATTACGTTTGGGTATTTCAGGTTAGTACTGAAAGTTTATATATAAGCTCGAAGGTTGAGCTTAACTTGAAGGGCCGGTCATTTTAACAAATTTTAGCCGTTGTTTAAACGCGCTCCAAGCCATGTTGAATTTGGTCGAACTTTTTATCAAAACGTTTATATTTGTGAGCAGTGTCAAGGGAGCCGAAAACTAATAGTGGAAGGAGATTCAGTTAATTAAATCAACCCTCCTACAGAGAATCCCTGAGGCTCTCTGCTTACGTAAAAACCGCGATTTGGGTTAGACCTCGTCAAAATAACCGGCCTAAAAGTTTTCAAGTTAGAGCTGTCCGGGTCGTGACTTCAGTTGTTGTGACGCCACCCTTAAAATCACAGAGGTTCCTTTTTGGTTCAACCCACGTTGCCAAACATGGCTCTCATATAATTTTAGACTGGTAGTTTCAGAAAAGGTTCTTTAAAAACATACTCCCAAAAATTGTAATTAGCAGGCATGCTTTAATTACGCATGGCTCGAGGCATGGTTCTATCTAGGAATGAATTTAGACCTCAATACAATCTTGTCAATTTTTTGGGGGGGAGGGGGGGCAAAACGGACTCCATCGAGTTATTTTTTACGATCTCCACTTTTTCGATGAAGATAAGACAGTTGACGATTTTGAAGAAGTATTATTTACTACATTTATAGTTAGTATAATGATATGAATTCTTATTACTCAGCATGTATTTGGTCATCATCCGTTTACTAACATCGATGGGGTCGATCCTGACATCAGCACTGCAAAAGAAGTAATCATTTGATATTAAGACTATCATGTGCCTTGCTTTGAGTTCATTGTTGAGTTCCTGATATATCGTACTTCTAATTTTATACAATAACAGAATAGTGAAATCACTTATTTTCAGAATAGCATGCTACATATAATTTTTGTCAGTTTAGCTTATCATCTGGGAAAGAAAACAAATTAAATTTGATCATTCAGATTGTTACAAAGAAATTCTGATTTCTTAGCGTTTTGAACAAAATAAATATTTGTTTGAACTGCTTAAAGGGGTAAAAGTTACAGGGTTTGACTACAAAAGGGAAGCAAATTGCTCTTATTTCTAGGGGTACAAATTGAGTAATTTGAGAACAATTTTGATTACGCGTAACTTGAATAAATAAGCGACGTTGACGTCCTTCAATACCTCGATTGTAAGTTGTGAGCAGTTCATGGCATGCTCTTTCAAACTGCAAAATGGAAAGAAAACTTTTCTAACGTTATCAACATAGATAAAGCGTATTTGGACATAGCATCATGATAGAAAGCCAAACTTTTTAAACACATAGGGCCTTGATAACGTTTAAGACCTGTATCATTCACAAATGGTGTTCAATTCTCAACAGAAGCCGGATATGAGACGAATCAAATGGAGCCAGAACTGGTTGCCTCGATACTTTAACCAGCATGTATATATGCCTTTAATATACTGCTTGGTAAGTTAATGAATTACGTTTCAGAAGGCTTCCGTGAAAGTTATTTACTTGCGCTCACGTTTCTTGAGACAAGGATCCAAACCTCAGTTATAACGAACATATTACTAAGAGTGTTTCAAACTGTCTATTTGAGTAAAAACAAATCAATAGAATTAAGCATCTTTTAGATAGAAAAACGCTGTTGCTACTTATAACTGCCTTCGTTTTGAGCAAATTATTATATTGCCCAAGCGTCTAGAGCAATAGTAACATTAACAAATTACAAAAAGTTTAAAACTTTGTTGGACGAATTGTTCTGGGACTTAAAAAATATGACCATATCTCCGAAGGACTAAGATCATCGAATTGGCTCCCTATTAAAAATAGACTTACTTTGAATGATGCAACTATGGTTTTCAAGTGCATAGATAATCTTGCTCCAGATTACCTTGCAAATAAGTTTAGGCTACGCTCTTGTGTTCATGGCAGGCAAACTCGATCAGCTAGTACCCTTGATATACCTTTTTACCGTCTTTCAACTGGTCAGAGGTCTTTTGCTTATAGAGGACGAAACTGTGGATCTCATTAAGCAGCAATCTTGTGTGTTTATAATGTTCCAAGAAATTTAAGCGTCAATTTACTGAGCTGCTATTAGGTTTACTTCATTATTCAATAATTTTATTCTTCTGATATATATATATTTAGCTATAGCTATAGTTTTATATTCTTTAATTTTAGTTTATTTCTTTCAACCATTTGTATTGATGCTGAAAACCCCATTCAGGGAGCTTCAATAAAAATCTGTAACTGTATCTGCATTAACGCTATGCCTCTTTGTTTGCAACAGCTGGCCTTCAAGACTTATCTTCAGGATTTCACTACATTCATATCCCTGAAAAACAGTGAGTTCAGGACTTCGCTTAAATAAATATTGTTTTTAATTTTTCCTGAATATGGCATATTATTAAGAAATATGCTACTTGTTAAAAAAAATACCTTGGATGATTTTTAGAGGAGAAACAATCTCTTTTAACTTGAGCGCAGGCGAGAGAGCGATTTTAATGGTAAGCTAGGATTCAAAGTGAAAAAAAAGACCAAACAAACAGTCGGCCATGATAAGTCAAAAGAGATGTGTGGGGGAAGGGGGCTCCTACAATCCCCACTTTCGCTCAAATTCAAGGTGGCAGCACATTTCGGGTCGATCATAACCCGTTTACTGCAATTGGTATTTCCTTTTTGGCCTGATGCAGAAAACTCGTACTGTTTTGTGAAACAGACTCATATTGGCTATCTCAGATAAAATGTACTAACATTGATAATTTTACAACATATTGATTTATCGTTCTGTTCAATTTTTTTTCAGGTACCATGCGGCTCAATCCACCCTCAAAATCTCATGTCATTTTATTTTTTAGTGGAAAACTTTTCTTTTTCATGCACAAGGTGATTCTCCCCTGGATGTTGCTCTCATTTTGGAAAATGGTAAGCTTCTGTTTGTTTATTACTCTTAACTTAATCTATATCTCGTCACAAGCTGAAGCTGACCTAGCTTAGCTATTGGAGATAAAGTGAGAATGAAGAGCGTCGACGAAAAACTGCAATGGTACAATGACAATCTAAGACGCGTAGGGACACTATCTTTGAATCCGAGAGATCAGGAATTCAGGACTTAGAGCCATCGATTTCATGACGCAATTGACTAAAGGAAACGAAAACAAGTGGCAGTCGTGAAATTGTTAAAACTTGTTATATTATATATTCAAAATAAATGAGAAAATATTTGCAAATTAAGTTTTCCGATTGAGTGTGCTCTTGTGGTTGGGTAAACTTGTACAATGTAGGCGGACAAAAAGCAGCATCAGGGAACTTGGACAACCTTTAGTTAGATAGATCTCGAAAGGGCATTCTTATGGTTGTAGGACTTTTTGTCGAAACGGTGCGATCAACCTGTCCCTTGCTAACTCTCATTTGTATTTCTTTTTCTTCAAATGCTAGGCTGCTCTTTTGTTTCTCGCTGAGATAGCAACTGGTTATTGGTTGGCTCTTATATTTCAGGCATCTCATGTTGTTAGTGAGGTATGTGTTTGAAGGTGCTCTACAGATTGAAGTTTTATTTACATGAAACGATACGTATGGCTTTTGTCGTCGTGATATCGTTATTGGAGAACAAGAATACCACGGCCGCTCGGGTAACTTAAGTTAAAAACCTGGAAAGAGAAGAAAACATCTGAAAATTTGACTTCACATACCGCCATATGTTTAAGTTAAAATCTGAAGATTTTTCCATTTCTGTTTAAATATGTTTCATTTTCGGGGGATAGGTTCGTCTTTCATTTCAGCTGATGCTTCACCAAGGATTGGTATTTATCGCCACCTAACGTCATATCACTAAAGACACAGGCAATCTTCTTCACCTGAAAATGAGAGGCTAAATTTGTGCTGTTACTAACAAACTTTTCAGGTTGAAACAAATTTTTTAAAATATTTTTTTTCTGATCGTGCACCACCTCGTAATTTACAACTACATCTGGTTTAAATGAGGTATACCAAATGCGATCGCACACAAAAATCATCCATTCCCCTTTTTCTGTTTTAATATCCAGGTCGAATGGCCTCAGCCTGATGAAAAAGGAGTAATGAAAAGGGATTGGTACGTATCTCCTCTCTGTTAACCTGTTAACAAAGAGATGAGGCACATTTCAACAATATTGGTGACTGTTAATAACGCTCACCAGAGACTTTCGTGTTATCTTTAAGGGCAGAGCTTCAGATCGAGTCAACATTGGACTATGCAACAGACAGTTGGTTCTGCAATGTTTTTACAGGTGATGTATAGAATCCTTCTAGTTATGAGAGTTGTAAATAAGGTTTGTCTGCACGAGTTTTTGCCATCCCAATTGGCTGGCTGTTTTTTTGTTTTGTATTGTTTTGTTTTGTCCCTGAAACCAGCTTTGTTTGTAAGAGTGTGAGCAAAAATGTTCATATCGGGCATCTAGGGCCAGGTCAATTACCTTTGATTCTATTATGCATCAGACAAAACCCTTCCAGTAGTTATTTCGCGAGTCATGCCCGTTATACACGGTCTAGATTCTTTTACGGTTTCCATTCATCATTTGTGTCATTCAGTGCCGTTTATATAATATAAGACAGTCTCATGCGGGAGCTTAATCATGCACATTTAACATAACCAACCAATCATCCTTTCCCTTATTTTCCAGGAGCTCTTAATCATCAAACAGCCCATCACCTCTTCCCGGGCGTGTGTCAGTTTTACTATCCTCAGATTACTCCCATCGTCCGTGAGACGTGTAAGGAGTTTGGGGTGAGGTACAATTACAAGGAGACCTTCCTTCAGGCGCTTGGTGCTCATATTTCACATCTGAAAGTACTTGGACAAGAGCAGGACAGACCAATTGTCACCAGGCCTGAAGTAAAGGCGGGGTGAAAACTGAATGTGGGCTGCTGAGGTTTTCATAGTTGATCTATAGAGCAAGCAAGTTTTTTTTTTTGGCGACTTGACTTAGCAAGGTGATTTGGTTTTAGGGTAATTTACAATTGTGTCGAAGGTGATCCGAGATGCATTGATTTTGCTTTAGTTCTAAAAAATTATTGGATGATGTTTTTTCTCGATATCCAGAAAAATCAAGGTCGAGGTAGGGGTTATCAGCCTCAGTCTTCGGCTGATAACCCTTACCGAGAACAGACATGAAGCGTAAAAGCTTGGAGAAGAGTACGCTGTCCTAGTGGTACTCAAATATCACTGCGTGCCAACCTTTCACTTTCGGGAGTCTGCCTTTAAGGTTAATTGTAAGTATAGTTGAGTTAGTGATGAATTAATTGAGCGGTCCAATTACAAGCTTGACGAGTACACTTTCGGATTAATACTCAAATCGAACTGTTGATGATCAATAACGTTGGAGAATTTTTTCATTTGTAACTAATATAATGATTTTGTTACTAAATTAAAGTTGTTTCTATGATAAATGAGGTGTGAAAAAAATCTACTGTCCTGTGGTAATACCTTTGCGAAGAATGTGCTCTCTAGAGTGCTTTCCATTAAATTTAGCACGATTGTTAACTATACACAGGGCATAAACGACGAAATTATAAGGTGAGGTCAGTGCTTGATTTCGTGACCGAGTGTGCCCATTATTCTAGGGTTTTTTTTTCTTTGCACTGACTTTTGAGCTAAATGTTCTAAACTTAAACCACATAAAAAAAGTTGCTTTAATATGGCAACAACAGAGTTTATCGCTGAAATCTGGAGTCTATTAGTTTTTCTACTCCCTATCACTCCCCAACGCACATCCTTTACGAAACGAAACAACAAGTCAGAAGACACAAGATCATCTTAGGTCCAACACAGTTGGTTCCACTCGAGCCAGAACTAATCTGACACTGTCGTGACACAACATATTATTTAACACACAACCTAAAATCACGTGGTCGACCTGGCTTGCTCTCTCGTGACTCCAGAAGTCTTGGGCATTTTCTTACTGGAGCTGTCTTCTAGTTCCTTGGCTTTGTAATAGTGAGGCGCTACCTCCAGTAGCCATTTGTTTTCGATCTCTATGATCTAGTAAGAAAGTATTCATTTTAGCTTCTGGTTACATGCCAGCATGCTCGTGAAGGCGGCAAAGCTAGCTTGTTTCTTGGGATTGGAAACGTCAAGCGTACTATAAAAGACTAACGGGAGATAGCTACTATGGGTTGGAAGCACGACTTTTCGAACAGTTATTGACGCAATGGTCTGACAAATCAGGGTTTTACCTAGGAAGGCAGGCTAATTTTGCCTCGTATTTTTTATGAGCTTCAAGAGATCGATCAACTTTTTTTCCGTTCGTTCCTGGTACTACAAGAAAAGCGCTTCAACCGACCAAAAGCGTCCGTTCAGTTTCAATTTCGTGCTCGTTAATAACTCTTACATCAAAAGGCTAAGATTTCCTAGCAAACCAAGATTTTTTATCAGAAATGTTCCACTCCAATCGTTAGTATATTGAACTTCCTTCATTTTCCGCACTGCACAGACCTATTTGCAGCAAAAAATATCTTGGATGTAAGAGAGAGATGATGATGTACACACATGATAACGATGATATAATTATTGCGTGATTCTTGGTGTTCAGATTCGGGAGCGGGACCTTCCCTACCTGTCTCATGAACTCCTTAGTGGTGAACACAAGCTCGTGGTAGATCACCCATCTGGGCTGGTCCTGGAACAGACTGCTGTTCGGGTGAATCATGACTGTCTGCAAAGAAGAACAATTAAAAAAAAAAAAAGATAACAAGGGGTCTTGAGATTCCTGCTGTCTATACATGTATTTCACCACACTGAAAAGGTAATCCAGTCCATCACACGCTACCAATCTAATTCGTTAATACCACCCGTATCCATTCGTGGGGATAAAGAAAAAAAACATGGACGCCGTTGGGAAGTGATTTTCCCGCGCGCTGGTTGACCCCTGATCACTGATCCTTAAGCAAAGACATCAAGCGAACAGTAAACAACACGTCACCCACTCATGCTCTCTTCTCATGCGTCTCAGGAATTTCTACGAAAGTGAACTTACCTGCGTCATAAACTCCTGGCGTTAACAGCTTCTATACATCATTCCTAAATATATCCAAAGCAGACTATTTAAAAGTTAGTTAGTTAAGGCACTTTACCTGCTGGTGTTTCACCGTCCGATATTGGCCACTTTTGCCTAGTCTGGCAGTGTGATAAAAGTAACCCGATGTGATCGCCTAAAAGGAAAGGATACGATGATTTACGACAGCAAAGATGTGTCGAGATATAAATGAGAAACGTCTCTCTCTTACCCTTACATGAAGCTCCACAAACACGCCCAAGATTGATAGCTTATTTGATAAAACTATATCGTACCCATAATCTACGATGCGCACGGTCGCAATCAGAAAGTTTGTATAAATTATTAAAAGTGCATGACCTAACCGTACGTAAAATAATTTAACAAAGAAGTGAGCGGATTTTTCTTAGGCATTAATAGAAAAGTATTTGGAAGAAATCCATATAAAGTTGTCCAACAGAAATGATTTTGGAAAGACGTAGCTACAAGATTGTTTTTGCTATTCTTGTGCGACGTGCAAAACAAAACCGATGAAGAATACAAACTATTTTCAAGGTAGCAATGAAACTACGAGCGAGAAAGCAATCAACCAAGAGAAAATAAGGATGGCTAATGTTGAAGAAAATTAAACTAAAAATCAGATGCAAGTTACTCTAAAGGTTCAAAGGGTCAACTGATTTCATTGACCTCTTACCTTTCTAATAGGAACGGAGTCATTTGGGTTCGACGTAATTTCAATCTCTACTCTCTCCATCAGCCCCTCTAGCTGCTCCCTAACGTCTCGTGCTCTCTTCATAGAGCGATGCTGTATGAAATTCTCGTAGCACCACTGGGTAGAGTACCCAGTCTCCACCCACTGATCGTACACGTTCAACAATGTCAGATGATCACCGCCTGGACGAAAGAAGTTTACGCGCGCGTTGTCTGCGTGTACCACTTTATCCTTGGGACGGTAGAAAATGGCGTTGTTCCCTGATAACATAGCAGTGATGGTAAGAATCTGTTCGACACATTTGTACCTGAAAGAGAATTGAAAATGACAATCTGGCTTAAGTCCTTATGACGCAGACTACGCGAACATTTGTGCAAATGTACCTAAGGTTTTCCAAGTTTGATTGTTTCCAATAGTCAAAATTGTCTTTCTCTTCCACTGAACTTTGACTGTCAACCACCTTCAAAATGATCACAATCAACATATCTAAAAGTTGTTCTTAGCGCAGTTTAACACAAGAGTTTCAAATTGAAGTCAGATGAAATTTTAGCGCTCCATAGGGAAGTGACCAAGAAGTGGTGAAGGCAGCTTGTTTGGACTGATCAGCTCCGTGACCGCTGGAAAAGCTTGAGGTAAATTTTTGGCAAATCTAGTAAGCAACGATAAAAAGGTTGAAAAAAGCATATTTTAAGTTTTCCTACTTTTCTGATGCTATCAACATTTTAGACATTGTTGGTTCAACGGGAAATTCTGCCATGCGACGTCCAAGCTGAAGAAAGAGAGAAACAAAGAAACAAGGACAGTTAGAGAGTTTCAATCATTCGCTGAACGATCCTGTCTAGCCCCCCTCACTTCTAAGCGTGATAGGTGCTTGAATTATCCTTATTAGAACGGAGAAAATTATCAATGTAGGGCTTAACCACCAACTTCTAATAACATAACTACACTGGTATCAGTTGCAGAAATTCTCTTTCCGATCCCAGAGCATATTCTTCACAGGTGCAGGTAGTTTTAGAACACGAAGAAATCTTCACTGTCACAAACCTTTGTAAGTTCCCCGTGATGGTTCAGTCCTCCCAGTGCGTACAGCTGCTCGAGAGCAATGATAAGGGTCTCAGCCGGAGGGGGGTCCATAAAATCAAAGTGAATCAAATCGTTGATACCCAAGCTCTTCAGGAGTAGAACTACATTTCCCAAGTTAGTTCTCTGGATCTAAGGAAGGTGAAACAAAGCGATTTAAGACCCTCCCTGCCACATAAAGACGAAGGCACATCGTAGTAGTTTAAACAGTTTGCGTATTCCATATCCCCTGAATGTACAAATATGACCATGGCTTGGCCCTCGATACAATTATGATCCTTAATCATTACGAGTAAACATCCCCATTCCCCGACCTCACGTCCGCCATAAACCTGTCTTTTCTCAAAAATAAAAATCATCCGTGCATTTGGAAGACAACGTGATAGAATGCCTAATTATGAACACAAGGCTACGAATAAAACCCAGATTTCTTTATACAGATCTTAATTTGGTTTTTCAGCCGAGATGATAATTAACAAATACTCAGCGAAGTGGAGGTAGTCAACGGTGGATATTTACCGAGCCGTACACTTTCCACAGTTATGTCCCCGACAATGATTAGGGACATTAAATTATTCAGTGACTAGATATACAGTAATCTTTACAGCAGTACTTATCTTCAGCAACAGCTAATAAATTGAACGAATAGTATTACCTCGGGGATGGTGTTCTCCTCCAGCTCGTTCTTGTATGCCCAAGCTGTGAATAACCTGAAACACTTGCCTGCTGCCACGCGACCCGCACGACCTGCTCTTTGATTGGCTGACGCCTACGAAACGTCATAACAGTTAGTGGGTTACTTAACCACCGCAAAATTCATCAAAAATTTGACGTTTTTGAGGCACTTTGGAGAGACAGTTCTGAGACCAAGACCTACTTTTGAAATAGGTGTCACCACTAATGACTCCATTCCTGTGCGAGGATTGTAACTTTTCTGTTTACAAAATCCAGGATCAATAACATAGATTATACCATCAATGGTTAGCGACGTCTCGGCGATATTGGTAGCTAAAACAACCTGTGAAAAAATATTGCCAGCAATCTCTTTTACTTGTTTTGGAAATAGGGGTTGAAACGCTTTGAGTTAAAAAAAAAACACATATTTTTAATAATCACCGTTCTTGTTTCGTGCAAAGGTTTATACTCAGTCTGAAAGCCTCCTAATTTAAAGAATGAAAAAATGAAAGAATTCGTAAAATTCTGGGAAAACAAGAAGTCAAAGATCTGTTCTGACACAGCACGACTAGTTTCAAAAGAAGATAATCTTACTAAACTCTAATCAAAATGCATCTGCTCAGGCATCATGAAAAAAGAAAATGGTGGATGTAAAGCCAGGAGGATTCGTGAAATTCAGTGGGCGAGGGTATTCCTTTCAGAATTCGCTTTTTAACCTTAGTCTTTCATAGTAAAAAAAGAAATTAAGAAAATTAAAAAATCACATTTACCTTTCTTCCCCCAGGAGGGGTGGGCTCGAATATCTTGGCTTGTAAGTCCGACGGTAGATTAGCGTAGATGGGCAGAATAATCAGCTCATTAATTTTAGAGCCCAGTTTGCGCGTGCGCTCCTGTAACAACTCCTGTGACGTCTCGATCTCTTCCTGGCCGGTCAAAAACACCAGGATGTCCCCCGGGGGTTGGGTCACATGAATCTGTAGCACAGTCACCACCGTAGCTTCCAGATAATCAGCTTCTGGAGCCTGGAAATGAAAGGTAGTAATTTACTAAATTACTTAATTTTCGCGGGGAACGATGATTTTCAGAATAGATCTGACAAAGCATGTGGTTGATTTTTTACCCATCCGAAACTAACTGAACCAAAACAAAAGCGACGACAGGAGATAGCATAGCAAGTTTGCTCATGATAGAAAATGACTGCTTGTATTCGTCACGAACGCCGCGGAGGGTCCTTGAAGAGGAATCAGATTTTGTTGTTTAAGAGTAAAACATCAATCCCAAGACGCCCAAGGGGTTATAAAAAGTTTCCCCTTAATAGAGAACTTCTCGTGATGGGGGAATGGAAAGGGGGAATTAGTAACAAAGATAACATGAGAATTAATTATTGTACAAAAGCAGAAGCTTTAATTTGTTTCTTAAAGAAAGTGTGTTTGAATATAAGTGTTCCAATTGAAGGACTCAAGGCATCTGGCTAAGCTTTGGCATAGTTAACATTCTAATACTAACATTTAAAACTACAATGATCTAGTTTTCTAGAAGCAAAACTACACTGTGCCTCCTGGAAAACCTTGTTCATATTGATTCAAGTAAATAATCGGTACGGGAATAAACGCTATCTAGTCTCTAAAAAAGCCAGGCTATTGTCATTGATGTTTCACCAGAGAACAGTATACTCCATCTTAACTTAAGAAGTTGAGAAGATACACAGACAAGCTAAAATACGATTTTGTAGGAGAATGACAAAGAAATGGGATATGTTCCTTCACCTTTGTGTAATAAATATTCACAGGAAATCGTCGACCAGGAATTCTAAAGATGGGTGCATCATCAAAGAACTGGAAGGTAAAACGTACAATGTATGTTATACTTAACAGTTTGGTTCTCTTCCAAGGGAGGGAGATTCAAGGAAGAGTTCTTTTTCATTTTGGACAAACCCCCCTGTATAAGGTTACTATGTTGCAAAAAGGCTTTATCTCGAAATCGATACGTTAGGAGTAGGCTGTTAAAAGGTAAATTGTAGCAGACACTTTAAAATATAAAGACAAGGCTTTTACACGATCTTATTCGAAAGATGAAATTGACGTTGAAAAGAAAAGGCTGAAGAAAGATTTTATACATTCATCACCAACAATGGACAATGAGAGAAACTTTAGGTCACCCATTAAGGTTCATCACACGGACTTTCCGATATTACCCTTCTCTACTACTGCTGAGCCACAAACTCGTTCATGAGTCAAACCACAAACTAGATTCATGTGGCAAGCGTTACTTGTAAACTGCTAGGACCAGAAATATCAAAGGCATCATGTCCATGGATCTCAGAACTTTCGTCACTTACGAACCTAGTATTTAGTCTAACTCATTACCAAGTTATCTGACCGCGTAATCGGAAGGTCTGAGAATTGATTCCTAGTAGGCCTGTTTTAAGGCGAGCGGGGAAAGCGCGGTCAAAGCGCGGGGAGAGCGCGTTCGTCCCCTCGCGAATGTTTATCCCCTTTGAGCTCTCCTTACGCTTTTTTGCTGGCCCGAGAAACGAAAAAAAAAATGACACCAGTCTCACGGGTTACTAAGTAGTCAAGACATACCTGGGAGAACTTGTCAGCATCCAAAGTCGCACTGGATATCAGAAGTTTAAGATCTTTTCGGAATCGAGCAATGTCCTTCACCAGGCCAAATAAGACATCAGTGTGGAGGGTTCGTTCGTGAGCTTCGTCGATAATAAGCACACTGCGAACAGAAACGCGACGCTAATTAAAGTAAAAGTTGATCCAGATATCACACACGTACAATTTTCATATCCGGCTACAAAAAAAAAAAAAAAAAAAAAAGCATCTAGAAAGTTGGTCACTTCCCGCTTCTCAAAACTACACAGCTAGGAAGCCTATCTTGCGAAAATGTTCTCCTAATGTGCTAAGCTTTCGATCATGGTCGGCGTCATTTTGAAAAGTGCTTAACGACCTGGCTCCTTATCTTTGACGAAATCAAGTCACACTCCTCTAAGTTGCATCTCTCAGTGATCTTTTGGAACCAACAGGAACTACAAATGAAGGCACTATTGACTAGGCGTACGGAGCCGAAATGCGGCACATTCGATAACGATTTTCAAATGTTTAGGTTAATTTCTTAGAATCTCAAACCGAAGTGAGAGTTCGTTTCTTGTTATTTCTTTTAAAAGGGGGAGGGGGCGAGGATAGGAAGTTTCATGTTTCCTAGAACATACTTATAACAACTTAGTTGCATCTAATCAAAGAAACTATCACAAAGTCATGTCGACTTGCAGAGAAACAAGTTGATGAGAACCCAAATACAACGAGAGTGGCGATATGATTGTACAGGAAAAGATTACAGGGCAGGTCATTGAATTTATAACTACAATTGGTGAGAATAGATTTATCATTTTAAAGGGAAACCTCGCCGGCAAATAGCCACTAGCTAAAATCACTGTACTTGTATGTAAGAGCAAGATAGTATGGGCAGATCTGTTAACAATAATGTACAATGTATATAAAGTATTATACGTTGGAACAAACCTGTATCCAGCCAGATCGGGTTCACCCAAGAACTCACGCAGCAACATTCCATCAGTCATGTACTAAAGATCCAATTTCAATTAATACAACTTAAGCTAGGCATTGATCTCTATGAAGTGTCCACAGTAATCCGCAATTGCATTGAAACTCCGCTCTGCAATTGGTCTAAAAACTCGCGCCACCCTTTCCACCAATCAAATGCGCAATTAAAACCAACCGCGTCTCGGTTTTCCGCCTTGTACCACGCTTTAGGCAGCTTACTTGTTCTTGCTTTGAGCGCAAATTTCTCTCTTGCGATATTTTCCTTTGCTCTTTTGGCCTTTGGTTAAGGTTTTACGACAATCACTTTAAATCCACACTACATTAAGTAAGATGTTTATCTCCTCGTCGCACCATAACACCATTAATACGTAAACTGGAATTTCCACTGTCAAAAGAACATTTTCTCTGTAAATCGTTACAACAGATAAATCTATTTTGCTGTTTCTAACCTTTGTTTCGATGCGTTCCCCTTAGAAAGAAAACTGCAGGTCTTGGAACCCATGTATTGTAAGGTTACACATTTTGATAACAGCACGGTAGGTTAACCCTTTGACCCCTAAGAATGACCAGCATCTAATTTCTCCTTAAAATATCACTGCTGAATCACACATTAAGGTCACGAGAATACGAGAAATGATCACCAAATAAAGAAGCTCTTGATTTTCATACAAATTCTCCTTGCCAGCACCTTAGAAAAATGTATAGCGAACAGTATGGAGAATATGCATACAGATGTTACAGTTTAAAGGGTTAAAAGTCTTACCTTTATTATGGTTCGCTCTGAACAGCAATCTTCGAAACGGATACTGTATCCAACCTGAAAAAGAGTTCAAGTCTTAAAACACAAAAAGAAAAATCCAATATCGGATAAATGAGCATATCTTCTAGAAAAAGGACAAAATATCCCTGAAGTACTTCAAAAACTTGAACTGGTTTCTGCAACCATTTGGTAACCACTAAACGTAAATTTTGCTCATACTCTTTCCTTTTTAAGGCTCACAACATTTCACGCACACAACATTTCAACGCAAAATCTTGCAACATTGTTGGATCGTGTTGGGAGATGTTGTGAAGGAGCTGGCCAAACGCGCACAACAATTTGACTATTTTCAAACTTGGTCCAATAACATCAAACAAGCTGGCCAAACGTGCGCAACACATTGTGCGCAACATGTTACAAGATGTCGCGTTGAAATGTTACGTGCGTGTGGTCGGGCCTTTGCTGTTGAAACTTGTACCTCATTCCCTAATTTTGTACCCATCTCTTCAGATACTCTTGCTGCTACGCTCATTGCTGCGACTCGTCGAGGCTGTGTACAACCAATTTTCATCCTCCCCTTGGTAAAGCCCTAAAAGAAAAGATGCCAGGAACACAGTTTAAAAAATGTGTGGTGCATTCACCCTAAAAGATTCCCAATATGTGAATTAATCTTCCTGATTCTATTAACCATGGATTGCCATGTAAGGAGGCAAAAGACCACTCAGTGGGCTGACAGAAATGAAAGATGCAATTATTTGCAGGCTACTGAAACAATAAACTTTGTCTTGCTCCCAAACTTTGGCCCCGTAAGGCAGATTGCAGTAACACCTGACTAGTGAATGGAAAGCACAAGATCCAATCAAATCAAAGCATGAATAAAGGGGGTAAGTTTCTAAAGAAACTGTGATGCTGCGTCGGTGGGAGAGTATAACAGGGTAATTCAGTATTATCAACTGAGTTGATAACGTATATTGGCCACCGTTAAGAGTTTCAAAGCTGAGTATGAACATTAACTAATGAACAGTCTTCACTTTAAAGAAGGGCTGACGCTCGAAATGTCAGTTTTCACACTCTTAACGGTGGCCTATTTAAAAAATCTGGTTCTCCTGAGGGGACCATTTCGTTTATTTGGCATATCCCACGGGATAAAAATAGGGTTTATTTCATTATTTTTTGATGTACTTCCTGTTCAATAATATCACACGTTATATAAGCATAGCCAGTTATGATGCAGTAAAGCACCGTAGCCACTTTTTCCTCCCAATCACTAACATGATGAAACACTGTAAAACTCCGTGACAATCACAAGGACACCTACACAAGAGTTGCAACCTCGCGTTACAGCTGCTCATAAACGTTCACATATGAAGATTTTTTTAAATTAAAAACACCAGAGCCTGTCTTAAATAGTGAGGAATGAACACTGGACATACTGCTTCATGAAGGTATTGCGGAATTTGTGTGGTCTTTCCTGAGCCTGTCTCTCCTTCAATGATAATAACCTACAATTAAAAACAATGAGTAAAGATGAGTTCCTTAGCCCATTACAACCTAACATCAGTAAACATTTCCTAAGGTGCTGAAGGGGAGAACTTGTTTAACAATCACAAGCTTCTTGAGTTGGTGATAATTATATCTTTTCTCGTGATCTTTATGTTTGATATAAGGGTGATATTGTAAGGAAAAATTAGATGGAAGTCACCTTTAAGGGCTATTTTTATTTATTTCGCTTCGCCTAATTATCTCAGGCAGGGAGACCACTACAACTTTAGCCAATTACAGTGGATCCCACGTTAACAATTTACAAGGCCAGGACCCCCAAATTTCCAGTAAACAGGCCAGACCACATCACAGTAATCTCGCGAGTGGGTTCTTTAACATCCCCTGCCTAACCAAAATTACTAATTAATAGAAGCAGGAGACGGGACCTACAGTTTATTCATCCTTATCCAAGAAGACTAGAATGTCTATCCTTTTCTTGACATTATAGAAAGGTAGCACATTCTCCTCAGTTATTTTAAGACCTTGAGTGTTGGTCTGGCTGGAGCTTGAACCCTCGACCTCCTGCACAACAGTCCAGCGCTCTAACCAATTGAGCTAACCAGGAGGCAGTCGGGCTAAAGGGTAAACATGGAAGAAAAATCTGGTTAATCTATGTCAGCCTCTCTTACATGATAATCGTGCAGAGAACTGATTTGATGCAAAAACACGGTGAACACGGAGAAAGGCATTTTGGTGAACATAGAAAATGCATATCTGCCTACAAGGTGACAAAAATTTCCTTCCAAATCAAACAGAAAGAATGGCCAGTTCTTAGAAACGCTAAGTAGGCTGTTGTTCATAAACCTTACATTTGATAATAATAATAACAATAATAATTATAATACCAATACAAATAGCACCATTTAGCTAATCTTCCATAGCACCTTAAAATCATGATGCTAGGGTAAAAACTAAAATCTAAACCTACATGTACCAAGATAAATCTGCAAAACTAAAAAAAAATATATTTAAACCCATTTATCAAAAATAACATGTACAAGTGATATTAGCTTCTTTGAAAAGATAAGCCTTTAAATTCTTATTAAAACTACATGCAGCTGTTGATGGAGATTTTTGAATGCTAAGAGGCAATTTAATCCATAGCCCTGGTGCTGTGGTAATAACTGGATAATCCTTTACTGGTGCTAGGCACATTGCCCAAAAATTGAAAAGAAAGAAACTATTGTCAAAGCACAAGTACTGTACATTGTTAACATTTTCATTCTGACTTAAGAATCAGAAGAATAACCCCTCAAAGAAGCAAACCAAAATAATGAAGAATAATAATGAAGAAGATCTTTGAAAGCTAAAACAAGAGTCTGTATCCTTCATTCATTACGTAATTACCTGATGTTCTCTGATGGCTTCAATAAGGCTTTCTCTATATGGGTAAACTGGTAAACTTTTTTTTGTCTGTAAATATTCAACAAAAGAGAGATGCCCAACAAAACTGAAATTGACATGCACATTCCATTCAGTGGCTCAGTCTGTCAGCCAGTGAGTCAGTCACTTAATTCATTTTAAAAGAGCATTCAATCAACAAACCAAACAAGACTACAAGATTTAAATTACCTCTTCAATTGTAAGTCTTTTCTTCTGATAGTCATTCATCTCTGGTTCCTGTAAATCCACCAAACAGTGACAAAGCTGATATTTTTCTTCTCTTTTTTTAACTACTGGTTAATAATATGTTATTCAAGATTAGAAGAATTGTACAACTCTGCATGTAGATCTCACCTGCTTCTCTTTTGTCCCTGGAATCTGTTCAGCCATTACAAAATTAATCTGATCTTCATCCACAACAAGATCATAATCCTTTTTCTGCATGGGCAGAAAATTTAAAAAAACAAATAAAAAAAATGAAGAAGAAATTAAATTACATCACCTTTAGTCACTTTGCATAAAAAAATTTATTTTAGATGTGCATCATTTGAAACACGCAGGCTCTTCCTGCCAATAAAACATAGATACAGTATACATTTGCATTACACAAACCTCACTTTAACTATGTCTATCTCTACAGTCCCCTGGTATTGAAGCTTGGAAAATTAATGAGCCCCCCTCCCCTCCCCTCTCCATGATCTTAAGCATTACCCATTGAAGTCACTTACCTTGTTCTTGTCCTTGGCGTCTTTGGCGCCAAATTTCATAACAGCATAACCAAGCTTGTCTTCCTCCCACTTCTTCTGCTCGTAATTAGGTCCCAGTTCTTCCACTGCACTCTCATCATATTTGGCAGGTTTCTGATTTTCCTGTGGCATTTCGTATCTCTGAACTTTTTCCAGTTCTCCAGCTTTGGCATGCTCTGCTGCCAAATGGTAAATTTTTTTCTTATATTCTCGTTCATGTTTTTCCCTTTTGCTGATCTGAGCATCCTCAAACAAGTACTCATCATCACGAATGTCCTCCTGGAGCATTTCAGTTTGTCCACCCGCCGTTTTTTGACATAATCTCGGCGAGACTTTTTTCTCAAATCAGGAATCTGTAAAGATATACACAAAACTATGTAATTCGTAAAAAAAACCTTATATGAAATGAGATACAGATCACTTTTCCTTCAGCTGTGAACAAACTGAATATGGTAGCTCAAAATTTACTGATTTACAAAACTCAGAGATGCTAACAATGGAAATGTTTGAGGAATGTGTAATATGGATAGATGTCTGCAAGCAACACTATTGGTGAGCTCAGCATGTATTAGAAAATTAAAAAAATAATACAACAATAGTTAATACATCATAGCTCTCACCATTTTCTTTCTATCCTCCTCATCCATTTTAAGTCTTTTAGCTGCCTCCTCAAAAGCCTTGAGAGTAAAAAGAGAAAAACTTAGACCTGTACACCTCAACATCAGTATGCTTATTCCTTATATGGTACCCTATACATTTCCAAGGAGATGACAAGGAGAATTTGGCGGTGATCATTTCCTTAATTCATGTGATCTTACTGTGTGATTCAGAGGTGATACTGTAAGGAGAAATTAGATGCTAGTCACTCTTAGGGGTCATAGGATTACATATACTACTAGTACATATATTTCATAAACCACTAATGCACATTCCTGTGAAAAAAAAAATTCACTTCCTTATGCACATGTTTTTTTAAAACTAATGGCCAAAAGTCACCTCACAGATGAATGATATTTGACCAAAAAATGGCCCCAATTTTAAAATTTCATTAATGGCAGTATCGGCTTTAAACAAATATTATTCAGCTGGAGGCTTTCCAAAATAAAGTAGAGAGTTTGCAAGGTCCATGTCCTAGTGCCTCGTTGTAATGTCCATTATTTTACACTCAATTTCAAAATATTAAAATCCAGCTATAACAAAAACATTTGCACAACAGCTGACAAAATGAAATCACAACATACAGATTTGCAGAAAATTTGAGGTATAGACTTAAAATACAAAGTATAGAAGAATCCAAATTCACACATCAGCCAGTAAGGCTCAGACTGCAAAGTGAGTTGTACTAAACATGCTCCCAAACACTAACTTCAATGTACACAAACACTACAGGTGAAAAGTTTCATCAAAGCAATCATACCCAGCCAGGGGTTTCAATAAAAACTAGTCACTAACTCAGTCACTACCACTGGCTGTGAGACCTCTCACCACCATTGGTTTTGCCTGCAATCTGGCCTGTTTGCATTTTGTCTTACAGTACAGGTGTCTATCACACCACTGACAGCCACTTTTGGCAAAAGTTACTGAAACCTCTGCTGCGCAGTACTGTCCATTTCCAAGAAGCCCACATCTAATTCAAAAATGATTGTGTGTGCAATGCCTTTAAAATTACAATAATTTGTTTTGTTCTTTCAAAGGCTTTGCACTTGGCCTCTCTGTAATTAAATCTTGGAAGTGGACTTTCACTACAATGTCATGGTACTACTAAGATACCTTCTTGTCTGATCTCTCCATTATATTCCTGGTCTTCTCCTTATCACGTTTCTTCAGTCTATCAGCAAACGCATCCCTCTCTTCCAAGTCTTTTCGCCTTTCCTCTTCTTCCCTTTCCCATTCATCCGAGTCTGACTCATTACCAACATCCTTTGAAGCTCGTGTATCATCACCAAGAGAACCCTCATCAGAGCTGAATGATTCTGTTTTCCTTCGCAGATGCTTCCGTTTTCTATCCTTTTTAGATGCTTTGGCTTTACTCATTTCCTCTTCTTCGTCATCGTCATCAGACACCAATGAATAACCCTGAAACTTCTTTCTCTCTTCAAGAATGGCTCTTTCCTTGGCCCTGTACGGGTGTTCTACTGGCTGTTTCTTATGCGGTAGCTTCGACCACAGCTCTTGAGCAAAGGAAGCCATCTTGTTGTCTACTTCTGATACCTTTTGTACGAGAGATTCAACACTGGTGGAATTTTTGGCTAGTCCGATCAGGTATTCTACCGTGTACCTATCCGAGAAACCTAGAACATCGTGTAGTTTATCGGAAACCCACGTCGTTAACTCAGCCATGCTACCTCTTATAGCTAATTAGCGAGAAACTTCATAACAACACAACGAAATATAGGGTAACTGACACTTCAGACAACAAAGAACGTCCTCTGACGTTTACGTTTTTGTAAAACTGCATGCATTCAACAAGTCGGCCATCTTTACTTTTGAACTCGAATGGCACTCTGGGATCTACCAACCGCTGCTCAGTAAGACATGATCGTTGACGCGGAGCAAAATGGAGGCTGAGTTGAGGATTCGGAACGCGATCGAAACCGACGTGGAGGAGATTTACAGAATCCACACTGAAGCAATCAAAAAGAAGTGTTCTACTCGCTATGGCGCGGAAAATGTTTCTGCTTGGGTTGCTAGACAGGAAAAAGCGAAGTATCTGCCTTTTATAGTAGCGAATGAAATCATAGTAGCAGAGATCGCTCAGAGCAGAAGAGTTGTGGGGTTTGGCCATCTAACTGCAGATACAGGAGCAGATTCTGACGAAACTGCTGATGGAAAAGCTATGCAGATTAGGGGACTCTTTGCTGATCCTGACTGCGGTGTTAAGGGGGTGGGAACCGCGCTGGTAAAGGAACTCGAGAACAGAGCAAAGGAATTTGGAGCCGTACGCGTCAAGGTGAACTCTTCTCTAAATGCTGTTGAATTTTACAAGAAATGTGGTTTCTTCGCACTCGACATTACACGCCATCAGATATCAGAGCAGTCTTGTCTGCAATGTCAAAAAATGATAAAATACTTGTGACCTCGGGAGCGTGATGTTTGTGTGATTATTAACGTGACGGAAAAGGAAAGTCACTGAAATAGCTGCTTCTCTGTCCTCTTTGGCAAGACAATACCATTTCATGATTATGCCTTGATTTTCGAAGTTAACATTATTGATTTTAAACCTCATCCATAGACATATGATCTAACAGTTTTCATATCAGAATTTGTTAGTTTTGACAGCTAAAGTCAACATGAATATGAACAATTGTGCTCGGAGAATGAATTTTCATCATTTTCAAAGTTACCAGCTCCAGACCCTCCGTCGAGTTGTTATCTATATTTGGCTCATCTGAGCCAATCATGCGACACAACCCATCGGCGAGCTCGCGCAGCAAAAAGTTATTTTCTGTGCTTAATCTTCTTTTTCAAAAATGTAAACACCAAAGCAAAAACATGAACCCATTTTGTCGATAAGACGTAACATAAAATGGCTACAAATTGCGCATGCTCTGAACATGCCGCAGGCTCCTGCTCCCATACGGAGTAGTGAAAATGTGCCGTCTTTGAAATTTTTCTAATTTAAAAAAGTTTCTGAAATGGGTGATCCTGAATTACCACTTCCAGCTCCACCGCCACTAAAGCGACAAAATGCCCTTTAGGGTTAAAAGCTCTTGGAAGCTTTGATTCCAAAGGGCCATGTTGACTGACATTTAGTCGACATTATGGGGAGGCCTTCCCCATGATCAAACAATGAAAAAGTTACCTTTGCCTAGTAACAATAAAAGAATACAAAGGCATATAAAGCACGTGAACAGAAGTAGATAATGTCTATCGTAAACACTATTTTTTTTGCTACCCTGTGTAGCAGTCGTTTTGTCCCCAAAGGAAAAAGGCGAACTAAAAGCTTGTGAGACGCAGTCAAAGAGAACCCGCACGGGAACCAACCAGCACGCAGCTGTTTTGCTCAAACACGACGAGTAGACTGAGGGCACGCGAGTTGCTCTCTTTTACTGGCTGCCTCGTGTGTAACTTTTATTTTGTTTCGAAGAAACAAGTGTCAGAGTGACTTACAGACCTCATAACGTTTCTATTGTAGAAAAACTGTGCAGGTGGATTTTTCCAATGAAAATCAAATCCTACACGGGTAGTGATAGAACCAAAGCGTTTGTTGAGTAAGATGAAGAAATAGATGAATATGTAACGAAGGTTTCAAAATCGAATGCTATTCCAGGTTGTGACATACGCACGTAATGTGTGATATTCTTCTAACAATAGCATAAACAATAGCTTTCTAAGCCATTGTTTCGTAGCTCCGCCTAGACAAGTTAATGAGCTTAAGCTCCCTGAGAAGGAATGAGCGCGTAATCTTTGACCAAGCAAAGCTCTCCAGAATACCTTTCGCCGCTAATATTACGGATCTATAATTTTTTTGCTACTGCAAGTAAATGTCTCGAGAACAATAGGCATTCTGCGCGATGAAATACAACTGTCTTAGACTCGAGATGATCTTGTGTCTTCTGACTTGTTGTTTCGTTTCGTAAAGAATGTGCGTCGGTGTAGTCGGAATTGTGGTGGAAAGAAGTCTAGAACAAGAGTATCAAATCAAAGACTATTTTGCTCTCAATGAAGAAAAGAATAGTAAACGTGTATAACAGAAAAACGGAAAAGTGAAGTTAAAACCACCATGAAGTTACTAAAGATCATGGCCCTGTTGTTCAAAGGGCAGATTACGCTTTCCAATGGCCGAATAGCCATCCAGCGGTTGTGCTAACAAAACGTATTGTGTTATCGACTGTATAGCGTTATCCATCCTTCAACCAATAAAGGCCATTGTCTTCATACCAAGAGGGACTATTTAAGAGATATCTTAGGCTTTGTCTAAAAAACGTAAACACAGACAAATAAAGTGAAACGTTCCTTCTTGAAAGTTGCGGTAGGTGTGTCCTTGTCATCGAAGAAGGAAAAAAACAGTTACTACCTATTACTGCCTTTAAACTCAGTAATTCTTTTCGACTCTAGAGAAACTAAGTGTTCTCATCACCTTTTCATGTCATGAGAGAGGTCTTCCTTCGTATATTGAGACCTCGTGGTAAGGTTATGTAAACGAAGTTTTTGTAAAGAAATTGAATCTCCAAAACCACGAAGTTCGTTAGACCTCGCCCAAAAAGCACCCAATTAAATACATTCGCTGAATTTTCGCTGTAAATTAATAATGAAATAATGAAAGCATCGGGATCCAAAAGATTAATATACGCTCTTAAGCTATGTTCAATTTTCCAATGTTTAGAATCGAAATTTTCAGTAGCTATTGTTGTTACAGCTCTCTTCTGCGTGTTCTTAAGTGTTTGGAAGAGGAGTGGGGAGTGATAGAGAGAAGAAAAACTAATAGACTCCAGATTTCAGTGATATGCACTGTTGTTGCCATATTAAAGCAACTTTTTATGTGGTTTAAGTTTAGAACATTTAGCTCAAAAGTCGGTGCAAAAATTTAAAAAAACCAAGAATAACGGGCACACTTGATCACGAAATTAAGTACTATGACTCCACCTTATAATTTCGTCGTTTATGCCCTGTGCATGGTTAACAATCGTGCTAGATTAAAGGGAAAGCACGCTTGAGAGCTCATGCTTCGCGATGGTATTACCTCAGGACAGTAGATTTTTGTTACCCCTCATTCATCATTAATTCAGTAACAAAATCATTATATTAGTTATTGGTCATCAACAGCGCGATTTGAGCACTAATAGTACAGAGTACTCGTCAAGCTTGCTATTGGACCACTCAATTTTCATTACTCTTTATTCATTACCAACTCAACTATATTTACAAGTAACCTTAAAACAAGACTCCCGAAAGTGAAAGGTTGGCATGCAATGATATTTGAGTACCACTAGGACAGCGTACTCTTCTTCAAGCTTGTATGCTTCATGTCTGTTCTCGACAAGGGTTATCAGTCTCACCCTTCGGCTTCGGCTGATAGCCCCTACTTCGACCTTGATTATTCTGGATATCAAAAAGAAAACCCATCCAATAATTGTTTAGAACGAAAGCAAAATCAGTCCATCTCGGATTACCTTCGACATAGTTGAAAATTACTCTTACAATCAAATCACCCAGCTAAGTCAAGTGGCAAAAAAAACTGTTTGTTTTAAAGATCAACTGTGGAAACCTTAACAACCCACATTGAGTCTTCACCCCGCCTTTACTTCAGGCCTGGCGACAATTGGTCTGTCCTGCTCTTGTCCAAGTACTTTCAGATGTGAAATATGAGCACCAAGCGCCTGAAAGAAGTTCTCCTTGTAATTGTACCTCACCCCATACTCCTTACACGTCTCACGGACGATGGGAGTAATCTGAGGATAGTAAAACTGACTCACTCCTGGGAAGAGGTGATGGGCTGTTTGATGATTGAGAGCTCCTGGAAAATATGGGAAAGGATGATTGGTTGGTTATCTTAAGTGTACACATTTAAGCTCCCGCATGAGACTGTCTTATATTATATGAATGACACTGAATGACACAAATGATGAACGGAAACCGTAGAAGAATCTAGACTGTGTATATCGGGCATGACTCGAGAGGCAACTATCGCAAGGGTTTTGTCTGATGTATAATAAAATCAAAGGTAATTGACCAGGCCTAGATGCCCAATATGAACATTTTTGCTTACACTCGTTACAATAAAAAACAATACAAAACAAAACAGCCAGCCAAATGGGATGGCAAAAACTCATGCAGACAAACCTTATTTACAACTCTCTTAACTAGAAGGATCCTATACATCACCTGTAAAAACATTCCAAAACCAACTGTCTGTTGCATAGTCCAACGTTGACTCGATCTGAAGCTCTGCCCTTAAGATACAACGAAAATCTCCGGTGAGTGTCATTTACAGTCACCAAAATTGTTGAAATGTGACCCATCTCTTTGATAACAGGTTAAGAGAGGAGATACATACCAATCCCTTTTCATAACACCTTTTTCATCAGGCTGTGGCCATTCGACCTTTCCAAAAGAAAACAGAAAAAAGGGAAATGGATGATTTTGTGTGCAGTCAGATTTGTTATATCACCTTTAAACCAGATGTGGTTGTAACTTACGAGGTGGTGCACGATCAGAAAAATATATATATTTTAAAAAATGTTACAACCTGAAAAAATTTGTTAGTAACTGCACAAATTTAGCCTCTCAGTTTCAGTCAGAGAAGATTGCCTGTGTCTTTAGTACGTATCGTTTCATATAAATAAAACTTCAATCTGTAAAGCACCTTCAAACACATACCTCGCTAACAACATGAGATGCCTGAAATATAAGAGCCAACCAGTAACCTGCTGCTATCTCGGCAAGAAACATGAGAGCAACCTAATATTTGAAAAAAAAGAAATAAAAATGAGAGTTGACAAGGGACAGGGTGATTGCACCGTTTTGATGAAAAAGTCCCACGACCACGAGAATGCCTTTTCAAGATCTATCTAACTAAAGGTTGTCCAAGATCCCTGAAGCTACGTTTTCTCCGCCCACATTGTACAATTTCACCCAACCACAAGAGCCCACTCAATAAGAAAACTTAATTTGCATACATTTTATCATTTATTTTAAATGTATGATATAACAAGTTGTAATAATTTCACGACTACCACTTGCTTTCATTTCCTTCAATCAAATGCATCATGAAATTAATGGATATAAAATCCTAAATCCCTGGTCTCTCGGATTCAAAGACAGTGTCCCTACGCTTCTCTAACTGTCATTCAGCCATTACGGTTTCTTTGTCAACGCTCTTCACTCCTACTTTATCTCCACTTGCTAAGCTAGGTAGCTTCATCTTGTGACGAGACTTCCTTATATAGTTTAAGTTAAGACTGATAAATAAAAAGTAGTTTACCATTTTCCAAAATGAGAGCAACATCCAGGGGAGAATCACTTTGTGCATGAAAAAGAAAAGTTTTCCACTAAAAAACACAATGACATGAGATTTTGAGGGTGGATTGAGCCACATGGTACCTGAAAAAAATTGAACAGAACAATAAATCCATATTTTGCAAAATTATCAACGTTACTACATTTTATCTGAGATAGCCAACAAGAGTCCACTTCAACGAAACAGTACGAGTTTTCTGTATCAGTTGAAGGCCAAAAAGGAAATACCAATTCTAGTAAACAGTTTATGATCGCTCTGACGAAGGGCTAACGCTCGAAACGTCAGCTTTTTTACCCTTTACGGTGGCTAATTTACGTTTTCAACCCAGTTGTTAACACTTAATTACAGGTTCTGATCGACCCGAAATGTTCTGCTACCTTGAGTTTGAGCGAAATGAGGATTGTCAGAATCCCCTTACCCCCCTCTCCCACATATCTCGTTTGACTAAATATGGGCGACTGTTTCCTTCTCTTTTAATCCTAGCATACCATTAAAATCGCTCTCTGGTCTACGTTCAAGTTGAAAGAGATTGTTTCCCCATCATCCAAGGTTATTTTTTTGACAAGTAACATATATCTTAGTAATATATCATACTCAGGACAAATTAAAAACGATGTTAATTTCAGCTAAGTTCTGAACTCACTGTTTTTTAGTGATATGAATGTAATGAAATCTTGAAGATAAGTCTTGAATCCCAGCTGTTGTAAACAAAGAAGAATAGTGTTAATCAAAAGACATTCCTTGTCTCAAGAAACGTGAGAGCAAGTAAAGTACTTTCAATGAAGCCTTCTAAAATTTAATTCATTAACTTACCAAGCAATATATCAAAGGCATATATACATGCTGGTTAAAGTACCGAGGCAACCAATTCTGGCTCCATTTGATTCGTCTCATATCTGGCTTCTGTTGAGAATTGAACAGCATTTATTTATGATACGGGTCTTAATGTTATCAAGGCCCTTTGTGTTTAACGCAGTTTGGCTTTCTATCATGACGTTATGTTCAAATAGGCTTTATCGATGCTGATAACGTTAGAAAATTTTCCATTCTATCTTGCAATTTGAAAGAGCATGCCCATTGCGGTAGAGCCACTCACAACTTACAATCGAGTTATTGAAGGAAGTCGACGTCGCTTATCGCCTCAAGTTACGCGTACTCGAAATTGACCCCAAATTTCTCAATTTGTACATCTTGAAATAACAACAATGTTTCGTTTTTGCGATCGGTGGTTATTGAAAACATTAAATCAAACCCGTTACCAGCAACTGCAATAATGTCTTGGGCAACGAGCACTTGTGTCAAACAGTTTAAACAAATTTCTTTTTTTGTTAAAAACGCAACGAAATCGGAATTTCTCTGTAACAATCTGTTGATCAAATTTATTTTCTTCCCGAGATAATAAGCTAAACTGCTGCTAGTCAGAATAGAAGTGATTTTGCCATTCTGTGATCGTATAAAATTAGAAGTACCATAAATCAGGACCCCAACAACAGATGATAGTTTCAATAACAAATGATTACTTCTTTTGCAGTGCTGATATCAGGATCGACCCCATCGATGTTAGTAAACGGATGATGACCAAATATATGCTGAGGAAAAAGAATTCATATCATTATACTGATTATAAATGCAGTAAATAATACTTATTCTAAAACCTTAACTGTCTTATCTTGATCGAAAAGGCCGAGATCATAAAAAATAGCTCGATGGAGTCCAACTTGCACGAAAAAAATTGACAAACTTGAGGCCTAAATTTCATTTCTTGGTGGAACCATATCTTGAGCCATGCGTAATTAAAAGCAAGCTTCCTAATTATAATTTTTGGGAGAATGTTTTTAAAGAACCTTTACTGAACTACCAGTCTAAAATTATATGAGAGCCATGTTTGGCAAAATGGGTTGAACCACCAAAACCATGCGTGTGACCACATCAGGAGTCAAGTTTTGGGATTATGTGTAAACGCCTGGCTTGGATAACCTGTACAGCCATTTTAAAAACCATTTCTGGAACGTTCCAGAGAAACAACAATTTTGGTTAGAACTACTTCTGAGAAAGTCGAGACAAGTCTGTAACCATGTCTGAAACCCTGTCTGGAAACAAGTCTGGCACCTTTAGAACAGTCATGTCTTAAACAAAACTTAGAACTGTGACTACAGTCACGCATGAGGTGTTACGTTTGGAAATATGTCTAAAACCATGTCTATTATGTCATGTCAAACTGCACTAAATTATGTGTTTTTTAAGGAATTTTCACAGTCTTAGTCAAGAGTTAACGATTTCAGGCGAACTCTTATTGTAACCTTTTACAGAAACTGACCAAAAGGACATTCTGTGATTTTAAGAGTGGTGTCGCACCAACTAAAGTCATAGTGGCAGAAACAGCTCACAACCCGGACAACTCTAACTTGAAAACTTCTAGGGCAGGTTATTCACACGAGGTCTAACCCAATCCTCAGTTTTACGCAAGCAGAGGGCCTCAAGGATTCTCTTTAAGAGGGTTGATTTCATTAAATGAATGTCCTTCCACAATTAGTTTCCGGCCCTCTTGTTACTGTTCACAAATATAAACGTTTAGACAAAAAGTTCGGCTGAACTGAAGATGGCTTAGAACGCGGTTTTGTGAAACAAAGGCTAAAATTTGTTAAAATAACCAGAAGGTTGAAGCGAACCCTTCAAGTTAAGCTGGAACTTCGAGCGAATATATAGGTTTTATTACTTACCTGAAATATCCAAACGTAGTACGACGCTCCATTCAAATAGTCATGCATATGGCCAACCAGTCTCCATACAAGAGGATTACTTGTCACAGCAAAATGACTGAAACATAACATGGAAAGAAATATCCGTTAGATTTCAAGAGTGGACGTCGATATACTTAAATGTTCCGATTTGTCAAATTGGGCTAATGAGGCCCGCATTCAAACCAGCTTGCAGCCGAACTGAGCAAAACTTTTTCATGTGCATTTAGCATAAACAGTTCTAGAATTCTTGAAAATACATATATTTTGCTGAAATTCGCTACGTTATGGAGAGTAACTGTAAACAAGGCGTTTCATAAAATTTTTAAATTATCAATCCAATAATATGATTAATACTTTTTTATCGCATAGCTAAGAACCGTTTAGAATATTCTAAAGCTAATGTATCTCTACCGCCAGAATCACTTTTTCTCTTCTAGAGGGTTCTAGAGTACTTTATAAATGATCACTTGAAAAGTAACCCGTCACCAAATGGTCGTATCTGCTGTTTTCAGCAGAGGAACGCTATTGTGAGAAAACGATATAGAGCCATTGTTGCTTCACTTGGCTTCAAAAAATATCTAAAGAAGATAGCGGGTATTGCTTTACTGTAAGTTCCATAACTTGTTTTTTATTCAGTGATGGCCTATCATAATCAATAGTAGTGTAGTTTCTCCCCAGTGGTTTTCCTTTGGTTCTTATGGTACTGCTTTACAGTGTGTCTTATCTGTCGGTTACAACGATAACAATACATGGTTTTATTTACCTCGCATCATGAGCGTTTAACATGGCTACTAAGGCAGTGAACCATCCATGCAAAAATCCCGCAACACAAGCAAAGAAGAAATTTTGTGCGGACAAGAATATCTAAATGAAAAAAATTCAGCACATATAATTAAGAATAATCAAGGACCAATAGATCTAGCCATTATCGATGACAACTTCATCCAAACTGAGAATTTCGTTACGTGGACTCCCTCAAACTTTAGCCGTATGTGTTCCATGTCAGTATCCGTCAATTTTAAATTCTTCCACTCGTTCAATAGATGATAACGATAACAAGAATAATAATGACTGCAGGATCAAAAGTATTTGAATAAAAACCGTTACCTGTGCAAACCACAGAAGGATCGTCATCGCTGACACGAGAAAGTACCTCAACCACATCCATCCCGATATCTTCGGATCCTATCACAAATAGATGGAAACAAAGTTATTTGCAGACTCTACGAACAACTCTTTGAAATCCAGGTTTCTTTCCATTATTCTGAAACTGTGGGCTAGGAGAATGTCTTAGTTAAGATGAGATAGTGATCTGTATGCCTGATTTGGAAGGGCTAGCTAAAGAAGTTAGATAGGCTAACGAGTTTCAAGTTTGTTCCCCGTGCAGTTGGAGCTTACACCAATTTGCATGAAGAGACAAACAGACTTGCCACTTCCCTTTGATGTGAGGCTGGTCCGCTTAACTCTCTCACCCCAGGATTTCGCCAAGTAACCCTGATCTTTGGTCGTGCTGGAGAAGGTTTCCGTGAGAGTAAAGTGACTAGCCCACGAACACATCACAGGGCGCGGGCCCAGATTATTCGGCCTGGATTTCAAGCCCAACCTAACAGACCACCGAGTCTTCATTCACCCAAATATCAAATTGACCGTTTCTAAGAAGACTGAGAGCACAGCAATTTTTTGTTGCTCGTTAGCTGTGGCCTTTTTTCAATTTGAAAAGGAAAGGAAAGGAGACGTTTAATTTAAACGAACAACTCTTGCAAATCAGTTTCGCATTTTTGTCAATTTCCATTTCTATGATGGATCCTTGCTTCTGACTGCTTTCGTTTTTCGTTAGAATAATTATGCCCAGTTAGTTCTTAACAAGTCATGAGCAGTCGTGACCTATCAAATTTCATCTCTTATTTTAGCTTTATGAGCCTGTAACTCAAAAACGAGTTCGAGGACTGTCTTTTTAAGTACTGAATTGCTACCAACATCATGATCAGGACTCATCTTCTTACATAGCTCTTCCACAATATTCCCAGCTGTTCACTTTTTTTTGAAACTTTACAGTAAGATAAATCTTCTCGGTTGAGATAGTGGGTTAAATATACCGGGCCAAAAAGACAAAAAGGTACCTCTGAAAAGAACTGTCACAGGGCTGTCACAGGGCTCTCAGAGGGCTGCAGAGAGCAATAATTTTAGAGCAATGGATTGTCCTGATGGAGCAGCACAAATTTCCTCTTTGACAATTTTTATGTTGACAACATTTACTTCGATATAAAGTTTTCGCAACCGCATTTTTACCTGTTTTGTGTCCTCGAAATGTTTCCGTACTCTTTCTCTTACTGTGTTGTAAAAAGCCCTGTCAAAAAAAGACACAAAGAACATCTGTGGCCATTGACATACCGGGTGCCCCCCTCCTCATAAAGTTTAAAGTTTTATCACCATCAATTTTTGTTATTTTGTTTGCTCTTTCTTTTCTTAGAGGTACATATTTTCCTTAACTGTGGTAGAACCTTTACTTACCCAGGTTCTGGGAAAGTAGGATACTGCGCGGAAACCAAATCACCAACATAGAACTTCTCTAGCATTCTGGGGGAAAAAAACACAGGGTAATCACAATGAGATGCCAGTTAATAGCAGCCCTATATTAGATTGCTAGATAAGGAAAAACTTGCGTCACGGCGAAAGACTAGTGTTTCTCTGACATAAAAGCCTCGCCCAGGTCGCCACATCATTTTACAGATGTTACACTCCGTCTACATTACGCGGTTAATTGACTTTGTTCGCGACCTGTTGCCGAAGCTTTGTTTGGACATTGCAGAATCTCTTCGACATACTCTTTCATAGGCTTTTTCTGGCTTACTTGAGAGTGGTACATATAAACCACAGGAATGTGAAGCAGTGAAGCATAATGGACCACGCATTTCGCTGTGTAAGATAAGAGGGGGCTACAAAAAGTAAGAGAAAGTCACTCGAAGATTTAAACCAATCTGGTTGTGGATGGAGCATAGTTGACCCTGTACGATGTACCTTTTTTTAACAGCAGACCACAAGATCCGGCCTAATGATTTTAAGGATGGTGTCGCACGTTCTATCAATGCTGATCGCGTTTTACCCAAGATAATGAAGGAATTTAATGTCTCCGCTTGCAAGGCTTAAAATGTCATTGTAAGAATAATGACGGGAGCTCAGTCTTGAGTGCCCCAAGTGAGAGAAAAATCTGTGTTTGAGGCTGAAAGGTACAGTCACAGTATCCCCACGATTTTTGTACGAAGGTATTAGCTGGGACTAGCCACAGCAAGAGCGAATATTTGTGATATACTTTAAGAAATACTCCTTCCTGAAAAAAGGAGACGACATCATAATTAACTTTATTTGAACACTACAGCAAGCTTAGCTGCTTTGTGACAAATGTTTCCTAAAGCAGGAAACTCCGAGATTCAGTTGCATCTCCTTGAAGACAGTCCAGCTTACTAGATGTATTTATTTCAACTATAACACTACAACTTACTTTGTTGGAACGTCGCTGAAGGCATGATATGACTGAAAAACAATGGTAACGTCCTTTCCTGCAGCCATACACAAGACATCTTTACCACCAGGGTGACGAGCAAGGAATTTACTTACATCATAAACCTTAGGAAGAAGATAAGAAACGAGAATTCAATCAAACCTATAATTTTGTGTGATTTGGATGTGTGCAGTACATCTTGCCTTTGAGGTTAAAAGTTTACCTCCTTAGGTTCAGCGAGTCAGCAGACCCCAAAATGCAATGAGGAACGAGTTGTTCCTAATCATCAACATAGTATTTTTGAGCATAAAAAATTATCATTTGAATAGCCAGGCGTACATGTAAAATAAGCAAGATGACTCCATTACGCTTTTCATAGAAGCTTTTTGAGTTATCTTGAAAAATCTATTTCATGACCTACTCAATTTCCTTTTCCCCGCTGAAGTCCAATTCCCTTTCCAGATCAGATTAATGTAGTAAGTCACTCTTAAAAGGTCTTTTCATACAGAGATCGTGACCATAACAGCGACAACGAACAAGAATGCGACGTTCATAGTGGATTGTGCAAAAGCAATATATTTAAATACGTTCATCCGTAATTTCATCAGGTGTTTATATAGCATTTCTGAGGCATTTCGAGAGTCAAAGCGGGGCAGCCGGCGTGTATTTTCTCTCACTGCGGCCTATTATTTAGCGCGTCTACGCATGCGTTCAACTCATTCCCTGTTTTCCCGACACATTTGTTGTTATTTGCATATTGTACAGCTACAAAAGCAGTGATTAGGAAATACAATACAGCTTTCAAAAGCAGTTCTTGATTGCACTGATTGTGTGATGTCTCAACGAAACACTTCGCCTGTACAGCAAATTCAAATAAATCTTTTATTTTCTGTTGTTTGTTTTCTTGAACAAGTCCGTTCTTCATCGGAAGTTTGGGTCCAGCGAAACATTAGCAAATATCGTGATGCGTTGGTGGTTCATGAGCTTGCCGACATGCAAATGCTTGATTCCATGCGGGAGATCGATATTCACCGGGGCTTCAACAACTTCGGCTGATGATGGTGTAACACGCGGCCGTGCCGCGGAAGGGGACCTAAGGCGAAACTTAAACACGACAGCCTGCCTTCAAGCTAAACAGAAGGCGGTAGGACGTGACTGGCCTAAATGGATCCCATGATACATACACGTATGAGCTTTGAATTCAATCAACCATAAAGTGTGTTAAATATTCAGATATGGTGGTCAAAACTCGTTCGACAGTGCTTTGAAAAGAACTTTGCAAACACATAACTGCAATACTTTCATTTTGACCGAAAATGATTTCCGAACCCCATTTTGGGGATATACTACAGCAGCAAAAAAACAGTGTCCCTCGTTAATCATGAAATATTGCGTGGACGTAATTGAAGTTAAACGAAATTACATAGTAAAGATATATTCAGATATGATGGTCAAAACTCGTTCGACAGTGCTTTAAAAAGAACTTTGCAAACATCCAACTGCAATACTTCCATTTTGATCGAAAATGATTTCCAAATCCCATTTTGGGGAATGTACTTCAGCAGCAAAGAATCAGCGTCCCTCGTTAATCACGAAATATTGGATGCATGTAGTTGAAGTTTAAGCGAAATTATATAGTAAGGACCTCGCGATGCCTTTCTTACCTTCCCGTTAATTGCGATGTGTGCATTATGTTCCAGATTCAAACTGGCAAGCTCTTGCCAAGTAAACTGCCTCTTTCCCGACATATTCCCGCAAGAACGTTGAACAGTGCAAAATGCGTCTGCCAATCGATCCACAGCCTAATAGAAAGTGATGGGCAGTCTACCGTTTAATTTTCGCACCACTTGAAAAACGTGATGGACTTAGGATATTTTTTGAAGGGACTATTTTCATTGGCCAGATCAAAGTTTCGTTGATCTGTTTAGGTAGGAGGGACTCTACTCAGCTGACCTAAACAATTAATACCGCTCCACAAGTATGTTTTGGTGGTATGGGTCCTAGCCAATCACAGAGCAGTATTTTGTACCACGTGACTCATGTTGACTAATCACAAGGCGTAAACGGACACCCTCAAAACTTGAAAAAAACAACGCCTTAGTATCCACCTTACCAACTAACCATGGTAAGGACTGGAAGTGACGTTACTGGAAATGACACGAGCGGAAATGATGCCACCGAAAGTGAGGAAACGGACATCACACAAGAATGAACCGCACAAAACCAGCTTTTTCTTTTTAAAACCCCTAATTACCCTAAATGGGACGTTAGCTTCTTCCAAGTAAAGCACACCATTGGTAGTTATCTCTTATAAAAATTCAGCTCGTGTAAGATAACTAAGATTAACAAACCGAACCATCACAGAATAAGTATTAATATCGTGTACACTTTCAACCCATCTCGTTCATATTCTCTTTACGCAAACACTGTTTAATATGGGTGGATTGAAAGATTCACTTACACAGTTTGTAAAATAGACAATCTTCTTCAGAATTACTGAGCACATTTGGTGGAATAAATAGAGTACCTTCAAATTCAAGGAGAATGTATCTGACACACGCATGCCAATTTTCTAAAAGAAAGGCTTGCATGCTTTCCAAACAGGATAAAATGGTGTCTTGTGCTCCACTCCAATGCACACAAATATCTAAAAAGAATCATTACAAGTGTGTGAAAAGTGCAAAATTTACATGATCTCCTTTGGGTTATCGGCTCGTTCGAATCTGAATTTCACATGGAAACCCCTGTTGAAAACTACCCATAAAATACAAAAGAAAGAAGAAGAAATCCTGAATGAAACGCAAACTGAAAGAGAGTTCCGGCGCGATACAAATATAAACCCTCTATAAATTGTCTATCTGGGCAGTGATTTGATGACAACGTAAATGTCAAATTTACGATTGCTGATCCACGGGACAGCGATCTTTTCACAATCCGAAGGATCTCCATGGGAATTTCTTTGGGTATTCCTCTAAGAATTGTTATCTTTTTAAATAGAAAGGTTTACATCAATTTGAATCATGTTTTTGATCGGGCACTAAACGCACATCTCTTTCGACATCTACAACCCTCTATACATTGTCGGGAATAAGGTTCATTACGAAATACGAAATCTTCTAATTCTTCTAAATATGAATCTGCAGGATCTCTTTATGTGATTCTTAATTCTATTTGATCTCTCCCGCGATTATGGCGATCAAACGAATGTAGAATGAAATCACACAATTCTGAAAGGATTTCAGTGTGCCAATCTTTATGGAAGCTCTCGCAAATTGAAGTGACTCAGAGTGATGTACTTTTACTTTTTGATTAAAAAAAAGAAAAGGTTTAATCAAGATCACATTCTTGGTTGGGGGAATAGAAATATCTTATGTGTATTCTTATATACCTCAATAATGCGTAAATTTTCTACGAAATCGACTAAAGGTCCTTCTTCTGAAAGATCTCTTGATTGAGGCAGAAGTGAAACACACTCACGCGAGTGTTAAGACTTCGCTGAAGTTTTTAGTAAACCATAAAAATAAAACAGAAGAAGAAACTTTGGAAGGTTAAACGCCGAAAGGTTTCCATCCCCGGCTACTAAGTCACTCGTACGGTTTAGATGATAAGTTTCGCAATGGACACTGCAAGGACAAGGGTATCACAGCCCTTTAAATCACTACGCTTCAGTTTAATTCTGATGATGGAAAAAGATGAATGTATAGAAGATTTTAATACCCAGAATCTCTGTTTTTAAGCACCGCAAGGTGTGTAAAAAAAAGAAATGAAACACTTTATAAACGACACTCGTCAATCACACGACAATGATCTAATTTTTGACAATTTACACACACATACAGATAAAATACCGTTATTCCCTAGAAATTAAGTACCTACAACATATTCAGTGCTAAGTACAGCATCCACAACCTAGTGATATAGTGACTTTTTTTAACTAATCCGTTTACCCCTTTAGTTTACTAAGGAAGTTTTCAAAACCGTGGTCTTGGTGTTGGGAATACGAGTGCAAATAGCATATTAGCATAAGCCATTCAGTTAAAAAAATATTGTAAGCAGTTGATAATTTCCTATTTCGATGGAGATCTTACTTAGTAAGTAGAGTAGTTGTTATCTTTTCTTTCCGGAAGAAAATAGTCCATTTAACTCTCCAATGATTGTATCAGGCTGTTGGAGATTATCGCATTTTCTCTTATCGCGAGTTTGACATGAAAGCAGATGTTCAGTTTCTACGGTAATTGGAACTTGCGGTAAAATATTTCGATCATCTTGCAGTAAGATTTAATTCAATTATGATAATCCGCTTGATGAATATGAGAGTAATTTGATCGGGTAAAAGTTAATCTCGTACAGGAATTTCCTGGTAATTCCTCCTTCTTTTTCTTTCGATTCTTTTCAAGCTCTTTTTTAGATTAATTTCATGTCGAACTCCCGATCAAGAAAATAATTCTTAATTTTGAATTTAGCACGTTCAACAATTCTTTCTGTAAGATGACTTAGAGTGTAAACAACCCGTACTTTTCATCTTCCGCGCAGAGTTTATAATCAGTAACTCATATGAACGACAAGTGGTTCTTTTGGGGGCGGTACCTTGGGTTCGCCCTTTCTTCCTCAAATTCTCTGTTAATTGCTGTTATGTAACAAACTTCAAGGGCTATTTTCTCTTTAGCCATCTTTTTAAGTGTAATTCTAATCTGTACAATAGTTCAGTCATAATATTCTTATTATCAGTCTTGTTTTTGTTTTGGCCAATCCGCAAAAGTATGGATTTTAGGTCAAAAGACGTTTTGGAAAGAATCAACAAACAGGAGGTACATACTTAGTATGCGTAAACTGTTTTACGTAACTCAACATGATTCGCTAACTAAGTGAGAAACAGTGACGTTGGTCAAATATTGACAGTTAGATAACTCCCACCTTTATAAGCTAGAGGCCATCACTTTCCTAGAGAGGGTAAAGTTAGTCCTCGAGCTAGCACGTTGCATTGAGTTTTTAAGAGAGGAAATAAAGAAAGCGTCAACTGTACAAGGAGTGCTAGATATTCTTCTGACACCATAACAAACTGGTCCAGTGAAACTTTGATTTGATGGTAACCGCTGACAGGGTTACCATGGATACTTCCTTCTCGGAGTATTGTTGATGACTAGCTTCACCTGCCCCACCTGGAGACCAACCCCTGGGTTGATCTCCACGTGATAAATTCAACATCGATGAATCTCACGAAGTTCCGTTCCACAATTCTACGACGGTAACCGGCTTTAACGATAAAATAGAAAGGAATGTTAAGCTTGGGCAAAAGGCGTTTATGCAAAGGACGGCCACAACTTCCCTATAAGAAGAATTCGGTGAAAGCAAAGACAACAGAACAGCTCTTGAAACTTCTAGGGATTCCAAGAAACATTAAACGTTCTTCCGAGAGCTGGTCATCAAAATCAGTCATTCCTTGAGCAAGCAAATGTTGGTTTTTCTCTTTCCTGCCCCAATGTCTTGAGATGGTTGATATGCGACCCAAGCGCTTGGAAGAATGTCTCCTTGTAATTGTACCTCACTCCAAACTCCTTGCACGTTTTACGGACAATGGGAGTAATCTGAGGATAGTATATCTGACTGACGCCTGGGAACAGGTGGTGTGTCGTCTGATGGTTTAAGGCTCCTGCAAAGATGGGTAAATACACCATCAAGAATAACCTGTTCATGTGCTTCTTTCGCATCCAAATTAAAAATTACGATAGAATTCTACTTCATCACCAGTTTACAAGTTGCACGTAAAAGACGGTACACTGGGAAATTGCACTTTTTCCTTTTTCCCCTCTACATTGGTAGATAGAAACTGCATAAGGCTTTGGAACATTAACCCTTTAACTCCCAAGATCTCATAAGTTACTCTCCTAACTGTCTGCCATATAGTTCTTGTGATGTTAGTTAAGAGAATTTGGTATTGGATCAACTAATAATCCCCTCATTAACATTTTCCTTTATTCTCATCATTTGTCTGCTTGATATTGTATTGATATTGTGAGGAGAAATTCTGTCTTGGTCACTCATGGGAGTTAAAGGGTTGAATAAAAAGAGGGTGCGAATGCTAAGCAAATTTGAGTTGCGTACTCAACGAATTTGATTCCAAACAAACGAGTATTAAAAGCGCAATGCCTTTTCGAAATGTTTTAAGATAAGATATCTAAGAAATGCTTCCAAACCTGTAAACACGTTGAAAAACCAGCTGTCAGTTGCATAGTCTTGGGTTGTCTGTATCTGGAGCTCAGCCCTACAGGAAAATTAAATAACATTAAAAAAAAAAACATATCTAGCAACAAATTGGATCCTGAGATGATAAGATGCACGCATAGATGGTGTGCAAAACTAGATGGTCATAATTTCAGTTTTGACCTTTTTCGTTTTTACTCTCTTAATAGCAAACCATTTCTGTAACCTTTCAGTATGCACCAGTGATTCCGAAATAGCACGGCATTGTCGAATCATTGTCTGGTGCCAATTACAAGAGGAAACACATCATATGGCTCACACAGGGACATACCGCTTTACACGGAATAAACAGCGTACAGTTTGAATCTGAGGCAAATGTGTCTAAAAACAGACAGACTTGGTTACCGGCGGTCAATAACCGCTTAAAACATTCTTCACCACCCTCTATCAAAACTTCATTCCCAAGATTTCTATGCCGTTTCGTGGTCATAGCCAACAATTCCAGCATCGACCGCCACTTGTGACAAACATTACTGAACCGCTGCTCATTATTTTAAGACGGCTGTGTTAAGTTCCAAAATGAGGAAGTAAATTGTTGTTTGTCTGTTTCCTTTTAAAGATCAGTTAAAAACATTTCGTGACTCCCCTCCAACAGAAATAAAATCAAGGAAAATTTTGGCAACCTTACCAGTCTTCGGTCATTTTCCCATCCTTTCTCGGCTCGACCCAATCCACCTGCAAGATATCGAGGTACAAAGATATGTAAACAACCTTAAAAACACGAAATACCACACGACTGGGCAAGTGAAAATGACAACCAGTAACTATAACCTTATTGCCTTCCTACGCATTAGTTCAGTCATCTTCCGCTAAGACAATGTCAGATAATACCTTTAATGGACATCGATACCAAAAAAACGACACTTCAAGTATCTTTTAGACGATAGAAGAAAAAAATGACGATTCAAGCATCTTAAAGACGATAGAAGCCCAGCCTTAATATGCAACCAGACTGGCAAGAACATTTAAACTTGGTGCATTAAGGGTTAGTCCACTTTGCTTTGTTGAAGAAATGTTGCTGTTGATTCCACTGTCTACGAACTCAAAAGTCAACTCCATCTACCTCGCTCACTACGTGGGATGCTTGAAACGTCAGCGCTAACCAATAGCTTGAAACCATGTCCGCGATAATAAAAAGCACGATCTGTAAAAACAATTTTTATAGGGTAAGCTGAACTGCACATTCATTTTGATTGGTTCTTGGTCATGATAAATTGGAGGACAGAGGCATAGATGACTTCACTATTAACAACACTTGGCTGAATTATCATTTAAAACGAGCTGACCAAGAGTTAACTCGTGATGATGGCGGCTTACTACCTGACACCTATTAACACCTCGTCAGAAAAAAGAAAGCAGCTAATTAGGGAGCATATAAAAGGACTTGTTGTTACAGCGATTGGATCACCCCTGACAAAAGCACTAAAGAGGAGTGTCGAAACAGTGGGTGTATGAATTGTAACTTCTCAGCTAAATTCATTAAATCTTTAAACCAGAGTAGCATCAAACCATGTCTGAGTTGATTCCATGTTTCCGTGGGTCTGTACAGTAGCAGATCGCAGAAGACGTCAAAATGTGGTAAAAACATCAGTGACACTAGCAACTGCGCCTCACGTGCTAGTTTTTTGTTTCTACCACATTTTGACGTCATCGGTGATCTATTATTGAACAGTCCCATGGCAACATGAAATCTACGAGTTAAGTTGATGGTAGGCTTGATTGTGTATCACCCAACACTGATTTCAGAGGAGAATGCACAATACACTAAAGAAGTAAATGAATCACGATGTGTCGTAATTTGTGATCATCTCAAATTGGAGTCAATTATAATTTTGCCTGCTCGTACCAGAGATCTCTGGGCGGGTGGCAACAGCGCATAACGAGTTATAGGATAGAAGTCTGTGATTTGTTGCAGTTTAGCTTTACTACGCACTGTAATTGATCTAGAACAAAAACTGGTGCCAACCTCTAAACCAATACGATTACTTGGTCACTTTCGTTTTCCCGTGCTTCATGGTTTCATTGGTTGCACGTGATTTTTAGCGCTCTTGCGATTGGTCGTTGTGATTAATTTGCCTTTGGTTCTTCGAAAATCGAGCAAAAAACAATGTGATGAGACGTGCCTCTTTGAAATAATGATTGGTATGGCTTTAGAGAGTCTATTAAAATAAATTAGCAGACAGAAGAAGGTTATTAAATAAAACTCAAGGTGTATCGAACTTACCACTTTCCAAATTGAGAGCAAAAAACAAGGAATGACCACTCTGTACAAAAGGAAGAACAGCTTGCCACTAATAAATACAGTTAACTGTGAACTGGATGGAGGATTTATTCGAATAACACCTAGCAAGCAAATATGAAAATAAATTAGTTACATGCCGTTAAAGGAGTGCCATTAAAATGATCCAAAGCCCGAAGTTGTTGTTGTCAATTTAGCATTTTGAGGCTATTGGAGTTAAGTACTTAATATACAGTACTGTGTCTGCGTTTTCGGTGGGCCCCTAACGACCGCTTTACAACATATCAGATGCAAAACTAAATATCAATCGCAAAGTGCTCTCGATTAACCAGTCGAGGGAATATCAGTCCTGTACCGTCATATAAAAACGACGCAACTTCATCATCACATAATACAAAGTGCATGTGTTATATTGAATCAACTGAGTAAAGCAATTAATTTGAAGGGTGAATACACAAATTCAAGAGCAAAATGTAGCCAGATATAGCAATTAAGTTTAAAACCAGTAGATAATACTAATCCTGAATCTCACCATTTTTCTTTACAAAGAATAATATAGTAACATCCTGAATCCTAGTTTTGAGACCTAGCTGTGGAAGCGAATTAACAACGAAATCAGACACACGTCTCATACATGATGACACAAGAAGCTCTATTTCTTTTCATAAGGGAAATTGACACAATTTAGTCTAGTTAGAAAAATTTAGTGAAGAGAAAATAGAGAATAGCATAGGAGCACGCGTAGACATGGAACTTCTCTTCGAATGTTCAACTCGACATCTCATTCATTCACTGTGCTCAATCGTGAGATATCGAGGTCAACACTATGTTCATGATAAAAAAAAAAACACCATTGCCCTTAACTGATAAGGAAGGCTTTGCCATTCATTTGCCAACCTGACAGAGTGGCGCGAAAGGCGAGTGACGTGTCAGCAGCTGATTGGCGATATCAATCACGCGTAAAATAATTACTGGAATTGTACACGTGTGGATTTACGACTTTTCACAGGGATGGAAATCCTTTTCAAACACCTTGTAAAACTAATTTATTAGTGTAAAAAAATATTTAGTAATGAGCGGCAAGAGTTAGCATTTTGTGCTCCAAAACTTACCAAACAGTAAACAAGAGGCACATAGACATGTTGATACACGTAACGAGGTACCCACTTTTGAGTCCATTTAATCCGTCTTATATCTGCTTCCTGACAAACAACATGAAACAAAATGCAGGTTCCATTAATCAGACTTTAGTCAGACTTAAATAAGCACACTTAAATAAATAAAACAACTATGTTACTTTAAGAGCACATTTGAAAGTCACTGGAGTGCACACCTGAATCAGTAATATAGTAAATTTTGAGCATGATAATAAAATGCATAAACATGTTCTCTTGTCACTTCACGAGTATGAAGTCTGCACTCAAGCCATGTGGCCCCCAGCTGAAACTTATCCCAGTTGGTATGAAGCTTGGTATGAAGCTTGGTATGAAGCGACCAGCAGTATCATTACTCTCCCCTGAATGGGATGAGAGTCCATCACAAGGTCCCCACTCCTCCCCCCCCCAACCCCCCAGAATTTCATCAGGCTTCCCCAACAATTTACCTATGCCCATTCATACTCTTGAGTGGAGAGAGGCACTGTGAGAGTACAGTGCTTTGCCAAAGAACACAACACATTGACCCTGCCATGTCTTGGACCCTGACCTCTCCAACCAGAGTCCAGCACACTATACGTCACAAGAGTGGAGCAAAGAGAGACCTCTGAGTTGACATGCTGTGATGCCTACAGGTCTAAAGTTCAATTCCTAAAGGTTTCATGGTCAGAATTTTTCAGTTGTTTCATGCCCAAAAAGCATTTTTCTTCAAAATCCATTTGCTATAGTACCCATTCATGTTCACTTCAATATATTAATTTCAGTTCTCAAACTTACATCCTCAGAGGTAACAATATCAGGATCCATACCATCAATGTTAGTGTATGGGTGATGACCAAAAACATGCTGAAAATAGGTTCATAGCCAGTCAGTTTTAGTAAATAAATTATAGTACACATGTACAAGAGATCTTGTAGATTGGAGTTCTCGATAAAGAATGGAAAAAGTCACAGATGCAATATATTTTTTTTATAATGTGAGGCAAATACATAATATATCAAATCTGACCTGATAAATCCAAATATAGAATGATGCTCCATTTAAAAAGTCATGAACGTGACCAACAACTCTCCAGAGTGTGGGGTGACTGGTCACAGCACAGTGACTAAAAGTTTCAAAACAATTATTTATCAATTCACTCAACAACCTTTCGAAAATGCAAAGATTTTGAGTCTACACCATTTTTTCAGTATTGCGGTCACTACCCAATTATCAGATGCACAAATAGTTTTAAAATACTTTAATTAATTTTAACACCCTAAATGTTCTTACAAATACATAAAGACATGTTCACTGCAACTAATGAAACAACAATAGTCTGTAAATGGTTTGTCAACAGCTGTTCAGTGATTTGTTTTATCAAATGTGGTGATAATGTAAGGATTGATATGGAAATTTTAAAGCTGATGTTTTGAGTGTTAGTCCTTTGTCGGAGTGAATGAGGAAGGCGTCATGCTCAAAACCCCAACTATAGAAACTCTCAACAATGGCCAACTTACATCATCAACTCTGTTGACAAAACCAAATTATTCTGTAATACCCTTCATTGAAAGTGTCACAGTTTTTTGGAAACTAACCCCCTATCAGAATTGATTACTCTTGCAAGTGGTACTAATTGTGTGTTATCATTTGTGAGTGAGACATGTTAGTCTTACAGCCTTCCTCATCTTCTCAAAAGAATATACCAGTAACTGGAAATTATTGAATTCTTAGGGAAACTGAATGAAAATGTGTTGTGTGAACTTAATATAACAGGTCCAAAAGATTACCTCGAGTCATGGTTATTCACCAATCCAATCAAAGCACACATCCATCCCATGAAAGCAGCAGCAATGCATGACAAGAAAAAGTTGTGGGACAGCCAGAACATCTGGTAAAAGTAATAAAATTCATATACACCAGCTTGCTTGAGAATGCAATAATAGTAAGTCTTGTAGTCTGCTAATTAGTTGATTGGCTGTGTCTGTACTAATTTTTTTCCTATTTATCATCCTTATGAGACAATAAGATTCCACACAATATATTTCAACTGTTTGTGTTTGAGTTGACTGGTAAATTATTTATAGACAAGTAAGCACAGGTTTTAAATTGATAAATGAGGAATAAGACTCTGCTCCCACATTACAAAGCCACAAAGGAATATGACATGAGAAGGAATGCAAGAATGACAGTTTTCTCTGCGAAACAGGGGTAGAGAGGGTAAGGGAACACTGGGGGAAGGCAGAGAAGTATTCCCGTTCACATAATAGTAACTAAAAAAATCATGACCATGATTGTCATTTGTGAAAAAAGAGAAAAATACTGACAGCTCAACTTTTAAAGGAGCAATTCCTCCTAAGGAAATAAGGGGTTTATTGAATACTACTGTCATTAGTGTTCAAAATTTAACTAACCTGCGCACTCCACATAAGAAGTAAAACAGCTGGAATTCCAATGTAACGTAACCACATCCACTCTGAGAACTTGGGATCCTATCAATTAAGTATTGAGAATTGACCATGGTTTTGAGAAAAAAAAATTCCAATTTTGGTACAATATTGAATTCACACCCAACTTGTCCTTACCAAAAGCATTTATCTTGCCTGGATTTTGCTAGTTTTACGTTTCAAAGTTTTCTGTAACCAGGCTTGAGTCACTGCTATCTGTTTATAAGAGTGAATATAATTGAAGGTATTGGGAGATTGAAACATTTTCAAAATGCCCTTGCCTGCTTATGTTTGGAGTTACTTCAATTACTTTAAGTGTCTGAAGCCTGCTTTACTGAAACAATGATACCATTATGAACAAACAAATAAAATACGTCTTTATTTAAACTTTTGAAACAAGTTTAATTTTCATTTACATCTTGATTAATTCAAGACACAGTGAACTGTACCTGATTTGTCTCCTTGAAGTAGTTTTTGACACGCTCCCTCACAGTTTGGTAAAATGGCCTGGAAAACAGAGCGACAAAAATGGTGAGAAACATTTTTGCACTAGTATCACCGCATTTCAAACTTAATTTAATAAGAAAACATGCTCATCCTAACTGTTGGTTAAGTTAAAAACTTACCCCCGCTCAGGAAAAGTGGGAAATTCATCTGAGATTAGGTCTCCAACATAATATTTTTCCAAAACCCTGAGGAAAAAAAAAAACTCTTTCTAGCATATTAAGTTCAGGTTCCTCTTTCAATAAAATATCAAATTACAAGTGAAAGTTATTATCATCTAAAGCAAATATGTATTACTAATAGAGGTATAAAAGCTTTCAGGAAACTATTTGACTTGGATCTTCCATACTAATTGACAAGTTTAGGGCAAGGAAGAGAGTCAAATACCCCATGCTAACTCTTAAGCAAGGCAAAATTGTAAATTGTGATACCCTTCTTTTTTGGCTAATCAACTGGTCAAATCCTTAATAATTCCCACTCATGTCAATGTTGTCGTGGCATTGGGAAGGGGGGAAGTCTTCTGACAAGGGCTTTAGAATTTAAATAAGATTTCTACTACAAGTAGCTCTCGGTACAACTGTATTATATCATCATTGTACAACAGTAGAAATAAAAGGATTTGTATAGAAAAAACGATGAAAAGGGGGATACATTGCTGATTCAAAAAATTCACAACCGAGAGAAGGGAATGAGAACAGAAGCAACATTTCTGGTAACTATACGTAACCGTTCTTTTATATCCACTGTTATGTAAGAACAACATTGAGATTATATGCCCAAACTCATTTCATTTAAAACTCAAATCAGTCTACAAAATTGTAAAATGCTCTATTAACTAGCTGCAATACTACAACGAGTGGTAAATATCTTGGCACGCTCTTCTGCTTTTTAAATTTTATTTATAACTCTCATTTATCTCCCCCTCTCCCTCATTTTGATGTCGCTTGGTAATGCAACATTGTTTGCCGGGAGAGGGTGAACTTTCCACTAAGCTATTAGACATGAATCAGAGGATTTCGTTTACTTATGTTAAGTGGAGGGTTGCCAATCTCCTCCTTTGGGAAAGCGTGCCAACTTCTTTTGCCACTCGTTAGTGATTGACCTGAGCTTGACAGATAGGAGGAAAAACGCTCCCTACCGGCCTCTAAGTAAACCATATCAAGTTCAAGTGCAATAGATTTTGGATCTGATATTTTCGTTTTAGCTAAATAGACGGTTAAATACCCCCAAAACTGGAAAAGGAAAGTAATTCACTAGCTGGACTCTTACAAATTTTAATCATTGTAGAACTAAGGTTACGGTTTTTTACGGGGTCATAAAATCATAATCAAATATAAATTTTTTCTACAGCTTACTTCGAAACCGAGTCGCTGAAAGCGTGGTAAGTTTCGAACACAATGGTAACATCGCTTCCTGCTCCAATAAGTAGCATATCTTTCCCACCAGGATGTCGGTTGAGAAACTTACTCACATCGTATACCTAAAAAAGAAATGCGTATTTGCAATTAAGAGGAGTCAGATCTAAAGCGCGCCCGGATCACGATCGCATGGCGGAAGTTTCCTTTGAACACAATGGCCTATTAAACTATTTTCACTATTTACCTTTCCGCGAACCGCAACATGTGCGTTGTCCTCCTTATTCAAAGAACTCAGTTCCTTCCAAGTAAATTTTTTTTGCGGCGCCATAGTTTGAGAGTGCAAATGATATCTGTATGTAAATTGTTGGAGTTGCTAGACTGTGTTACATAAGTTTGCCGCTGTTGATGATTGGTTTGTTGACTCTCATGTGGACTGCATGCCGGATGCGTGAAGCCTAACAAGGTCATTCAAGGGGACCACACAGTACTAACACTGATTGTTCGACAGAGGCAAGATCTCCGGTATTGGGAAAAAGAAGATGAGGACACTTTTTTTTTTAACTAGATCGGATTACATCAAGTACAAGCTGTAAAACTAATTCTAAACAGAAGGAGTAGTCTGACATGAGGCTGGAAAGGATTTGACCCAACGAAATTTTTGACGGAGAGTTTTGTGTGAGTGATCGACCCCTACAGCCACACAGCAGCTCTGAGGGTGGGGAGGGTGAGGAGGGTAGGGAGGGTGGGGAGGGGGACGAAGTTGTGAATTAGTTTGCCGGGTATTTGCGAAGGAACTGAAAATTTTACTTGGGTAACCATTGCCTATTACAAAATTACTTTATTCTCATTTTTCTGTAGTTGATTTTAGTCTAGCCTGCACAACATATCGTTCTTTGGACGGTATGTAAACACTGGCCCACTACCCCCCTCCCCCTCCCCCAATCAGTGGATGTAAGAAGGATCACATTGTTTGATGGTCTGCTACATAATCCACTGTGCAATGAATTCTATCTCACACGCAAGACGTTCACGGGATCTAAGGGTATTCGGCAGCAACTAGCTTCCATCGGTCAAGGCATACGTTCCTTAACACAAAGTGATATCATAATCTGCTTATAAAAATCACAAGACTGCTGGGCACACGAAGTAAAGCTTATTAGCATGGAATTCGTTATGTAAGTCTCCTCTAAAGACAGAAATTTAAGCCTCGAAGCTGAGCTGCAATTTACAATTTTACAAGCAACTGGAGAAAAGAAGCCTGTATAAAATTCAAGCTGCAACGGGATTCGACCCGTGCCCCTCAGATACTGATTGAGCCACAAGGCCAAATATCGGGAGGGAGGCAAATTTTAATGGGTTTTTAGTTCTCGTGAAAGAATCTGATCACAATAGTAATGAAATCAATGTTATATGTTGCAATTGCAGTAAATTGTACCACATCTGCGAGGACTATTTTTTATCTGAATTTCATCCGCTGGTGATGAGATTCATTAAATACTATTTCGATAGAGAACACTCTGGTTCTACTGTTTAATTAAAGGTTGATGGGGAATAAAATAATGGATAGAGAAAAGCGACTTGTATTGCAAGGAAATGTTGATTATAAATGGATCATTACCATATCGAAGGAATATCAAAATGCAATTGGAAATATTAAATACAAACGCTTGTTTTATTTATGTCTCTCCTTCTTTCTCTCGTTTTTTGTAAAGTGCTTTGCATTGAATGTATTAAAAATTCAACCCAATCAGATTCAGCGTAAAGTCTTCCGTGAACCAATGCGGTTTCTTCATTACTCAACTGTGAGTAACGTTAATGCTGCCGGTGACCAAGGTATTGCCTGTAATTTCTCAGGGATCATCGTTCGCGCCTCGAGCAACACTTTCTTTCTCACCTGAGAGAGTGAAAAAACAGGAACGGGAATCTTCCCTTCAAATTTTTTCTTTCGACGCCTTAACCTACTTAACCTACTACTTACGATAAAAAATGAAACCAATTTCGACTCAGATATATTTTCCTGCGATCCATTTAAATCCAACAATTAAAGAAATTAGTGATTTCCACATCCTGCAATGTACATGGATATGAGACAGTATACAGCCTTATGATCCATCAAATACTTTTGCTCACGCACGATTGGTGTTCACGCATTACGTGACCGAATATCCCCCCAAACTGGGTGATATCCGAGGATATCACTCAGGGGAATATTCCCCAATTTTCAAACCTACGTCCACTACGATAAGTCTTCGTTTAAATTTTGATTCAAGATGAGAGAGTGTTTACTGGTTCTTACAGAATTCGAAGAAGGAAAATATTTGTTTGTTCATTAAGCCGTATCAGAGCACACTCAAAAGAAAAGATACCACGCAGCAAATAGAAAACTGTTCGAAACAATTTTTTCACATGCATTGCAGAATCATGATTTGAATGGCCCTTTTTTTTTGTTCGAAAACATGTTCGTATATTTGTCCTTGGGTTCCTCGAAGCAAATAGTTCTCCTCGAGTTTCGCTCTCGGAAAACTGTTTACATCCTGGAACAAATAATGTCTGTGGACAAATATCCGAGCATATTTTCGCGCCAAATAGGGACTACTGTATATGTCAGGCTGCTCTCACTATAACGATCATTTCGCGCGCCAATTGAACTTGAACCAGCCAATGTCCGCTGCGAACAATTTTCCAATTTTAGTGCACCTGTGCAAAGAAACTCGATCTCTGCTTTTAGACACCTGAGGGAGAAAATAAAATTTCATTGACAAACAAGGGTAAGAAATATACGGAAAATGAGTATAATGAGCCAATATTCAAGCAAAATTTTTCTGATCTTTTCCCTTAAATTTGCAAGAATTTAGTTGTATTTATTTGTCTATCAAAGACATACTTAACTTACTTATGTAGTATCTTGAAATAAATTTTATTTTTTGACATTTGAATGTTAGCGTCTTTAAATGATACTCAACGAACAATAATCATTTCATTATTTTTTTTTGGTTATTATCCGATTATTCTAATGAAATCTTGACCTGATAAATCAGAATCCTGCTTTGTCGGGGAAACTCAAGACAGTGGCGAAAGCTCACAGTTTTGCTTGCTTAAAATAGTCGCCGTAAAGTGAGATATTTGTTTTCCATTTAAAACAAACAAAGAAGTTATTGGAGGTAAATTCGTTCCAGTCTCAGTTCGTGAATGAGGACTTCTAAGACCAAAAAATAAATACATTTCAAATCACTGTTTTTGGCATGACTCCAGACACAATGAGGCCAAGTAGAGGCGCGTATTTCTTTTGACAAAAAACAAAATTACAGCCAATTGTGACATGCATAAATAAATTTGATCTCAGAGTTTTAATAATGGAGCAAATAATCACAAAACACGTCTCCCCGATCAACCTGTTCGTAATTTGCATGTTGGCAAAGCCGGCCGGTGCAAAGGTGGCAGTCCTATTATTGGAATACTCTGTTTTGTGGACAGCGATTGTCAATTCATTCGCTCTCTTTTATTTCAATTGAAAGAAACAAAGGAAAATAACAATGTTCTGTTGATAGTTGTGCAGCTTGTAAATTAAACGCATCGGTGGATTTTGAAACTAGCCTAGACGCGATAACGAGTTAGCCGGCCCCAAGCGGTCTTTACAAATAGAAATATTGAGTGTTTCCTCATTCTGAACGACGCCGTATGAGCCTGGATCTCAAGCATCACCACATGGATCAGTATTGCTTCATTTCCTCTCACCGATGAATTCGAATTGCAGTATATTCACGAACCCAATGTTGCTTAATTGATGTTTGGCAAAGATCGATTTGTTTTACACAGTGACTGCTGGAAGCCACAGCTCAGCGGGATTTCAGTTCAAAATTCGTTCCGCAAGCTCTCCTCAAGATGATTTACAAACGAGTGCTGTCTTTGAGCTCTTTGATAATCCTTTGGTTACAGAGCAGAAGCTTTATAAGTGGTAAATGCCTCCACGAATTCTCAGGTCAGTCAGCGTTTGCGCATGTTTTGAATAAGAGCGATTCGCTTTACTCCAATGATAGCAAGAATGTTTACTTGAACGATCAGACTTGTTAACGCAGAGCAACACATCCTAGTGATTGCTACAAACTATTGATCATGATTTTCCGTGATACAGTATATTGTCACGAAGAGTCACTCTTGATTAAATCATTGCAACTATAAAGTAATTTAAACTCAGTCTCTACACGTACGTGTAGCAATAACATTACATTAACTCACGCGAGCCGTTAAAGATCTAACAGAGACCTTTATTTAAAAGCGTAGTTCAATCGCATTTAAACACGTTTCAAAATAATTCTCCTTTTTTATGTAATGAAACTTGTTATCGACGTTTCGTAGTAGGTTGATATACTGATCGAATGTTTCAACTTACTGCCGGCAGAGGTCGAATACTCAATACGACATTTTGTACACACAACCAAGCAAAGTGTTTTTGGACAAATAAGAGCACCACCTACGTAGATTGCAAATTTAAATAAAAATCGATTCTTCATAAACTGATAATCAGTGATCGTGTGTAGCAATCAATAACTAAACTACAGGAAACTGTAGCTGTTGGAAACGAGCCTAATATATCAATATACGCAGCAGCTGATCTTAAGAAATGTCACCTATCAAGATCGCGCGGACTGTGCAAAACCACAGAACACCAACCCAGTCAGGATAAAAGGAAGCACGTTTGTTTTCTTTTCTGTATTTCATAAGTCTTCTGCCCACTAAAACACTAGGAATAGAAACGCTGAAGAAACACTGAAATTATCCTTATCGTGGTAACGATAGATGTCGCTATAAAGAGTACTTCCGTGGCCCTGGTTTCGCCGGTGAATGCGGGATCTTTGCCAAGGGTCACGCTAACTGTTTTCGGCCTGTCAGATAGCTCAAATTTAAAGTAGGTCTAAAAGAGCAAAAAACGGTACAAAAAAAACCAACAACAACTACGAACACAGCTGATTCAAAGGAGCACTTAGTAGAATATAGTGTAGCTGAAAGTGTGTAAACATAATTGTTATGTGTTTGGTTCGGGCCCACTGTCAAGAAATATTTAATGAAAATAAAGGAGGACTTTTTCCGAGTTTACGGGTTTATCAATTCTCGAATTCGAAAGCTAACTAAATCCAACTATCCAGTCAAGCCTTGCACAGCTGTCTCCATGAACTTCTGCCGGCTGCCACTGTTTAGATAAAGCTATGTAAATAGGGAAGAAGTCCTGAAATCTCGGCGATCAAGTTTCATCGCTAAGTTCAGAACAAGCATTTCACGTCAAGTAAGGAAAATAAATGGCGACAGCAGTATCAAACTTTCAATCATGTATCTCAATTCATCTTACCCTTATTTATTCCCCAACACGAGCAAGCGTGTTCTCCATGTTTTTCCCTGTAAAATTCCCATGGTACTGTCAGGAGAATTTGTACATCAATCAAGAGGTTTTTTTTCAGATGGTGACCATTTCCTTTATTCTTTTGAGCTTAATGTTTTACTCAGTAGAGATATTGTAAGGAAAATTTTGATGCTAGTAACTCTTGGGTTAAGAGATTTTTATGGCTAATAAAGCCGATTGTTTAGTTTTTAACTCAAGGACGATTTTCGTGCTTTGACAAAAATTTACCCGCCTAGAGATTACCTTCAAGACCTTGTTGCCGTTAATTCAGCAACTGTCTGTCCTAAGGAATTGCATGAGCTTTGATTTTAACTACCGCAGACAATGTTTTTTTAATCGATTTTTACCGATATTCTTCTTCGAAGCAGGTCCAACAGAGAAACAGAAATTAACCTTTCAAGGAAAGGAGTTACCACTGACAATTTCCTATGGACATCGCGCTTCCCAGCAAGCCACTGCACAGCTTACTAAGATTTTACTAGAGGAAGGCCTGGGGTACGATGACGTCAAATTGGTACCCTGCTTTCAAGAGACTTTAGGAACTAATTGTGGGAGTGCCAGGTAAAACAAAGTGCCTACAGTTAATCTCATGCAGTAAAACTTGCCCTTTTCTTAGTCTATGCAGAATCTACGCATCTCTTGGGCAGCACACTAGAGCTTAGTTGTTGCAGTCAGTACGTAGCTTAGCCTAAGTTTCAGTTACGTATCAAAATACAGTTGAGCGATGACTTGTAAAGAAGTGCAGCGCTTTTGTTTGTGATTATTTTTGCCTGTTTGTCTGTCTATCTGTCTGGCCAAGGAACACTAGATGACTGGTCCATAAAAACAAGTGTGCTCTACAAGGGTAATTGTCTTTGTCAGTGTATCTGTCTATCCGTCTGGCCAAGGAACATCAGTTGATTTGAATACTTATTTAATTATCCCGATTACAGATTTTCTGGTGTTCCGCAAGCCATGATAGACACAGAGGTCTGGGTACCATTTGACCGTGAATACCCTGCAGAGAATGAGGTAGTGGCGGATGTGGGATCAATAGGATTCACGGGAAGGTTAGTCATAGGAAAACATCGGGCTCTTGGAGTCTAAGAATCCTCAGGCTGAAAAAGAAAGAAGCTTTTCCTTGATCTACTCTTTTTGTAGATGGTTGTGTCACGTCGCGAGTAGCAGATCGCAGCCACAATTTGCTTCGTGTGACCGTTAAAGCATGTTTGTGAAAATCTTTTTTTCCGAGCAATAGAATTTTGTTCCCTTAATGAGTCTCACAATTCCAACCTGGTGTGATTTATGTGATGTTCACGATTGCAAAATAATTCCCAACGACTTGCTTTGGAATAAGTACACACGACTCGTTTAACTGCAGCGAGTTGTCATCTAGAAATGTGTCGGCCCTCACTTACCATGATATGTACGAATTTTTAGAGTTTGTGTCGGTGGGTTATGACTGTTCTACTCTCGTGTAATTAAAAAAACGTCTTATTCCAGATTAGGCTGGTTTACAAACTCCTTCTTTGTTGATCGAATGTGGAGCGAACACCACCAACCCGCTGATCATTGGAGAGCCCTACAGCTTCGTGTTGTACTACAGGAACTTCCCCTCGCATCGGAACTGATCACATGTCAGGCTTGCATAGAAAACGAGTTCCATCCTCTGCAGTGTGTCCAACTAAACCAAAGTGGCGAAAATTGTGTTGCTCTTATGGCTGCACATAAAGGTGAAATTCAATAAAAAATATTTTCTTTCTCGTTGGGAGATAAAGTAGCTAGCCGGTTACCGCAACACAGCGGTTTTAAGCATGAGCTTGATATCACGGTGATTTTAATTATCACAGGTAATCTCAGTTCTTTCATGGTCGAGGATCAGATTTCAAGTCTTCGATTGAACATATCAGTGATATGGCTTGGAAATAACCTTACTTCCACAGTTTTGCTGAATGAAGCAAAGAGTAAGCCGTTACTATTTTATGCCTGGGATCCATGCCCTTTAACCACAGATGACAAATTTAGGAGGATTACCTTCCCTGGATGCAGGTAATCATTATATCCATTAACTCTATCCTAGAAGCGATATTGTCATGCAAATTCTTAGATTTGTTTTCCTTTTCAGCTTTTCTTCGAACTACATCGCCATAAACCACACGAATAAATATCATGGAGGATGCGATTTTCCCTTGTACGACCTGCGTAAGTTTGTTTGGAAGGAAATACAAAATCGTTACAAGGACATTTATGGCCTATTAAAAGCCATCAGCTTTACACGAGAGCAAATCACTGATATACTTCATCAGGTCGGCACAACACAAAACAGCGCGTTAATCAATGACTCCATGTGCCATTGGCTGAATAAATCACGCGATATTTGGTTGCCATGGATACAAGCTGAAACTACAGCTAAAAGAACTGTGTATATTGGAGGGATGTTTCCTAGTCTTGTGGAGGCAAAGGCTGTATGGTCAAGTCCGGGTGATGAAGTTGGAGCCCAACTAGCTATCCAGGAGATTAACAGAGACAAAAACGTTTTGGAGCGCTGCAGGCTTGAGCTACTTGTAGCTCCAACTCAGTGCAGAGGAGAGCTGGTGATTTCGGCCTATGTACGATACCTGAATCTGCATCATTCAAAAAAAGTGATCGGTATCGTTGGACCAGCATGCAGCAAGGCAACACTTCCAATAGCCGACGTGGCGCGATTTCACAACACAGTTCTGATGGGCTACAGCGCTGATGACGTGTCTTTATCCGATAGAACGAGATTTCCGATGTTTTTCCGAACAAATCCAAGCATTGACGAATTCAAGCTCGCATACTTATCAATTTTTCGAGAATTTAGTTGGAAGAAATGTGTTGTCTTGCGTGAGGCTAAGTATCCAGTAAACACGGTACAGTCTCGTACAGAATTCCTTACAAAACACGGAGTTCAAGTACTGTCACGTGAGTTGCCGTCCGGTGAAGACCTGGACGCCAAGAGTTATGTCAAGAACGTTGCAGAGAGTAAACTGACGGTGGTAATGTTGGACGCCTACCCAGAGGTCACCAGGGCAGTGACATGTCAAGCATATAAGGAGGTATGAAAGTTTCCAAGCATACATAATGATTTCAGACGCTCATCACCTGTACTGTATTAAAGGTCCTCTACACAAGTAGTTTACACTTAATTCCAACAGGTAATAAATGATCTCCCAAGGTGGCTAACAATCTGTGCATTTCAACAAAATGCAATTATATTTCAAAGAAAACCAGGCGGATTTCAGGCTCTTTTTTCTGTACCGTGCTCTAATCATTTGCCTAGTAAAACCCATCTCGATAAAGCAATCATATTATCAATAAAAACTCTTTGGATACACCTTCGCCCCATCGAAAAGCCAGAAAACAGTAGGTGTTTAGTTTACTGAATGTAGCGGCCCTCTAGGCTACTAATTTCAAAAGGAACGTGACTCGTTATTTAAGGAACTTTGCATCCCTACTACACCAAGTACAGCTTTCTACACTAATTTTTCTCATACCTTTTTTCCTTAAATTTGATCAGGGTCTAACTTCAGAAAAAGGTTACGTGTGGTTCTTACTTGATTGGCTGGAATCTGATTGGTGGGACGTAGATTTTTATAACAGCAAAAGGCACGCCGCACCAGAAAGCGTACCGTGCTCTACTGATGACATGAAGACTTTTGTTGATCAAGGCTACTTCACTTTATCTTCTCCCTTTTTCGGAGATGACGAACAACTCGTTGAGGGAGGAGGAACTGTTAAACAATGGAAAGAACGATATCGATTTACCGTGGCAAAGCAGGTGAAAGCACAGTGATGCAATTGCTTCCGTCGTTCGTCAAAGTTTTCTCATGATTTGGTGGAGATGTTAGCTCAGACGAAGCAATATCGCGTTATATACCATCATAAATGCGCAGAGGTGAAGCAGGGGTGGTGGGTGGTGGGTGCCTTTAGCCCTCTTAGAGAAGGATTTGTAACAACACGCAAGTCCTATAAGCTTACTCATGTGACGCGTGTCAATATTCTTACTTTGATTTTCACTTTTGCATCCCTTACGAAAATCCTAGCAAAAAAAGCAGTGACTACCAATATAAGTGATTTTAGGAGTGCATCTTATTTAGAAAGATTTAGAGGAGCCATACCTTAGACTTCCACATTGCCAGGCTAGAGTTACAAGCTGTCATGGTTCTGCTGCCTCCTTTGTTCAGTTTATCTTAACGTTATTTTTCTTTCACAGAAAAAGGAATGGTCGGATTACGCATCGTTTGCGCATGACGCTGTGTGGACATACGCTGTAGCACTGGACCAGCTGCTCAAGAATGACTCCTCAGCTTTGGATAAGATTGATACCAATTCTACCTCAGCGTAAGTATATTTTGATGTTATTTGGTATTACAAAATGTTTTACAGGTTTAAAGCTGAAACGCTGGTTTCCTAAAGACGAACGTAAACGACGCCAGTTTTAATGTCATGCAACCAGTAATACTTTGAGAGGTCTGTACGAAGGAGGGAAACAATTAACCCGCTCTTAGGAATTTGATAAAGCACTTGACTGATTAAGGTGTGTAAAAAAATTGTGCCAGATTCATTCGTAAAAAACAGGCCACCGAATTATGTGAAACTCTGAAGTCAAAGCTTGAAACAGCGATGCAATATTTAGATAACGTAGCAAACACGGAGACAAAGATGAACGAAGCTGAAGAAGGTTTAAAAGCCTTGCAATTGAGATTTTTAGATAAACTCTTTTGTTTGAAAATTTAATAGCCAACGTTCGGTGGTAATTTGGTGGTCATTCAAACGAAAGTTTAATTTCAAACCTCTAAAAAGGTACAGTTATACACAAGTTTCCCTTTCAGAGAGCACATGCCCAACTTGATATGAAGAAAAAGGCCTAAAAACCGTCTCCAATACTAACAAAAAAGCCAGATTCAAACAATGATTATCAAATATTATCGAGGGTTAATATAATATGGTTGAGTATTTTACAATAAACTTACTGCTCAAGGTTTAGGTTCTTATTTCAAAAAAATGTCAACCTGATCATCTTTCGCTTCCAATTAATCAGAAAGTTCCGTCGCTATATACAGCAAGTGGACTTCTTGGGTGTGTCTGGAAGGGTTCACTTTAACAAAGGCGATCGTCTCTCCGACATCATCATCAAACAGAAATTCACTTCGCACTCCGTAACCATTGGAAACTTCATCCATGCCCACAAACCGAACGCAACTTACTCAGGAGGCCTGCAGTGGAATCCTAACACAATTACATGGGCCTCGGGAACAATACCAAGTGATGTTTTACCAGGCGAGTTTCTTCAGTTCATCTATTCTTTATTTTAAAATTCCAGAAGTAACCTCTAACTTTGAAAAATCAATTGTGTTGTTGATAAATCCAAGAATTTCTTACCTTTTAGCAGGGAGTGTTTTGATTTTATTACGATCCGCCGCATTCAGCACCGTTTTGAGAAGTAGTTTCGCTCGTCGCAGGCGACGAGCGAAAAAAACTTAGACTTAGCTTCCTTATTTTATATTACTGCGATGATATATTCTAAAGTCAGTTTATTTATTAAACCGAGTACTGTACTTGAAGTTTGTCTTATCAAGAAGAAGGGAACTTTTGTCGTCCTTTTCCTTTTCAGCCAGTCCTTATTAGTATTATTGTTAAATCACCCTGAATTCGGCTCCTAGAAAATATATCCTAATGTTTTTTTGACATTTCTATAAAGAACCTGAACCCAGGGCACTATGCGCAGTGGAGAATTTAAGAAAAGCTTTGGGTGTGTCCTGTCGAGTGGCAATTGGTATTGCCGTACTCATTGGTGAGTCAAATTAAACACGTAGTGATCAGTTTCTAAAAGTGAGGAGCGAGAGCATATCTATCCTAATATCAAGCTTAAGAAATCGATGGTTTGAGTTCTGCTTTGATCCTCTTCGTCTACTTCCTTTCATCAAAAACTGGATCATTGGATGATGCAATTCAAGAGTTTTTATTAGCTTTGCCATCATGGGTTATGAGACATTATACGATTCTCTACAAATATGGTAAGTGTACGCGTGTATAAAATTGAGATGATTTATCTATATTTTGGGGCGTTTCTAATAAAACAATTATTCCACTCGCGCCTGTTGAATATATATGAGATGATTGTAGCCAACTCGGCTTACAGACCTCTTTGGATATCTATCGTCTTATATACGACGGGCGCTGTTGGATTGTTTGTTATTATCTTTCCTCCATAACGCTCATGTCTCACAGTCTTGCAAGCAACTCTGTTTTGAGTTTCGAGAGAAGAACTTGTCACCTTTCAGCCTATCTATTCCTATAACTTTGGTTCTTCTGTTGGAGTAAACTTTGGGTAGACCTGCTCGAAGAGAGTGACATGTACACTGCGCTTTTTTGGTTGAGTTTTTTTTTCTCAAAATTTGGATGGGAGGTTGTCACGTTTTCCTTGGTTAGCATCGAGAAAGAACTCTGCTGTCGTTGAAAGTCATGAAAGTTTTGGGCAATAATGCTATTTTTTATCTGAAGTATTCAGGAATATTCAAAAAAATCATAAGAAAAGGAATGATTCTATCTAAAAAAAAACATATTTCTCTCTTTAGTCTATAATCCACTCACTGAAAATATTTTATTTTTCCCAAAGCCCTGATATCTGTTTCGGTACTCCTGATATTTGTTGTACGGATTCTCAAAGGAAGGTAAGACGCCAATAAGATGATGTAATTTTAAGCAAACGTAAAAAAATCTATACCAGAAGTAAGATGATAACTTTATACTCGGATATTTCTATGCGAAAGCAGGGACATCTGTTTTCAGAACGAAAAATATCGAAAATACGGGAAAATCTTATCATTTGTTGAAATGTTTCTCCTTCTGTACCTGACACTGGCAAATAAAACTTAATTATCTTAATTACTCCATCGCTGTGACTGATTAAAAGATATGCATGCATGCAGGAACTTTTTCAATCTCTCTTTACACCAGATATTCTTCAAAGTACCGTAACACTAAAAATCGTCTGCGCGAGCTGGGTCTCTTGGATTCCAATTTCACCGGGTCCATATTTATACTAGACGATTGGGAAATACCGCGAGAAAAACTGGTTTTAAACAGGAAACTCGGCGAGGGAGCTTTCGGAGCTGTGTTTGGTGGAGAAGGTATGGGTCTGAAGGAATCTGAGGTCTCGGTACCAGTAGCAGTGAAAACTCTCAGAGTTGGAGCAACGATTGAGGATAAGGTGAGGGTTTGTGTGAGTTCCTGCACGTTGAGGCTGAAGTGTAAAAGTACTGTTGGAATGTTTGTGCTATATCCAGAACGCTGTGATTGTTCGTGATTGGAGGATCTAGAGGAAAAGAGTATTTTTAATTTTAAAATGCAAATAAATGTCAAGGAAAATAGTGTAGGACATCATTTCGTTGTACCAACGTGTAAATTATATGGAAAAAAAAAAGCTCGAACAATTGTTGATCACTGAGATGGTCTGGGATCACACAAGGGTGCGCTAAGGTACGATCAAGAGGAGTGGATTTGCCCCGCGTATCACGAATGAATTTTGAAAATATAGATTAAAGATATGCATGCCTGAGAGAGAACATTGAACAACAAACCGTATGCAATTTATAAGAATTTTTCGCTGTCGCCAAATAACCCTCTTTTATCTGCTATGCTTTTGAAAATCAGTTGTAGAGAAGGTAACAAATAGCAAGTAGCGAATCTCTGCTCTTGTTATGACTAGGGATTTTATGAATCTTACCCTACACAGATTGAATTTCTGAGCGAGGCAGATAAAATGAAGCTCCTTTCCCATCCAAACCTGGTGAAGCTTCTTGCCGTGTGTACCACAGGCGAACCAGTATATATTGTTATGGAACTCATGATACACGGTAACACATTTACCACGTTCTGTTCGACCTTTTTACAGTTTTGGAGCCTCTTGCTGACTTCAGTTAACATGATTTTGATTGTGTTTTTAGGTGACTTGAAAAATTTTCTTCTTGCTCGGCGTCGCATGGTGAATCAACCTGGAGCTCCTGAGGTAACGATTATTTTAATAATACAGGATTGTATGGCAGAATTTCTGTCAAGACTAACATTACATAAATATTTATTTCAAAGTCCGAAGATGTCACTCCGGAAAAGCTGACAACTATGGCACTGGACATTGCTCGCGGGCTCCAGTACCTGACAGATATGAACTTTGTGCACAGGTGAAGCTAAAAACTAGTGCTTTAAAGCATAGATGCGCAACAGAAGGAGGACACCGGAATATTCAATACTATTGAACCAAAGTTCTGAGTTTCATAGGAAATAATATACATGAAAAAAGAACGTTGGGTCTGAACGCGCTCCTAATTGGCTGAGTACAATCTCATGAAACACGAATGCAAAGTTGTAACACGAGTGCAAATTACAAATAGCGCACACACACTTTCAAAATTTCGTCTGTCTTGACTTTTTGTGATTTTTTTATGTACCTTATTAAAAAGTAATAGTATGATTTCTCTTGCAATTTGGTGTAATAAGCACTGTAAGTTTTTCAAAGACTAGAAAATTGCACATTCCCTACGGGTTCGTGCAATTTTGTTGTCTTCGAAAAATTTACTCGTGTTTATTAACACCAAATTGCACTCGAAATCATGTTATTACCTATAAAAAGCGAATTTAAAATCGAGCAAACTGATTGTTTGAGTTACATGTAAGGACCAGAATTATCCCACGTGAGACGGAAAGATCACGGATGATGCAGGTCCTCGGGTTGGGAAAAAAAAGGTTCAATTGCGCATGTCTCATTAGTAAACTAAAGCAGCTTCAAATGCGCTATGGCCAACCATTTGTACCCTCTCCCCCCCCCCCCCCCCCCCCATTGTTCTCCTTATGTGTTATGCAAAAACTTAATTTGTTTTATGCAAAAAGCAAATTTATGTCTCGTGTGACGGAAAACACAAATTAATGACTTGGTAATGAAAAAACATAGGAAAGGGAAAATGAAACTAAGAGGGAAAGGGCGGGTTGAACGAATTGGACGATTTAAAAGGATCAAAATTTGGATATTTGAAAAATTACATCCAAAGTTTGTAAGATATTCATATCATTATGATGATGAACCTCGTTTAAGTGACCTTTTTTTTTGCTGCTTCTGTTTTCAGGGACTTAGCATTACGAAACTGCATGGTCGGGTTTGGGAACGTTATAAAGATTGGTGATTTTGGATTGGCGCGGACTCTTCAAAACAATGATTATTACAGGTTTCAACGGAAGGGTAAGTACAAAGATGAAGCTAAACTAGATCAACAGAAAAAGGTTTCTGTTTGCTTTTTTGTTTTTGCTTTTTCAATTGCAGTAAATTTAGTTGCACGAAACTTCAAGCAACATTTAACATGTCTTTCCTTTTCCACGGCTTAACAGCAATGCTACCTGTAAGGTGGATGTCACCGGAGTCTATCAGGGAAGGTTTATTCACTCCGTGTACAGACGTTTGGTCTTATGGTGTCACACTCTGGGAGTTGTCTACCATCGGTGGCTTTCCCTACCAAGGGATGTCCAACGTAGAGGTCTCGGAGAGAGTGGAAAAAGGATACACGTTGGAAATACCGAGCCAGTCCGGCCCAGAAATGTATGTATCTTTGATTGATTTCTTAAAAGAGATCGTGTTTGTCTCGTATTTAGGACACTTGGCTTCGAACCAGTAGGTCCAGGGTCGAACCCTGTCCGGCTTATGCTGTGCACTCAGGTAGGATACCCCACTCTTACTGTGCCTGTTTTCATCTAGGAGTATATATTAATATCAACAAACTTTCAAGGAAAAAAAAATGTCGAGGGTAAAGTTGTTATAAATTTTCATTCCATCCAGGAGTTGCAATACCTCTAGTCAACTAGTGCGGGTGAAACTGAGGTAGACTCTTTGCATTATGGTAAATCGTGTATCACATGGAAATCAATAAGTTACGAGGCCAATTACAGAGGTCGCTAAAAGGAAAAACACTGACTTTCGACCAGACAGACAGACATGCAAACGCTAGTATGCAGACAGCTTGACTGACTGACTGACTTACTGCAGGGATGAATGACCGATTCCCTGAGAGGGTCAATGAGAAGTAGGCTGTGTTACTGAAATCTTGACTGAGGGATTCAACGGTCTGAGCCGGTGACCCGTTGAACGACTGACGTACTGTCTATGTGTTTGTCTGTGTATGCGACTGACCGAAAGGTAGCCTGTGATTGCTTTAGTGAATTACATCAGCATTCATCTACAGGCTCGTCTTACTTGGGAAGTGTTGGCATCAAGATCCGGCCCAAAGACCAAAACCATCAGAGATTGTTAAAACCTTACTTGAGAACCAAGAGCTCGTTAACGCATGCGTTGGTGTGCCTGCTACCACTCTCCTTGATGACAGCATGGCAAATTTTGACGCCAGAGAGGCAAATACGCATGTACTTGGAGAGATAGAAGGCCTGCAATCAAACCATTTCTTGGACTCGGATCATGTTAGCAGTACTTTGACTCTAACTCGGGATACACGTGATGATCACGTGGGAAGAAAACATAGCATCAAGTCAGTAGCAGGGAAGGCGAAAGGTCATTCAACTCTACCCTGGAGGAAAACATCAGTGCATTCTTAAATTTATTCTTGGATTGAAATCAGATTTGCTATTCAAAGGTTTATTGAGAAAATGAGAACAGTTTTCTGAATTATTTTTTTAAATATTTCTAAAACTCAATCTTGACCAAAGTAATATGTTTGTTTAAAAAATACAATAAAGTTTATCATCAGTCATTGCATTTTTGAAGAGTTTTTTTTTTAAACCGTGATATCCACATATATGACACTCGACTACGTGGCAAATTAACTTCTACTCCAGGAATATGTGAGTGATTCAGTAAAATATGACTGAAGAGTCGTAAACGAACTACTAGGCTAATAAGTCTTCGCTATTGGTCTTTCAGTGAAATAAATAATTTTATTGAAAACCGAGCTATGGTTGAAGAGTGACAAAGATTTATCGGTGCTATGAAAGTAGTTTGCTGTACTATGAAAATGTTAGCCAACATCTTGGATTGAAGCTTGGGGAGAGAGGAAGCAGGGGGTAGGCGACAGGAAGCAGGGGGTAGGCGACAGGAAGCAGGGGGTAGGCGACAGGAAATGGCGAAGGAGCCTGCCTCTTCCCTTCTCTTTTCCTCCTGACATGAGATCTTTTGAAAGTCAGCGCATGAGTATCCAGTGACTAGGCGGTGATTATGAATCTTTCGTGGGAAGGAAGGACAAATGCGATTGCAAATCCTGCTGATATATAAGGATTAACAATTGGGCAAGACTAACCAGCGTCCTATAAAGAAAACACCGTATTATTTTGCAAGGAAACATACAAAATTCTGGGAAAATATGTCGCTACCTATGTCGCCTTACTGCGCATTATGTGGCCTCTCGCCAGATCTTCCTATTGATCAGGCGGGCCGGACGGGAAAATATTTGATGTACGTTCGATCTGGGCGTCATGACTAACAACCAAAAATTTATACTCCCTACCCAAACAAGCTCTATACCTCGTGACCCATAAGTTTTTAAAATTTTGAAATTATTTTTGAAGCTAAGAGGACGCAATTATATATATAAGGCAGAAGCGTGCTAGAAAACCATTTAAAAGGTATGAAATTCAAATTATTTTAGCACAAAAGTCATTATGACACGCGACTCATTTCTACTAAAATCCGCTGTTAGAATTTACACAATTTAATTTAAAAATTCAACAGAGCCATGTGAATGGGGCTTTTCATGGAATGGCTCACGTCAACTCATTCAGCCCTCAACAAGTTTGCTTTAAATATGGGTTGCCATGGGATTGCGTGAGCAGGGCAGTACGGACCTTTCAAAAATACTTCTTGCCATACTTCTCTTATAATCTCCCTTATGCAGCCCAAGAAGTCAATTCGCCTTCAGCTCCTTCATTCCTTCCTGGGCGTAAAGCCTTACTTGAGCGTTTATTGTTCGATACATTTTTAAGAGATCTAATTTAAGTGTTTTCCCTTTGTTTTTAAAACTAGAATGTCCTATTAAAGGCGGGTGGTACGTGCATAATACTTGTCCTGAAGGGACATCCATCAAAATACAAAACTGACTGGAAGCATAATTAATGACGTTATGGCACAGATGTTTGATAATATGCCTTTCATAAACTTTAGATGAATGGACGGAGCAGTAAAACTCATATTTCAGGTATTATTATTATTTTTTAGATTATGATCTGAAACAGCTCTATACAGACTCGTTTTAACTTTCTACTGGTGAATCCACTGATGATTAAAAGCCTTCAACCTAAACTGAACTGAGGGAGCAGTAAAACTCATATTTCAGGTATTCCTTTTTTTGATCTACAAAAATGACGATAAAGTAGAATGATAATGTCAAACTTCCATGGCATAAATTACAAAATAAACAGTAAAGGGCCCATGAACGATCTTTCATGGCCTTTACACCAAGTAATAATGAGTTATTTCTTTCCTTAGGGGGTTATGAAGAAAGTGAAAGTTTTCTAGTCGTTATATAACCCGCTGCACTAAACTTCACTGAAGACTGAAAAACTGAAATAGAAATCTTACCAAAAACACGTGCCTTTTCCCTCGCAGCGTTCTCATAAGTCACAGTTTTACTTATTGATGTCTTATTAATAGCATGTGCGTATTGGTTGTTTTCTTTGCGCATGAATATTAACAATTTTCACTGTTTCAGATCTAGTCAATTGTGGCGAGCACAGTCAAACAGAAACACAAAAACCGCATGTAACCAAATAAAACCTCGTAGAAAGATGAATTTTTTATGTTAGATAGCATTGTTATACACCCGCGGTTTCCCATACTATAAAGACGATTGTAATTTGCTGATTGCATGACTCTGCATAAATTAAAATGTATCCCGCTCGATTGGATCCCGAACGACATTCGAAAGCGATTAATGTCCCGGATTGGAATGACATGTGAGCAGAATGACACGGGTGTGATCGCTTTCTTCCATGCACTTCTTGGCGATTCCAAAGACTTTGACTATTCTTGAAAACACAACAAAGTGACCTGAGGTTTAAAAAGAGCGCTTCCTACTTTATTGAGAGACGACATTGACTAGTGGGCATCAGGACACCGAAAATACGATTTTTAAAGGTAAATTTGCAGTGTTTACAAGATGTTATGTGGACTCAAAGCAAACCATGATGGCAAAGCAAATTGTTCAACGCGCATAACAATAGCTCGGTTCGTGCGTTTTAAAACTCTGGAAATTTGCGTTGTCTGAGAAGAGAAAGTTTCCAATTGGGATTCAACGCCGCACCGATCACAAATTTTGTGCGGAAGTCGAGTTATAGTGCCGTAAGAGAAAATTAGTACATTCTACCATTTGCGAAATTATAGCCATAGATATAAGTTCATTTTTGTAATCGACTTCTTCCTCGGTGTTGCTGTCCTGACTGCCTAGATAGCTATAGCTAGAGATATAGGTTAATTTTTGTAATCGACTTCTTCCTCGGTGTTCCAAATAAGGTTCCAAATATTGTAGTGTTGCAAACGCTTTCGTTTGCCTGTTTATCATTTCCGTGCTTTGGATGTGTAACAAAACGCTTATGTTTGCTTGCAAGGTAAACAGTTAGATTTGGTTCCCTCGATTTTCATAGTTTCGCGTAATTTCGTCTCGAAAAACAGTGAGACTCTCTGGAGAACAAAGCTACTCTTACCCTCGCGAGCAGACATTGAATGTATGATACAATATGCACAATTCATTTTAAATTCTTGACGATGGCGCGTGATCAGTGTCAAATTACCATGAAACCTTTCGTTATGTCTTAGTTTTGAAACCTATCTTTGGTCAAAAAAACAGAAAATAGAGCTCTTTATATACATCTCGTTAAGTCACAATACATGCTTTTATATTCGCCTCCTTCTTGAAACAACGCAGATAAGGTTCATGTTGATTATCTCAACATCCAATCTCATGTCATAAATTTTTTTCGATGAAGCTTTTTATGCGATTCTTCACCAAACGTCTTAGGTTTAGCTTCTCATGCGATCGATATTTGTAACAAATTATAATCCGTCAAGTTCTTCTCCGATTAAATTTTCTGTGCAAAAACATGTGAGTTAGATGCAACAATATTCCTAGGAGGTCAAATCACGTGTGTTGGGAAGACGGTGTTATAGAAACCCTCCCATGATGCGTCGAAAGGAGACAATAGAGAGGTTCTCAATGCCATAAAACAGCCAAACAATTTAGCCGTCAGGCGTAAAAATGGACAGATTTGAACCGATAGTCGTATAAAAAAAGTTACCTAAGGGGTAACGACCTAAGGGGTACGTTACTAAGAGGTCAAATCACTTGTGTTAGGAAGACGGTGTTATAGAAACCCTCCCACGATGCGTCGAAAGGAGCCGCACGCGTAAAAATGGACAGATTTGAACCAATAGTCCTATAAAAATAGTTATAAGCCTAAACTGTCATATATCGTCCCACATTTTTCACACCACTTGAGACTTCTTTGGGCTGCAATGCAATAGTCACTCCATAACCATAAATTTATTTTTCGTTTCAAAATGGATCCAAATGTGCTGCGTGAATATGCTAAACGTCCTCTGGAGATGAGCAACAAATCAAAGCTCTACAACAACATCAGCACATACCTCCTCTTGGTTTTTCAAAAAAGTGTCATGGGGAATACCTGAAATAATTTCTTAAATGATCAAGATTAAAGTTCATCATTTGACTGCAGTAGAAAAGACAGCATTATGGCTTCTGATATTCGAAAAAGTTCAATTTGAAAGCAGAACTGCTGGAACTGCTGGAGAAGATAGATTTTTGTCAATGTTGAGCGTTTGTGAATTTTGAAGTTGCTTTAGTTGCAAAAGAGAGGTTTCTAGAAAATAAATTGCCCCACAGAGTGGAAAATTTGCCAGTTCATTGAAAAGGAAGGCCTAGTTAAATGCCCCACTTTGCCCGGGGTGTTCATTTTGGAGAGCAGGGGTGGGGCTATGGTGAGAGCAGTATTATTTGTTTGATTGTTGATCACCTGTGTTCCTCCACACGTTGATGAAATGTCGGTTCGTGAAGCCGACACAGGGCAAGCACGCGCGCTATGTTATAACAGTCACTATTCTAAAGTTATTCAAAGAATAGACTTGTTTTGAAAAACCTTCTTAATTAAAGGATGTAAGTTTCGGAATTGAAACTGAAATAAAGTTTTCTCAGTAATATTTACCTTGATAACCTGTCATACGCGACCGCTGTCCTATAAAAAAATACCTGACACTTACCTTGTACATCGTGCTAGTCAAACAACGGAATTTTCTTGTATCTTACACGCTTGACTCGTTCGCAACCATCGACATCTGTTCTCGCGCTCGTGCGTGGGATATTTAGATTTTCTTGGTTTTGATCGTCACTGAATGTTTGGACGGGTACTAATCGACCAGCAGGTCGGATGCGGGCCGACAAAAATGAAAAGTTGTCTGAAAAAAATGAAAAGTTGTCTGAATAGCTTAGTTCTCTTAGCTTGATGGTCTCGATAGGGTGATGGCAGTTACGGCTGACGGTTAAAATTCTGGCCATTTTACGGCTAAAGTTGATATCATTCCATGGTTGTCAACATAATTTTTTTTTTCAACGGCTAACTTTTTTTATACGACTATCAGTTCAAATCTGTCAATTTTTTCGCGTAACGGCTAAATTTTTTGGCTGTTTTATGGCATTGAGAACCTCTCTCTTGTCTCCTTTCGAAAGACCAAATCAGCGGAACGGTACAACCTGTTATTAACAGAACCGGCCAACGGGTTACCAGCACGCACTTTCTAAGTTGAATCGAGTTGTTCTCAATTCAAATGAAAGCATTTAGCAAGAAACAGGTTCATGAAGATTAAGTTTGAATAAACCTGCCTCAATTAGGGCAGAATCTCTGATGTAGGTTAAAAAACCAATTCCACAAGCAGTTTACGTTTAATTGAAAGACAGGTGAGTCGTGAATTGTTTCGTGAGTATGCACTACTATTTACCTCCGCTTCGATAAAAATTCAACAGACTACAAGAAATGGCAATGACATATTTCAAAGCAGATTTGATCAGTATTCAAGTTTGCGCCGCCTCAAAAGAAAGAAAAAGTTTGTTTTGACGGCATTGAGTAGTAATTAATTCAACCGTTTCCAACCTTTTTTTAGTACAATTTACCACAATGGAAAAATCCATTGTTTTTCGTTCAGCGTCGGTCAAAAATTTGCCTGAAAAGGGCAGTGACATATTTCAAGGTTGAACAGGCACATTGAAAACGCAAGCCCCACCAAGCAATGGAATGGAAAAGGATCTGCTCCTTGCCTTTTGTTGTCGCAATAGAAACAAAACTTTGGGAATTTCAATATAAACTTGACATATCTCAGTAACATCGATTCACCCTGATGCAATATTTGTAAAACGGAATTCGAATCCCTCGAAGAGTTACTTTTCTTTTGTAAGTCAACAAAGGTCGCTGGCAAGCATTTTTCTTTTGGAAAAACAAACAAAATGTTTCTGTAAAAATCCATACTTAGTTAGCTATCTAGTAAAGCAATAATCCTCGAAGATGAGGTCTAATTCAATCATAAAGGGGTAAGTTTCTAAAGAAACTGTGGTGCTGCGTCGGTGGGAGAGTATAGCAGGTAATTTAGTGTTAACAACTGGGTTGAAAACGTAAATTAGCCACCGTAAAGGATAAAAAAGCTGACGTTTCGAGCGTTAGCCCTTCGTCAGAGCGATTAGAGGAAACAAACTCACCGAACAAATTCTACATTGCCGCTCTGAACTTTCCAAAATCTGTCCAGCTGTTTTAGTACAATCCATTCGTGCCAAAATTCAAGATGCCAATTCTAAACTTTTTAAACATTTGCACCAAATTAAGGCCCAAAAACTCGACCAACTTATCGGCCCTCAAGTTACTAACGACTCATCGCCTGAAAACCTCAAAACTGTAGTTACCATTCCAGAAAATTTACTACTTTCCGATTCAGAAAAATCAGTTCTCAGCAAGGGCTTAAATTTTGTTCCCATATCACACAAAACCGACGAATTTTCAGTTAAGCAAGACGTTGAAAAATTCCTTCGCCGCGTTCAGTTGAAAGCCTTTTTTCATGACAAAGAGGATGATTCTAACACCTCTAACAAAGATACTTTCGAAACACTCCAGATTCGAAAGTCTAAATGGACTCCCCCAGAGGGCCAGTTCTCATCTTTAGATTTTTTCCTCAAAAAATGTCGCCACGATATCAACAAACTTAAATTCAATCGTAACACCCAATTTTCCAATCTTTCTTCGGAAGAGTGGTCGGCACTAAAAAGTCTAAAAAAACGCAAAGACATTGTCATTAAGGCGGCCGACAAAGGCGGCGCAGTTGTTGTTTGGCGGGCCGACCTCTATCAAAAAGAAGCTTTGCGGCAACTTTCTGACACCTCCTTTTATGCCAAAGTCGACAAAGACCTCACTGTAATTAACCAAAACATTGTTAAAAATACGATTAACGATTTTATAGCTAAACAAGAATTGCCGGCCACTGCTAAAAATCTCATCATTACTACTCCTAGAACTTCATGTATTTACTTTTTACCTAAAATCCACAAACCTAACAACCCAGGTCGACCCATCGTTTCTGCCTGCAGTTGTCCCACTGAACTTATTTCCAGCTATTTAGACAAAATTATGGCACCTATCGTCAAAACTCTACCGTCTTACATTAAGGACAGCCAACACGCACTTGAAATTTTTCGTGACTTTAGTTTCCTCGACCTAAACAAACTTATTTTCACCATGGATATAACATCTCTTTACACTGTCATTCCCAATGACGAAGGTCTCCGGGCCCTCAAACATTTTTTTGATCTACGCACTGTTAAGGAACCTAGCTCTGAAACACTGCTCCGTCTGGCCGAACTAGTACTCACACTCAATTGTTTTTCATTCGGTGGTAACTACTACAAACAAACTAATGGCGTGGCCATGGGTACTAAAATGGGACCCAGCTACGCCAATCTTTTTGTAGGTTTTATCGAACACCAATTTTTTAGCCAATACCACGGCCCAAAACCTCAACTCTACGGCCGCTACATTGACGATTGCATCGGCGCTACCTCCTCTACCAAGGAGGAGCTCACTCAATTTATAACCGCCGTCAATTCCTTTCATCCGGCCCTTAAATATACCTGGCAAATTTCCGACACTTCTTTGGCTTTTCTAGACATCAAAATTTCTATTGAAGGCAACGGCTTATGCACTAGTGTTTACTACAAACCTACAGATTCACATAGTTACTTGTTGTATTCATCCTCACATCCATCACACGTCAAGAACTCCATACCTTTTTCAAAGTTTCTCAGACTTCGTCGTTTATGTAGTGACGACTCTGATTTTTCCGAAAAATCAGAGACAATGTGCCAGTTTTTCGATAAACGCGGTTATCCTGTTTCTGTCGTTCAAGCGGGCTACCACCGTGCCCAACTAATCGATCGACAGGCAGCACTACAAACGGCCGAGAAGGAGAACACTGACCGCATTCCATTTACTCTTACATTTCACCCTCACAACCACGCAGTTAGATCTATCATTCTTAAAAATTTTAAATTACTCCAAAACGATTCAGAGACTGGCACTATCTTTTCGCAACCCCCACTTATTTCATTCAAACGCGACAAAAACATAGGCAACTTTTTAGTCAGGAGTTCATTTCAAACCTATGACCAATCTGGAACTTTTAAATGCGCTCGCTCACGATGCAAAACTTGTCCTTTCATTCACAACGTAGAAAAATATCGGGACCCAAAAAGATCCATTAAGATCATTGATCACTTTACGTGTACCTCCGCCAATGTTATTTACTGCATAACTTGCACTTATTGCAATAAGTTATACATCGGCGAAACAGGGAGACGACTGGGTGACCGATTCCGAGAACACCTTCGCGATGTGGAAAGAAATGACAAGGACGCATCCAAACCAGTCGCTAGACACTTTAATCTTCCTTATCATTCTAAACAGCATATGGCAGTTTGCGGCCTTTCCTTACATCTAGGCAGTTCGGAAAGCCGCAAAACACTAGAACAAAAATTTATATTCCAAATCGGCACCCTTAATCCCCACGGAATCAACGAGCGCTTTTCATTCAACTAATTTATTCCTGTTTTCTCGTCACCACATTCCCACCAATGGCGTAGCTCCACTTCCTACATATAAATCCACACACAACCCACAATTCCTCTAATCGCTCTGACGAAGGGCTAACGCTCGAAACGTCAGCTTTTTTATCCTTTACGGTGGCTAATTTACGTTTCTAATTCAATCAGTTGCAGAAAAAAAGCAAAAAAAAAATTACTTCGACGGAATTCGAACCCATGCCTCCTAGATTCTCGATGGGCGCTACTGCCAACTGAGCGACGATATCGCGTGATGAGAGCAAGTTTAGAAATTTTATCGACTATCTTATTTGATGGATTTAACGAAGGTGAAGACAATGTTATCTTAAGTTATTTGATGCTCATGGCAAAATTCTTTATTTTGAAATACAAATTGCATGACTAAGATCCATCATTAAACATATTCTCTGTCAAAGTAAAATCAATCTACGACACAGAATGACGAATAGCATCAAAACAAAAAAAAAGATTACTGAGGAACCAGCTATTTTAATCGCCTAGGTGGTTTGAAAGATTTTTTTTTTGGGGGGGGGGGGGGGAGGAATCACGTGGTTTAAAGGGGAGCGGTAGGTGGTGGACCAGTCGTCGCCAACAGAGTATAACAGGGGGTATGAAGAAAATTGGCTGCCCATTAACTGCAAACGAGGGGAATCATGCGACTAATAAAGAGACCTATGTCAGAAGGAAATTAAAAACAACTTTTCAATTTTGTGCGCGGTTAGTTTTTTTTCTTTTTTTTTTTGGCTATGACGTTGTTTCTCGAACCCATGGTATCCGTAGTGATTCTTTTAGTTTATTATTATTATTATTATTATTATTATTATTATCCTTAATTTTTTGTCATCATTGTATTCAATATATTACCTGTAGTATTGTGATCATCTTGGTGTAGCTATGTATTACTGTATAGCACCATTTATTCTGCCATGCTTTTGTAAATTATAAAATATCTATTTTTGTTATATTCTATTAACCCTTTAAGTCCGATGACCAACACATATTTTTTTTCTTGCAGTACAAATACAATCTCAAGCAGACAAGCGATTCGAATAAATGAAAAAATCAATTAAAGTATTATTGATTGATCCAGTACCAAATTCTCTGAGGTAACATCATAAGATTTGTATAACAGATAGTAAGGAGAATGACTAAAGATATCTTGATAGTGAAAGAGTGAAGTGTCTGTCCAACAGTTACTGAACGCTACCATTGAAATGATATTTCTATATCTGTACGGGAGAGGCCCACTAAAAAACTATTTAAAAGAGAAATTTTCATGTATTAGTTTTCTCAGTATTAATTGATGTCTTCCTTTGACCATGTACTATTTGTGTATCAGTTGTTTGTAATGGAGATAGGACTGAGTGGAGTCCAATTCGGTCTGTTATCATACGAGTGATAACAAGATTGGACGACTGCGCGCAGCGGGAACACGATTTGTTTATCACTAGTATGATTACAGACCGAATTGGACGACACGAAGTCTTATTACCGATTAATCAGAAAAATTACAACTTCCAAAAAGGTAGAATAGCTAACGGTTATGAGAGAAAGGGAAAATTTACATCACAGGACTGACAAGGGAGGCGTAAATTGTTAAATACCGCTCTGAAATTGACGGCAATCAAAATGAATGTGATTGAAGAAATGTAAAATGGTTTCTGTGTTTACATAGCCTGATGTAAACACGCGGGAGGTTGGGAGAACACGAGATAAGCGTGGGAAACCACGACGCGAAGCAGAGTGGTTTCCAGCTTATCGAGTGTTCTCCCAACCTCCTGCGTGTTTACATCAGGCTATGTAAACACGGAAACCATTTTACATTTTTTTTATAAAATAACTAATGAAAGAGAAACGAAAACCATGTTTACATACGCTCATGTAAAATGGTTTTATGGCCAATCAGAGCACGCGTACCATTTGAATTATTTTATAATGGTTGATTTAAACTACAACTGAATGTGATTGACTTATTGAACTTTCCGATAACAACTTGGTAAGTGAATAAGTGGAAAATAGGGGTTTTTTAGACCAATCACAATCGAGGAAATTGTAATCGTTATGATTAAAAGTGTGATTCCTTTTTCACTCTCTCATATTTATACCGCCGTTGTTTATTGTATAAAAAAATGTAACTTAATGTGAAGGGGATCTAATTGGCTCTTGATTATGCCCTTCTCCATTTTTTTCTCTCGTTTACAATTATTCAAAGGTTGTAATTGTTCAAATGGAGGAAGTAACAAAAAGAAGGGGAAAAGGGTAAATTGACAATGAAATCCCTAAATACGAAGAAAGAGAAGCTTAGGGAACTAATGGTAAACTGTTTGTACCTTAATCATATTTTAAAGGCCACTTTCTTTCAGAAATTCTGAGACGGTGACACTGAACAGCGTCCTCCACCAAACTTCACTATTGTTATGGGCATTTCTCGAAGATATAAACTCTTCCAACTTGTTGTCCTGCTAATAGGAGTGCTCCTACTGTTTATAAACCTGAATCCTTCGGTAGAACCTGTTATGCCCGATCAACCGGATCTCCTTCCTTTCCGTATCAATGTCCGAGAGATTCAAGGTAAAATATTCTGGCCAATTTCTAAAGTCACGGTCGGGCTTCCTATTAGTCAAATCCAAGACCTAGGGGAAAAGAAGCCTAGAGTTCTCCTTGTGATAATTGTGTCGACAGCGCCTTTGCGCTGGGAACGAAGGAACGCCATACGACAGACTTGGTGGAAGTACTGCAGTGTGAAAGAGGTTAGTTCTGTTTTTTTCTCATGGTTCGGGTCGGATAAATTATGCCGGCATAACTTTTGGTTTATTGCTATAGTCAGGGTTCCGAGCCTAATGCTGGCATAATGACTAAAATTCTTAAAAAATTCACTTGATGTTACAGTTAAACAAGAGAGAAATTCTGTAGACTGAGTTCTGTAAGCAGTGAGGCTGTTTTTCTTGCTTTCTCTTTTGGAATTTGATTTGGAAAAATCGTTGTGTTCTGAACCTCACCCCTGTTGGTGGTAGGAATGGGGGTAGGAAGTGGAAGAAATTGAGGGGCTCTTAAAAGCTATCATCTTGAATTATCAATGAGCATAATGAAAAATTTTGAGTATTGTTTTCGCGTGAAACAGTATTCAAGGGTGACGCCCAAAGGTACAATGCTGAAATTTCCGAGCATAATTAATCTGACCTGATGGTTACGTTACTTGACGTTTATTAGCTTCGAAAAAAATTGTCCATAATTTTTCGGGTTACCTTATGTTTCAGCAATCTTTGCTTATTATAAAGCACTATAGCCTTCTAATGAGTTAGTATCTTAGACTCGCTCTCGAGCGCACTGGTTCAAGATATGCGCCTGGTCAGTTGTCAGCCCAAAAAATTAACATACCCACAATGCCTTTCTTTAACTTATGTGCAGCATTGAACTCTGCGAAGAAGATCAAAATTTTATTTCATTTTCGTAGTTTTGTTGCCAATTTTTCGTTCTTTTCACCATTTTCTTTAGTTTTCCCTCATTTCCATACCTTTGAATTTTCGTGATGGAGTTCAATCTTCAAAATACATGCTTCCTTCACCAAGTATTAGAAAGTTAATTGCAGATAAGGCCTGGACCTTCAGCCTCCTTCTATGTCCAATCATTTTCTCCTGGCCATACAATACTAAAGATTATAACTGCCTGCGCAGGTAGCTTGCCACTTTTTTACAGACGGACAAGTCGTCAACAAGAAGATCCAGAAAAATCTCTTAAACGAAACATCCCGTTACGGAGATATTGAGTTCCAACCACTTCTGGGAGGGATAGAGTTTGGAATTCGCTTCTTGTATCACGCCAAATGGGCCGCGGCTAATTACGACTTTCAATATTTTCTTCGCACGGACGATGACTACTTTGTGTGTCTTAAGAAGCTTTTGAATGAGTTACCTTGGCGCCCTAAGCATAATCTCTGTTGGGGAAATTTTCACTGTGAAGTAAACATGACATGGATTGACGAGTCATGGATGATGTTTTCGCGAGACATCATTGACAAATTCTTGAATCAAGATGCGCGTACCATGTTGTGTCATCCGCACGCTGACCAGCAGATCGGCATGTGGCTCAACAATATATCAGGTCGGTTACTTTTCCATGACGTTCGTCTGAATCACGTGAGGGACTTTGACTGGCGGGCGAGAAACGTGTGTGTAACTTACATGGGAGTTCATCAAGCGTTTGCGTCACGCATACTACAACTGGCCAAGACGAGCGAGGACGGCGCTAAAACTGTGCCCCCCATCTCTAAGTTTTCCTCGTATTGTGAATACGACACGTTTGACTATAGGAAGCTAAACGGCCGATATTTCTATGAACCAAAGCCTTGTGTTGAGAACGCAATATGGGTGAAAAATCACCGATTATGGCTTGGAGAAGAGGGAAGAGTCAATTAATAGTTTAGTAGTCACGGACAGAACACTGTGACCCTAGGAAAACACAGCGTTTGCGCATGTCTGCGTCTGTGCACGTTGAAATGACTTAGTGCTGTGAATTTCAAGGTTTCAGAACCAAGTTGTCTTATACAAGTTGCAAAAAAAGTACAAACCAGTAAGTTATAGTGTTTTAACCCTTTAACTCCCAAGACATCATTAGTAATTCTCTTAACTGTCTGGCATACAATTCTTACGATGTCAATTTGGAGAATTTGGTATTGGATCAACTAATAATTCCATAATTGATATTTTACTTCATTCTTATCACTTCTATGCTTGATATTGTATTGATATTTTAAGGAGAAATTCTCTCTTGGTCACTCATGGGAAGTAAAGGGTTAAAAGTATATGATCTGTTTTGGTAAAGGTCAAAACAGAAAGGTAAATTAAGAGTGTACCCGTACTAGAAAAAGGCTTGTGTTTAAAAATTCTTGAGTTTTCTTTTTCAACTACTTTTGTTTCCTTTTACAATTTATATGAACATTTTAATTTCCTACGCTCATTTTTTTTAAGACAGCGATTGTTTGTTATGTTTTTGTTTGACATTTTGCGTAAGACATTGGCGCGCGGCCGATCAGAATTAATCATCCATGTCCAATACCACCGTTGATCCCCTCATGCATGCCTGACGTTTGACCCGATGTCCCCAGTTTAGCGGTTATCATAGGTGTCAGGCTTTTAAAGTATGAATGCTAAAAAGCCTGAAATTGACAATTGGACGGCAACTTAACGTGTTGCTGCCGGACTTTTTTACAGGGAATGAGCCTGATGGTCCGATAAATACTTCATAATTTGCTCTTTATGTAAGAAGCTGATCTTGCCAAAAAAGCTTCCTTGACCTCTTCCAACTCCAAGTAATAGCGGACAACAATATTCTAAATGAGGCAAAATATATGCTTTATAAAGGCGGCACATTACGTCTAAAGGAATAAACCTGTAAATCTCCCGTAACACAGAGGCTTTGGCACACGCCTTTTTACTTGTGGGGACACATGAGCGACAAAATTGAGCTTACGATCTAAAGTAACACCAAGGATTTTAAGTGTATCATTAGCGTTCACTTCATTGTTATCTACACTGAAGTTATAGCGATATGGTACTGGACCTATAGTCATTGCCTGTGTCTTAGATGCATTGATCTGTCGATAGTTTTGCCGAAGCCATGTTGATAATATATGTAGATCAGAGTTACAATATATTCTAAAACTGGAGGGGAAGCGTCCGATCCATATTCAGTAGTGTCATCTGCATACAACCGTAGAGAGGTATTTGTAACCTAAAGGTTCCAGTCATTGATGTAAATGTTAAAAAGCAAAGGGCCCAGCAGGGACCTCTGAGGGACCCCAGCTTTGATAGGTTTCCAGTCAAAGTAAATTCCGTCAAATCAGACTCTCTGATAAGTTTTCTTTAACAGTTTCTGTAGGCAAATTTATAAGTGCGTCATTATAGCTTTTGAATGAGACGGGGCATCCTAGAAAAATAGCTTTAATGATACCGGATAGGTTTTTAATTTTATAATACGATATTAATTATTAGTTAACTTAGCTGGGCATAATTAGGTATCTCTTACTCCTAGATTAAGCTGAGGGATTTTACCATGTATAAATAAAGTTATGTATCTATCGATCATTAACGTGCATATTTGGCAAAAAAGTTCAACTGCATGGGATACCATGGTGACAGACTTCATGTGATCCATTGGAGATGAATTTTTTTATGTCTGACTTAATTAATTGTGAAGTTTAAGCCACAAAGTTTCACCAGGTAATGTGCTCTAGGTTTCACTTAACATGTTATACCGTTAAAATTTTAATAGGAATGCGATTTGAAATAAATGTAAAGTGTAAGCATCTGACCAGGGACTGAGACTGGTCATTATTCATCAGAGGGTGGCAAAGGATTTTGGTTGTGTCATAATAAAATTTTCGTGCAATTTTTTACCCTGTAGACTCCGAATATCTTGTCCTTTTTGGCAGCTAATAACCATTTAACCCAATGAAGGAGAACCCCGCCTCCCCTTCCCCCCCCCCCCGCTCCCTGCCCCTAGCGCGCGCCATTTCCCCCTCTCAGCCCCTAACAGGATGCATATTCAAGAACATGAAAAATATAAAAGACTTCACCCTTTAACTCTTAAGATCTGATTTTTTGCTTTTGTCTCTATCTGCAACACATATCTTTGTAAATTAGTGACGAGAATTTGGAGTTAGATCAATATGACAATAACAATATAACAACCATTCTCCCTGATAACTTTGAGTATTCTCATTACCTGTTTACTGGATAATGTATTGATATTGTTGGGAGACTCAACATGTCAACCACTACTGGGAGTCACAGGGTTAAAGGCATCATTACAAAAAGAATCTAATAGGATTCTGAATTTTTTAAAGCCACTGCATTTTATCAGTGGTTACAAGAGATCTTAAGGAGATTTCCCCTTTTGATCTCCTGGATGGTTATATCAAAAGTTTCTTTGACGAACGAAACAAGTAAGCGGTAGTTGCAGAGAAAGACAAACATCAGTGAGATGACAGCGATATTACAAAGGAGAGAGATTAGTTTTGATGGTGGAGATAGATAATTTTTTTTCCTTCGACTTTTTTCTCTGTGAATACAGTTAAGAGTACCTTAGAGGATAAGTGGTTTGATTGCATGTTACATTTCTTGACAAGGTGACGTGACATCGTTGGGACCCCTCCTTTGCTTATTGAGCCAAAAAATTGACCCTTTTAAGAGCAATTCATATGCTTATAAAACGTTTAAAACGGTTCCTAGAATTATTTTTTATTTCAGATTACGATTGAGTGTTTTTTAGGAAGATAATCCCCACCTTCTCTGACTCACTTCCACGGTGCGCATTAAAAAAAAAAGAACGGTGTACACAAACTGCTTTGACTATTATCTGAAAAATGAAGGAACTCCTTCAATTGGTGGGTAGTTAAAACAAATCTTTCCCGGATTATGTTACAGACGTTTTCTAAAGACATGGTCTGCAGCTTTCACCGCCCCTTGAGATCAGCTAACGGAAGTGCGTATCTTAAAGGTAATGCGACCCCTCTCAAATGAAAAGGTCGCCCAACATGATGTCCGCTTAGTTTAGCCAGTATTATAAAATCTCACGTCCACCTGGATATTTTCTTTTCGATCGCTGTTCGAAATGGACCTCAGTGGTAATTTTCAAGTTCAAATCCTCACTTTTGGAGGGCTTCTATTTGTTTTATCTATTTTGACCGCGAGTACCGGAGGAAATGTGCTCATACTACCAGGTAAGGGAGTCATTTCTATATAAACAGCGCAGCGTAATTTTTTTTTCTGAAGACAGACTGCAAAAGCCGGGAGTGCTTCTAGAAACTCGTGATGGGGTACGCTACATGCCGCCAGTCTAGAAACCCGTTAGCTACCTCGAACGAAATAGGTTCTTTTCGCAAAAACAATGTAATTCGCTTGCTTAAAGAAGATGAAAATGGCATCTGCGAAACAATATATCCCATTACAGACTGCAATGCTGAGGAATTTTCAAAGCTTCTTAGATTTAAGAGCCGAGAGGTTAAAATCTAAGCTCATATATAAACCAAGAGTGTGCAAAAACCATACTTTTCACGCTGCACTTATTCATAAAGCTTATGTTTGAGGAGTTAACAGCGGGAATACGGAAAATGTTATTCCTATTTCTTTTACCCCAAGAGAATTCCAATTGCCTATTGTAGTCTATAATTGGATGACAAAGAAATTGACCCGAAAGATCACGATATATCAAAGCCAACAAAAATCACAAAACTGCGACGTGGAACCGCAAACTGCTATTTCTGTAAAACTACTCAAAAAATCAGGAGATTTCTCGTACAATCGACGGATCCTTGTTCATGTTGAGACTTGGAACGAAATTATTCAAAATCAGCGCTAGAATTAATGAATCCTCAAAGAAAGGCCGCAAATAATCTCCAACAAAGCTGCAAAGTTTTGCTTTCACTCGACTCCGACAATTGATTTAATTTGGGCTTTCACTTCGCCATTCAATACTTGAAGAATTGGGCGTTTCTTTCCAAAATTTAAATGTTGTCAGCAGCCTAACCTCGGCTTCGTTTCGTTATCCACCTTCATGCCTTTTGATACTTGAATGACCACATGCAAGGAAAAGGAAGTTACAATCAATCTTTTACAATTGTTTCAGAAACAGGATACAAGACATTATTTGACCTTTTGTTTATGTTGTTTCCCCTAGTACCCACCCCCCCTCAGAATGGCGGACCTGTGACTCAAGGTGAGAATATAATCACTTGACGCAAGTGAAGTCGGGTATCCCGTGTACTTAGCCATTAAATTTAGTGGAACACTGGTCACCCATGCTCAGTACACGAGTACATCTGTACAAAAAAACTTTAACTCAACAGAATTTGAATAAAAAACACGATGTCATTTTGAGACTGATGGGTATGTAGAGGTTACTAAGAATATTGCTCACCGCGCTTTTAAGTCGATCTAAAACAGATTTACCAAGCGAGGTCAACTTTTTTTGGCTATCTTCCGGGAATTTACTGATAAGCAATCGTTTTCCTCACTCAAATCCATGTATTTCTGATGTTGCGTAATAGAAAAGAGAAAAAAGTACAAGGGAAATTATAAATATGGCATAATGCATTTTCCTTTTCTAGGTGACTTGAGACAAATTACTCCAGACAGCAATGAAGCTAAAATCAATGAAGGTATGACTACACAATCCAGGCCCATTCCTTTTTACCCCGTAAAATATGTTACGGCACTTCACTCTTTTAAGTAGTTTAAACGGCTTCATGGCTGCCTAATCTAATTCAGGTACTACACTAATTTCATCGCCACGAGCGCTCTCTCCTCATGAAGTTATTTACATCACTAGGTAAAGGTCCGTTAATCATCACATAACAACATTCCTCGTATCAGGCCAGGATAGTAACAGAATATCAATCCTAAACTCCAGCATAAGAAATAAAAATGCAGGTCATCCGTGTACGTGATGGTTTGTAAGAGTTCCGCAAAGACCTTGGAAAGTTTCTGTTACAAGGTCAATTATTCATTTGATAGGACTCAGCTCACTAACTAAGTTGTTCCAAATCATTCCTGTCCCAAAACGCGTATTCTTGTCCTGCTTCGACTTTCACCACCGATTTCACGACATTTTATCAAAATTCAGACCACGAACGACTTCAGACTCTGAGACTCTGAGAGACTCTTAGGGCCTGTTTACATGGAGGTGGGGGACCCCAGGTAGGTGAGGTAACCCGCCTAGACGTGGTCGAAAAATAAAACGCGTTTACATACAATCTTACCACCCCGGGGTGCTGAGGTGGGGTTTCTTGAGGTTGTTGTTGCGCTTGCAGTTAAGGAGTTTGAGCAGAGGCTTCCCAAGCTCACATCTCGAGAAAGACGAAAGATTAATTCTCGCACACATATGTCTATTCATGAAAGCGTCACGCGTTGTGTTACGTGGTGTTTGGTTTCGCGAGGAACCGTTGACTTATTACGTTACACGGAATAGTTTGGGAAACCAAATATGGTCGATAAACAGCGCTAAATATTCCGAAATGTGTACATTTTATACTCCCTGTGTGTCCGTTGCGGTTTCTGGTGATTTCTGCTATGAAACGGCTAAGAAATGTACAAATTTTTAAAACATTCATGTCTCGCTTTTGAGCTTTTTGACCCCGGCTAGGCGGGTTACCCCACTTTGAGACATTTACGTGGCAAATTGTCACCCCGGCTGACAGTGTTACCCTATACCTGGCAGACCAGGCAACCTGCCAAGGCGGGTAACCTCACCTATCATGTAAACGTGATCAAGATAAATAATGGTAATTGAACTGAGTGGAGTGCAATTTGGGCTGAAATCACACGCGTGATTTCAAAATCGAACGAGCGCGTAGTGCGAGTTCAATTTGAAATCACAAGTATGATTTCAGACCAAAATTGCACGACACGAGGTTCAATTACCACTTTATTACATCCATTTTGAAATCGCCCAAATACAGGATTTGGTCAGTCAAATATTTTATTGATGTAGTACTGAACTGGTTTGAAATTAAATTGATCCATTTTTGGGGGGGAAGATAAGAGTTTTGGAAACAAAAGTTGCAAAAAAAATGCGATTTAAGACAAAAAATGGTGCGATTCGTGAATAAATCGCAGCAAATAGAGCCGATCAGGTTACAGGGACCACCAGTGATTTCAAAATGGGTGTAATAAAAGAAGAAATTATATGGACAGGCGGGTTACCTCATCCACCTGGGGCTCCCCTACCTCCATGTAAACAGGCCCTTAGACTCCACGAAAATTAAACCTTCAGATCTTCTGTGTACATGATGGTATTTAGAATTACCGCCCTGATAGTGACATGGATTTTTTTACAAGGTCAAATCTTTGATTAAAAAAATAGACCAATAGCACAAAAAATTGAGCAAATAAATGTTTTGAGATTGTCTGAATCAACCACACCATAGATATTTAACTCAACTGCCTCGATGTGAAGTTATTCTTTTTCCCCCCCCCGACCTTATAATTTATTCATTTTCTTCCACTAGCTATTGTTTGACAGGTGTCAACCGCTCTAACCCACCCATTCTTCATTTGCTTAAGACATTTCTAGTTTTATGTTTGTTTGCAGTATCTCAAGATTTTAATGAGTAAAAATTATGCCAAGAGTAAAGAATGCTCTAAAATAAAAAGAGCTTCATTGAAAGTCGAACTTTCTTGACATGTTTACATGACCAAAAATAACTTTTAATTATCGTTCTGATGCCATTTTAATAATTGTTTTCTAAATAATTTTTTTTTTTTTTTGGATTTTACAATACAACCTGAAACATCCAACAGCTTTAGAAATTTTTTTTTATTGAGATCTTTCATCGTATTCACATCCAGCTTACTAAATGATACAAATACTATCCCAAGGATTTTCCAATTTTCTCATAAACAAGAGTGGAATACACTCTTAATAACTTCAGTAGCCCGCAGTGATATTTCGTAATTTATGCGATTGAAAAATATTAATTCACCAAAATCAACCCTAACTTTTGAACATAAGTTGACCATTGACTGAGGAGTCTGATACGTGAGTTACCAAACATGCGCTATGTTCAAGTATCTAATGATCTACTTATAAAACACCCCCTTCCAACCCGAGGTTAGAAAAGCACTTGAATGGAATTAAGAGTTAAGCCTTTGGCTCCTAATCAATCTTCGTCTGCTTCTTGTGTTTTTCAACAACAGTAGAAGTTAAGTTTGCTTTTTGCTTACTTTACAGTCCTCTCCGTACATCCCCCCTCCCCACCCCCTCACTATCTACCAAACAGAGGAAATGTGCACCACGCGACAGTTACACGAACTCATCGGACACAAAGGATCAGGAAGTTGAAAGAAAGGGAGGCAGGGGCTATCTTGAGCCTAACTCTCCCATGTTGCAACCCGATGCGCGCACTTACGTTACCTTAGCGACATCTACTTTTTGGGACAAAATGTAAAATCTACCATTTTTTCCTCACTTTTTAGTTTTAGGATACACAGGTCCAGATATACTGCTTGGAGATATCATCTCAGATGCTGAAACCCTAAGGTTTATAACTCCAAATACCCGCAATGCCATAACTTACCCACATGGCTTGTGGCCGAGCAACACAGTCCCCTACATCATAGACAGAAGCATCGGTGAGTATTCCCAGAGCGATTACAACCCACCTCTAGTAATCGATGCAATACAAAAAGTTTGTGGTAATTACTGGATTTAAGGGTCTAAAAACACCTCAGATGCTGAAACCCTGAGGTTTATAACTCCAAATACCCGCAATGCCATAACTTACCCACATGGCTTGTGGCCGAGCAACACAGTCCCCTACATCATAGACAGAAGCATCGGTGAGTATTCCCAGAGCGATTACAACCCACCTCTAGTAATCGATGCAATACAAAAAGTTTGTGGTAATTACTGGATTTAAGGGTCTAAAAACACCATAATTCCTGGTGTATCCATGGGGAAGGTTTGGGAGAAGGGCGGGGATCAGACTTATGTGACAGGATTGCAAGTTGCTAATTGATATAAAGTGTTTAAAATTTCCTCGTCGTGAAATATTTCTTAGCTTATTTAAACTCAAGTGTGTAAAAATATTCATGATCTGTTTTCTGTCCTGGATCAGCCACTGGAACATCTAAAAATGACATAGTTCAAAATGAAAACCAGATTAGAGGCTTTCTTGTAGAACACGATTTGAAAATCCTAAAAACTTGACTTTGCGAAATCGGTGTAACAGTTCCTCTCAGCGTTTCGCGAACTCTAAAATGAACAGAGGTTTCGCTCATTTCAGTGTTCTCGTTTTTTCCAGTTAAGGAGTCAACGTATGTTTTACAACACCATCTCACACAAAAGGAATAATCGGCTGATGCAGAGAAAATCAAGACTTCTAATACTTACATCTTACCTCGTTTCTGAGTCATTTTGTATGTTTGTTTACAATTTATAAATGTAGGACAACAAGGTGTGAAAGCCATCAACGATGCCATCAAAGATTATCATAGCCAGACATGCCTGAAGTTTGTCTCCAGGACCACTCAGAGAAATTACATCAGATTTACTGTCGGTGGCGGGTAAGCAGGAAATTTCTCTCTAAAGTAAAAGAAGCACATACGCTTGTGTAATAGCACCATATGTATTGCGTTTAAAAGTAGATCTAAATACTTCTTATTATATAATCACATACGAGAATAACTTCAAATATACTAGATGGGACAGCTCTAAAGGGAAATATCATGGTATTTGGGTTTTGTTACCAGGGTTATGGCACGCGTTAAATATCAAGCACAACCCGCGCAGTATAAATTGCTAGGCACCGATCTGTGCGCCATTATTATATCTGCGTTGTGAAAATTTGTACTTCACAAAAACTATTAGACCATTAAATCTCTGATAAACTAGTTTTAAGAAGGTTACAATATTTTATTACATAAATTTATTGCATAGGCTGTGCACAAAACTTTAAAATGACTATACATTTATAGCCAATACAAACCCCTATACATAATAAAATGTCAGTATGATCAAAGGAAAAAATTATGTGCCATACATCTGCAAGAGTTCATGTAATTATTTTAATTACATGAATATTAACTGATACTAGGAATCTAAGAATATTCAAAAGAAAATAACATTTGGTTTAAAAATTAGAATTCAGCATAGGCCGGATAATCAAGATTCCCAGAAAAAGAAATGTGTACTAATGAAAAAGTGAAGCAAACTTTCCTACAACACCTGCCTGTACCTGTACAGCAGGTATTAAAGTCATTTAAAGTAGTCATAATCCTGGTTTTTATATGTTGAAAACCAACACACATGCAGATTTCCTGTAAACCTGTAGTTCAAGCCTGTGATGACTTTGAAATTTCAATGCACACCTCAAAAGGATAACAAATAAAATTTCAAGTTTCTATTTATTCAGTTTAAGTTAGTGGGATAAAATTGAGTCAAACATTCATACAATGACTGGTTCAGGAAGTTTTAACGACTAATTTTTAAGGTTAGCCTACCCTGAACAATCACCAGTTTTATAAAGGGCAGACAAATTGCTATCCAGCAGATAGGTGATAGCAAAACGCATAGGGTTATCCATGGGATAGAGTTTTATCCAGTAGATAGCACTATCCAACTTCCGCACAACCAGGGCCAGGTTTGTCCTGATAATGCACAAAAGAACTATCTGTGGTAAGAGGGCATGCTTTCCTTTCTTCATTTAAATAAATACTGAGGTTATCATCTTTCCACAAGCTCAGTGGAAAGTGAGAGTGATTGAGACTGATATTGACTATGTTATTTGAATAAATCTCCAGAGGAGGTTTAAATGTAAGATATGGTCTGCACAACTCTCTTATTTTTATTTTTTAACCGATAAACCTAAGGCATTTATATTCTTGCTTTGTGCATTATGTGGACGCCAATTAATTTAACTTTCATGGGTTAAAATAAAAACAACCTTCTCTTCATCTATGTGCCCTAAACATTATGGGGAAAGAGGTAGGTCAAAGTAAAAACATGAATTAAAACAGGAGGGTCCCCATTAATTTCAGTCCAAATTAAAGGAGGATTCTTGCCTTTCCAGAGTCCAGCCCTTTAAACTGGCATATGTTGTGACCAATTCTGTATATGAATGTTTAGTTTGGGTATGAGCATTGATAAGAAACACCATGAATTAATGAAAGCTTGAGAAAGAGTATTTAATGCAATCTAAATAATAATATTAAATGTTACAATGCAGTAATTTACACATCAAAATTATATAATCACACAATTCCAAACAAAGGAAGTCAGGTTATTGACTCACCTGCTTCAACTTTGAGGGCTTAAGGTACAGAGAAATAGATATGGTAAACAGTTACCATTAATACAAAGTTGAAAGTTTGAAAGCTAAAAGATGTACATTACAATCACCAGACCCTATGCATCCTAGCAAAGAAAGGGTCAATTACCACCATAACTTCTCCCAAACATTCATGCTTACTGGAAATCATTAATTTTTGTCACTAGGTAGTATTGTATTTACAATACTTCTATCGACACAAATGCATTTTTCTAAAGTTATCTCATACCATATGACTCTACAGGTCATGTGGAAAGTTCCTGCATGGGGACTGACATTTCAATTACCTCAGCAAACTGTAATCATCAGAATTGCAAGCTAAGGTGTATTTACCAAGTGCTCAAGTTTCCAAATTAGTCACCTAATTGTTAGAATGGAGTTCACTCCTTTTTGAGGCTATCTTCAGCTCAATCATCCTGTTACATCTGGAAACATCAAATATGACTCACATATTCAAATAATTACCTGAATCACAATTTATAATTTTTTGAACAACCTGCTTCCTTTAATTGTGCTCCAGAAATAGTAAATGGTATTGAAGAGAAAAAAAAAGGGTCCTTGAAACGTTCTATGTTAAATGAAACTTTGAATAAATGTTCATTGTGATGGCAACCAAAACATCTGTGAAGCTATTAATAAGAACAATTATCTTTCCATGTAAACAAACCATAATGAAGCATGATACAAATAAATTTAATCTCACCCAATTTGAATGTAGCATCCAAAATCTAAATAACTGGTGAATAGGAAAAAGTTCAATGTGTTTTTACTGCTTCTGTCATTCTAAATGTTACAAATCAATCACACCACCACTTAACCCTTTAACTCCTAAGAGTGACTAGCATCTAATTTCTCCCAACAACATCACCCCTGAATCATACATCAAGGTCATGAGAATAAAGGAAATGATCACCAACTAAAGAAGCTCTTGATTGTTAAGCAAATTCTCCTTGTTAGCATCTTAGGAAATGTATGGAGAACTGTATGAAGAATATGTATACTGATGTTAGGGTGTAAAGGGTTAAGGATGATTTTTTTGATGATGTGTCCTTTTTCCTATGGACATCTAATTTTAGTATCTATCTTTTACTAGCTGCATGATTTAAAAGAAAAATCAAGTCAGCTACACTGGTAATTTGACACATATTGCAGGCAAACCCTACGACTGATTAAATTTTGTTTGATCAAAAACATGAATGGCAATAGAGGAAATTAGCTAGTACAATTCAAGCTTCCCTTCTTAAGTATTCTGTCATGTTTTTTCTATCATATGGTAAAGTTTAATTTATTCATAACATCACACTCTCATCAAAGTTTTTGTTACATTTGAAAGCATAAGAATATTTTAATTAATCATTAAAATATAATGAAATCCCCAATTTTAACCCTAAAAAGTCCCGCTAGAGATCTAGACAGAATTTCTCCTCACACTATCAATATGATATCAAGTAGACAAGTAATAAGAATAAAGAATGGAGGAAAACATTTCAACCAACATGGCATCTTGTCACGTGATTGCAAACCAAAAATAAACCTACAAATGTCTTCTTCATTTTTGGAGTTAAAAAGTTAAGGCAATTTGTCGGATAGATACAATCGTAACCTGTAAAATTTTACACACCTGGCAATCCTCTAAAATCGCCTAGATGGGATCTTGGTTCAGATTGCACTGTAGAGGTCTTACGTAGGCGAGGTAGAGGTCTTACGTTGTCCCAATCCCGCACAGTCGCGTTAAAAGTGTACCGTGTATCCTGAATTTGGGGGAGGAATAATCCTTAACTCAAAAGGGCCCTGACCTCGTTGAAGTATTTCAAACCCTCCACCAGCAATTAACTTAAGGTAGCTTTCTTCTTGCTTCGTCATGACATCTGTTGCGTTGGTCTTGCTGTTGAAGCAAATTTTTTTGCGGCCTTGACCAGCCTGTTGCAACTGGATTTTAAATGATCTGCCACGGACTGCCAACTGCTTTTTATCTGCTAGACAAAAAAATTCGTGGGTCCATGTATCTCGTTTGAAGAACAATACTGTTGTGTTCCGTTTCCTTCTTTTAGTAGCCGGAGCTGACGACGCCGACTGCTATCTTGCGCGAGCCGTGTAAAACGGCTGAAATAAATTTCGAAAATTTTCTGGTACTCGTCCATCGGTTTCCCGTCTGTTCACTGACTACTGCACCGTACCTTGGAGAACCATTCTCGGGACTCTGGGATGTGTGTTCCCTTATAAGACGGGTCGCCTTTTCTAAAATTAATTATAAATTCACCACTCTTTCACGAAGAGCCACCATGTTTCTGACCAAGGCAGGGGGACAGAGAGGAAATATATGAACATAATTATAATTTTGGCGGGAAATAATTTATCTTGTCCAAAACTCGTTTCTGAGTGCCATGCCGAACTGCATATTACCTTGACAAAACACCATAATGAAACGCACGCTATGAAAATGACAAATCATAACAGCAAAACTGCTTTTCCCAATGTCGAAATTGAAGAATACTAAAATGCAATGGCAAAATAGCAAAGTATAATAGCCGAACGCCAAGGTAGAGTGACAAATCAGCACATTGCAAAAGCTCCTCCTCTTCTTCCTGGGATCCTTTGTGGTTCGCTTCTCTTTGTTGATGACCCTCGACTTGCTTTACCCCTCTTATTTCTTGCTTTCTTTTGTCGCTCTCTCTCTTTCCGGCCTATTTTCACTCAAAACCCTTTCTCCACGCACTTGAATTATAACAATTTCCTCCGGCTGACAAAGCTCCAGCTCTGCCGGTATCTGCTTTTCGAGTTAATTCAAAATTGCAAAATACTGAGAATTACTGTTCAACTACAACCTCACCAGTTCGATTTCCACTCAAAACGCGTTTTGTAAATTAATTGCTTACGCGGCTTCATATCTACCAGCTCACGTGAAGCACTCGTCTAATGCCTAACCGTGTGCCCGCGGTAAGCTGCACTCAAGCTCGGTATTCGAATATGCACACTTCATTGTGACCTGCCAGTGTCTCCTGGCACAAATGGGGTATCCTAGTTACGCGCCTAATTGCGCCTGCGCATTACCTTCTACTTTGCCTTTCCATTACGTAATAGCTAGGAACGCGCCTGCAATGCACTTGGCCTTGCATTCTAAAAGTAGCACCTTGTATGGTCGGTCGAACGGTCGTAAGTTCAAATTTTATTCGGCTACATGGGTTACTACTATTTCATATAGTTATGGACTATGCTGCGCGCGTTGCGAACTCCGCTATTATCTGCCAATCGCCTGTAAGTGGTTGCAGCTTGACTGGCACCCGAAGCAGGATCCTGTTGCAAAGTATTAAGCTTCATCCTTTCTTGCGTATTTTTCGTATTCTTTCGCTCAACTACGCCTATACTAGTTGTCCACCTTTCTCCTCCGAATCAAAACACCACATAAGGAAGTACAAGGTTCACAAATTTATCATCTCTTTTGACTGATAGGTGCTCGTCATCTGTAGGTCGCACAGCACGTGGAGAGCAGAAGATAAACCTTCACCGAAACTGCTGGTTCAAGGGCATTGTCATCCACGAAATAGCGCACGCAATTGGCTTCTTTCACGAGCAATCTCGATCAGACAGAAACAGTTACGTCAAGATCCTGTACGAGAACATTGAAATAGGTGAGAAGAGGGCTTTGTGATACTATGAAAAAAGCTATCGCCTTAGAATCACCACTGAAAATAAATTATAAAAGCTCCAATAAGACATTTTACTGAGCCAATCTATGGTCGGTAAGTTAGTTGAGAAGGAGGTTCTGGAATCTCCCTTTTCCCTGTATTCCAACTGGTTTTTTTTCCTATTACCAGGCCTTTGTAGCCACTTTACATCCCTTCTTTCAGGTCACACATATGCGTTGGCGCTCGTAAACTTATAACTTTTTTTTTTGTTTTGGTTTTTTTTTGTTTGTTTGTTTGTTTGTTTGTTTTTGCTTTTTTTTCCATTTTTGCGTTTATGCCTCGATCTTTTAACATAATATTTTTCGTAAACACCTGTCAGAGTCCATACACATAAATACACAAAAACTTTACACAAAGTTGTATTCCATCAGGCAAAGAAAACAACTTCGACAAATTCGATCAAGGCGAGATCCAGCATTTGGGAGAACCTTACGACTATAGTAGCATAATGCATTATGGGCCGGATAGCTTTACCCGTAATGGACGACCAACCATCATGGGATTGAGGAGTGGGTCAAACCAAATGGGTCAGCGGAAAGGATTTAGTGCTAATGACGTTCGGCAGATCAATAAGTTGTACAAGTGTCCTGCAAGTGAGTTTTGATGTTAAATACCGTAAAAGGTTCAAACACCAAGACAATTACACTCTACCTTCCACATGCATTACATGAAGCGTATATCCCGTGTGAGTGCCGTAAAACTCAAACCAAAGTAATCACAACGGCCACTCAGAAGAAAGGAAAACACCAATGAGAATTTAAAGTAAAAACAACCAAATTGGCTAAAGCGCGGGAAAATGCGGACAACCAACTCGTGAGAGTAGTCGTGATTGGTTTTAGTTTTGCATCCGATTGGTTGGAAAAGTGGCACGAGTTTTCTAGACCAATCACAGATCGAAATAAAGAAAACTACAGCAATTTCGGATTTCTTTTTACAGTCAATTGAAAATAATTCTATGAGGACAATTAAATCTGAAATAGGTATCAATTCTCGCACGCGTCTTTCTCCATTACGTGGGATAAACTAAATAAATAAGGCAAAGCTGAACTTGATCAATTTTCCTCCTCTAGAGCCAGTTGCCCCAGGTCCAGATGAGAATTCTGTTGGTGAGTAATTTCGCACATTAAGTGAGTGAGAGGAGCTGGAGTGGGGCGGGGGAGGGGGATGGGGGAGGTGCTAGTGAATGGCTACCCAAACTGACTCTGAATCCACCAGATTAGAAACAATTCCTCGCTGGAAACCTAGCCAAGCTCATTGAGGTTGAGTAAAATGGTAGTGCCTCTCTAGACAAATTCGAAGTCCATCGCGAATTTTCCTCCCTCCCACTTCCACTTCTCATTTCTTCACCATTCCTTAACAGCTCGCCGGTACTTTTTTTTCTCCTGGGAGGGAAGAGGCACAGTGAAACCAAAATGGAGCTTTCACTTCGGGTTCAAACTCACGAACGGTTAGACCTGAAAACAGACGCATTCTTGTTCGCAAATGGTTTGCATACTTGACCGTAAGTAACATTTCTAGCGGGTGCCGGTAAATTTTCTGCTCATGTGCGGTGCTTTTTACTATGTTGTTGCATCCAGGAGGAGTAGTAGTGATACTTGTTGTCGCTTCACGTAACGGAAATCGTGTCAAACTCCGATAAAGATTAGATCTTGAGTAATCACACTAGTCTGTGTCGTATGAAAACCGAACCTTGATTAACGATAATGAGTGTGAGATCATAGAATCATCATAGGAAATGTCACAGTAGCAATTGCCTTCTTACTAGGATTAGAGTGATGTCCGTTAATTTATGTCAGTCCTTTTTTTTCCATAGAGTACTGTAACTTTGACAGTGGTTCGCTGTGCGACTTTACTCAAGCTACTGGAGACCAGTTTGACTGGACCCCCCATAAAGGTCCTACAAGAAGCGGTGGGACTGGACCGAGCACAGATATGTCTGGAAAAGGTCAGCTATTTGATTATCCTATTTTGGAAGGCTTCCTCCTCGTGGAGATTCGGCAAGCCAGAAGGGTAGCAAAAAAATGCTTTGAATCTCTTCTGTCATTAATTCTGCAGCATTCTCAGATCCCCACTGTAGGATCTATCAGATCCGTTGATTATTGGCCGATTTTATAACCATACTTAGTCATAACTTGGTCGATAGTCGGCCCCTGCTGACTCTTGTTTTTCCACAGGTTATTACGTTTACATCGAGACATCCAATCCTCGCAGAGAAGGCGACAGAGCTGTCCTGCTGTCTCCCCGGCTGACGGGACCTTATTGTCTTCGTATGCATTTCCACATGCTGGGTGCTAACATTGGATCCCTGAGGGTTTACAAAAATTCAGCATCGGGTAACAGTGTTGTGTTTTCCGTTGACGGTAATAAAGGAGATCAGTGGTACTCGGCGGAATACTCCTTAACAGGTCCCGAGCAGTTTCAGGTAATGACGAGTACTAGTACGCTCTTTTCCCGAGTCATGTAAACTTTACTAGGATCCTTTCTTCGTTAAAGGATAAAACTCATCGAGCGCCTTTTGATTTATTGGTGCTTCACTAAGCACCAAAGTGCAAAGTGGTTCATTAGCGAATTGTTTTCGTTTTGCATCTGTGTGGTCGAGAGGGTGACACAAATTTCAATACCAATAACATACAGCAAGACCGATACAATCCTGGGTTCCTTCGACATTCAAATGAAAACATCTTCATTAACACCGAAACGCAATCTCGATTTGATTTGGCTCTTGCCACGTCCTGTGAGCTATTAGTTTGAAATATGACAACCCGTGAAATCTAACAACTGAAGAAGAACATCGCGAGGGAATGATAATGTATTTATAAAATTGTAAACTTAATCTGACGTCGTCGATGGTAGTAATCTTCGTGCTACTCACTCCCTGGGCTCCGCGCGCCGCCCACACCTCCCCTCTTTTCTTTCGCTAATTTTGTTTTTTTACTCGCATGATTAACTGTTCGTAGTCTATTGGTGGAATATTTTTCTACTTTTTCCAACACTGTGACGAATTAATAGAGCTGGTCTGATTTGTTCGTTATTTCATTTGATACTTGTAACGTAGATCGATGAACACGACGATAGAGAAGAATAAAATCAAGCATCATCTCAAGTTTATGATAAATATATCGATCTCTAAATACGAGAGCGATCTTCGCATGAATGAACACTACTTAGGAGTCGTGAAAAACGGCCTGAAAGAATTTCAGGCCTGTACGGGATTTGAACCCATGACTTCTGCGAAGCCGGTGTTCCGCCAAATAAGCCAATATTTCGACAGGGAATTTGTCATTATGTTGCTTCGTAATAGACCCGTGAAGTGATGGATAAATGACTGATTACATGAAAATCATGTATGTAAACTGCGGTTTAAGAAATGATTGAGTCATGATCGTTTATATTGATCTCTTTTGCAATGGTCCTAACACGCGTTTTTCCGATAATTTCTGTATACGTTGCAGCTTGCATTCGAGGCTGTCCGTGGCAATGGCTACCGAGGTGATATTGCTTTAGACGAAATTAAACTTGTCCCTGGAAAATGCAACGCATCACCGGGCACCCCTGCTCCACCTGTCATCAAAACGCCGGTCAAACAAAAGACCACACCTGAGCCACCTACTCGTGGAGAAGGTAAGCATGGGTATTCAGTCATAACGTCACCGAATGATTTACCTCCCCACCCAGTCACCTACCCACCCCTCCCTTCCCAACCTCCCCCTTAGAGACTAAACTTCTTTTTTGGATATTTTCTAGTGCACTGCAACTTCGATACAAGGACTTTGTGTCAGTTTACCCAGACTACTGCTGACGAGTTTGACTGGGTTCTGAACAAAGGGATCACCTCAAGCGCGCCGGAGACTGGCCCGAGATCCGATGTTTCATCCACAGGTTAGCAAATAGTTCTTGCATCACGACATCTTCAGGAAAAAGCAAACATTTGTTATGAGATTTTTCTATTTTTTTTTTTTTTGGCGGATTGGTGACCTTTTTGTTTGATTGGGAATTAATTTTCGGGCTGTGAACCTTTTTTTTTTCAACAAAGAAAGAAAGCTAATATTTTCAAGTTTTCAAAGTTATTGGAGGTATAAAGAGCAGATACTGACACTCAGTTTGCATGAAGAGTTTTTCATTTAACCGTAAAGAGTGGAGTTTTTGTAGCGTTTTATTGCATGATTTTTCTACGGTCGAAGCTTACTTTTGCGAATTTAGAACACTCTACAGACTTTTTATGGAACTCGGGTAGGCGAACACAGCGGTCAATGGTCGGCCATGCTCAGAGCATCAATTCTGGTTGGCCACGCGACAATTTCCTGCGCAAACTTTGACAGGAAAACCTGGGAAACAACTGCTGTCACGTAAAAGAAGTGAAAGAAAAATTGAAATGAATATAGAAATCTGTAAAAGGAAACAAAAGGTTCGAAAAGGAAAACCCGAGTATTTTTAAACACAAAGCTTATTTAAGTAGGAGTATCCTGTTGATTTATCAATCTGTTTTGAGCTTTATCAAAAAAGGTAATTGCTTTTAAAACGCCATTAGTTACCAGCTTGTGCAGATAATAGTAACTCGTGTGACCACTGTGTTACCTAAGATTCTGTCCCAGTACTTCATAATAACTTGAGTTATGCCTTTTGTTTTTTCCTCAGGCTACTACATCTATGCCGAAGCTTCATTTCCGCGTCAAAATGGAGACCGCGCCCAGCTATTCTCGCCGAAGCTGATCGGTGACTACTGCCTTCAGTTTTATTATTATATGTACGGAGCTCAGATGGGAGCTCTTCATGTCTTTGTTCTTGTGGGCGCACAGAGGACCAAACTGGGTTCCATCACAGGTGACCGGGGACAAAAGTGGTATAAAGTCGACACCGACATTGGGAGTGCACAGGCCTACCAGGTAGATTTTTTGGGACTTCCCTAAGTGTTTTCAACTAAATCAAAGATGACAGCTTGAGGCGGTCCAAAACAATCCTGTAATCTTGGGACATAGATTTTTCAACAGATCGATAAGATCAAAATTGTTTCTTGACAAAAAGTACTGGAAAAATGCCCAATGTTACTAAACATTATTGGATCGTTTCTCTGACATAGAAAGTTGCCATAGCAACACAACAGTCTCTTTAAAATAACATTGATTCTAGCTGTTGATGCCTGTGACTCAAAAAAGAATTAGATGATACCCATTACTCATTATTGATTACAATCAAATCTAGAATTACATCAAAACATTAAGAGTCATCCCTCTAAAAACTGTTATTAGGTTCAGAGCCATCTTAAATGGTTTACAGGTTAAGGTGGCTTTGCTGATAAGGATATAACACTTTTTTTTTAGTTTGGTTTGTGCCTGACATTTAAGACTAAGAAACATTTGCTTCATCTAATGTGTTGAGTTTTAGGGTATCATTTCCTTTGGCCTTTAGGGACATCTGGCGCGTCTTCATTCGTCTATACTGAGTATTAAAAAAGTAAAGTAATTGTTCAACTGACTACACAGAAGTCCATAACATGACACGAATGCAGAATTGATGGAGAGTCAAAATCACAATAAGACGTAATCGAAATTGTAAAGAAAGTGGCCAATCTTAATCAAAAAGTGTAGTATAGCAAGAAATGCAGATAAAACCTAATCTATTTTAACGTTTTCATTCAATTTTTTTTCTTTTTATTTTGCTCTAAATTTTGCATGCTTTTCTAAGGAGGAAGGGGAAGATGGATGGGTAGTTGTGCAGCTTTTTTCTCATCTAATCAGTTATCATCTTTTTTTCTAATTTTTCAGATAGTTTTTGAAGCAGAGAGAGGCATTGGTTACACTGGAGATATTGCTCTAGACGAAATCAGATTAAAACCAGGGAAGTGCAATCAATTTCGAGTCCAAACCCAGCCCCCAACGACTATCAAAACTACTCCTTTAGTCACACAAGGTACGTGGTCTGTTACCATATCAAACTCTTTCCCCAGTGCGACGAACATTTGTTTTTCTCGGTTCCAGGTGTACGCAACCACTAACCCCACGTAATGCACATGCTCTCCGTTACGAATTTTCAAAATGGCGGACAGGCCAAAGAGGGAAATAAAAAAAACAAAGCGATTTTGCAATGAATACTCAACATACACCCTCGTTAGAAAGGCGAATCCACGGAAGAAAGATACAAAACTGTATGATATTGAGATCGATATGATATTAAATCGATACCGAGGGCCCGTTTCCAACTTGCTAAGAAGTGCATTTAGTTAGCTTCCGCCACGATTACTAGCTTTCTTGACAGCTTTCTGAAGACAGAATACTTTCTTTCGGAAGACTTCTGATATGCCGCTATTGATTATTACACCTCGTACATCTGATTGCTCAAACACTTTGTTTACGATTGTTGAAAGGAACGACTCATTGTTCTCCGTCTTCGTCTTTACATTGCTTTGAAATAGTATAGATTAGTAAGCTGAAACGAAAAATTAATAAGAGAAGTTTACGAAAAATCCAGCAAACAAGATTAAAAAAGGCATTTATTTAGACTTCATAATTCAACGAACTTCACAAATCTTACTTGTTTATCTCGTAAATAAACGATGACAGATTAATTCCCGAAGCGCTTTCTGAGTTTCCCGATCCCTCTCCTACTGCTTTCACGCTTACAAAACAGGAAAAAATCAAAAGGAGGAAGATACAGCTGTTTTGAAACGCCATTTGACGAGGGTAAATCCCCCTTTTTTTTGTTCGACACTTTACATATCAAAATAAAGGAAATTTGTTCATCTTTTTGATTCTGGCAGTACATTTTTAATTTGCGCCTGCGTAAAAGAGATATCGCCCGAGACCCTTCGCTCGGTCGTGTTTTGATCAAAACCGCCTTGTTAATTTCACGCAACCGCTCGGAGAAAAGGTAAAAATGACGAGGGAAAAACTTTACCTTCAAGTTAGAAAATTAGCGAAATAGAAAGCCACAATATTATAGTTTAATATTTCAGAGATACATTGAGTGCTTTTTCCGTAGAGAATCCGCACGATGGTAAAACATTCGAAAATTACACTCGATTTGAATGGGGTGTTGAAGTGGGCGTGGTCACCACATTCATGTTAAGACTATTTGTACCCCATGAGTTTGATATGGATAGAAATGTTTTGACATGCTACAGCTAAAACTTAATCGTGAAAGAACTCCTTTTGATGCCCGATATCGCAAATTATTTTTCCATGGCTCGAAATCTCCTGATTTCTTGAGTTCGGTCTTTGATCCTCGCGTCAGTTCTGGGGGGAGTAGCTTTTTAGGCGTAGTTTTCAACTCCGAATTGATCATATAAAACCCTTCATTTTTTTTTCCAGCTTTTTCAGTGTTCTGCAACTTTGACAGCAGGTCGTTGTGTGGATTCACTCAAGATAACCGAGATGAATTCGACTGGACTCTGAATAAGGGTGTAACAGGCAGTAACCCCAGCACGGGACCAACAGCTGATCTCTCAGGAAATGGTAGGCTGAAAAAAAACTTTGCCATATACAATATGGCTTCCAAATGATTATCTGTTCACTCTTTTGGCCACCTAACGACGATGAAGGTGATCGTAGTTGAATAGCCAGGTAACATGATGAAATACGAGAAAAAGGTTTTCCGTGAAAGGCTTGAAATCTCTGCAAGAGTAGTTGAGACAATCGTTCACCCCATTTTCCTCACCGCCACTCACCGTATTATTACTTCCGGCATCCAGTGAGAGATTTCCCCAATTTCGGGGGGGAAATGCATGTTTACGATCGCTTTCAGTGACCAGCGTCTGTTTCAAAACTTGCCCGCATCAACAAAATTCCAACCGACACTCGCCGATTGGCTTTAATCCCAGCCTTCTCTCACAGGTTACTACATTTATGCTGAGGCTTCCAATCCTCGGAGGCCTGGCGATCGGGCCCGCCTTCTGTCTCCAGTTGTGACTGGCAGGACCTGCGTGGCGTTCCGATTCAACATGCATGGAAGAGATATGGGGACCCTAAATGTGTACGGCAAGGTGGGGCCCATGGAGCAGATTTTGTGGGAACACAACACTGACAGGGGAGATACATGGGAAGGCATGCAGATCAACGTCGAAACATCAGCTCAATTCCAGGTATGCGGCCTACTTAGGCTTCGAAATAGCCATAGTGCAATTATGAGGAATCATAGGTTTTAGCTCAAAGATATCCACTTCGTAAGCAAAGGGCATGAGGGCATCCTTTTAAAATGGGTGCCAAGGAGGGAGGTATAAGAGACGAGGTTTTATGAACCTTCTGAGAAAATGCTCAAACTGGAAATTCATACCATATTTTCTTGTCACATTACTTCGAAAATGTACTTATTCCCCTAAATGTTACTTTCCTGATCATAAATGGTTCACTGTCTTCGCCTCTGTTTTTTTTCTTTTTTTCTGACTGGTTTATCTCACGCAGGTTGTATTTGAAGCTATTCGTGGCAAGGGATACAGAAGTGATATAGCTCTGGATGAGATCTCGATCTATCCTGGCCCATGCATTACAGCAGCTGAACCTTTGGCCCCTACCACAGCCACATTACATACCACATCAAAGATCACTCCTCTTAATGGTCAGTATTAGTGTAACTTTGAACGTTGACCACTTACGTAAAAAAAAATACATTAATTACGTCGTTGCTGCGTAATCCCACAGATCCAAGTATTCTATCGAAGTGTGTCCTTTAATCACTTCCGGAAATGATAAAGAAATGATTTTAAGAACTGATTAAATAGAATCAGACCCACCGCCCCTGCCGCCCCACCCCCCTCCATTCAAAATTAAAAAGGAATTCTATTCGATTTACGAGGAAACATTCCCCACTTTCATACCTTTCTAGTCGTTTTCATATTCCTGCGTGTATATCATGATTATCTCATTAAATAAAGTAAGATTATACGAAAAAAGTCGTACAACAGCGTGGTAATGCAATTTAGAAAACATCCCCTATTGCCAAGTCCTTGAAAACCCGTCTTTAGAATCTGCTTTTCTTTTAGTTGCAACATTTATTTACTCCTGAGGCATGTTTTTAGCTCGAGTAAACGCAGTCCTGATTTAGAAATTTAAAAAATCTTAAATTCATATTCAAACATAAGGATCTTAAATTCAAATCCAATTACGAAGAGCTTGGGAAAAACTGAATTGACTTGGAGATATTTGCTTGTAAAATACTTGGATACGATTTCGTCTCTTTAGTTAATTATGAAAATAGTTGTGCATGTTAATACTCGTATATCTCAAAATAATTTACAGATTTAAGATGTTTATCTGGGTGGACTAAATTTGGCAGATCGTGCTACAAATCCTTTGATGCCAAAATGTTATGGCACGCTGCAAAAGCTCACTGTCAACGAGATGGTGCCTCTCTCGTCGCCATCAATGACGCTTATGAACTTAACTTCGTCAGGAACTTAACCAGGCGAATTTACGGAGACTATGCAGTTTGGATCGGGCTTCACCGAGACTCTCAAGGGGAATTCTCACGTTGGGAGAACGGAGAACCACTTGCTTACACCAAATGGTTCAAGAACGAGCCTGACAATCTTTTCGGAGACGAGAATTGCGTTGAGATGTTTAAATATACTGGTAGATGGATGGATTCCACCTGCACTGGGGTGTCTGCTCGGAGTCATCCTTTCATTTGCGAGAGCGGTAAGATTTGAGTGACTACAATTAATTTATGAAGGTGTTATCTCAAATTTAGTAAACAATAGGGAGGTCCATTTGAAAAGAGAATCCTGCTAAGAATCAAATATGCCCGGCTAGATTGGCCGGAATTCAATTTTGTGCAGCATTTTGATGAAATTGCCAAACAAGGCAAAGTTTTTGAAGCCTGTTTCTCGCGAGCTTCTTTCTCAGTGGAAGAATCTTCGCCTCTCAGAACAGGAACTACCTCGGAGATATATACAAGCATACGTGGTAACTGTAGGCAGTTGTTTATATACCAACACGATGAATCCTGTTATTTCACCAATTCCCGAGCAGTGAAAAGCCTTTCAGCCCTCAGATTGGCTCACAACATCTTACTCCACACTTATAGAGTTGGAGAAAAGTAAACCCCAGTGTCCACCCGGTTGGGCTGAGCTGAGCACCGCCTGCTATAAAGTTTACAGTGGAATTCGAGGGATGTCCCCGTGGGCTGACGCAAGTAAAGTGTGCCAAGCATCACGTGCCAGCCTCGTGAGTATCACGTCGCCAGACGAGCGTAAGGAAGTACTTTCTTTAATGCAGCGTTATTCTGAGGGCATGTACGGCTACTGGATTGGACTAAAACGTTCTTTTTCAAGCACGTTCTCGTAAGTAGTTTGAAGTTTGAAGTGTTCTTCAAAAGTCATTAGAAACCCCATGTGGAAATGAATTTAGCGTTGTTGGTTTCTAAAGCTAATCAGTATAAGTTGTAAATGCTTACCCTAAATTTTCAATATTGCAAATTCAGAAAACCAAAGTAATCCCAGCAACTATTAGAACTAAGGTTTACCCGATGAAAACTCAAAGTGACAACAAGGAACCTTCCTGAGGCGCAGGAAAACGTAAATGACCAAGTCGAAATTGGTTTTAGTTTGATTGGTTGAGAGGGTAGCGCGAGTTTTCTGGACCAATCACAGAGCAAAGTTAAGTTCAACAAAAGCAATGCTTGAAGACTTTCGACGCTCAATTGAACATTGCTGCGCTTAAGATTAAGTCAGGTTCTTTTGATGAGTTCTTTAGCAAGACACTTTACCGTAACAGTGCCTCTCCCCAACCTTAAGCAATAATAAGTACCGACAAAATATCAAAGAAACCTGTGATAGTTTCACCCCCTTCTAGGGGGAGTATTAATACTCCTTTTCATTTCATGCTACAGGAGCTGGTATCAGCTCCGGCTGGATGGGCTCTTGGCTCGGGTGTAAACTTATTTTAAAGCAATGTTAATTACAATATTACCTTACCTTTTTAAAGATGGGAGGATAAAAGTCCCCTGACTTACACCAAATGGGCAAGAGGCGAGCCTAATAACTGGATGAGGAATGAAGACTGTGTTTACATGAGTACACAAGATGGAACCTGGTTCGATTCTCGCTGCTCACGTTATCTACCATTCATTTGCAAATTATGTAGGTGTGATTTTATTCTGTTAAAATAAAGTGCTTTTATTTTTTTATAGGACTTCATCTGCCAAATTTGCACCCAGTTGCTCTATGGTGTATTTTTAAGCCTTAATTTTTCGCACCACTTACTAGGGGCTCGGCTCCCACGACTGGCTACGAGTATAAATGTCTCATTTATTAGGACAGGATTTGCGGCGCAAGAAAAAATCAGATATCTTAGAACTGTAGTTTTCAACCAATCCAGCAAAACTGCGTCCCAACCTGTAACTTGTAACGGTTTACTGATTCAAAGTCCGCCAAACGGTTTCTTTTAGGTTATATTTGAGTGAAAAATTAGCCCCCTTTTTTCTGTATGTCACACCAATTATGTTCAACTGAGTAACAGTTACCATTGAAAAAAAGCAGTTTACAAACACACGGATTACCTACGATCGCGGTGTGCGGGTTTCATGTCACAATAATCAGATCTGGGCTACCAGAAACAGCCAGTGGAAGCGCACCTGAAATCGAAAGTTGACAGCACAGCAAACGAGTAGCGAATAAACACAGTAAACTTCCCCCGTCGTTTCAGTTACAATTGTTCTTCACACTATTTCTTTTTCCCAAAATACAGCTTTAGCACGTGATCGCCCAACAGATCCCACTACCCCTCTTCCGGTCACATGTGGGGTGAAAATGAACGAGACCTCTATATCCTCTGGATTAGCTCTTGGCGTAATCGTAGGGGGAAAGGTTGCAATCCCAGGAGCGTGGCCTTGGCAAGTTGCTCTTCTGTGTAAGACTTGCACTGACCCTAGTTGTGGAGGTACCTTGATTTCTGCATATCACGTGATTACGGCCGCACACTGCATTTCCTCCGACACTGATACATTCGTCAAAGACTACAAGGTGGGTATGGAAGAAATACTCTATGCATCTGTTGCAATCGGCGAGCGTGAGACAAAATAAAACTTATTCCACTTGAGTTTGTAAACCCAGACATGTCCAGTTTCTACTGAATGAGTTACGTACACCATTAACTCGTTGGTTACCTGCTCTATTCTGCTTGGATCGGCAATGTATATACCACACAAGTGAATAGTACTTTTTGCACGCGCTGATTGGCTAGTCTGGAAGTGAATAGCACCACCTCTGAGCAGCCGATGAGACAAAATCGTGCGTCAAGAGTTTAATTTCCAACCATTTTTTTCGGTATACTGAAAGAAATCAACTTATTTTTTGGTATCTGTGTGATATATAGTACAACAGTTATTCTCTCCAATGGGAAAGTGTTAGAGCACCACTATACACTTTCACTTTGGTGAAAAATCGTTCATTATAATCATCATTATCATCATTAGTACCGTTATGATCACTGCTTTGAATACAGATTCGCCTCGGTGAACATGATATCCGAACGAACGAAACTGACGAACAAGACATTGACATAGCCGCCGTTTACAGACACGCTTCCTACGGTGTAACAGCTCTCCACGATAGCGACATTGCAGTCATTAAGTTGGCCTCTCCCGCCACATTCAGTAGCAGCGTAGGACCAGCATGTCTACAAAGCAACAACATAGATTTTCCTCCAGGTAAAAACTTTATAACTAAGCAGATTAAGACCATTGTTGAGCTCGACTAGATTTACTCCAGCACAGAAACAAAGTTCTACTGGAACTAATCCGAATGAGCTTTTCCCAGAAACAAAAAAAGTGATCGAGTCCTAACATCTAAAGAATGAAAGTCGGCCGGGTAAAGAACTGATCGTTTTTAGCAAAGCTGGAAATTTCATCGGAATTTGAAAACAAAAGGGTGTCGGCGTTCTTTTTAGCGAAACCTTTGTGGACTAAATGGCATACTCTACCCATTTCACGTATTTCCGGTCCCTCAAAACTTTTGGTAAAAGATATAAGATTCACTACAAGATGAAAGATTCTGGAGCGCACTCTTATGAAAATAGAGAAGAAAGATCAGAACTAAAGATCCTCGCTTGAGTAAATGCTTCAACGCCTTCCTCTTCAAGAGGTGTATGCGCCAGAGACCAAATAATCCTCTTCTGTGCCACTCAAAAGTGGTTAGGAAACTGTGACAGTGACCTTGTTTTGAGACTCCAAGGAGCAACCGAACCATCCAAAAATCGTCTTCAAATGTGCTTGAACTTCGACTATGGATGCTGTCGAGATTTACGTCATTGAGGCATGTGAGGCAACGAGGCCAGGTTGCTAAGGCGTTTTTCAAAATGGCAGCGCCCAATGAATTCTGAGATTTTTTGAAGACAGTCATCAAACGGTTTGGTTACTCTCTGGTGTTTCAAAACCCAGTAGGCAGTAAATATTTTATGCATACCTATAAAAGACGGTATAAAAGTTTTATAATTGTCGTATGTTTACTGAGCACACTTCTCTCTCTCTCTCTCTCTCTCTCTAACTTTAAGTGAATGTTTCAGTGATACTCGGCGAAAATCTCCTCTTTTCTCCCGTTTATCCACAGATACAGAATGCGTCATCACAGGTTGGGGTCGCACCCGTCGACGAGGCGGCACATCTTCTGTTCTTAGAGAGGCGAGGGTTCCCTTAGTCGGAGACGCAGACTGTAAGAAAAACTACAGACCAGAGCTCATAACTTCCAACATGATCTGTGCCGGAAATTTGGGAGGAGGAATTGACGCCTGTCGGGGAGACAGCGGAGGTACAATAGAATTCTGCTTTCTTAAATCGGAATGAAGCTCGATAGTTCATATGTTTCACCTAGCTCTATCTAGCTCCATATTAGTACATTATTTTTAAGATTCTGCCATTGACATCTAATTCATAGAAACACGGAAAGACTGCTTCAAGGAGAAAAGAACGGGATAGCAGAAGGTCATTTAGGACTTGCGATAGACTTGACTTCTTTTAAGCATCATCGTATGACTGACATATTTCACCAGTCATTTTATCAATCGTTTGATACATTTTTAATTTATGATTCCAGGCCCTCTCGTCTGCGAGAAAGACGGCCGTTGGCATCTCGTGGGCATAACCAGCTGGGGATGGGGTTGTGGTGGCCAGTATTACGGAGTATACACAAACATCGCTGAGCTGTATGAATGGATCAAGGAAAACATGAAATGAAGAGAAGATTGAATTAGAAATTGATCTAGAGTGCAGTTAAAATGTACACGAAAAGAAAGCCAAATAAAGCGTAAGGCCTCTATCCCAAGACTGCAATTAAAATTTTATTACTTAAGTGAACGAAGTCTAGCAGACGGTAATATCCCCTTAATGAACACGATTTGGTTGTGTTGTTTTGTGTTTTTAGTTCGTTTTGTTTTGGTATTTTTCTTTTTGTTGTCTTTTCTGTTGGTTTGTCTGGAAGCAAGGGTTTTCGAGTCTGCCAACAATCGCAGACAAAACTCAGATGCTGTTTAAACGGACTTTCGACGTTCTACCTAAACTGCGATTTGAAGTTTGGTTTGGTAAACCTGGCTCCGGTTAGTTTTTCTTAAGGGAATTCACAAAGTGCTTACCCTTTGACAAGTCAATGAAGAACCCCTAACGGGGAAGCAAAAAGCCAAATCTCGAATTGGCCTAAGACATTTACTTCGCGCGCGTTTTCAGGCACCTATTTCACTCTGACCATCGATTGTATTATCGTATAATTTGCCTAAACCAACTACACACTTTACACTCGTGAAAAAATCTAATTAGTTAAATAGGTAAGCCTCCAATTTTTCCTAGAACAGCCTATTTCTCATTATCTTTTGGTCATGATTATCAGTGGCAGTTAGAGTGAAACGCTTTTGACAACTTTTTAGGTCAAAAGGCGAGAATAAGTTAACCTTTTATTCCCCCAAAGTGACTTGCATCCAATTTGTATTTGTAACAAAGAATGCGTGAAAACAACTCGGACTAACTTTTTTCTTACTCAAACCTGTAAACTGTGTTATCTAAGGACGTCTGTGGACTGAAAACTATTCTAGCCCACCGATCAATTTCTCACGACCAGCAAAAAAGTTTAAGCTAACAAAGACAGTCATTTGAAAATTGTACAGCATAGAATTTACCCGAATCAATACGAAAAAAGGCACTTGGATGCGAATGATTGTACATCGGCCGAGGCCTTCGTTTGAGGAAGGAGAAACACAGGAGGCATGTTTTTCAGCTCTTAAGGATTCTTTCGCAAATAATCGATAACTTTTAATGATCACATAATGCTATTATACTTTATACATTCTGTTAGGACAACACGGTCAGCAAAAAAAACAACACTAAGAGCAGGAAGCCCATTACTGAATGGGCTCCTGACTAAGAATTATCCTTGTCTGTATTTTTCTTGTCTCGGGACTGCATGGCCTTGGCTGCAGATTCAAGTATTCGTCTTTTCCACTCTTCATACTCTTTATCATCAGAGTCAGTATCTCCATCGTCCTCCTTTGTTATTTTGGATGAGCGACATTGATCTACGGAAAAGAACGTCCCATATGGACGAAACAAAATACACTTATATTATTAGACCCCAGTTTAGTGCAATATCGCCGAGTATTTTTACGAGCTGTGTAGTATTTTGACCCGCCCGCAGGGCGAGTCAGAACACAAACAAAGAGTAATAATTAGCAATAATACTCAGCAATGCCACGCACCAAAAGTGTCTCAAAAGTTATTTACTATCCAACTGCCTTGTTTTATAGGGATTTCTTTTTTTTCCTCCTTTGAAACAACTCACGCAGGCGTTGCCAACCTGTCAAACAGGTCTTTTACAGAACAAAATAACAAACAATCCGAATAACCGTGTAAATATCGCAGGATATTTGTGCTCGATTCGCAAATTAGTAGTACTCAAATAAACTATTGTATTATTTATTTTTCACTGCAATTTTACGTGCGTAATTTGTTCTCCACTCTGCTTTAGCCCCACCCCATATCTACTTCATCACCTTTTACTTTTTTAATTCACTAGTTTATTATAAATTTTTATAAGAGTAAAGAAATACTAAGCAGTAAAACCATATATACAACATCTCTTTTTGCCCTGTGTTTTTCTTTTGGTGTTTTGAAGCTTTATAAGGACATAAATGATAATTCCAGATGTATACATATCACACATTTGAATCTTTGGATTATGATCATGAACTAAGAGATTACACTAACCTTCAACTATTTCAGTCACTCTGTCCAGAAGTCCATACCCTCTTTTGGAAGTCTTCCTCTTACTCTCAGCTAGATCAAGAGCAAAAAATTATGAGAGATAACTACAAAAAATTTCAGTCTATTCCCTTTTTTATTCACTTACAGGGTCACAGGTTGTACACCCCTATTGTTTACAAAGTCCCTTACAAAATTTTATATCTGTTTTGCAATTTCTTACAAATCTTAAAAATGATTTGCCAATTAGATAAATAATTTCTAAGGAAGTGAGCGATAATCTCCGTAGGACAACATCCAAACAGTCATAGCAGGAACCAGAAGACAGATTTTCATATTTCTTCTTAGAGGAAGCCATCATTTTAAACAAAAGTAGATCTGTAATGATTTTTTAATACTCTCATCAAAAACTGCAAAGGCTATCTTGCATTAATCTTTGATGATCTTCAAAGAACTTTACAACTATGCCAAGATCTTTCACCCTACACACTGCAACACCAGCATGAAAATTCTCTATAATGGTCTCTATACATTTCCTATGGCACTGACTATGATAGTTTAGCTAAGAACAAGAGCTTTTTTAGTTTTTTACTATTTCTTTAACTGTCACAAGCCTAAAGTTTGGTTCAGCAGTGGTACTTATGTGAGAAATAAGAAGCTGGTTCCCTACTGAGGTGGAAGGTGAAAGAGCCTGGAAAGACAAAAGGTCCATGTACTATTAAGAAATTATGTACTATAAGTGGTCTACACCTTTACAAAACCAACCACTTTAGTTCAGATCTGCAGCTTCAAAAACAATGCTTTGAGCCATGGACTAGAAGTTAAAAGAAATACCTTTCCAAGTAATAGATCCAACCTTTGAGGTGAGGGGGGAAGCTACAATGGGTTGGAGGGGGAGGTGGATAGTAGGAAAGATGTGGCAGGCACTTCAGAAAAACAAAATTAAACCCTTCTTGGTGTAAAAATCAAGCAGAGGAATCAGTTGCACCCCTCTCCCAGATTAGATAAAAACAGGATAGGCAAATCAACCCTTTGCCCACTGAGACTGATGAGCATCTAATCTCTCTGTACAATTTCACCCCTGAATCACACATTATTGTCATGAGAAATGATCATCAACAACAAAAAGCTCTTGATTATTAAACAAATTCTCCTTATTTGCACCCTTAGAAATGTTTTCAGTACAGTGTGAAGAATATGCATACTAATGTTAGGGTGTAATGGGTTAAAAACTCCAAATGTGGAGAATAAGAAAAATGGTTGTCAAATGAAGAAAGTTGACAAATTTATTTGTTTGGAGAATTTAGTATTGACAACTAACCATCTCCTTATTGATGTTTTTCTTTATTTTTATCACTTTTCCACTTGACCATGTATTGATTTTGTGGGGAAAAAATTCTGTCTTGGTCACTCATGGAAGTTAAAGAATTACCTTCACTTGTTAGCAAATTCTTCAATTACCAGTCTCAGTCAAGCAAGCTCTCAATTTATTTGTGCATGGGTGATTTAGACCAGCATGTGTGAGTGAGAATTAGTCTACTCACTTATGTGCATGTCACTCTACTGTCACTTGATTATAAACTGTACTGCTACTCACTGGCTTCAAGCATGTCTGGTATTTTCTCCATCTTCTTGAACAAACTGTCAAATGTTGACCTTTTGCAGGTCCCCAGCACACTCAATAACTTTGTCTTGTCTATTTTGATTTTCTTATACCTGAAAAAATATAAGGCAAGAGTCATTAGAGTTATAGTTTGAATTACATATTTAGTTGACAAAAAAAAAACCACAAAAACAAACTTTTTCAAAACATACCTGCAAGCTGTATAAAGTGCAGTTGCATTAAATATTGGGTGACTCATATCTTCTACTTCTTTTACAAACTCCTGTTTATACCTAAGATAACGTAAGACTAGGTATAAGAGAATTGCAGGTTCAATTCCACCTTGGCCTTTTATATACAAAAACAATAATTGCAATTACAATAGAAGCTTGGGAGGTAATGGAACACAAGGGTAGCAAAGAAATGTTACAAAATAAACTGAGCTGACAATGAACTACTCCAGATATTATGAAAGAATCATGAAAAAATTGAACAGTTAGGTAAAGAAAGTAAATGAGAGAATACATGTAACCCATAACAATCAAAAATGGTTTTGGAAAAGCTGGGAACCCTGTATTTGTTTCACAGGACAGCACTCTCACCTTTTCACCCAAAGCTCCCTTTTCCTAATTCTGTTCTTTTTCATTATCCCCTATCCATCATCTCCCTTCCCTTCCCTTCCCCCTAAACTGTATCTCCCACCCACCCATCTCCTCTCTACTATTTCTTCATCTGCTATTCATCATCTCCCATCTCCTCCCCTCTAAACTGTATCTCCCAACTACCCATCCCCTCACTTCTCTATCTGTCTCCCCTTACTCCCTCTCTCTCTCTCTCTCTCTCTCTCTTTAGTTTCCATTACCTTCCTACCCTTTTTTATCCTTAAATTTCCAAGATTTCATTCATTTAGTAATTCTCCTTACTGTCTGCTATACAATTCTTATGACATTGGTCCTAAGAATTAGGTATAAGATCAACTAATAATACCCTTATTTATATTTTTAATGAGCAAATCAATATTTCTTAGGTAAACTTGAACATTTTGTATTTTAAAACATTTTGAGGGTGACAAGGAGGTGACATCAGATTAGTGATACAATCCAATTTCTTGTCTCCAAAGAAAAGAAGAATTGATAATAAAATATAACCTTAACTTAACATTTTGTATAAAACATTATGACCTCGCTAAAGAGATCTGAACCTTTTACAACCTTGTCCCCAAAAGACAGACATTTTCCTCTCACAGGTGTCAATTTGCAATATCAAGGGTAAAATAGGGGAAAATAACATTCAGGTCATGAGAATAACAGAAATGATCATAGATTCAAGAGGCTCTCCATTGTAAGAGAAATAATACTTGAAAGTACCATAAGAAATGCAGAGAAAACAGTATGGACAGTATACAAACTGATGATGGGATGTAAAGGGCTAGGTATTATAATGCACCTTTGGTGTATTTGCTGTGCCAGGTCTGAAGCCTCCATACAACCAAATTGTACAGCAAGATCTTTAATAGTAAACTCCTTTTGTTTTCCCAACAGACACTCAATTGTTTTAAAGGCATGGATATAAGCTTTCTTAGTCATTCCAGAAAGCTGAATTGCAACATTCTATAACAAAAATAAAAAGGGTGAGACAGTGCACTTAGCTGATACTGAAAAATTGTTGAGATTTTCACATTATCTACCTACATACCTGTTACTAAACATTGGTTCAAGGTCCATACTGTTTGTTATGAACTAAGTTTTTCCGCTGGCATATACATATACGACCCAAGAGAAAAGCATACAGGCCTCAGATCATAGAAGAAAAACAAGGTTCCGTTACATACAATATGGACTGGAAAAATGAAGCTAGTTAGATATTTATCATATTTCTAGGTTCTAATAAAGGGGGAAGATACAGTTGTATCAATGCAACTAGACCTTTGAATTAGGAGGGAAGTGCAGTGAAATACAGCTTGCTGAAATATCCAATCATAGCACACATACTACCTGTCCTGTAATAATGGCTATGACAAGCTGAATTATGGTACATATGATTTACCATGAAAAATCTGATTGGTCATGAGAGCATTTAATTGATATACAACTGCATGTGAAGTTGACATGATAACCCAACATCTGTTGCAGATATTGCACTTATCATTCCAAGTTCAAAGTCTGCCTAAATTCTAGGCCCTTGTTAGAGAGGAGTGTAATATTTTGCATGATTAAAGATGTAAAATAAAACAATCACTGAATTTTTTTTCCCATGATGAAAAATCATATGAAAAATCAACCCTTGTGTCTGTTATCTGCCTTTTCCTTTGGCTTCAGCAGATAACTCAGACCTCAGTTTTGATAATTCATGTCTAGAGTAAGATTTATGCACAGCTTCATACTTCATTATGCCTACAGTTCTTGGATCAATAAAATGATGGCAAAGACAGCAGATTATCTTTGGGACTATGGCTTTGTTATAGAATAGTATGGTGCTATGCAGAAATCTTACTCAGATGTGTATCAGTTAATAGCAGGTATACGTTTCCAAAATACATTGAGAGTAAACAGTCACATTTTTCTGTATCACCCTCTCAGAGTACACATGTTCTTTACATTCCCTAATCAGGTTTTACCACAAACAGTACAAACAACTCATCTCTTTTTTCCCCAGCTAACCCCCCTCAGCCGGACAGGAGAATCGGATTTGAACACAGTCAAACATCATCTTTGACCAGTTTAAAGTTTTATGTTGTATAATTAACAGTTTTGTAGATCGACAAAAATTTATGGAAGAGGCTTTCCACAAAAATTATGAGACAAGACAATGAGATAAACTACGTATCAATACAGCCGTACATAAACTGATAGAAGGGGAAAAAAATGAGTTGCACTTCGTTGCAAGTGACTGTCATTTGTTTTTCGTGGCAGATGAATAAGAAAAAATGTAATGTCTACAGTACCCTATTCATCGGAACTTGTGAATTATTCGCTGCGATCTCGAGACAGATTACAGATTTAGAAACACTTGTTAAATTCATAGAGCAACCACGAACATTCATCAATCGCTCCAGCTCAGCTGCTTTCTTCAAGACATCTAAAGTTGTTATTCCGAGTCTCTTAGACAAAGATCGTTGCGTTTCATTCTCCATTTTGTTTTCCCAATGGAAATTTTCGCGGCAAAAATAACATTGGTGCTCAGTCTAACCTCGAGTGAAAAAACGCTAGTACTTAGTTTCCTCTCCACAACCAAGGAATTTTTCTTCTATAACTTTGTAGAGTTAATGACTTGGGTATAGCCTTTAGCAGTCACGCTTAACCGAGTAAGTTAAACTATTAATATAATTCTTGATCAGTGTTGACGTAAGAGAAACGCTCTATAATCACTAATCAACAAATTAAACAGATGCAAGCTAAGAGCCACCTTATATTTCAGTGTTAGTGGAGCACTTAAAAGTAGCTGTTAACTCCTTCCTTCATGTTTTGTTTTAACTTAGCAGTAGATCTTACCATATCTGATGAGACGAACAGAACTCAAAACTGAATAGGTGAGACCTGGGGGGGGGGGAGATAGGCTTTCGTTAAACCTTGAACCCCTTACGTGATTGAGATGTAGCTTCTCCTCGTAATTTCAATACAATATCTTTTAAGAAAGTGATGAGAATAGACAACTTTTCATTAGAAAGCTGTTTACTAGATATAATTCTAACTCTTTTAACTGATTCACACTGCAATACATATCAGCTCAAAAGGAGAATTACGTATCAGACCTCAAGGGCGTAGCAGGGGAGGTGCCCGTGACCCCCCCCCCCTCCTTTGTGAGCCTTGTTTGAGCAAACAGTATTATTCAGATGGCGAAAACAGATAATTACCCTCTGTTTGACACAGTGTGGACCCCCCTCCCCTTTGAAAAGTCCTGTCTGCACTCCTGGATCATCGTAAGAAGAAATTAGAATTTCAAGTCAGTGTTAGCAGGAAAAAGGAAGATTTGCACCACTGGCATAGTAGGGTGTTTTTTTTAAGGAAATTATCACGACAAGTTGACCAGAGATTCCCCAGTTGTTGCTTTCATTTTATCACTAACTTTTTCAAGAGAGCAACATCCAAGAACTGATTTGCAGTTGCAGTGAAATTATTTATAAACTTCATTGCACTAAAAGTAAAAGAATTTAATTTTTTTTTTCCACAGAACAAAATTAAATCCATTTTTTTACTCAGTCGCCTACCCTGAATAATAATGTAAAGCTTCTTGTGCTAAGTTGTATGACAAAACTGATGTGTTACACAGCAATGGATGGAATACAAACTTAAAGAAGTTGCTGAAAAAGTAAGCATGCACTAAAACTGGTGCAATCCAAACAATATAACACAATCTTAAGAAATGATTTTCATCTGAGTGTTAAGTAACGATTTAAAAGCCAACTAAAATAAAGATTTTCTCACCTCCTCAAGACTCCCTCTTCCAGGAACTCATCACCAGCTTATTTCACATGAAACTTCAGTTAACAAACAGTGACAAAGATTATCATTCTCAGGTATGTTCTACAACCAAGTTTCTTCTAGATGTCAGTTTTCATGCTAAAGCGGAATGAAATCGAAAAAAGAAAACAGATATGAAACATGTCTTATAACAAGTCTGTCTCTGCAGAAACACGATATCACCCGTGAGTCCTTCACATATATTGTATGACGTTTTTCTATCATCATCATTGTTTTATCTACTCATCTCTAAGCTTCATACCTTGGCTAGGGTTCTTTTATCTCTAATAATCAAGCAGCGTGCATGTACCGTCAAAAAATTGTGATAACCTAAGCTATACTCAAATTATTTGAGTTGATGAATAATTTGACGTATGTGAAAAATATTCTTCAGCAGCTATATTTACAGGGCATTTTTTTTTCTGAGAATCTAACCTTCTTTCCACTGACTGTTTTATAGTAAAACAGGGGTTTCAATAACTTTTTCTGTTAGCGGTTGCCGATAGTGTAGTGGGGGAGCTGTGCCCAAAAAGGGGCCTTAAGGCGAAATGCAAACACCGGAGCCCTCTCGCATACCGAGTAGTAAACAGATGGCGGTAATAGGTCTTACAGGCGGTGGTAGACCGCCTTAACTGGCTTTTATTGAAACTCCTGTGTAAAAACTTTGATAAAATTTCTCACTACTAACTTCTTCATAGCGACTTTGGAAGTTTGTATTTGTGTTGTGACTCATCACAAGAGGGCAGGTTGAGGCCTTCGTAAGATGTTCTTCGGAAGATTTCGAGTTCTTTCTTCGTTCTCTCTTGTTTGAGTTACAGTAACTTCCCAAATGCTGTACGAAAAACTATTATGGAAAATATTTCAGCAAAAGCTGTTAAGAATTCAACTGGTATCTTCGCGTGGCATTGCTTTTCTACCGTTGTAGTGTTATAATGAAATTTTATACACCCGTGATGGATTCTGAGCCGAATTGTTTGAAAATAGTGCTCTTAGAAGTGAGTTTCAAAGACGTTTACTCAGCTCATCCAAAGTTAATTTTCAAATATATTTATTGCCTTTTTTACCCGGAACTGATCCGTTTTATCGACAATCAAACAATCAATCAGTCAATCTTACGATATTTATAACCTCGCCAAGGTCATTTGCTTCATTCCTCAATTCTGCTGCGTAAAACCCGTTTTCCTTTAGTTTAAGATCCCAAAAAATCTTCCCTTGAACTGCATGAGTGGTCCACATAGATTTATATAAAATAGATTTTGGAAATGAGCTTTTTGTTAAATAGTGAGTACATCGTAAAAGCAGGTTTGTCTGAAGGTTCAGTTTGAATTTTTAGGCGGCAGCTTCAGAAATCCTGATTGTTTGCAATTATCACAAAAGGAAATCGTTTAGTAACTCACGGAAAAATGATACAAACTAGACCGTGAATCTTTTATGCAGTTATCAGGACTCACGCTAATTATTGTATGGTGTTGTTCTTTAAAATGAGTCTTCTTATTTAACTCGATGAATTTTGAAGTGTCCCTCGTGTTCTGTTTGTATTAGCGCAGAGACCTCAAGTTTTAATGTTTTACCAAAGCTGTAAAAGCTAACTTTACTATTCACCTACAATTTTATTTTTTCATTGCAAGCAATTTATTCATCACCTTGAAAATACCCTATGTGTTATCAAATGTTTGATAAGGTGGATTAAAAAACCCCTTCATTTTACAAATGAATAGCACCAATTAGCCCCGGGAGCATTACTGCGTCTGCGTCATATTGTTGTTATAGCGTGTATGGCCGGCTGCCGCAGTCAACGTGTAGGCTGAACAAGACAAAGATTGTTCTAGTACGGTCGAGGGGACAGAAGTCATTTCACTCGCTGGGTAAGTATTATTTATGCGACTTGGGAGCGCTAACGCAGAAAATTTTCCGGTTAGAAAAGTATACTAAAAATTCCGATCGACAGGAGAAAGAATTGCCTACATATACTAGCCGCACGGAACTCATATACCAGAGCAAAATCGTGTAAAGCATCCAAACATACCGCAGTCTCACAAACCTGTCGTTCTCCCCAGTGCATAAGGCCTCGCTGAATTTTGACCATTCGTAGCCCGGACCCTCTTAAGACTGATCTGTTACGAACATCTCACCGTGCATGCTTTGAGGCAGCTCGTAGCGAACGCTTTCAAGCGCTTAAGTGGTCATTACTAGGAGAGAGACAGTTCAAGGCTGATCAGTTATCTGAATAAATGAGACACTTATACACACACATAGGTAACAAAAAACTCCGGATACAACAATCGAATGCTCCATCAAAGCAAAATCGACAAAGAAAATTTGAAAACGTTCTGCTAAACTTGCAGAATACAGTTGACTTTATTTTAGTCGCTTCGTGCAACGTGTTCAGTGTAATTCCGATCTTGCTAAAGAGATTTCTTAATGTCTCATTTAAAATCGTTCAGTTTAGGACATTCTTCCACAAAATTAAAAGCAGCTGTTGCACTTTCGGACCTCAATTTGACTTACAGTAATTTTTGCCGGCAAACGTATGTGCTCACTCGCTAACAGCATAGACAGTTTAAAGATCTCATCGAAGAGAGTACAACTCGCTCACTGAGACGATAACGGTGACTCTCGCACAAGCAAACAAAGACATATATGAGAAAAAGAGAAATTTTTCCAGAATCTGTCGTGCAATTACATTGTGCGTCAACTACGACAATTCAAAATCTGATAAACGTAAAATTATATCTAGCAAGAGCTTCATAAACACTCAAACCTATCTAAATATAGTTCGCGACACACCTTAGATTTGAGCCACGAAGAAACCCATAATAAAGAGTATTCCAAAGCGGATTAAAAAAAATTAACTCACACAACCGTCATTTTTTTTACTCGACAGTCTTAATTGAAAAAAAAACTTTAAGTCCAAGCTTAATTTTTAGCTTAAGGAGAAAGGTAAATGAAAGATCCTTTGATGCACCTTCCTCGTTGTGCATGCATGAATTATTCAGAGCAAATTATCGCTCCTCAAAATCAAACTTATACAGTATTTTAAGACCAGGATAACCCTTTTAAATATGAACGACGATCTGGTCGACTCTAACGAAACAACCAGAGGGGTGCAGTCTGTTCACTGTTAAGACCACATAGTTAAAATACACGAATTTCAAAACAAAATTTTGCCGGGTAGTTCTCACTTTACAATGAAACAGGTATGTATTCCTCATTTCAAGTTAGCTTAGAGGCTGTGGTTTGGTGTCAAACTTTCTGAAGTCAAGATTCTATCAAATTTATATAAGTATTTTGTACGTTCGTTCAGTAAGAGCCGTCAAACTCTCTCGAATAAAAAATTGAGACTCACCTCAAGTTCCTGAAAGGAGTGTACCAGAAGCAGTGATTTCACCCTTCCTTCGGTTCTTGTGGAGTTGAAGCCAGTAAGAGACCTGTGTCACCAGAGAGCTAAACTTCGACAGATGTTAAAATCATTTTCTTGTTAACTTGGGCTAATGTTCCTGTGTAAGTGACCCCACAATTCAAGGCTTTCCTGTAGTCCCGTGGAATAATGGTGAGAAAAATGACTGATTTTACGCTCCCTCGCCGAAAAGACTTTCGTAATTTCAATTCAGCAAGAACAATTTTTATTTTTCCAAAGAGAACATAACCATCCAGTCATGATACAGTAGATTAAAATGGTTTAGCTGACCAACAGTAGTACTGCAATTTACACACAGCGTCCAATTATTATTTTGCTAATCTATAAAGATTTGAATTTTGACCTAGTCAAAAACGATTTCGATCAATTTTTAAGCAAATTTAATTGTTAACAAAGTTTTAACCGATACCTGAAAAACTATTTCCCCCTCCTTCCTGTAACCCATGGGTAGTCATGTTTGCTTGTTGCAGATCAGCGTTACTGATGCAAATATCACTGGAGAAGTTTGTTTTGAAGTCGCCAATAAACCACGTTTGCATACATCTCCCTCCTTAAAATAACATCGTCTACGTGATACCACACCTCTGATGACAAATCGTGCTAATATGAGTCAAAAAAATTCCCCTTATCCCAGGGTTCGATTTCAAGATCATGTACACGTAGGTCCACATACAGTATGGCCTTTGAGATTCCTACCTCTCAAGTTCTCCGGGCGACTCGCGCATTGCAAATTCTTGCAAATCAGTCTCTCCGCGTGTACATTCTGTCGAATGCCGGCTCGGAGTTCCTACTAATACTATACAAAACCAGAAATAGTTCGCAAAATCTCGAAGAGTTTTAAAAATATCAGGATAGTGACATTGTGACGTATTTGTATCCAAACATACGTGCCTTCCCTAAACATAGGTTAACACAGAAACTTCTCGCAACAGGTACAGTTTCACTAAGAATATTTTTGACCCTATCGCACTGAGTTATTTTTAAAGCCTTTTGAAATTATACTATGACTAATAAAATAACAGATTTTACAACAAAAAGGTCTGGAAATTTTGCGTGAAAGATGTTTACCTTGACATGCATTCGAGCGCAACGTAGTTGTCATTCATGAATTTTTCACCTGTAGCAATTTGATTTAAGAAGGAAAACGCTTTAAATTGAAGTTTTTCAACAAAATGTTTCAGTAAAAGTCTAGATTTCGGCTATATCTGCCTAACTTTAGTTTTCCTCGATCGAGCAAGTCAAATTGCCTGACTTCCCTGCTAGAGAGGCGTTTCTGCGCAAACAGAATCCGTTACAAACTGTCAGTTTTCTACTCTCAGTATTCTATCGACGATTTCCCATTTCGCTTTTTTTTTAATTTCCAAAGAGTATTAACACATACAAATCGACAAATATGACGAAATACTTTTTTTTATTGTGTTGAAAATCACTTTACTTTCAGTACAAATTCATATCGTTTGAGTCGAAACACTTTGTAAATATTTTTCCATTGTAAGAGATGTTTTTCTTTCAACAATAACACTGCTTACCAATTAACCCTTTCACGCTGTTCCTCGTCAGCTGCATGACGTCGTTTTCGGAAGAATTCGACCGACAGAATACGTTCTAGAACGTTCTGACAAGAACAACACGCGTTACGAGGGGCAGTGAATGTTCTGGAACTTTCGGCTTGCGTGACTCACTAAGTAAGCTATTATATCGCCGTGTTTATTTCACTTCCGGAAAGAATAGTGAAAATTTACATAATACCGTGATAAAACCCCTTTCTATATTGATGCTTGATTTTTATCGTAGAAGAAAACATTTTCCAGAATAAACTTACCGGAGTTATACCCGATTTATTGGGGTTTTTCTTTTTATTCGTTGAGAATGCGAACGCTAGTAACTTTTAACAAGAGCGAGGATTATTTTAATTTATTTGCTAAGCTTCCTTCCACTTAAGTGACAATATTCAATACATTGACATGATCACAAGGAATTTCGCTGGTGACAGAATTGAAAAGAAGAATTGTGCACGACTCAGACCAGAGAAAAACGGTATCAGCGAGGAAGGGACATTTTTGTTCTTGCACCTTCTGGAATAGCATTTTTTTCCCTCAAGCTTCTGGAAAATCAAGATATTTCTATGACTTTGAATCTTTTAAACGCCAGCAAATTCTTTGCAAATTTATGCTAAATATGTAGATTCAGATACATTCTCTGGAACCCTCAGTGACGGAGAAACGTGGGCCGAGGACCGTGTAGAACGTTCTCGAACCAGACCTTTTGATTATTTGCCCCTCCGTTATCATAGCAACCAGCCCCAGTGACGTCAACCAAGGCACCCGCCTAGGTCACCACCTGACGACTCAAGCACTGTAGTTTAAAAAACACCTCTTGGCCGATTTAGACAAGTAGATTTGAATTACTAAATATAGAACATCAATTAACGATTCACGTGCACCACGAAGTCGTGAAAAAATTGTTTACTTCCCCGAGGTCAAAGATGCTCTCTGCGATCCGTCCCAGACCCCGGCGTTCTAGGACGTCTCAGGGGATATAAAGCCTGCGCGCGGAGGATTGACGAATATGGCTGATCAGCAAACTGCCTGATAAGTTACGCTTGTTTTTCAGCACGTATACCTGCGAGAAAGCTTTATTGTCTGGTGTGATTTTTGAAAAGAAATGCCGATGAAGACTGGAGACGGAGATTCGAGTGGTATTCCATCCAATGTCCCGGCTTTTTTGGTGAAATTGTGGAAGTTGGTTGAAGATCCACAATATGAGGAGCACATTTCGTGGAACAAGGTGAATAATCTTTCCTTTACTACATTTGCTTCGCGACAAATTACTTGGCTTATTTACTACAGATATCTACCCGATGTTTTTGAAATGAGTACATTAAATCCTTTTTCTTCAATAATTGAAGCTCGAAAGGACGATTTCGACCTTTCGACTTTTTTTTCCATGTAGAATGGGAGCGGATTTCTGGTGCACGATCAAGCCACGTTTGCACGCGAGATACTTCCTAAGTATTTTAAACACAACAACTTTGCAAGCTTCGTCCGCCAGCTGAATATGTGTAAGTACTATCTGTTAAAAATAATTCAACGGGTTTGGACGATTTTCCTGTCTTGGAAGTTTCGGTATTCAGTGTTTGACAGTTTCGGCGCCCTTACCTTGCAATCTATTTCGAGTTACTACGTTTATTCCTATTAAGAATCTTGTTAAAAACATGCAGCGAGCTTTTAGATTTCCTTGAAATAGAATATGAGTTATTACCTGTATTCAAAAGAATGTGTGTAATGTGTAAATTTTTACTCCTATCATTTTCCCCGTTTTTATTATGGCGTGGGCGAAGACGCGGAGTTATGCTTAGCTTCACGAAGTTAAGCTTTCCGGTTTATTTGATTGATAGCTTCTAACAGAGTTTGGTAGATTACTGTGCCTACATGTTTGTACTTTCTTAAATATTTCCGCTCTTGCTTATGTAAATCACAGCTGCAAAAGTAGAATGTTTACAGGGAACAACAATGCGTAATATTTGTATGGTAGAGGACGTCGATTTGATCATGTGAATGTACAATGTTTACCCTCAGTTAAATTGATATACAATATAGATCCATCAAAACAGCTTTTTTTCAAAATCGTTTCAGATAGCTATTTGTGGATGCAAAGATTTTTTCCAAAGAATATGTGATATGTATTTTTCTGTTCAGTCTGCATATAAGAACGTTTTTTCTTTTCTTTTCTTTTCTTCGAACAAAAGCAGAACCAAAGAAATTTCTTGGGTCCAAAATCCATTCATTTTCTCCATGATTGTACTTACAATGTGTTGCATTTTATAACTGGGAGTGAAACCTAAATGTATATGTAGACTATGCTGTAAAAAATTTTTTGCAGTTACCAGACTGCAAACATTTTTGCATGACTGTCTTTAGTAATTTATAATGATCTGAATTCTTAATACTTAAATCAGCACATGCACAGAGCCCACCTCCTGTCCCCTCTAAGGGCATATAGTTGATTGTTATTCTTAGCAAGAATGAATCTACCCATAGGGTACAAGGCTGTTGTAAAGTCAATCGGAACAAATTTTGACACTCATTATAAGTGTTCCAGTTCGTCACCCATCCTTGCTTTTATGAGGAAATCAGATTTTACTCAAGTATAAGGGGTCAAACTAGATTGATAGTTGCTAAGTGTATATTCAGCCAAATCATAATTTGAAAGCAAGGTGGACTATTTACTTCAAATAGATAAACTTAATGGAGTTTGCGTGACATTGACATGGCTGCAGTACATGGTACATTGCGTATCGAAAATAGCCACACCTTACTATATGATTAATAGTTATTCTTGTTTCACTTTTTTGTTTAGATGGATTCCGTAAAGTTATTGGAGCTGAACAAGGGGGTCTGAGATCTGAGAAAGATGAATGGGAATTTTTCAATGGAAATTTCAACAAATATCATCCTGAATTACTTGAAAATGTCAAAAGAAAGGTTTGTACAAACTTGAAGAAGTGGTTTGTTTTCTCAGTGGTATTTTTTTAAAACTCGATTTGCATAAATCCTAGAGAGCACATTCAAGGTACTTGACTGATATTTGTGGAGGATTCTAAACTGACTTGTTGCCTAAGGGTTTGATTAAATGATAGAGCCAGTCACAACATTTAATCGAGTTGCAAGCATTTAAGAAAATCTAAAATGATTTTTTTTTTTGAGGGTCCTAAACACATTCACTATTTCCTGGTCAGTGGATGTGACTTTTCCAAAATAGGTCTCTAGATCTTAGATTGGTTGAATATTTTTTGAATTTGCTTTCAGTCTGGAGCAAACAGACAGGTTTTATTTTGGATTAAACCTCAAAATGTAGTTTTTCTTTTTGTAAATTGTAGTGAAATGATGAGGGAAAACATGGCTTCTTTATTATAAGGAATTATAGTGAGGCAAAGTTAAAGAAATATCACCTTAAACGGGGCGTGAAATTAATTTTTTTTTTTCTGATAGCCACTTGGCTTATAAATTCTTCAAAGTGGTAGCCAATTCAAAAAAAGTTGGGCGCCATTTTCAAAGACAAACAAAACCTTTTTTTTAACACTGTCATCATTCTAGAAATTAAGTTAGGGAAAAGATCTTTAACATGCTACAAAGTGGACACTAGGATGGATGATATGTAACATCCAAGCTCACCAAAATCCAAGATGTTGTCTAGTTATCAATCGAGATGCATGTGTTGCGGTTTGGAAACAAACTTAACAGGGAAGTTTGCCACGGATTTATCTTTGCAAATCTTTTTAATTCACTATATCTCTAGGTAAGGTTATGATGAAGCATTCTAGTCACCAATTTGGCAACTAATTTTCAGGATTTGGTCGCCAAAGTGAAAAATTTTGTCACATTGGTGCCTGTATTAGGCGCAATTTCTTACCCTGTTAAATTTTTCTTTTTCCTTCTTTTGCAATAGGGATCAATGTAAAATTCTTGTGAAATTAGTTCTCAACATCTCCGTACTAAATAATAATAAATGTCAATACCTACAAAGATAATTTCTCCATGATACCCTCACCCAGTTAGAAGCCCTGTTAGAAGATAACTACCTGGTAAGTTTGGTCTTTTTATTCTGAAGGCAACACCTGAGGAAAAGAAAATGAGGACTGAGGATGTGTCTAAAGTGCTAAATGATGTTCAAGACATGAAAGGAAGACAAGATGAAATGACAATGAAACTTGATCAGATCAAGAGGTGACTATCAAATAAACCTTTTTCTTGTGGCAACAGGAGTTGATTATCAACACGGTACTAATAATTCTCTGGAATATGTTACTGCTGTTAACTTTTTACACCAAGGTGCCTATCAAAATGATTACAAGTGTGGCTGCTTTAGAGATAAGGAATCTATCTTCTCTAAGTTGTGTTACAAACAAGTACCATGATAGAGGCAATAAAGCAATGATACAAATGTTTCTTTCCCCTGTATATAGAGAAAATGTCACGTTGTGGAATGAGCTGGTAGACTTGCGACAAAAACATCAAAGGCAACAACAGATTGTAAACAAGGTGAGGAGAGGAACTGAAAAATTAACCAAGAATTGTTTAAAGGAGGGAGTTAGAGACACCAAGTCCTTCATGTTGATCATGTTACCAAACACTGTAAGGACAATGAGTATGTGCCCTGGCCTTTGAGGGAAAGTGATGTGGAAATTGAAGTTTTCAATTTATTAAAATTTTATCAGTTTATTTTAGTTTATTACCTCTTCTGTTTATAAGCCATTGTGATGTTTGATATCTAGGAATTTATATTGCAGTTGTTCCAGTATCTGATGCGACTAATGTATCAAAATGACAAGCTGACAAACCGCAAAAGGCAAGTAATTTTTTCAGCTCCTTTGCTGTTTCAGTTAATTTGCATTTCCTCTTTTTCCACTAAGGTTGAATTATGGGTTGAAAGCTGTGCTTTCATTTTCAAGTATTGTCACACATTATAGATACTTTTGAGACCCTCTCTTACTTGTGAAGCTAGTATATGATGTGAACACCCAACTTCACAATAGATAAGCTGTAGAACTAAACACTTAGGAATAGAAAGGTTTAAGATTTTAATTCTTTTGGGGAAAGCAATTTTTTTTTGGCAGACATTCTTGCAATTTAATAACATCAATCTTTCACCTGCTGCTTGCAGACTGATGTTGCAAGACAGCACAGAAGAGCAGTCATCAAAGAGAGGGAGATATGAGTACAGAGACACATCAGGTCCCAGCAGTGGCCAGCCACCACCAAGTTATTCTGCTCAGAGGGTGAGTTTTTGACGGAGAGGGCAATCTTTTTTGAAGTTTTCAGAGTACCAGTTTGTCAATCTTTCTGATTCCATAGATTCCTGTGTGTCCAGGAGTATGTAGTATGTATATTTGTAACAGAAGATAATATTTTTAAGGGGGCAGTTGAGAACTATAGCTTATTTGAAAAGTGTCTTGTAACGGGAACAAATTCTTTTACTTGATCATCAAAAAAATGTACAGGGGTCTCAGGTAAGTAGGCAGGTGCTATTTATTTTAAATGTGGAAGGTTTGATAATGCTTAAGGAGTCCAGTGGCATGTTTTGCCAAAAAAGTTTGAAATTCTTCATTCTCACAGATCAGTTTTTTAGCATTGTTTCTGTTGATATTTATCATACTTCATATAACCTTACAATATTAAAACAAATTTGGGTGTTTAATATTGTAATTATTCTGATAAAGTTCATTTAAAGCCTCTAAAGAGGTTGTCAGCTATTTACAAGCAGTAGGTCAAGTGAATACCTAGCCATGATTGAAAATCCAGCTAAACCCTTTAACTCCCAAGATCTCATCAGTAATTCTCCTTACAGTCTGCTATGTAGTTCTTGTGATGTTAATTTGAAGAATTTGGTATTGGATCAACTAATTATCCCCTAATTAATATTTTTCTTTATTCTCATCACTTCTCTGGTCAATATTGTACTGGTATTGTAAGGAGAAATTCTGTCTTGGTCACTCATGGGAGTTAAAGGGCTAAGAATCTTTTGTTAAGATCATCACATAAAGAAAAAAATGACAGAAAGTTATCTTGACTGGAAGTTATTAAATTGATTATTATCATTGGTTTTTTTTTTTCTTTCAGCCAAGCACACAGACACTCACAATATCTGATATCTCAAACACATCTTCTTCAAGCATTCCTGGTAAGTTTAAAATTCACTATTGATAAATTTTGTTTTTAACAAAAAAACAAGCTCAGTAACTTGTTTTGTTAATATTAAAAATGTTTTTTTTAACCAGCATTGTTATTATTTACTTTCATCTCTAATCCATTGTCTTTTTTCCAACCTTTTCAAGCCACTAGTGGGCCATTGATTACTGCTTTACCAGATGAGGACAACATTTCACATGCCAGACCAGTTATCAGATTTCCAGAGGAATCTGTACCGTCCTCACAGCCTATTGTGTCAAGTCCTGTGTCATCATCAGGTAATTAAAAGAAAATATCCCTCTAGTGTGAAGAACATACACAAAGAAGCCCTCCTCAAAGTCAGAAAATTGCTTTGGGGTTTGTCTTCTTTGGTTAAATGTTTGGGAAATTTGAAGAGGGTAGTGCTTGGGAGAAAGTTTAGGAAGGAGACCAGAATCACACTTAATTTGATGCACCTAATTAGGCAATTTCCAATCATTTCTAAAATGCATCATGATTTCATTGGTTTACTCTACTTTATATGTCCTCTATGGTCTAAAACTAAGCCACTCTCTCAATTGATCAAATGTAGCTCTTATTCCATCAACAACTTGGTCACATGCAATTTGGTTTACTTGTGTTTAGCATAAGCTCTGGCTTTGTTTAATTTGGTGTTGTTTTTACTTTGGTTTTGGTTTCACAAATAATGCACTTTTGGAACTAAATGTTAGAGTTTTCAGCGTTAGAAATTGACTGTCCTTCTTCGTTGATCATTACTAATGATTTATCAGGAAATCACTCTTGTTTATGTACTTGTCATGTTCCTTCATTGATCATTACTAGTGATTTATCAGGAAATCACTCCTGTGTATGTATTTGTCATGTAGTTAACAAGGCTAAATTTAGAGCATTGTTTGATTCAAAATGAACAATTTTATTCGTAGTCTGATTGATTATTGATCATTACTAGTGATTTAACAGGAAATTGCTCCCATTCATGCACTTATCATGTAGTTAATAAGGCTAAGTTTAGAGCATTTTTTTTATTCAATTTTTGTTTGTAGTTTGAAAGTTCATGAGTCATATTGGTTTCATTTTTCCTTTTAGCACCAACATATCCACAAGCCTCAGTGGTACAGCCGTGCTTTTCAACAGGCGTGGTCACTTTTCCTGAGGAGCAGAATCAGACAACTGTTGTGCACCCAACTCATGTCATGGAACCTCCTCAATCGTACGATGAGCATCACAATATAAAAAATAATCCTTTGATGCGCAGAATTTCTCAGGAAGATATCGGCCCAGACAGGTAGTGTAATTTTGCAGATCCACTGACAAGATTTTTATTATTACAGTGTTTTCAATACCGTAATGATAAATAATTGAATCAATGGCAAGGCAGATCAGGAAGTTTTTGCCAAGCTTAGCAAAAGGTTGCTTTTCATGTATCTTAATTTGGATAGAGAAAGGTTCTGTGATTATTAGTTTACATGTCAATATCCAAGATGTTAAACAGATCTCCTTCTCTCCTTTCGAGTTCACTAAATCTCCTCCCAAAAATTAAATAGATTTTTTTTCTCCTCATGTGAGAGGTGAATTCAAATAATTTACCTTCAATCAAAAATTGGAGTCTTCTTCCATTTTCAGATATTTGTATTTTGGTCAATTCTTTGCATCCATTTTAGTGACTTCAGATTTTGGGAAAGACCTAAGGTGGGATGTGATCTAAAATCAAACATCTCAGTATTGCCCATCTTTTATTAGGGGATAAGATTTTGTGGAGTTGTTAATGTCAGGTTGTTTAATTTCTTTTTTTTTTTAAGTTGCTGCCAAAAACTGGTTAGGAGACAAAATAGCACTCTTGTATTATGAACATTTTGTCATACATTGCTGATTTTAGCAGCCACATCTTGGCAATTTTATCATCATTCTATTTACTCAATGCTGTTTAACTTCTTCCCCATTAGCATTAGCCCAGTTAATATAGAAAAATGGCCCTGTGAGGATGATATTGTAGAAAGGTAATGTCACCGTAACTGTTGTAATTATTTATCATTTCTATAATGAAGAACGATGATAAATGATACAATAAGTGACATTTAAGGCAGACAGCTCCTCAATTACGCTGTTACTTAAAGTGACACCAATTGTGGCTTTGAGGATTAGAGAAAAATAAGAGGATTAATCCAAGCTGGAGACCTCTTTTCTGAAGAGATAATGTGGGGGGCTTTTTCAGGAAGATAATCAGTTCAGTGAGGTATAATCGTGTTCAAAGACTACGTTCATGCATTATAGAGAAACTTTTATCTAATGCAAAAAAATATAGACTGTAGATACGAAAAGCATTCAGCCTTTAATGAATTTCATGCTTTACCTGTATACCATATCCTTTATAGTCTAGATTAAACCAAGTAAAATGGTTATAACCCTTTAACTCCTATGAGTGACCAATACAGAATTTCTCCTTACGATATCAATACAATATCAACCAGAAAAGTGATGACAATAAAGAAAATATCAATTTGGGGATAATTAGTTGATTCAATACTAAATTCTCTGAACTAACATTGTAAGAATTGTATGGTTGACAGTAAGGAGAATTACAAATTTGATCTGGGAGTTAAAGGGTTAAACCACTTTAAGTGCAATTGCTTAAAGCTGGACAGTTATAAGGAAAAAAAACCAATCAAACTTTGAATTGAGTACATGGGATGTTGGCAGATGTCATAAAATAACCAATCACAATGCCCTTGTTTGATTATTTTTTGTCTTATCTGGATAGCATCCTCTAGCTGACGAGTTTTTCTTTTCTCGTGACTTCGTTGATAGATGATACATTGATATTGTGTGAAGTTGCTTGTCGATCATTTTTGGAACTTCAAGGATTAGTAATTGTCACGTTGTAGACAGAGAACAAAAACAAATTTAGTTGACTTTTCAATATATACAAGCCTTTGATCAATGTGGAAAATTCTACTTATCCGTCTTCATCCATCACGGTATACCCTTGCAGGGACAAAATTCTGATACCTTTAAACTTTAGATCCAGAAAATTTGCCTTCTGTCAACCAAATGGTATGTCTTTGTTTGCAGAAATTTTATAGGTGAACAAGTGGATTACAATTCACAGATGCTTGAAAACATTCAGTACCAGCTCTCTAATCACCCCATGATCTTGGATAATAGCTTGTTTTATGATGTATTTGGCCACGATGGAGCGCCAGGAGCACCAGGGCAGGTACTGAAAGTCTATCGATATTGTAGTTAAGAGTCAAAAAGTTTTCTGAAGCTCAGTGCAAGAGTTACGAGCCACAAGATCCGAAGGGCATGGGCCCCACCTCAAGGGTGTGAGGTGGGGGTGACTAGGGGACTACTAAATGGCTCCCTCTTCGTGACTAGGCGACGAAAAAATTTGAAAACATCAGCTTTTATTCATATTGATGTTCGCCAAGTCGGTTAATACAGGGCCAGTAAAATGTTCGCGCAATGTTATTGTATACTATTTCTCACTTTTTTAACGTTTTTTGCTTGTAGGATCCACTGGATGCCTTGGCTGACCGAGCTGCAGCCAGCCCTCTTCCTGGAGTTGGGCAAAGCTCGTCTCAAGGTAAAAAACGCTTATTTTTCATCGGTTATATAGTTTTCCAGTTTTGGGAAAGAACAGGAAATTGGATTTGGCCTTAAAGTTTGCTTCTGTAAGCTTTAGTTTGTTTGATTTTCAGTTCACCTTGGCGCTAACAAAACCTGTTTCTTTTCTCAGGGGGGCATGAACTAGTGCAGTATGGTGTGCAAGGGTCTGGGGCCAGCAGCACTTCTCAGCGTGGACATCCTAGGCCAAGGGATCACGAAGACCAGTACGTGCGAAGAGACTGGGGCCAAGGACAGCAAGCGCAACAACAGCCTGGACATGACGTTCAGCATTTCTTTAATGGCTAAACTGTTCAGATTAGTTCTAGATTTTTATTTGATGAGGATTGTAACATTTGTCCTAGCATTGTTTTATACGCTTCATTTCGTGCGGCAGTTCTCTCAAGTTCGTTTTAGTTATGAGATTTTGTCGTTTTTGAAGTTTTAAGAAAATTGCTAAGTCAACGTCATCCGTTACGAGCACGGAACCGTTCAGAGAATTAGTCGTGCTGATGTAAGTTATATTAACCAGTTAGATGTAACAGTAAAGTGGAGACAGTGTTTGATGGAATGAGCAGCAGGAAAAGGCGCAGAGCCGAGCCACAAGCGCAGGAAAACGGCAGTCAATGGCAAGTGCGGGAAAATGGTGGCCGATGGTAAGCGCGGGAAACGCTCGTCGGGCACTTGACGATTGTTTTGGGTTTCACTCTTGATTAACTGAGAAGATTGTATCTTCACTCTGATTGGTCAGATCATATCATCTCAGACTCTCAGTAGAGGAACAAACAGCGAACACAATCCTCTTTGAAGTCGCTTGGAGAAGCGTTGTAAATTGTGTATCGCAGTGAATATTTTTTAATGAGATACGGAACTAACGAGTGTTACATAATATAACAAAGTCAAATTCGAATGTAATAAGTAGATAACATGGTAAGCTAAGGAACTGTATCGACGAAACTTATTTGTACATCGTATAGCGTACGAAAAACTTTTTTTATAGCTCCGCGGGGAACAATTAGCAGCTTTAATATACACTAAGGTGTTAGGATTTTAAATGATTTAAATAATTAAATTTGTCAGACAGTGGTAAAGACTACCCAATTTAAAGCTAAATAGGAAATAATTAAACAAAACAAATAAACAGGGTCTTGTGTGACGTTTAGGAACGCGGGCTCATTTGCCGAACAGCGGCCAGTAACCGGACCCAAAAGTACTTTTGCAAATTATCAATTTCTTAATGAACAGTGAAACACTGGCGTAACTGTCAGTACAGTATGAATTTAAGCTACCCTTTTTTCCCTCTCCCTAGTCAATTATGAATGTGATAAGCGTTATTCAAAGTCTCGGACAGTTTCATGAACAAGTACTAGGGTTGAAACAATTTCAGAAATAATTCCTGCCAACGGGCCTTAATAATTTAAAAGAAAACAACCTCTGTTTCTTATTCATAATTCATACTTAGACACAGCTGCCCAGTCCCAATATTACAGCACTTCACCTCGTGTGACAACAGACACGGTTTTCTATTTAGCATTCCAAAATTAAATAGGAAATATAAATACTTAGCACCGACGGGATGGCCACAAAATATTACACACTCTGGGCAGATCCCTGCACCGTTGGCCGAAAGACCTTAAACGTCTATTCCAGAGAAGGAATATCCGCAAATGAACCGAGCACGCCGTTAATTCTCGGCCCTAAGCGCAGGTTGACATCTGTGAAGGAAGTTTTATACAACCCTCGTCTTCCGACTTTAAGGAGAATGGATATGGATGAAGTGTTAAAGAAACTAACAGATGAACATTCGCGGCACTCCACACCGTGTAACAGAGGTGATTATAACTTGCTATAACTTTGCAATGGTTTCACAACTTATGAGTATGGACCAACGCTTAGAGTTTCCTTGGCAACCATGTTGCTAATCTGAAAATTGTTACAATCTAAGCTCAGCATAAGTTTCTTTTTTATCGTTTTTAGAAAACTCCGAGCAGCTTTACATGTCAAGGAAAAATAAGTTTTTAACTCCTTCGGACGGCTTTTAATTTAAAAAAAAGGAACTCTGTAATTTATGCGCACGCTTCAAAATTAATTATTTACGGCCAACAGAAATTATGAAACACCGTTACGTAGTAACCATTCGTGTTACAATAACGTTTTAGCCATTTAATCGTTTGTTTTAAGTTAAATTGCAACATCGATTACAGCGGTTTTTTTTTCTACTTTTCTATTTTTTATTTTTTTTCTCTCTAAGATATCCATGACAGACGGTACCGTTTTTGTATTTCCTGAAAATAAAAGGTAGCTCAAAGTAGGCTAAAGGAGTCTTCTTTTTTAAGTATCATTATTCAGATGAGCACTTGAAGGGCGAAAGCGGCAGTCACAAAGCGTGATAGCTTCAATCAACATCGATGCATTTTTAGTTCTTAACCAGGCTGGCTCCACACATTCCAAAAGCTCGGTTTCCGTGCGGCCTTTCTAGTTCCCGTTCTCCTTAAGCCAGCGCGCGCGCGCGGGTCTACATTATAACCTGGATTGCAGTAATTAGCCAGCTGTCTCCATTGAACAAAAACAAAAGCGATTCAAATTGCACGTACTTAGTTACATTACACGCTCTGGTAACAACTTCAAATCGACTCACGCCAGCCCGCAGCGATCGAGGAGACGCAGGAATTTTTCAACAGCGAAAATGTCCCGTCATTTACAACTCGCTCTTAGCAGCCGTTACTATGACAGACAGGGTATAAGGTTTAGCCAACATGACGCCGTTAGACCGCACGGAACAGACTACGGCTACTCGCCTCCTCGGAGGATGCTGGCTGCAGTGAAGGAAGGAATGATTCATCCTAAACCACCGACATATCGACAGATGGATCGCGATGGCACACTTTGTAAACTTCCAATAGAACATTGCAGGAATTCTACTTCCAGACAAGCCGGTGAATATCGATTATTTTTCCTTTCGATTCTCTTTCTCGATTGTAGTTATAAACTTTGTTTGTTTTAACAGGTTTGTAATTTGATCTTGTTCATACAGAATTTAGTGTAAGGGATCATAACTCAAAAAAATTTCTGCTATTCATGGCCTCTCGACAAGCGTATATTATTATGCCGGACTAGGAATGCCTTGATTTATGTAAGGTGGCTTTCTGCTAAATGCGATCTTTTGTTCTTGAGGCTGTCGAATATTTAAGTCAATTAACACTCGAGAATTTTAAAGGTTTATTTGATCCCTTATCAAAACATCCTACCAAGGCAAATGTATTCATATCATGCGATAAAGTTAAAAAATTTCGCCTTTTGTTTTGTGTGATTACGCCTTGAAAACAAATGAGGCCTTGCTAACTTTGACCTTGTAAAATTAAACATATTTATAAGGTCAAAGAGGCTCGAAGTAATTGAAAATGAAAATTATGTTGATTAAGAAAATCTCCTGCTCTGCTCTCTTGAAATTTGCGAAAGGTGGAATATGATAGACAACACAACATGCCATAGCAACCACGCGCGTGTGCATGATAAATGCGCGACAATCGTGCGTGTTTTAATCCGTTTTGGAAAACTTCTCTCTGGTGAACTACTGGCCTGTCATGTTTTTTTCCTTACCGTAGCTTTATCGATTAAAGAGTTGATAATTTATTCCGTGATTTTTCGCATGAACCACTTCTTGCTTGAAGAATTAACATTTTTGACATTTTGACCTATATTCGATTCGTAGACAATGACAACTAAACATTTCTTTGTATTCAAAATTATTAAACTTTTCAACAGATAAAACTTTTTTACGAATAGAATGGAATTTTTGATGACAGGCAAGTGTGTTGTCTAAGTTTAAGCAACAAAGATCACCTTTCCTCTAAGGACAAGAGTAGAGTTCTTATTGTTCCTGAAAAGAAAGTTTACGATGAACCGATCTCAGACCCAAAGGCGAGCAGGAAAAACAATATATGATCATTTAATCTGACATTTCTGAATAAGGACTAGGCATATCACAATTTGTTATCAACAGGTTAGTTTTATTTTCAGCCAGGGTGCTTCCAGGTGAAGCAAGACTCCTTCCTGTAACGCTAGAATTGATTTTTACTTTGATGCAAATTAATACTGTCACCTATAAACTAATATTTTCACACTAGCTCATTAACTCAGTATGAGGTCACTTTGAGGTTCAATTCCCTCAAGGATGATAATTAATATTAGCCAAGGCTCGCTGAAACTCTAACCTTCAAACGACAGGGACGTGCGTGATCATTTAAATTAAGCTGATTCTCTTAAATGAAATTCTGCCATGTAATTACGATTCGAAGTAGAAATTGTCAGCTCGCAGGGTATCTTGACAGACGGCTCTCGAGTTTTCATTATACGTCAGACACAGATTACCTCACAAAGGCTTTGCTCACCACTGATTGGCGCAAACTCGCACACCATTGAAATAAAGTTTTGACACCTTGTGCAGTGTCTACAGTCAACACAAGCCGGCCTGAATCGCTTACGAACAAAGGGAATAACTTCTTCCTCGCAGGCTAAGTTTTTTTTCCAGTTCGGTCGCTGCGACCGCCTTTTTCGATGTCGATTACAACTCAAACGCGCGTTAACCCGCGGTTTGCGGGCAGATCGCATATGCTGGCCTCAGTGAAAGAAGGTCTCTATCACCCGATGTTACCAACATTCCGGCGTATGGACATGGATACGGCAGTTCACAAGTTACCCGAAGAACACTCGCGAACTACGACTCCACTGACACGGGGTACAGATACCGAGATTGCAAAATTAGGGTAACTTCCCTCTTAAGCATTAGGGTACTAGTAATTGTCTTTGTGCTGAATTTACTTTTCAGAGGATTTTGAAAGCCGCACTATCACGCTGTTCAGACCAGCTGAGAAGTCGTTGTCAGGCACGGTAAGTTGATATTTCATCTGTCACTAGACAGGACGGATTTTGGGAGTTTTTTTTTTCAGAAGAGTGCATAAGCAATTAATGCTCAATAAACTTACAAAGAAATGTTTTAATTTCCTTTTTAAGCGAATAACCGAGACGGGGCGACAACTTCAATCTACTTCCTACCAGCCCATCGAATCAGGGTAAGACCTTTTAATGATTTACGATTTTGCGCGCGAGAATATGGATTTCTGATTTGTTGGAAAGTGTGAAAGTGTTTGACAAAACCAAAAAAAAAAATTAAATCACACTTCAGAACCTTGAATACTGTCTGGAGGAGATAGACGTCATAAAAGAACAGAAGTGAGAGTATATCTGCAATCATTAATTTTTGTCTTAGCAAGTTATTTAACTGTTGTTCAGGGGAGTGCGCTGCAACTTTTGTAAAACATTTATGTTTCACCCGAGTAGGTTCGGAGCGAACGATTCCTGCTATTTTCTTTATAATTCCAGAAGCTCTTTATGTTTATTTCAATTTTCTGCATTGCTTCCATGGTATGAAAGGTTTGTTTACCGTTTTTGGTGTTTCTGTTGACGGTAAAATTTCCACACAATACCAAATCTCCCGGAACAAAAACAGCGGGCTTATCAGATTAGTGCTAAGACAGTGCACTCGATTTAATAAGCAAATCAAAAAACCCCGCACGAAAAACTTGAACAATGGCAACTGAACAGCGCATCAATTCATCATTTCATCAGATTCACGAACACACGGGACTGCGGGGGCAGCCCTGATATTGAAGTTTCCTGTTCTGATTGCGGGAATACCACGGGAGCACAGAAGCAATGGATTATTGTCATTTTTAAACTCAAAAGTCACTAGAACAACTCGCGCAAACGAGACGTCGCGCGCGAAGGCCAGACGAAGCTCTCTCTCACCCCGCGTGGTCACCCGCACATGTGTTACCCATGTTCACGCTAAACACCTGCAATTCAAATCTTTACATCTTCAATGGCCGAACCCAGAAAATATATTTAAAGTATCAAAATTGGGAATTTTTTAACAGCATGAATGCCGCTATCTTTTAATTTTTTTTCCGTTGCAGGGGTATGGAAGAATTTCTAAAGCGATCAATGACGACACAGTCTCAGAAACAACCATCCCCTCTTCCTCCCAATGGTTAGTATAATCAACTTCTTTTGGCATAATGATTATAATAGTAATAATTATTATAATACAATAATAATGATGATAATGAGAAATAATAATGGTAAGTCCAGAATGACAAAATTTTTTTTTAAAATTGGAATAAATCTAAACAAAATTGTATTAGACATTTTGATAGAGTAATAACAGTAGTAACAGTTCACTTCTGCACTAATTTGGAAAAAAATTCACTTAAAACCACCAATCAATGATAATAATAATTAAAATACTAATTATTTAGAATATAGTTATAATAATCTTTGTCATGAAAAATTTGACAATAATAATAGTAACAGTGAGTTATAATCATGATAACGATTAGTGATGAAAAGAACAACAATAATAATAATAATAATGATGAGTGGCAGTTATGATAATAATTGTAATAAGAGTGATAATATACACAACAATAATAATACTTATAGTGAGTGATATTTATGATAAGAGTGATGAGAAATAATAATATCGATAACAGGTAATTATAATGAAAATGATAATGAGCAAGGTAGTAATGATGATAGTAGTGATGATATCTAAAATAACATTAATAATAATGATGAGGATGATAATAATAATATCTATAACAACAATGATGACAGCAAAACAAAATTGTGAACATTTCCGTTGTATATTTTAAAGAAACAGTGTAAAATGAAAATTGTGCTTTGTTGCTGTAGCTGAAGCTTGACAGTTAAAGTCACCTATCAATACTAGTTTGTGAAGAAAACCTGATTGGTGGAAAACAGAAGTTGATCACTTTCCCATTTTGCCTCAACAGAACCATCAGAACCATACACATTTATGCCTGAACCATATCTCAAGTATTCTGCAGATCAGATGAAGTTCAATGGTTATGCAACAAGATACCTGTCACCAAGGGAGACTGCATCATGGAGAGTAAGCAAATTCAGAGGAATTTTTTTTTCCTCAGTAATAATGTCCTATGAATACTTGAATTCATAACAAAAAACAAGCTTACATGAATTAAAAAAAAAAAACATTTTTGTTCTTTTTGTTTGCGCAGTATTCCCTCAGACAGGAACCCTATATTGACACAAGGGGTCAGCGACCAATTCCTGCCACCATCTAGTGAGTGCATCATTTCATGATTGGTTTTAATTATGATTTTACTGGGGAAGCTGGGATCTTGGTTCATGTCAAATGTTTAGTATAAAACCCCTTGCTTTTAATTTCTACTGCTCTCTCTTAATAATAAATTCCATAAATTGAATGATTAATTTAGGTTTTAATAAGGCCAGAACTGATTTTCTTTTTTATTCTTGGTTTACAGTAGTCGCTATCGAGACGCTCATCCAAGAGCCAGGTGACTTTCTCATTTTATATCTGCATCAGTTGAGGCCGAGGTGTAGCACCATCACAAGATGATTTTTAAAGTTATCGGCCAAGGTTACATATTCATTGGCAATTGTTTAAAAAAAAAACCCTAGAAAGTTACCATATCTAATTTTACAGATGCATATGGGTATGTTTTATTGATTCCCATATCATATTTTATGTTTTCCACATATTTATCTTCACTATACCATTATCTTTCCCTTCAACTGAGTTATTGAGCATCAATCAACTAATTCAGAGGTTTTTACATTGAACATAAACTTAGTCCAATAGTATGGTTTTCATCTTTTAAAATGAGTTTGAGTTTCTCTGTTGCATTACTCCTGATGAAGCTCTATGAGTGATTAGAATCTAATTTCTCTATGAATTAACACTACTGAATCAAACAAAAAGGTTAAGAAAATATAGGAAATGACCACCCACTCAAAAGGCTCTTGATTGTTAAGCAAATTATCCTCATCAATAACCTTATATATGTGTAGAGAACAGTATGGAGAATATGCATACTGATACTAGGGTTTAAAGGGTTAAGATTCTTTTTCTTGTTGTTTGCTTTACAGTGTTGCAGCAATGCACTGGCGGTGAAGATGGACAGCATGCTTGAAACTCTTCAGACTTTTTTGTAACAGACTGCCATCAAAAAATACCAAACTCAGGAACCATTTCCTTTTCTAGCAAGCCTTCTCTACATTTGAAATTGTGTTTCAGCACCAGAGTGGAATAAAAAATAAGTAAATAAATAAAAAACCCATTGTTGTGAATCTAGATTCACATTGGCATTTAAAATTTTTATTAAAAATGCAACATCTGAGAAAGTATGATCAGCAAAATTGTTAATGGTGATACAAGTGTGAATATGTATATTAAAATATCACTTTTAAATAAAATTTTAAAGAAATATGGCCTCTGAGTCATTTTATCACTACTTAACCTTTAAACCTTAAGAGTGACTATTATCAAATTTCTCCCTAAAGTATCCCCCCTAAATCACATGTTAAGGTTATGAGAATAAAAGAGTGACTAGCATCTAATTTCTCCCTACAATATCACTCCTGAATCACACATTAAGGTCATGAGAATATAGGAAATGATCATCAGGGAAGGAACCTTTAGATTGGCAAACAAATTCTCCTTGTCAGCACCTTTGGAGTTGTATAAAGAACAGCAAGGAGAATATGCATATTGATGTTATGGTGTAAAGGGTTAATGTACCAAATAAACCTGTGATACTAGTCATTTAAAAAAAACATAAAAATTTAACTGAAGGATGTTTAGTTAACCATTAAAATAATGTGCTTGCTACCTTGAAAGGATATAACTCAATTACACAACAACAAATAAAAACATAATGTAAAGTTCTTTAATAGCAAGTCCATTGCAAACAACCAAAAAAACAGTACTGAAGTCAATATTAAGAAATTGGTGAAAAACAGAATATGACATGAATATACAAAGAATTTCTATCACGCACACACCAGAAAAAACAGTACAAAAACTAATCATTAAAAGCTTTTCCAGCCATTCTGGAAACATCTCTGCTTTGACATGGCCATAACCAAAATGATATATTAGAACCTAGTTATTGTGTGAAGCATTCATTCAAGCCAGGAATATAGCTTGTGCAAACAAATTTTAGATGGCATCAAAAATCATGCAAAAGAGCTCTCTAAAGCTCTGTTTTACCAGTGTCAACCTTGAACTGTTTTAAGATGTTGCGGCGCACACTAAACTCATCATTCTTTTTGGCACTAATGGCCCCCTCTGAAACATAAAAATGAAATAAACACGAATATCAGTAAGAATTTTTTTGCAACCAAGTTAACCAAGAAGTGTTTAAGATGTAACTTATGCAGATTCAAATGTAGTGAAATCTTACCAAGTAGACGGTTCAAGCGTTCTATTTCAGAAGTGATGAAGTCATCTCCTTTGCTCTGCACCCTCTCCATAACCTTAGTGTAATAGGTTGCATCCCTGCGCAAGGTAATGTAAAATAAGCAAATGTCAAATGTTGTCTAACATCAAAACTGGTTAGCTTATTACTTTGTTATAACAGAAGCATATAACAGAAGGTTATTTGCTTCTGGTTAAAATCAATGTTAATTGAACCTAAAGGATTTGGGTTTTCTATACTTTTGTGTTGATTACATATTCAAGGCCAGTGAATAAAAGTCACAGCTTCTCTCTTTAAAAGACAAGAAATTGATAACCAGAGCCCAAATTAACTTTTAAATGCAGGTCCCATGTGTTAATTAAACATACTTGTTTCAGCCACCAGGGGGAACAACTTATGTGCCAAAAGGGAGTGCTTAGTAAAATACAAAATGCAAAGTATTTAAGATTGTTCTTTGGCTCAAACATATTCCTTCTCATAAATGATCACCAGTTTTTTATACAGAAGGGCAAAAAAGAATATTGATCAAGGTTCTGTCCCTTGAAGAAAATGAAGAACACTGATAAGACATTAAGTTAGTCCCATACTAATAGCTGTAACTGTAACATTCTGGTTGCCAACAGTCAGTATTTATTTGGTTGCGTGACTAGCTGGTCAATTTTACCCTTTAACCCCTAAGAATGACTAGCATCTAATTTCTCTTTACAATATCACCCCTGAATCAAACATTAAGGTTGCAAGAATAAAGGAAATGATCACCAACTAAAGAAGCTCTGGATTGTTAAACAAATTCTCCTTATCAGCACCTTTGAAAGTGTAGAGAGAGCAGTATGGGGAGTATGGATTCTGATGTAAGGGTGTGAAGAGTTAAAGGAATACATTTCAGTTGTAGTCTAGCTTATCTTACACTTACTTAGGATTCTCTTGTGCATCAATGAGGGACTTGGCCTCCTCCAAGATTGAATCACGTTTATCCTTAACAGAAGGAAAAAACACATTGTGTGAACAAGTCACAGAAAGTCCATGAAGCAAAAGGTTTCATTTTCGTTCCTTTCAATCAAAGTCAATTTTTACCAAATTGCTCATGAAATCCTTGGCAAACTCATCAAATTTGTCAATCCTTCCAGCCTGCAGAAAAACAAAAGATGCACAGTTTTCCTTTCCATTTAATCAGTGATAAACGTTAACCCAGAATTACATCAGGCAACATTACATTAGAGCAAAATTAGAACCAAGGCCTTCTAGAATATTTCACTGATTCACAAGATGAGTTTTAAACAACAAAAAAGTCATTTAATATAAAAGACTTGGTTTTTAACCTTGAGTAAAATACTATGAAACAAAAACTCAATTTAAATAATCATCTTAAGTACAATTTTAACATAATCCTCTGTTTTAGCCCCTGATTTCTAAATAATTTGCTAAATAAGTTACAATTTCTCAAAAATTGCTAAATCAAAATTTTGCTAAAATGATTATAATATCTTAAGGCTACTAAGTATAAGCAGTATATTACATCATCACTAATTCCTCCACCAGATTTTCTTTTGGTTTTGCACTTTTCATTCAGAAAGTCTATGAAATCTTGTTCACTACGGCCTCCACTGTACTGAAATAAAAGCCAAAACAAAACAATTAGAAACCTAGCCCTCAAATTTAGCACAGCTCAAATCGAAAAAGCATAAGAGGTAGATGAAATAAACAGTCTCTGAAACCTGCATTAACACTTTAACCCTGTAGGAGTGATTAAGCAGCTAATATCTCCTTGAAAGTACTATGAAATATTTAGAGAACTGCAGGGAGAACTTGCATACTGATGTTAGGTTCAAGTGGACAATCACAGAAATCTCCCTTATGTATCCTTAAAAAAGATTTTAATAAGTAAGTTTCCTTTTATGTTTTTAATTTTTCAGTGAAATTTTGAGCATTTTTAATCATGCTTCTCTAGAGAGGACAACTACTTTTGGTACATCAATATACCTAAAAATCTCATACACCACAAAACAGTTTATAGGAGAGAACTATATGTGATACAACTTACCTCTTCTGCTTCCTCACTGTCTCTGGGGAAGAATTTAATAGTTGGGAAGCCACTCACACCGTACCTGAAAGAAAGGATAAAGTGAATATAAAAGCGATCTTCACAGTAATGATCACTGTGTTGGTTCCAAATAAACCCGTGAAGTGGTGAATAAATGGCTGTGAATATATGAAAGTCATATAATTGAACTGCGGTTAAAGACATGAATATGAAAGCAATCTTCGCAGTAATGAACACTACTTAAGCAGTAGTGAACATTACTAAAGCAGTAGTGAAAATAAGGCCTGAAAAAAATTCAGGCCTGTACAGGATTTGAACCCATGACCTCTGCAATACCAGTGCAGTGCTCTACCAACTGAGCTAACAAGTGTTACCATAAGGCCCTTTAAGTGTTAGCCCTCTGTCAGAGCCCTTCCCTCTGACAAAGGGCTAACGCTCAAAACACCAGCTTAAGAACTCTCTACAGTGGTCACTATAAATTATCAACTCAGTTGATAAAACCAAATTATCCTGTATAACTGACAGCACCAAAGTTTCTACACAAACTAACCCACTTTTTTCACTCATTATCTTTAGTTCATGATCATAGTTAGACATGACAACATCATGACATTTTGCCCTTCAAAAGCTCACCTTTCACCCAAAGTCCTTTCTCCATCAGCATCAACTTTGGCTACAACACACTGGAAATACACAAAGTATACTAAATTATGAAATAAACAAATGAGCAATCAGTCCAAAAGGACATGTCTTGTTTGCATGAAAGTTAACTATTAGCAGGCTAGGTTCATCTGTTTCATTTTGAAGAGTAATACGTCAATCTCAAGGCTCTAGTCTTCACACTAAAAGAGGTACAGTGTCTGAGAATTTGCAACATTTTATATAGTTTGCATTGCTAAACTGAACAATTCTATCAACTCCTATCATCTGAGATCACCTTCCTAATTTAAAGGGCTTCATGAAGGAGATGTCAAATTGGATTGTCTGCAGTGCTGCCTAAAAATAAGTGGTATGATCTACAATTAATGGTTAACCAAGACAATCTCATCAAATTCTACTGAGAAATGGGAGTGGCACAAAACAAAATAACAACAACAAGAACATAAGATATGCTTTACACAACAAAAAAATGTCTTGCACTATAACAACTTACATTTAGTTCATTCTTGAATGCAAGTCCCACTTTCTCATACACAGGGGCAAGGTTTTTACAATGGCCACACCCTGGAAAACAAGAAAACATGCAGAAAAATTTCAACACTGTATGACAAAGTTTGGAGTATAATAATTACAATAAAAATTCTTACATGGGGCATAGAACTCGACCAAAACATCTTTTGTCTTGTCCAATGCCACTGAGTCAAAGTTGGAAGAATCCAGTTGTATAACATTTTCCTTGAAGATAGCCTTACTGGCTCTGGCACCTGAGAAATTGATAAATGATATATATTAAATGAAAAAAGAAACAATGTAGTAAATTAAAAAACCTAACAAACTCAAGTTAATTGCATAATGACCGCACCCAAGTGTCCCAAATTGCATTTTCTCTCTAAATAATGCAACTTGACTTATTTGATTAAGTGAAATTTACAAAACATATCTACAGCTATCCTTTTAACCCTTTGCACCTTAAGATTGGTATCAATATTCTCCATGCTCCTCTCTATAAATGTCTTTTGGTACTGACAAGGAGAATTCATTTAAAATCAAAGCTTGGTAAGTTGGCCTTTGTTTGTTTTACCCTCATGACCTCCAGGAAAGATTTATCAGTATAACTGTGTGGAGAACTTAAATGCTGGTCACTCTTTGGGTTTAACCCTTTCCTACACAAGATCTCATCAGTAATTCTCCTTAATATCTGCCATACAATTCTTTCCTCCTATGGTGCTTAGAACTAAAATATTCAATTGAAATTGGCTAAAATTTCACAACAAGAAAATATCATGTTACTTACCACTTTTACCCTCAATAAATGACACAAGATCTTTAATATCCCTCCCACCTGAATAGCTGCGATGCAGAAGAAATACAAATGTAAATTATTAACTCACTAATGCACACAACAATGTTAAATATGCACAAAACAATCCTCCAATCTTGAATCTTTTCAAAGTTAGTAATTGGTGACCTGGAATCACACCATGGTTGCAAGATATAAAATTTATGTTGCCAGTAAAAAATTTTGGTTGGAGGTTAAATTAACATCTTGAGGTAAGATACTTGAGAAACCAAAGAGAAACAAGAGATTTTTGTCAGAGAAAACAACAGAGCATTGATAGTGGTCTATACGAATATTTGTCTCTCAACAGAATCTAATAAACACCTCACTGGCTACAGCTTACTACTAGAAGAACAACAAAAACAGTTACAACTTGAAGTTCTGCAACCAGATTACAAAAAGCAAGAGGTCTTAGTAAAAAAAATCATTTCTTACTCCTCAGCACTTGTGCTTCCTTTTGGAAAGTACTTAAGGGTAGGAAAACCGCTAACTCCAAATCTGGAACCAAGAGTTTTGTCTGCATCGGCATCCACTTTGGCAATAACGACATCATCAGCTTTAGCAAAAGCTTCTCCTAGCTTCTCGTATGTTGGTGCAAGAGCTTTGCAATGACCACACCCTTAGAATACATCAAACACCCCATCAAATTAATGTTTCTTGATGCAAGACATTGAAGACAAGGTGACATAACAACTAGTACACTTTGCTCTCATCAAAGAGGTTTGGTCCTCATCTTGGCTAACCCATTTAACTCTCACTCCCAAGATCTCATTAGTAATTCTCCTTACTTTCTACCACACAGATCTTATCATGTTAGTTCAGAGAATTTGGTATTGGATCAACTAACAAGTCCCTGATTGAAATTTTCTTTGTTTCATTACTTGTCTGCTTGATATTGTATTGATAACATTAGGAGAAATTCTATCTTGGTTACTTGTGGGAGTTATAGGGTTATGCAAGAACAAGTACAAATAAAACTACAAAACAGATAACTTGGTCATTACTATAGAATATATGTTGACTCCTAAAGAGGCTGTTTTAGCTTTAGTTAGTTTTTTTTTAAATTTGCTCCAAACATTAGTATAAAGTTGTGTCAAACCAGTTAGATAAAGTTTGGAGTAATGTAGCAGCTTTAAATTGCTCCTGGAGAAGTTGTGCATCAGCACGGCTTGTGTTATGGTCTTGCTGTGAAGTTTCATGTAGATTGAAATTTATTACAATTTCAATAAAAAAGGTCTGCTGTAAGGAAACTAGTTGAAAGATTTTGGGAGAGCTGGTAATTAACTGGAGCCCAATTTGTTGTACTGCAAAGAGCAAATCCCAAAAGTGGTAAAAGGAAGGGCTTGCAATAAGGCAAAACCACCAGATACAAGTTAGGAAAGATGAAGTTAATAGTGTTGCAGTTTAGATTGGAAGCTCACTGAAAATTCATAATATTCTATTTCCAAGATCAAACATGGTGACTGAATAAATCAATAGAACTTTTTTATTGGTCACTGCAGAGTGTGCTTAAAGAGGGGTGTAATGACATGACCAGCTATAGAACAAAGGCAACAATGACACCAAAAACCAGTAAAAGAACCCTGTGTCTATTGAAAATTTTAGTATTGATCTAGCAACTGAATCAGCTCCATCTAAACTATTAACAGAGTTAATCCTATGTAAGAGCCACTAACTATTAGTCAACCTGTCACCATTGTGTGTCTATGGTGCGGCATAAGAAATACAAAGGCTTCTCTTGTGTTCATACCCCCTGGGATTTCCTTTTCAATTCCCTTCACTATTTTTCAATAATTTCCAAATGCTATTTTATTCATCTCAATATCTAGAACTCGTATTTTCCCCTCTTTTTTTTCCAAACATGATTGAGTGGTAACTTTAAAAAGTCTAGTTGTGAAACAATAAGGAAAGATAAATCAAAAGGGAAAAAAAGAGAAAAAACCTTGGGTTGGCAGGTCTGTCATTAGAAGATTTATTCACCTAGTTCGGATGCTTACTAATCAGAGTTAATTTCTTTTTCCTAAAAGGATAATTTTCCTATCTTGGTTTAAGTTCAATTGTGTACTTTACCAAATTCATTTGGTGTTCTACTCACAGGGTGCGTAAAATTCAACAAATGCAAATTTATCGCCATTTACAATCTGAAAAAAGAAGAATAACAAGAAATGGTTAGGGTGATAAAAGTACATCAACATCTTAGCATTTTGTACACCAGAATGATATGTCTGCAGTTGACCACGTGTCAAAAATTTTTAGTTTATCGATTGGGGCAACAAAGTTTTATTAAAACAGTCATTGGGAGTGAAGCTTCTCGATCAAATTGTAAACTTAAGAAAATCAATAGGATCAACTTCGTTGATTTTTGCGAAAAAATCTTGGTCACTTTGTAGTTTTCAGACTCAATACTTTCGTCCAATCATTGTTTGACACCGCTCTCTCAGATTGTGCATAAGTAATTGCGTCCACTTCTCAAACGATAACATCCTAGAAAATACATACCGAGTCAAAATTTTCGTTCGTAAGGTCGATTACACTTGCTTGAGAGAAGGCGATTCCGACTAAAAAGAACAAAAGAGACGAGAAGTCAGCCATTTTTTTTCCAGAAAATGTTCGTGACTCAGATCTACTTGGTTGATGACAAACTCCTGAGATTTTACAAGAAGTGCCCACGCACTACTATCCAGTGGTTTTCCAAAGAAAAGCTCGGCCGGAAGGAATGGTGATGAGCTAAGATTGCACATGGCGGATTGTTGTGATCTGTCTTCTCCTTGATCTCTTTTATATTTTAAAGTTTATGCAAATCTTAAGGCCGTAACGTCCTCCTAAGATCCTTCTCTATACGTAATGCCTAAGAGAACTTCCGACCAAACTGTACAAAACAAGGAGACATCCCCCAAAGAGGTCAGCAATGCAATGAAACTAACACGAGATGTGATGCTTGAATCTCAGTCAAGATATTTTTTTGGCATGAACAACACAATTGACGGATTTCTAATTCCATGACAGGTTGATGAGAATCTGTTTCGTTTTGAGGGAAATCAAACAGACAGGTTAAAAGAGAATGCTGATTCATCAGATAGTGAAGAAAGCTACTACTCCGGACTAGAAAGCGAGTCAGAAACATCAGATGATGATGATGACGACGACGAACAGGACTCTAATTCAGTGAGATTTCTTTACTTGATGTCCAGTCACTTCTTGGCATGCAAAAAATTTACAGTTCAGATCATCCCACGTTACCATATCAGTGTTAAATGAATGAGTTAGAGGCAATTCTAAATTTTTCTCCTCCTTCAGGGAGAAGAGGCAACAAGTGGCAACGAGTCTTCTAGTGATAGTGACAATTATGAAAAGAATGATGATGGCAATGTGACAGAGAAATATAATAGTGAGCCAAACAAAAATGAAGAAGATGTGGTGAAGAAGAAAGTAAAAGAGTCAGTTGATGAAGATAACACATCTGACGAGGAGGTAGATTTAGGAAAAGATGTTGTATTAATCAAGATCTCCATCTATACTTAATAATTCTTTTACTTTATTTATCCAAGGACTAGTAGTAGGGAAACTTAAAATTTTCATTTCCCTTAGATTGTGGGCAGGTTGACTTATTTTTAGATGAAGTAACTTCTTGAGTGTGAGCAAATTTGTTGTGAGCAATTTTGAATTTCAAAAAATTGATTCATGTTCATTCTTACATCTCTTTCTCTGATTTTTACCATCTAAATCCCCTCTTTTTTTACACTAGGATGCATGTAATACCATTGGAAACATTCCTGTGGAGTGGTATAATGAGTATCCTCACATAGGCTACAACTTGGATGGACAAAGAATATTGAAGCCTGCTACTGCTGATGAGGTTTGTATCCTAAACAGCATCAGTGTTCTGATGGTTTTCCCAAAAGCCCTCAGAATCTGTAAAATCAATTAGGAGATCCCTTTAAATATCAAAAGAACAATACAAGTTCAGTTAAACTCTAAAATCCGAAATCCATTTTTTTTTGGCAAATTAAAACATACTGCCTTTAATTCTTTTAACTTTTAAATCACTTGAATTAACCAATGAGCATGTACCTGAAATTGAACAATAAAAATGAAGCAAAGTCTGTGATTGCACATGTGAGGGGGCAAGTGTTAACTGAGTTCTTCAAAGTATTTTATCAATCCCATGAATGCAGAGCAAAAAGCAAACAGCACTGTTTAAGTGAAAATGACAGGAATTTTAGGGCAAGTTGAATTTAAAATATATTTTTTCTTTGCTAGTTGGATCAATTCTTGTCTAAAATGGATGATCCTAATTATTGGTGAGTGTTGCAATTATTTGAAAACTGAAGACTTATACTCTACATGCCAGTTGTGTGATTACATTATATATTTGTGTAATTGTTCACCAGCACTTAAATAGTTAAATAAAGTGACGAAAGCTATGATGATTGATGATAAATCTTTCATCATTAATTATATTTATTATGTATTAATTAAGCTGGAGTAAATTATATGCTTAAACCTTTTATAGGCGAACAGTCCAAGATAAATCAACCATGAAAGAAGTTGTTCTAAGTAATGAAGAGTTGGATATTATTGATAGACTTCAAAATTCTAAGTTTCCAAGTGCTGGATATGATCCTTATGAGGTATGCTGTAAAGAATTGGGTTGATTTAGGAATCAAAAAAGAAAAAAACAACAGCAATGGGAATGTACATCATTGTTACCTTTTAGAGCTATATATGCTTGATTAACTTTACGTTTTTTCTGTTGTAGTTGCAAAGAAATACTGTTTGAAGTATGCAGGCATATATTACTGGGCCATATATGTTTAAATGGGGAACATGAATTAAATCCCAATGACTGAGCACTACTAATGATCCAATAATAATCTGTACATTTGGGGTTGTCAGTTTTTTCCTGGCTTTTGAATGTGTAACTGCTTGGTTTTTGTTGGAGTATTAAAATAAGCTTTTTTTAGCATATACTCATGGTTAGAATAGTAACACTTGATTTGGCTTTACTGTTAGAATCCCAAAGTTGCATGAACAAGAAACTACTGCAGCATTTGCATTTTGTGTAGGAAAAAATAGTACACACTCATGTAAGCACAATGCATTAAAGAACTCTTGTGAGTGTCTAAAACCAACCAACTCTTATATACAGTATTACTTTATTTTCTTCTAATCAGCCCTATGTAGATTTTTTCACTGGTAAGAAGATGATACATCCTTTGACTAATGCTCCTGAACCCAAATCACGTCACATTCCATCCAAATGGGAACACAAGAGGGTAAGGTAGTCATTTGTTCACTTGTTGTGGTAATATATATTTATACATGGAAAGGAAGGATATACTTGCCTCCAACATTTTTTTAGGCAACCCAGAGTTCAAAATTTGTTCATAATAATTTGGCAATTGTCTTTGATCTTTAAAGCAGAGAAAGGTTGGAGTCAGAGAGAAAAACTTCTTCAGAGAGTGTGGAGGTTTAGCAGGGAAATAATAGGGAGGGGGAGTGAGAAAACTGTCTCTGTTGTGTTTTGTTGTATAGACTATGTTTATTTTTTAGCAATGAAAATTATTTTTGGTTAATTTTACAGTTGTGTACTAAATGAGTAAGTTTTGTTCTTTCTGTGAGCCAGGTTATAAAGATTGTCAGAGCAATTAGGAATGGCTGGATAAAACCCAGGAAAGATGAAAAGACTGATAAACCAAGGTATTATCTGATCTGGGATAAAGATGACAACCAGGTAAATGCATCTTTGATGTTACTTTTTAGCTTCTGTTAAAGGGAAATAGAGTTAATTTAATTTGACTTAAGCTACTACTTTCTTAAGTAAATTAGGATAGAGAAAAAGTTGAATGAATTCCAGTGGTTTTGTTGTAACACAATACTATATAGAAAATGGTCTATTATCAAGATATTTTTGGGTTTGTCAAACTTTTTCCTTACTGAAGTTTGCTCAACAATTGACTACTTTTATATAATGTTTATTGTTTGTTTTGTCAAGGCGAAACCAAGACACAACATGCATATTCCTGCACCTAAAATGAAACTCCCAGGTACTATGAAATGAATAAAACTTAAATGAATGACAACTGTTGTTAAAGATGTTCATTCATGATCATCTTGTTTGAATGTTTATCTCATGCCTTAGACTGTCTTATAGTAAGAATTGCATCAGACTACCAATTAATGGTAGTGGTGGTCAGATGATTTTGAATCAGGTCATTGCTAATTTTACATTGACCATCTTTCAAGAATCCAAATTTGACTTTCCTTGATATTTCATGTTAAGTGGCTGTGAATTTTATTTATTTCAGGCCATGAGGAGTCTTACAATCCTCCACCAGAATACTTACCAACTAAGGAAGAGGTAAGGGAAATGAGATGAATTGTTTCTTAGCTAACAATGTATGCATATATTTTTTTCATTGACTAATGGTCTTCTCACAAGTAATGCAGACCATGGTCCTGAAATTTGTTTCAGTGCCATCTGTGGCTAAGGGGAAAAAAGCAAGACCTGGAGGAAAAAGGACTTGTTTACTGGTCTGGGTTGGTCCATATGGGAAAAAACTCTGCCCTTGGTTTTGAGTACAATTCTCTCTCTCTTACTGACCCTCCCACCAAGCAAATAACAAACATGTCTTGACCATTTTTTCAACACTGAGTTTCCTGCTCTCTTGTCCAATACACCATGACTGTTCATATTGTTAAGATTATTGTACATCCTACAATTTATTCACATAATTATTTAAATGATTTGATTATTTGTTACTTTTGCAAACAATTGAGAGGGTTTTTGATTGTTTAAAATTACAGTAATGGTAGCAATTTTTTTTTCTCCAAAGATTGCAGTATGGGAAGCCATGGATCCTGATGAAAGACCACAAAATTTTCTTCCTAAAAAGTCAGTTGCTTTATATAACAATGCTTTTGTAAAAGGTTTCACAACAAACCACTTTTGTTACTTCCGTTCTTAAAATTTTTTTTGATGTCTAGTGGTCTCACTTCTCCACTCTTGCAAAATCATTACAAAAACAGCAAAAGAAGTTAACCCTTTAATTCCTAAGATCTGATTGTTAATTCTCCCATCTAGCTGTTACACATTTCCTTGTGATTTAGTTAAAAGAATTTGGTGTTATATCATGATAACAACCTCTAACTGATAAGTTTGAGTAATCTTGTTACCTGTTTTTTGGATAGTGTATGGATATTGTTGGGAGAAGTTACATGTAAATCACTTCTGGAAGCTTAAGGGTTTACAATGTCATGTGCAAGTCTCTAGACCAGCATTTCTTAAAAATATTGCCAAGTGAAAATCAAACCTTACAGTTACCTGAATGAAAATCGTAGATAACAGGGGCATGGCATACATACTATGTAGCATTGAGTAACCCTTTAACTCCCAGAAATGATCAACATGCGACTTCTCCCTGTATTTTCCATACATTATCCGACAAACAGGTAATGAGGTAAGAGTTGTTATCTTGATCTAAAACCAAATTCTTGGAACTAATTTACAATAAAGGAAAGTGTAGCAGCAAGAGGGGAGAATTAACAATCAGATCTTGGGAGTGAAAGGACAAAAAGGACCTGAATTTGGCAATATCTTAATTGTCAATCATAACTGTCGCTGTTTACTACATGTATAAATTAAGCACTACATGAGTTAATGCTAGTTTATGAAATAAATTTTATATGTTCCTTTATTTTTAGGTACTCAAGTCTCCGCCTTGTTCCAGCTTATAATAAGTTTATCCAAGAACGTTTTGAGAGATGTCTGGACTTATATCTCTGCCCAAGACAAAGAAAAATGAGGGTGAGGCATTCCCACTCCAGGCACTAACCACTACTTGTCAGCAACAAATGTTGTTAAAGAAGTGTGAACATTCATCAAAATTCTGGAGTAATGTCCCTAATGATATTTGGTTTTTTTTGTTTGTTTGGAGTAGGTCCAAGTAAATCCAGAAGATCTTTTACCAAAACTTCCCAGGCCAAAAGATTTGCAGCCATTCCCGTCAACGGAATCTATTGTAAGTATAAATCTTGCATTTTGTGTAAACATAATGTTTCAGTTCACTTACGCGTATAACCAGTGAAAAATGCACTGTATATTTATACACTGTCACCCTTAATAACAATTGGTTCCTCAAACAAAACTGATCAACATATTTTTCAGCGTTAGTCCTTCGTCAGAGCCTTTCTAACGAAGGGCTGACGCTCGAATTGTGCGCTTTAGAAACTTTTTACGGTGGCCAATTTACGTTTATAGACTTAAAACCAAGTCATCTTGTAATGCCTTCCACAGACGCTGCACCACAGTTTCTTTAGAAAATTAACCCCTTCCTTTCAATAAATTTATAGTTTATTGAACACACGTTCTGCTGTAGTTCAATTGTGTGTGAAACTTAATTCATATTTGTTCATTAGCGTTGTAGTCGAACTTCTACCTCGTTCTGATGTGCATGTATTTTTCAGGTGTACAAGGGTCATACAGGTGTGGTGCGCTGCCTCGCTGTCGACCCCACGGGACAATGGATAGCGTCTGGTATGTGGGCTAAAATTCAATACTTTACTTGCTATCCATACAGTGCAATCACAGCGTATAGTTAACCCTTTAACTCCCAGATCAAATTTGTAATTCTCCTTACTGTCACCCATACAGTTCTTATAATGTTAGTTCAGAGAATTTAGTATTGAATCAACTAATTATCCCCAAATTGATTTTTTTTCTTTATACTCATCACTTATCTGGTTGATATTTAATGGATATTGTAAGGAGAAATTCTGACTTGGTCAGTCATGGGAGTTAAAGGGCTAAGTACACGCAGCGAAGTTTCTATATTATAGACTCATTTGATTCTTACTTTGCTGTCAGGAGGCGATGACAAAGTTGTGAAGTTCTGGGAAGTGTGCACAGGACGATGTCTCAAGACGTTGCAGTGTGGTGGTACTGTGAACAGTATGGCATGGAATCCAAACTCCTTCCTGATGCTTCTGGCTATTGCCGTGTAAGTGGCAAGTTAAAAATTGTTGCTTGCTTGCGGAGAAGTGAAATACATAGGTTCGTCGTCATCATCAATATTCCTTCATCTCCTTATGGAGAGAGATTTGGGCACCAAAATGAATTTTAGATGTGACGAGAAACGCTTTCTCCTTTTTAATGTCTACCTAATGTGAATTAACATTAAAAAAAACCCGCACCAATGCGAATTCAACATTGGAATGACTACTCAATTTCGTATCGCGTTTACAAATGCGTCTGTTTTCTCCTCGTCCGCCTTGAAGAAGCCCTCTTGGATTGACGGAATTCGCGCCGGTGCTATTAGTTCCAGTCAACGGTAGGACCTATTTCTCTACCCTAACGAGCGGTTGGTCTGCGTTTTCGTGATACTGTTGCGAGATTTCCCAACCAGTGGGATTCGTTCTGGTGTGACATTCTCTAATGATATCATGTGAAAGAATATACAACCATGAAGAAGAACCACGGAGAACTTGGGCCGGCACAAAAATGCCCTGTATCAGGTTAACACCTGTCTTAATTTGAACACCTCTCTGTTTTTCTTTACAGCGAACACAAAGTCGTCATTATCAATCATTATCTTGGTTGCAAAGAGTTGTGTGAAACGACGGATAAATTATTTGCTATTCCTATAGGAGAAGGTACAATTCTAATTATGGGCCTAAGATGTTTGTCAGAATGTTTTCAGTCATGTGGCTCTGTTTTATTGCACACTCCTTTTCACTTTGGACTGAATCTCATCTTTTTACTTATCTTTTCACAGCTGAGAAAGAATCTGGCGTACAGTGGTCAGTGGCTATAGGGGAAGACTACAGAAATGGAGAACGTTTAGTTTTAAAACACAGCAAGGTAATGTTGTCGTTGAAAAGAGCAGCCTTATCCTTGCACTCGTGACTGGGCCAATCAGCTTGGAAGTTGTACCTTTTTAGCCAATAAAGTATTTTCATGGAAGTTGTTCCTGCACATTGAAGCCACGCTTGCTCGCCGTCGTCATACCCACCCTTGCTTAAAACTTGCATCCCAGACTTGTTATGGTAAAACTTGCCAAGGACTAAAATTTCTCAGTAGAGATGGCCACAAAAGAACAGATTTCATGGAGACTGTTAAAGGTTTAAGTAAGTTTAAACCTTTTTAAGCAAGTTTTTGATGTTTCAACAGGTCATATCGCAGATAACATGGCATGGAAAGGGAGACTATTTGGCGTCGGTTGTACCCCAGGGTGAGAGATTAACTTTGACCTATTTTGAGGAAGATCTTCCACAAAAACGATATGCTTTCTGCGTTGTATATGTCTTTCCATTGTCCTGAGGACTTTTTCTTCTTTTGGAATCTCGATATGTTTTGCTGAAACAGTATTCAAACTTTTTGTTATATCTCCAAGGTGGCAACAAATCTGTGTTCATCCACCACATACCAAAACGTCGAAGTCAGGTACGTGAAGCCTCCGATCAACTTTTGAGCGGTTGAAAAATATACATTTGTCCGGTGGTTTCAATAAACTTTTTCATGAGCGACTGCTGACGGTGTAATGCGCGAGCTGTGACTGGAAGGGGCCGTGAGGCGAAACCCGTGAGCCTGCTCGCAGCTGAACAGACGACAGGTCTTACAGGCCTTACTAACCAATCGCTTTCAATATACTATTGTTTAGCTGTAGGAAGAACTTTCCTTTTTATCACTAGCAAAGCTCCACTTATCGAGTTGATATTCTCGTCATATTTCAGTGTCCCTTCAAGAAATCCAAAGGTTTAATCCAAAGAGTGTTGTTTCACCCGACGAGACCATTTCTTTTTGTCGCTGTAAGTATTGTAAACTGTGGAATTGGTGACAATTGTTTCTTGTACGTTGATTCTACTTGTAGGATACTTCAGTTAGGTTTATGAATGCAGAAAATACGTAACACCATTCGGATTTTTAAGTCGCGGCTCATGCTTTGGAAATGGTGATTTGATGAATGGTGGATTATTACTTATGGTGAATGTATGAAGAAATGTCTCTATATTTTGTTTTCATCTTAGAATCCCCACAAGTCCGGACAAAAAAAGTAGCCGCCGTAATGTCAGTTCCATCAACTCCCGACCAATGCGCACTATCCCGCAAATAGGCGACAAAAACGCGAAAATCGATGATCTGTTCATAGCTCCAACAACTTGTAAAACTCAAGCGAAACTATCACAGTTCTGAAACTGTTAAATATTTTTTGTGAGCATACGAACACAAAGTTACCTGATTTTCGTTTCTACACCTACTTTGCCTTCTTTCTTCAGACACAGCGATTTATCAGAGTCTACGACCTCATCAAACAAGAGCAAACGAAGAAACTTGTGTCAAACGTGAAGTGGATCTCCAGTATGGCTGTGCATCCGAAAGGTACGCTTCCCTCAAGTTAAAATCATTCTCTGAAATCTCTAAAAACTAAGATGTCCAGTAAATGTTATTTTCGGGGCAGTTTATGTGATATTTTGGTGGACTTGGCTTGCAGCCGTTCCCGTTTCCAAGCGTAATCTGCTTACGTCAACAAAAATCGGCGGGAAAAATCGCCGTATTCTCACGACGGGATTTACGCTGAGGGGAAAAATAGGTAGTGCTCCGAGATTACTCTCAACTTAGAGAGACCACAAACGAATACTTTGATGAGACGGTGAAGCGCAAAAGAAGTGATAAAAACTCAAGATCTGAGATGGATCAAGGATGCATTTTGGAGGAAAAGATTGTGCAAACCACGAGGTTGCTTTTACTCTGTTAAACTTAACAATCGGTCTCAAGTTTTAAATCACAATGGTGAAGCAGACTTATTTATTACAGTTGAGCAGTGTTATTTCCTTCCCGTAAATGTCAAAGTTGTACTTGATCCGCAATCTTGAATTTGTCGAAACTCGCTAGCAAAGGCTTGTGCAATGTAGAAATTTTTCAGTGTCTGATTTAGATATACTCGATTAATTTCTTACAGGGGATAATTTGATTGTGGGAAGTTATGACCGTCGGCTATGCTGGTTTGATTTGGACTTGTCGACTAAACCGTACAAAACGCTAAGGTTGGTGATCATATTTACTAGCAAAATATCTATATTTGCCCTGATTACAGTAGCCGAACTGCTCCAACCTTTACATTGTTGTTGTAAAAAAGCTGAATTTAAACCCAAATGTAAAGTAAGAGGTCCTTTGAGAAGATCGATCCTAGACCTTATCTGCGCTACGCGGGAAAAATTTTAAAAAGTAAGTTTATTCGTTTGGACATACCGTCAACACTAGTATGGTTAATTATACTTTTAGATAATGCTGTCCAAGGTGGATATATTTGAAAACGCTGTTTTTGCCTTTAACGGAGCTTTTCGAATTACCACTCTTTGTATTGTTGGGCGGGAAGATTAGGACTTGAATTACGCATGCTCAAGGAAGCATTTCAGCGTTTCTGCTCGTTGGTGATCGTTGTAGTGTGTACTGTGACATTCTATCTGTTTTCTGGTGTGGACAGTTCTTGAAACCTTTTTTTCTTTTAAATTCGAGTCGTAAAATAACTTAAAGGAGATCAGATTTTAAAATGGAGCGCATTACAATCGAGTGTTGTATAACTAAAACCAAAGTAGTCACCACAGCTAATCAGAGGAAAGGAAAAAAATCACCAGGAGCCAATGAAAATACCGTAACGCAAATTGCGCAGGCGCGAGAAAGTACAAGAGACCAAATCGCAATTGGGTTTAACTTTGAATGTGATTGGTTGTGAGAATGGCGCAAGTTTTCTTGACCAATCACATAGCGAAGGAACCCAAAACCAAGGTTATCCCGGATTATTTTTTACTACCAGTTGAGAATTGTACCAGGGCCTATGTGATTAATTGAAACGCTTAGCTCTCTTGGCAAGTCTTGCAATGCCGAATAAAATCATTCTTAACATCAATATTTTTAGGAGTCATAAAAAGGCCTTACGTCAGGTGGCTTTTCATCGGCATTACCCTCTGTTCGCATCTGCCAGCGATGACGGTACAGTTATTGTTTGCCACGGACGAGTCTTCAAGTAAGTTACTGGTGATCCTAACTGGCGATTTCATACTATTGTGAACTTAACTCGCAGTAAACCGTTGCGAAGGACATGTAAAGCAATTACAACACTGAGTGATGTTTCACTTGAAATAAAATAATTATTTGAAATGCTTTTTTCCTGATAGAAATCAAGGGTCGTGGGTAATCTTTCGTAACCGGTTAAGAGGCCATTTTTTTTTACTCGCTGAACTAGAAAAAAGCTTCTTTTTTTATAGTGTTGTAAACAGCACCGTTTTCTATTTCCTTTTACGATTTCTCATCGATAAAAATAATCCCGACAGGGAACGGTTCTTGTTGGACCAAAATATTTACCCTTGTCAGTAAAATATAGAAATCTTCTCTCTACCTCGTCAGTTTTCCCGCGGCCTCGTAGAAATTAATCTTACACTGAATAGTGGTAGTTCAGGTGAGGGTGCTCGAATTATTTGTCAGTGTAAGTTACCGACGTATCACTGACTCTAGGGAAGTTGTCGTAAGAATTATTACACAAACCATTTACAGTAAAAACAATTTCCCTGATTCTTTTCAGTGACTTGATGCAGAATCCTTTGATAGTTCCCGTTAAAGTACTGAAAGGACATCGGGTAGAAGGAGAGCTGGGTAAGCTAGTTCGCAACTTTATCTGTTCTTCTTGTGCGCGATGATTTAACTCTTAACACATCTTTTATATTTGCTCCTGGTTTTCTTGCACAACTTGTTCCACATTTTTATTTGAATTTTATTTGTTAAAGACGCCCTTTGGAGAAACGTGAACCCCTTGGAATGGAGAACCTCTTCATTGCATCTTATAACGCTCTGAAACCTTATAAAGCATCGATAGGGGATGTTGCCCTTTTCAAAACTTGGTGAACATTGTTCTGAATCTGTTGGCTGAATCTGTTGGCTGTCGCCCAATAGAAATACGCGCGAGACTGAATGAGCGAAAAATAGCGATGACCATCCTCGTTATTTTCTTCGCTCACCCGCCTCGACGCTTGTTTAACTTGCAGTTTATTAAGTCGTGACAACCCTCCTTACGTCCCTTTCAGGTGTTGTGGATTGTCAGTTCCATCCAAATCAACCATGGATTTTCACTGCCGGAGCAGATCACCTCATTCGACTGTACACGTGACATCTCTTATTACGCTCTTTTTAACAGTCACAGAACGACCAAGTCACTACGCGATTTCGCTTGTTCTAACATGCGCTAGATTATGCCTGTACATTAATGCGTCCAAAAAAAAAAACAGATCGTGGCCTACGAAATGCGATCTTCCGTCTAAAAACACACTGAACCGAAGCTTTACTCTGGCTGGCAGCCAATTGATATATTTCTTCTTAAGTAACCAATTGGCTATTACAACTTCTGAAGCTTTAGAACTACGAGAATTCTTGTTTATGAACACTGTTACTTACATGGTTCCACATGAACAGTCTTCAAGACTGTTTATGTCGGACAGTTTGGACCTTTGAATAAAACATTGTGTGTGGTACACCGAACAAGACTTCATTTTTGCCTTAGTTCAACAGGTCAGTTTGAAGGTATCATAATGCTGTCTCCATAACTTATTCACAGCCGTCTCTCTTGATTCCTATTAACTTCTACTCGCTGTTTTGCCACTCGTCAAGAGTCGGTGCTTAGCACGCAGGCACGATGCAAACCTGTCTTTAGACTACGAGCAGCCTTTACTTTCGGTGAAATTCGACGCGCAAGTTAAAAAAAAATTATTTTGGCACGACGCGCACCTACTTTTCGTGAGCCTGACTGCCATAGTTCCGCGCGGCGCGCTAACATTTTTATATATTTATTATTTTTTTTCATTGATATTTTTACTCGCGTGTCGAACTTAGCCGAAAAGCAGGGAATGCTCGTAGTCTGCTTTGTCTTAAGGTCAGAGCGTAGATCCTTTACTGCCACAAGACTTAATACTTACATTTATTTACAAAGCACTACCTTGATTTTTTTTCCCGCAACTTTTTTGCCTCCGGATGAGAAAGTCCTCAGGGCTGTTCTCACCTCAAAGCACGATCGGTTTATTTACTTGTCCTCACACAGAAATCTTGGAACAAGGCTACGAAAGTTCGTCGGAGTTTTAACGCGCAAACATCTCCTGGCTGATACGATCGTTAAAAATACTATGTACAGGACGAATATGCAAAACAAAATATTACACAGCACGATCATCTTTGTCTGAGAAAATTTTCCGTAAAATGTTTATATTCTCCTGACACATTTTGCTAAATTTGTCCTCTGTTGCATGTTCAAATTCTGAAATGAGAAAAAAAAAGATACTAAAAAAAACTATCTACGGTTAAAGAAAGTACTTGATGGAAGGTTTGATATCAGAGGCGATATCCTTCGATTAAAAGAGCGCTTTTCGGAATTTTACCCCGTCCTGTAACTTCAAAAGCACTCGCGCCCCGAACAAATTTGAAGGTAGTTGTTGATGGTTGAAAAGAATGAAGATTTCACCAACTTACCCGGTAGCAAGTGAATTTCGTCGAGTTTCTTCACCAATCCCGTCTTCTTCAAAGATACTTTGGCCTAATGAAAGTAAAGTAGTTGAGAGACACGATGAGCTAGCAGTTTGCAGTTTACCTTTGAATCCTCATTCGTACCCTCCAGAGAGAAAGAACATCCGTAAGATCATCTGTAACACACTCCAAAGCGCCTCGCGCGCCACTTGTTTTTGTTCTTACCGCATTTTGACGTCACCTGTGATTTACAACTGAACAGATGCACAGCAACAAGCGATCTTTCTGTTAACCCTTTACACCCTAAAATCAGTATGCATATTCTCCATACTGTTCTCTTTATAGTCTATAAGGTGCTGACAAGGAGAATTCATTTAACAATCAAGAGCTTCTTTATTTGTTGATCATTTCCCTAATTCTCATGACGTAACGTGTAATTCAGGGGTGATACTGTTGGGAGAAATTAGATGTTAGTCACTCTTCAGGGTTAAAGGGTTAATTCAGTGCTTCTTTTTTTCATACTTTATGGTTTAACAAACTTTCACTATCGTGACATGCAACGTACCTTTTGACAATTGTGCAGAAGTGAACACAAAGCTGAGAGGCACAGTGCCCTCAAGTAAACGGAATTATCAGTAGTAAATTCCACCAGTAGAGACAGTAGCTTCTCTGCAAAACAGAGGAGATACCAATCATTTTAATTGTTGTTGGATCCACAGCAACAGTCTCACCCGTAAAGGGGAGGCGGGGGGGGAGAAACAAAAGGACAATCATTTCAAAGTAAACAAAGCATTAACAATAATTTAGTTCGTCATTTGGGAGAATAAGCTCATTAGCTCCTGGTGATATATCTTAGCCATGACTGGCTGTTGTGATTGCCTTGGTTTTGGCGTAATGTCACTCAATCCAAAAGCACTCTACAATGTCACATGTACCTCGCACGTTGCTGGCCTATTTTGGCAGGAAACGAACAGACAAATGTTTAGCCGTCCACGTGCAAACGTCGTTGGTTATTTCTAAATCAAGACGAAATCTTTGAAAACAGGAGGACCCTGTTTGGCAGCCTCTTATACCATGGCTAGAACATGTTGCCATAACTTTGCGTTAGCACGTACAAATACTAGGCTAAAAAAGCACTAATGCGAAGATGATAACTCACCGTTCACCAACAGCACAGGCTTGCTGGCGCCATGGAAGCACAAATTTCTCAGAACAAGAAGAGCCTTTTCCTGTAGCTGCCTGTTCTGAGCCATACTTAGCTCTAACAACACTTCTACAACGCCAGGGGTCTTGACCACAACCTGCTGGCCATCGGTAAAGAATGTCACGCTAACGAGTACGTTGAGCCAGCAGAGTGTCACGCCACGAGTAATGGACTTGTGTCTGGGATGGGCACCGCTTTTAATAGGCTTCAGTGAAGCGAATGGTTGGAAAAAGTTCGTCTGCAGAGACAGAGGAAAAAGCATCCAGCCTTATAAACGTTTCGACTTGAACAACAGTGGTAAACAAGATTATCATTCTAAATCTTACACTTCAAAAATTCCTTATAAAAGGTTAGGTCCGCAATGTGTTTTTATCCGAACGTTAGATTTCTCTGCCACTATAATTTTCTCTACGTGTAACAGCCAGTGGGCGTAGGAGGGATTAAACCACTAACGGGAGTAGCATGAGGACGAGACGGCAGCTCTCGAAAATTGTACGCGCCTTGTAAGCACGAGGTTGTTTTTGAGAGGTACTTGCCCTAATTTCGCTACATTCCTGCCGAGTACAACAGGAAAGGCAGAAATTTATGAGAAGAGAAATTACTACTTGAAAAGCGACTGTAATGGACGACACGACATTATTGCGAGTGACACGTTCCCAGGCCTACCTTCCACAGGACTCCTCTACATTCGGCACTTAAAGCCAGGTTACTAAGCAGATTGAACATGTTCTTTAGAACAGCCAGGTGCATGTCCAATTCGGTACTGGAGCTGTTCTGAAGCTTACTGTTGGTCTTATGAGTCAGTTTAATCAGGCTATGTAGTAATGTGCTTCCACTCTGAACAGAACGGCTAACGTTGCCAAGAACACCTGAACTACCTGCGACATAAGCTGATGCTGCGAGGACAAACGAAACGATCAGAAAAAAAAAGTTTTTCGGTGCCTACCTGATCTCTAACTAAAATTGTTATTTAATTAATTCGTCACAAAAATGTACAAATACATCCAGAAAAAAAAATTAAGCAACTGATATAGTTATTCAATCTACACGAGTATTTGATGGGCAATATTTAAACATAGTTGTGTGGTTTTTATTTTCCATCATAGTTGTGTGGGTTTTATTTTTCATCTATGTGGGCTTTTGATTTTGCTCGTGTATTGCTCTTCAAGAGTGACGTATAACCGATACCAAAGTTGGCAAATGAGAACAAGTTGAACCAAAGGAAACCCGCTCAGGGTAGAGAAAAAGAAATCAGTCTTACCATGGCAAAAGCGATTTTAGTTTTGCAGTTGATTAGTTTAAAAGGTGGCATGAACTTTCTACACCAATAACAAAACATAGTACAACAAATGAAGTCAAATTTCGGATCACATTTCTCTAAATCATGAGGGCTGTGAAGATGGACGTGATCAAATAAAAGGTGTTTTAGGCGACATGTCACTGGAAAAAAGATGACAAGTTCCCTAACAAGTGTCTAAATGACTCACACCAGGTGATACTGCCCTTGTGGCAAATTGAAAGAGAGCAAACTCACAACGGAAGAGGATAATAGTATCTAGAAATAAATATAGGAGGTTGATATATTCGAAAAAAGTAACTCTTATCAGTTCACAGGAACTATTTACCTTTTGAAAACTGTGCGGTCAGCGTTGATAGCAGACGCAAAACTTCGTTTAGAAGGTGCACCTCGACGGAACACCACGACCAGAGTTTGTGCAGGACATCAACGATTCTGCTTTCTACGCAAGCTCTCTACAGAAGCAAAGGCAAAGAAAGCATACCTTCAGTTTGCATTTCCATATGTATACATTACAAAGACAAAAACTTTCCCCAACCTCTTCCCAGAATCCTTCAGGGGATTCAATAATTTTTTCCAAAAGAGGTCAAAAACCAAAACCAAAACACCAGAGCCTACTCGCAGGCTAAGCAGACGGTGGTAAGAGATCTTAGAGGCGGCTATAGACCCCTGTCATCCTGCAAAACTTTTAATTGAATGTGAAAGCTCCAGACATATATTTGGTTATCAAGAAAAACCTACGGTAACACAACACTGATAGATGCAAACGATTGACAGTCAGGAATTATGTTACTACTAGATACCTTGACTGATGCATTACAGTGAAGAAAGTTTCTGAGTAGTTGAAGCACCTTAATAAGCTCGATCATCAATGGATCCTCCTGAAAAGAAAAAACAGTAAGCTAAAAATAAAAAAAAAGCTTGTCTGAACTTTGCGTTCCCTTACTGTAATGATAACTCGAACTTTGCTTTTGAATATCAACTTTAATCGGTGAAACTCAACGAATATTTTCTCGAAACCTCGTGTTACATTTTTAGAACTCGTGTTGCGCATGATCGAACTCGTGTTACGCGTAGGAGTGAGGCAGTTTCAACACTTACCAAAGAAAAGGAGAAGGCATTATCTGAGGCGAAGTAACGAAGTTTTATCCAAGGGCACGAGGAAGAATGACTCGGTCACTAAACTCGCAGAAAAGGTTTGAACTCATGGGCGCAATTTCGAGGAAAGAAAACAAAAGATCGAGACCACGTTGTACAGGAATCTCTGAGGAAAAGAGCTAACATAAAAGGATGGAAGAAAATAAGTTATGTTTGTGCCGGTAAACAAACCACTTCAGGATGTTTAAGTCATTACCTTCCTTCTCCACGAAGAACCTTTCCCAAGCTGGAGTGAATTCATGTTCATCTGAGCATGAAGATGCTTGACGTGTTCCAGAGTGGTTTCCACAAGCCCAGCTAGATAAACAAAGGAAGCAAGAATGAATCTATGCGGGAGCGAGGCGGATTAGGAGGACTGTTTCGAAAAACCAAACTCACGAGTTGAGTAGTTTACAGGACCCGGATGTTCAAAACACTTAAATTTTTTTCAGTTCTTCACTATTAAAGAAATAATTGTGAAGTTTACTGCTAGACCGCGTTTTGAGACTTCAAACAGCAGCCAAACTCTCTTAAAATAAGTTATCAGGTAAGACTGGTCAATCTCCTCACCTTGCAGAGCAATTCTTTTCGCCGCGTGACTTAAAGCCAATAAAGCACTCAGAACAGCACACACTAACGCCTGCTCCTGATCCGTGGTAAGTGAACTCTGCCGCGAAGGGGCACTGTCGTAGACTTCTAGTAAAACGCTGCAAAGTTCTTGACCAGAAGTTTCACTGCTAGCAGAAAATCCTGGGCCGTATTCACAGTTTTGTTCCCTATGATTTTTCTCATTCTTCACAGCATCCACCAAGTGTTCACTGGTATCGGTATTATCGAGTAATCGAGTAAAATGATTCTTTATTAGAGGTTTATCTGATTTTCCGTTACTCCACCCTCTCCCATTGGGTTGTCGTTTGCCCTCGATGGTCAACTGGAGGCCAAGAAGATTAAGAAGTAAAATTCTTAGGGAGGATAGGGCGGGGGATTTGCTCTCTTCAAATGAATGTTTGGTGACACCTGAAAAAAATTGTAAAAAAAAAGTGATCAGCCATTATATCTTCTCTAATGTCAATGTGCATACCGCTGACAAGGAGTGTTATTTTTTTAACAATCAAGAGATTCTTTAGTTGGTGATCATTCCCTTTATTCTCACGATCTTCACGTGTGATTTAGGGGTGGTTTTGTAAGGGGAAATTAGATGCTAATCACAAAAAGTAGTGAAAGGGTTTGGGGAGAATGACTGACGGCGGAGATACACGAAAAAAACGATAAAAACAACAGAGCGTTAATCCTATCATGAGCGATGACTGTAAGCAATAATGAGCTTGTATATCATTTCCATTGTAAACAACAATAGACCGAAACATCTTTCTCAAGAAAAGGCTTCGTAAAAGAAATTTCAAAGGTAAATAAATTAAATTAAATGTATTTTCCAAGTTTTTCAACAACACCTGAAGTGTCATTTTTATTTTACTACACGCAGAAAAATAGAATTCCATCTTACTGATTAATAGCCTCCAGTGAGTTAATAGAGTCTCCTCAACAACACTTGGAACTGACAGCTGACCTTGATTCTGCAGCAGTGTGATTAGCAGTTTACAAGCATTCTCTCGCACAGTTCTGACGCCAATTTGTAGACTGTCATCTGATATAACAAAGGAAAAGGTTTGACAAATTATTTCCACGCTACTTTTTCATAACTCTGACAAACTCTACACACGGAAGGTTACGTGAGTACCAGAAAACTTGTACGTTTTTTTTCGCCGGAGCATGAACGAGCTTTCCACGTCAAAGGATATTGCGCTCATAATTGGCATAAATTGATTGGGGGCAAATCGGAATTGAAATGAGGTTACTGTTCACGTGGAACAAGTTTCGCCGTTGTGCATTTTTTCCATTTCGACATCATTTTATCCTTTATTAAAGATTTATCTTGTGCTCATCCATTATCACTAATGGGCCGTAACGTCAGCAAACTTTTAGAATGCTTTTCGACTGAATGTCATAAAACCAAGACCAAGGTAATCAGAGCTGCCAATCAAAGGAAAGGAAAATACCCTGAGGAGCCAATGAGAACGCGAGTAAACTCAATCACAGAGCAAAGTAAACTAATGCAATTCCGTATCACTTTCAACACTCGATGGAAAGTTACTCTAAGAGAGAGTGCAATCTATTGCTTGATTAACATTAAATAGCAGCTTTGATGTTTTAGTGGGCGTTCAGTTTACCTGTATGTGAAGCATCAAGTGAAAAGAGGAGCATTATCCTGTCAAGAGCTTTGTGGTCTTGCAGCAAAGTGAAGCAAAAGATGGTATTCACTTTGACAACAGTGTGAAGGAAAGACAAGATTTCGCTGTACATGCAAAGTATCTCTTGAATCACTACAGCGGACGCGCAGGACAGCGGGGTGGGTTCTTCCACGCAAAGGTAGCCTTGTACCTCCGTGCAATCAATATGACTGCAAACAAACAGCAAAAATATAAAAAAAAAATATCATCGTCTATCATTGCCATCTGCGTCTCCATTTACAATGATAAAAAAATTGCGCTACAACGTATAATTCCTACATACTCACTCGATAAAGCTGCTTAGAATCTCTGCCTTGTTCAGAGCTGCGATGATGGGCCCAGGGTTCAGGAGTACCAAATTGTTCACCAGACGTGCCATTGCACCAATGAGCCCCGGTGTTATGGAGGACCTTGTAACTGCTGAGGATGTCCCTGATGGAGCCACCGAGTTGATAGAACTACTTACGCCACCACTAGCGCTGGCACTGGACATACTAAGTGTATGTAAATAAAACGGTAAATAAAGAGCAAATAAAAACATTTTACGTGTTTCTGTTCGTGGTAATCTATTAAGAGCTCAAACTTGGTTTAAACTGGATAACCCGGCCTAAGATTGTAGATTGAGACGTGGTCAGCGCTCCAAGCTTCAACCAATTGAGTCGGCACAGCAAGAGGAGAAAAATTTTAGCGACTAAATTTGCAAGGGAAGTCGCCAATCTGGCGACCTGTGTTGTGCGGTCATTATTGGTGATCACTGGTGATCTCTTAACCTTGATGTCTGATTCAGGGGTAGTATTGTAAGGGGAAATTAGATGCTGGTCACTCTCAGGTTGAAGAGTTGATCAAAAACAGCAAAACTTAACATGAACCTTCAGCTGAAAAAGCTTTTGTAATGCTGAGCTTTTGCACCGTAAATTTCTATATTTTCTTTCCTACGATGCTGTTTTGGAATAGCATAGACATTCAGTTTAATTGATGTCAGCCTTCGTTTTAATATCCAGCAGAATCACATTTGACTTGAAAAGAAAGACAATCCAGCAAAAAAAGTGCCCATGGAGAAGACATACCCACTCGGCAGACCTCTTTCATTAATCAGTGGAACCAAAGAGGTAGGAGTCCTTGATAACTGCGTCTCAGGTGCGGACGAAGACGCCCCTGACAAGACTGTGCTCGAGGTGTGAGAAGCCACTGAAAACACTCCAGGGCTTGCCTTACCATTTGCAGACTCTGTAGCTAATGTTTGAGCTTCCGAGCTTACACTGCCAGACCGGGTCTGTGACGTTGAGCCAAGAGGCTTGTATGGAAAGTCTGTACCAGTCCCCGACGAAAGAGACACTGTGACAGAGCTCTGACAAGCCTTGGATGTGCCATGCGGTGGAATCAATGGAATTGGACTGCTTGTAAGCATGTTGGAAAACTGTTGGAAAAACTTGAAATGCTCCAGAAGGGAATGAAGATCTTGAATTCCCTTGGAAGGGTTCTAAAAAAGCGAAAAGCGAAAGGTTACATAATACAGGAGAAGGAAATTTATCAAGAAGCTTAATCTTTGTATTTAAGTTAGTCTACAACAAATGGAATCGACTTGATGTGCAGGGATCTGTAGATTCTTAGTTTGAATAAAACTGCCATGCAATACCATCGAAGTTACCTTTCGACTCCAATGTTGAAAGTGTGAAAAAAAAGAATCAAGGATCTGAACTGCAGGTTATAGGTTTCCACAGAGGAAAGATCTTCACAGTTTTATGCACCATTGACTAGGTTTTTCAAAACAAAGCCTCAAAACATTCAGGCTTTATTCTAAGAGTGATATAACTATTTTTGCACGTTTGACAAGCAATTCGACCGAACATCTCAATGGGGCAAAAAAAATGTTCAACGCCGCAAAGAAAAGTACTGCTGTTTTCATCACAGAGAGGTAAAACGAAAGGTCAATTTAATACGATGGCAAGAAGACGTTTTAGCAGGCTCTGCAGGTAACTTTTCACATATACCTTTAGGTCATCTTGTCGTTTTTCTTCAGGGAGGCTCCCTCCAGGTGACAGTCCGCTGACTAAAGTAGTAAGCAACAGAGCCGCCTAAAAAAAGAGACATCTTTATAAGGAAGTTGAATTCGTAACCGATCTACGAAGCCTCCCTCAAGTACAGAAGTGTTAGGTAGTAACTCTAATTTTACTCATTTAGGCTTGGTAACGAATAACTGTATTTATAATCGTTTCAAATATTGTCTGTATTGCAATCAAAGAAACGCATACCATACATTTTTCTTTGAAGCTGGGCAAAAACGTAGAGAAAAAATAATGAATCGATTAGACTCACAGAGAGAGTTATTAAGAAACGATTTCCATATTTTGGCTTTGACAGTGAAGTTATCGATCGCCATTAAATGCCTTCCTCAACGTTATCACGGCAACAAGGCAATGTGAGTATTGAGTGTTTTGCCCCAGAACACACCTATAATAACCGCAGCCTTGACTACTCAGCTACCGCACCTCCATGCGCGCTTACCAATTTTCAATTTTCACACCGATATGTTACAAACCTGCTGCCTGACAAAGCCACATTCCATGTCATCCAGTAAAACAGTAAACACAAAGCTCCACAAGCCTCCTACAAACTTCTGCCCAGCCACTTGTAGTTCCTGCTTGCCTTGCTCGCTTCCAGCAAGACTTGTACATATACCAAGGCCCATCCAACGGACGTCCGGCCAGCGGTCTGTCAACAAAGGTACCAGCCATGGTAGGGGCTCATCTTGATGGTCTTGACCACGTGACCATTTTAGGACCCAGGCCTACGAAGCATGCAGTGTGAACTAAGTGTGCATCCATTGAAAGTAGAGGAAAAAATGACAACATCGTAGAGAAGAACCGAGGTCCTGTGAGGATTTCTCGAACCTAAAAACATCTGATTTAGACATCGAATGTCCTGCAAACTGAGAAATTAGGACTTGATAACGAGTCACTGGGTTCATAAAAAGGATACAAGCGGCCTGTATTCTGCTACGATCAGCCACGTCGAAAGTTTCCCGTACGGTGGTGGAGTGAGACAGATAGTAATCTTTAAACGCGATCATCGAAGTTAGATACTAAACATATTCTCAAGCGAAAGACAAATAATTTGTCTTTCATTCGCATTTCTTTAAGTGTAAAAAAAATAAAGAGAAAGAAAACCGCAGTTTCAGCTAATTGTCACGTTATAAAAAGAAACAATGAGATACCTTTTCGGGATCAATAATGGACATCTCGTGTGTAAGGTGCAACAGACACAGGCTGGAATAATAAGTGACACCTTTACCCATGAATGACAAACTGGCGCCAAGTCTGCCAGCGTGGAACGCTAGAACCACCTGGAAAAAAAAACATTAACGTGTCAAGTATAAGTTATTTTAAACAAACTGAAAGAAAGAAATATTTGAAAAATTATTGTCGACACTTTCTCCTCCAGGGCAATGTTCATTTGTTCATTCTTGCGACCATAAGGAAAAGGAGTGAGGTGAAATGGCTTTAACAAGGTTCACCGAATAATGACATTACCCGTTGTCAAGTAGGTCTGACGAATAACATGAAGATGTAAAAGCAAAATGTACATTTGTCGAAGCGAAGTCAGAGTCAAAGTCAATATCAAAGTTCGCGTTGAATTTGATGTCACAAGATGTCGATGTCGAGTTTCCTCGCGCTAAAAGCCTTTTACCTTTATTTATTTTCAGTTCTCACAGACTGCTCATAACATTCCGCTTTACTCATTTTGGTCATTGTATTTATTTGCTTTCGGTTTTACGATACTTGATTGGAAACCAATCCAAAAATACTCTACCTGAACCAATGATGACATGAGTTGTTTACACAGACTCATTCCTTGGGAGAATTTACAGTCTGAGCTCCACCGTGGCTGCGAAGTGACATGCACCAAACAAACAAGTGACGTCTCAAGCACGGGCAAATCATAGAACTGTGGGTTGTCTGCTAAATCCAAATTCAGAGCTAAAGCGTATGCCAGGTCACCAATAAAAATCCTCTCTTTATCCAGTCTCCATTCCTTGGTGTATCGCGACAGACACTTAACCAACGTTACCAGGAAAGATAGGAGATGCTTGCGTAAGGCTCTACAGCGGAAAAAGCGGTACAACATTTTACTTATATTCAATAAAGATTATTGTCGTGCGTTAAGTTGTTAAAACTTCGGCGAAATAACGTAACGGTGCCAAATCTACTCGCGCATTCTTAAAGGAATTCTAACAACCACTTCACACATTTTGTTACTCTTAAACCGAAACTTACTAATAAATTGGGGACCTTAAGCAACCAGAACAGAAGGGCCGTGGATGACGTCACTTAAAAGAATGAATTAGTCTTCTTTGGCTAGAATTTCGCTGATGGGTGGACGTGTTTATCGACGCTTAAATTGCCAAATCTCAACTTCAGCACAACGTATTTGAGCGGTGTTGAGTTCTAAATGGAAACTTGACTTATTTTCCGTCGGGGTTTCCCGTCCTACAACCATACAAATTTTAGTGACTTCACGTTGTTGTTTTGAGGACGGCTTAAACAGGTACTAAGTTGTAAAACGCTAGAATTGAGCTGTTGTTCTGCCCTCTGGATCCTTTTCTTTTTATACGTCTTTGCTCCAGTCGCCGTTGTAATTTGCTTAAGGTCACCATTAGGTACAAAACCAGAGTGACGATAGAGTACGGGTGAGCCTGTGATGGGCAATGGTTTCATAAGTTCTTGCAAATCAAACCAAGTAAAATAACTACACTCCATGCGTTATTCCTGTACAATTTCCAATGAGATCCTTGACTGAAACTCTTCACTTCTTGTTCGACCTACGAACACAGTGAAAACTCACAGCCTTCACATTTCACAGTATCAAAAAAAACATCAACAGAGCATACCTTTTTGATTCAGATACTGTTTGCGAGCCAGCAGTACTCGTTTGGACATTTCTCAGCAGCGTCATCTGTGGTCCATCTCTCTGTAAGACTACCCTTGCTACCCAGGCCACCACAGGCTCTGGAGGTTGTCGAGGACTGGAAAGGATGATGTCTAACACCTTCAGTACCTCTATGAGCAAGTTATCATCATCGCTGCTGTTTGGCACCACTTGCAGATATCTAATAAAATAAAATGCCGAGAAATAAGTTTTCACCTTTGGAGGCCAATCACGGAGTACAGAGCGATCAAAAGTCACGCATGTGCGAACGTTGTAATGAATAGGTGGCGAACCAAGATGTCTCTCACGAGACACAAGCCAATAAGTCACAGTGCTTGAAAAACGTATAATGTTTGTGTATCTCTCAAAAAGTAGCTAATTAAAAAATTAAAAAAGCGAATACCTCTACAGGGCAACAAGGGACACGAAATATCAACTGACATAGGCCACTTACTGTTTCACTCCAAAAACAATGAACATCTAAAACTATGACATGGTAAGCATGTCTAATGCTGGTGGCCCATCAACACGTAAGCAAACCGTTAGCTAACTTGTTCTGATTCATAAAATCATAAGCGTCACTTTGTTCAGTTAAAATTTCTTTCGCCTGATTACCTCGCGAGCAGGCCCTCATGATCAGCGCTTCGCCAAACGTTTCTTCGCCAAAGGGGAAATTTGATGCCTTGAGCAATGCCAGCCGGTGAGGGGTCTGCAAGGGGTCTGTTACCTCATTATTAGAAACCTCTCCCTGACTTGTCCCCAATCTTCTCACAGGCGCAGGAACGCTTGTCCTGCAGCACTAATGATGAGGGTCTGATCGCACGCTATCTATCGCCTGATTGATTCATTCAATTAATTTATTCTTGTTTTCTCTCACAATATTCCCACCAATAGCGTTGCTCCATTTTCTGCATATAAACCCAGACACAACACACAATTCCTTAAATCGCCCTGACGAAGGGCTAATGCTCGAGACGACAGCCTTTAAACTCTTTACGGTGGCCAATTTACGTTATCAACACAGTTGATAACACCCTGTTATTGTCTGATTGGATTATTTTCTTCCACACAATTACATTCCACAAGAAACGGTTAATGGTAAACACAAAACAAACACAATTCCGGTGTTCAAGCTTTGACAGTAAGTTATAAAATATTATTTGTACCTCTCAAATGCAGTTTCCCATTTCAAAGTGTACAGGACCTCTACCGCTAGTTTTTGCTTGGCTGTAGGACTCTTATCAGCCAACAAGTGAGCCGTGATGTTACTGAGAGCAATCTTGACGTCATAATGCGAATTCGCTGTCTCCATACACTGTAGGTGATTACTTAGAGCCATTTGAACATGAGTGCAGCAAAGAAGATCAGCATCAAGAGTTGTCCACTGCAAGGCTCGCCAATACCTATGGGACAATGTTTAAGTGTTCACCAACCTTTTGTTTTTTAGTTACTCTTTCTCTACTATGGACTTTTTTGACTTTGTTGATTCTGACAGCAGACAGGATGCTTACAGTCTGCGGGACAGGCGCCATTTTCTCCTGTTTTTTTCTTAGCGAGCGGACGCAAGCGCGAGGCAAGCGCAAGGAAAGCATAAAGGGCGAGTCACGCGCGAGAGGAGCGCGACAGGTGCCAATTGTACTGATCGCACTCTTCCTCTCGCGTAGAACTCACCCTTCGCACACTTTTCACGCTCACCTTGCGCTTACCTCTACTATGTCACCGTTTTTGAGACATTTTTTCACGAGTGAATAATATCTTAATGTAGCTCTGTCTTTTCTACACCAGTTAACTTCGAAAACGCAAAAATTACTGGCGGTAGAGCCGCTTGAATGCATCGCTGGGCTTACATGTGAAGTAACATCATCTTACCCTAATTTTTTATCTAACTGGCTGCTATCCTCCACTCCCTTTACTTTAGACAGGTTGTCAACGTTTTCATGCCAGCCTAGATTCCAGGCCAACCTAAGTCTGGACACGGCTGGTTCTGATTCAAACGCGTCTTTCTCTTCAAGTTCTGGAGACTGGTGAACACTGATAGGAGTGTGGACGGGAGGAGAGAATGGAAACTGAAATCTGTCAAAAAAAAAGGAAAAAAAATATGAAAAATAAATGAATGAAGTAATGTCACAAGGTAACTGATGTCTTTGGGAGACATATTTAACTTTGCTTTTCAAGCTTTTGAGCGCAGAATATCCGAGATTTCTGAGATCAAAACCATGAAGCACCTAGTGATGTTTTATGGTCACATCTTCGGTGACATTCAATTGCTTGCAAGCTTAAATTTAGTTTTAGGGTCTATAAACTTCTTATTAATTCAATCCACAACTTCCCTCGGTAGACTTTAACTTACCTCACTAAATTGAACTAAAAATCAAAAACAAGAACAAACCGTATACATTGTGATTAATAGTTACTTTCTCTCCGTTACAAACTGAGCAAGGTTGCAAAATCTGGGCAAGTCACTCAATCTTGAATTATGGCAGAAGGCTTGAGGCTTGCGCTGTGAACTCATCGTTAGGAACCTTAAACAGTTAGGACGCCAACCCCGAGAAAGACGTTGATTAGATAAAAGAATTGATAATTCTAGTCAGTATTTCGCGAATGGCTGGATGTGTTTACCGTCTCGACGGCGCCACACCTCAACTTCAGCAAACCCTATGTGAGCAGCGTTGAGTTTCAAATGGTCTCAGATAATGCAAACTTTTGTTGATTTTACACACGAGTAGAGCTATTGTTCTGTCCATGATATCCTTTATTTAGCCACTTCCTCGTTACTGTTGCCGTCGTGGTTTGCTTAAGGTCCCTAATTTTGACAAGGGGATGTACAATGTAACAAACTGTTTTATGAACATACCTTCTGACTAGTGATTTTGGTAAGCTGAAAGGAATCCCACTGCCACTATCGGGCATTGCTACTGCAGCCTCGTCAAAGAGAAGAAGAACCATGAGACAAGCAGCCTCGTATTTCACTTGACCACTGAGCTGACACAACAGTGAACACCTGAAGTGCAAATTCAAACAGAAACATTATTTGCAACAAATGTACAAAAAGTAGTATTTCCTATGCCTTAACTATTCTTAGCAACATAACTTAAAAATTTTCACCTTTGCATGCTGCTGTTTACCTGGTAAGTAAAAAAACACTGGACTCCAGCCAAGTGGCCCATGCAGCCGGAGGGTTACTACTCCCTTCCCGTCGTCGGGGATAACATGCAAGTCCATTGCAAGATTCCCCCAGCATTTCATCAGGCTTCCCTGATAACTCACAAGGTCTTCAACACGGACCTTCGACCCAGAGTCCAGCACAATAACCATTCTACATCGACCCATTTACCTTGTAATAACAGAATAAGAAGACAATTTCGTAGCTAAACAGCGTCTGCAGCTGGCGCTGTACTCTGCTAACAGTCTAAGGATGGTCAGACAGGCTGGTATGAGCTCTACCCTTGGGCAAGGTGTGGTCGAGGAGTGCACAGGGGCATCCTGTTCTACTATTTCTGACAGAATAGACATGCAAACTTCATCTGCATGTTCCTGTAACAGAGGCTCGTGCCACTGAGGATCTGAAAGAAAGGAAGGAAGTTTTAGCTTTGCTTCGTGCTGCAAAACACGGCAAGCCAGTAACGTGGACGTCATTTAACCCTTGAACTCCCAAGTAAATTCTCCCCTCTGGTTGCTACACATTTCCTTATGAATAGGTTGCGAGAATTTGGTGTTACATCAAGAAAACAACTTCTTCCTGATAACTTTGAGTATTTTCATTACCTGTTCGCTGGATAGTGTACGGATATTATAGGGGGGAGAGGTTATGAGGTAATCACTTCTAGGAATTGAAGGGTTAATGGGGTAAAAATGAGAAGTTATACAATTTTGTCAACAATTGATTGGCATGCTTTATGGATGCTTTTTCTGTCCATTTCAAAAAAGTGAAAGTGCTGCTCCATTTCTCTCCATTCCTATCGTATTCACCCTCTCGTAATAAACCAGTCAAAAGGGGACACTATAGTGTCATATCATCAGGAAACACTCTCTTGGCCTCACCTGTAGAGAAGACATCGTACACTATAAATCACATCTCTGTAATATTCTCTTTCTCACCCAAAGTGAAAGATTAATACACGGCACTTGCAATACATTTTGAAGTACCGTTTTGCACCTATGGCTTGGTATGTGACAAATAATACATACAGTTAAACACAGGAAATGGTTTATTTGCAGAACATCTTTTTACCTTGCAAAATGATGGCTAGTTGCTGAGCTGAAGATTTCCTCAACCCCACATCCAAAGAAGACGATGACAGTATGGACAACAAATTGAGAATTTCAGTCTTGTCTACACTGGTGTGTGTTGTTGGGGCATGGGCATGTACAGCAGAGGTCAGCTGATCCACCATGAAAAGATCTGCAGCATTGTCTGCCAGAATACCTTGAAATGAACTCTTCCTTCTCTCACTATTAGCTTGATTTGTGAGCTGCCAGACAACAGATTCAAAGGCTTTACTGCGCACCTTAGAGTCTTTCACAAACATCAGGCGTAATGCCCCTCTAAACCGCTCTAAGGACGGCAACGTTATTATGTCCCCTTCAGCAGTGACATGTCCTCCTGTAACACCACGTGAAGCTACAAGCTCCACTATGCACTGATCCAGAGCAGGATCAACTAGGATTGAGCCTTGCAGCTGGGGTAGGGAGGCAATCAAGCCATCTAAGAGTTTTTTCCAGAGTTCACCGCTCATACTGAGGCGACCAAGAAGTAGGGTGGTAATGAGTTCAACTGCCACATCACAGACCTACAACAGACATTTCCTAATTCAGAATATGCATAAGTTAAAGAAAGTCTGCACTTAACAAAGTGACCCATCCAGGTAGAACCAACAGTGTATTCCAGTTTTTATTTCACAAAGTGGCTTGGGGTATGTACGGGGTTTGTGCCCTTTTTCCAGAAACAAATTTCAAGCAGGACTTCTCCAGGACTCAGATTGATTTTTCCAAATTTCCATTTGAGCCCTTTCATTCCAAAGATTTCAAAATCATTTCTCCTTTCAATCATACATTTCTTATAACGTAAATTCTGAAAACTTTATTGCTCATGTTGGGCAGATTTACAGGATTTTCCTGTCTTTTTCCAGGACTGAATGTCAGAATAAAATTCCAGGACTTTGCAGGTTTCCAAGACCCATACAAACCCTGTATATAGTCTTTTGGGTATTGTTACTCTCCCCTGCTTTGGAGAATGACTACTTTATCACAGGTTACCCATCCCTCTCCCTTTTCCCAGCAATTTCATAAGGTCCCTCTGTCATTTTTCTGTTACCTTATTGTACTCATGGTTGTAGAGATGCACTGTGAGAGCAAATTCTTTTGCCCTAGAACACAACAAAATGTCTCAGCCAGGGCTAGAACCCAGCTCTTCAACCCAGAGTTTGGCACACTACCACTAGATATTTCTTTTCCATAGTGACAAAGTTTTTTCTTTGACAGATTCCCTCACAAGTCCAAACAATGGCATGCCAGTTTCCAAACAATTAGACTTTTAAGGGAAACACTGCCTTCTTTGTCACTTATCCACTGACTTACACCACAGTCAAGCACAATACTATTTGTGTTGTAATGGAAAGATAGTACGTTTACAGAACTGACCTTTTCATCTGCATCATAGATTCCAAAACAGCAGATCTGATGTAGTACTGCCCTTTCTAACACAAACAGCGCTTTTTGACAGACCACAGAAAATGGTTCAGTCACATGACTCACACTGCAAGCTTCTTTTACCAGGCTCAAGGATATTTTGTAAGCTTGCAGCCTCACTTCAGGACTGGGGTGAGCAAGTAATTGTAGTACTATCTTCTGACACACAGGAATGGCCCTGTCATCTGCCTGACTTGCTGGATTACAGACCCTGCTACAGATTTTTACTGCCTCAGAGATGAATACCATGTGCTTGTGATATGTGACACTAGGCACACAGGCAAGAACAAGGTTAGAAAGCTCATTCAAGGAGTAAGAAAGTTCCTGAAAGAAAAGTAGATATTGGAAATCTTAGCACAAGTAACATCGTATTATAAGATTGACTTGTTTCTCTAATATGGTTGTAAATTCCATCAAGGATTGAAACATTTTGGCTAATTCAGAGAGTTCTCTTCAGATGATGAGGTCAACTGGTCACAATTTGTCATCCAAAGAGAGCTAGCAGCATGCAATAGAAACAAGAGCATCAAGTTGAGAAGGGAATATATTGTGAGACCTTCAAAAAACTTTATTACTGGCTCATTCACCAACAATAACAACTACAGTGTACAACTCTTTTTTAGCACCAATCCTTATAGAGTTTGCTAAGTAACTAAGATTGAGTCTTGCATAACTATGGTTTTTGTTCTATGACACTCAGTCTTAAAAGGTTCTTGACTTATGATTGTCAATGTGTTCATCTGAAGAAAGGACTTCATTTGAAATGCATTTATTTTGAACAAAGGAACAAAGAAATTACCTTCACTCTGCAAATTTTAAGGAATTTGCAAGTGCTAGCCATTGAGTCACAGATTCCTTGAGTGAAAATGCACAGTTCATGTGAATATGGATCCAGGACAGCAAGGTACTTCATTGCTGCAGGTCGTAAATGAGGGTGGGAGATAACCAAGAGTTCATCCATAGAAAGGAGCCACATCACTGTTATTACCTCAGAAGGAACCACCTTTGATGACTGAAAAATGGTTATTTTCAAAACAAGAAACTTAACTGGGAACAATGGCATTTACAGACAGCATTGAAATTTGCCTTAAAATCAGATACTTTTTTCAAATTAATATAATTCCATGACTTTTTATGAACTCTTTGATCAATTGTTATTTCAATAATAACAGCCATACTTCAAAACTACAGGCCTTTACAGCTGACAAAATAAACATGACCCTAAAATGTGCTGTTACAATGAGTAATGAGTAATGAGTAGCAAGAGCTGGTTATATATGATTCTCCTAAAATAAGTCTGGTGAGAAATGCAGAGAAAAATCAGGGGAAATAAAAAAAATCTGTCTTACATTAAGTTTTACTGGGTCACCTCTAAGCACTGAGAAGGTCACTCAGTGCTACATTCTTGGTCACTATCATCAGAAAATTATTAAAATTATTATCTGTAATGAATCTGCCCCTTATGCATCATAGGTTTGTATTCCAGTTAAATCCAACATTAGCAAGGCTATGCTCTAAGAAACATTGAAGGAAGCCCAGCGCTCTGAAATTGTGAGATCCAGGGTGTCCAGCATAATTATGCTTTTTTAATGAAAAAACTAAGAACTGATGCCCTAGTCAGCCAAGGGAAAAAGTAAGGCCCCAGAGGCCACTGTGCACCACTAAATCACAGCTCTGGAAAGGAGGAATGAGGGTTTCAAAAGGTACAGTACTCTGTAGATATTTGGAAAGATTTAGACTTCTCCACAAATCCTCCTGCACAGTTTGTTGAAGGGTGGTACACAATGGTCTTGAGCATATCTGCCTTAAGTAGAAAGAGGTGTTCATAGCAAAATTACTTGGAGGTTTCTTTAAGTTTAAACAATTACTACAAAACTTTATCAGTGGGAAGTAGCTATAGTATACTTACAATTTCCAGAGGCACTAAGCTATCTAGGAACCGCAACAGAAATGTCGCCAGATTTACAACTGTCATTCGATGTTTAGGTAGTGTGTGCTTTGGTGGCTTGGAGTCCTTTTGTTTGTCCTTCCCTTCATCCAGGCCAAGCCTTCCGTAATATTTGATATGATGCACAATACTCTTACCCAAACTCTTCATTATATTTACAAGAGAACTAGCCTGGAAAAGACAAAAATATTCAGATAAATAACAAATTTGTCATGCTTAGTATAATTAAAGACTTAAAACACCCAGACAGTTATACTGACTGACACAGTTCAAAGTAAAACATAATCCTTGTGGCCCTTGATGAGTAGGAGGACAAGTAAGATGCTGTTGTGATTCATGTCATGCTCTTATACTGTTTTAAACATTCTGTACAACTGAACCTTCCCAATAGCAGACATTTTGCATGTGCAGAGCTTCCAAAAGATCATTTCCCCTTCCTCTTTAAAAAAAGCCCACTTTAATTTTTTGATCCACATCTCCTGTGATGGGACATTTCTCTGAGAAGTTTCCTTTCAACTAACTTAGAAAAATCCTATATATGTGGAGCAACAATTTAAAAGTGACAATATTAGGTGCTTTAACAATCATTTTTTTGGAAAATAATTAAATCAACTTTCCTTTACTACCAAACAGAATTAGTGACTTACCATCAAAGAATTCAACTTTGTTCCACGTCTCCAAAGATCAACTGGAAGAACTTTCATCATCAAACTCAATACTTTGTGTGACAAGCTCACAGCTGATTCAATTATGGCAGAATCCATGCACAGGTATCCCTTAAATATGGGAACAACTTTAGAGAGCAAAATTATACAAAACTCCTCCAAGGACAGCTGGTTGAACTGCAAGGCTTCCGTAACCATCTCATCTTCATCTTCATCACTTGCCTGAGACGCTTTGTTGTCAGACACACTGGAACTGGATTGATCATCACTGAAAACAAAGGAACAATCCAATTTTTACCATCAAGAAGCCATAAAGTACATCATTCAGTAATGCATCAATCAGAGATAGATAATCTGAACTGAGTAGAAAGTTGAATTGAATTATTTTGAATTATGTTGCAAACATGGCATGTTTTAAAGAAACAAGCCCTTCTACAGTGGCAAATAAAGGGGATAAATTTCTAGAGAAACTGTGGTGCAGCATCAGTGGGGAAGTATAACAAGATAATATTGTTTTATCAACTGAGTTGATAAATAAAATAATGTAAGTTGGCCACTAGAAAAAGTTTCAAAGCTGATGTTCTGAGTGTTAGCTTGAGAGCAAACACTTGAAACTTCAGCTTTGAAGCTCTTTATAATGGCCAATTTACATTTAACAACTAAGTTGATAAAACCAAATTACTTTCTCAGGAGGGTCTGAGGAAATGATTCCAAGGAAAAATTTAAAATTTAAAACTCTCTGTGATGTGACTTCCAGCATTGTGGACATATTTGAGTAACCTTTCTTAGCCAGACATTGATGTTAGAATCAGCTCAAAAATACATATTATCTGTCTTTGGTCTCAACTTGTAATTAGCCTGTGCAAAATGGTCTGACAGCTGGTGGGTTTCCACCATCTTCTGCCTCCTAATGACAACCATGCGTCAATGTTATTTGAATTCTCAGACTGGTAAAATGATGGTTTTGCTGTGAATCTATACATTTAAGTCAAATGAATGCTCAATGCAAATTACAAACTCCCCTATTTCACATGTAGCTCATGTTGTAGAATACTAACTATATATAAACTAAAACAGAGGCCATCTAGATCTCTCTATCTTAAAAAATACTGTATGCGTGTCTAATGTATCCTTGTGCATGCAGACACACCTGTCAACTCCCCCATCTCCAGTTTCTCTTACATTTGTCACCTGTTGATCGGTACCTTGGTTCTTTGTTTCCATTGACAAAGAAATATGCCTGTATTTCCAACAATCTGTCATGAAAGCAGGGAGAGATTAATTCCGATAAAGTTAAAGCAGTAGTTTTTGTCACTTGCCTGCCATTAATGAAACTGTTGATAACTTCATCACAAATTAGAAAGTGTCTTAATATTTGCAGGCAAGTTTAGAATTTAAAGAAAGCGACAAAACTTTTGAGTCTGTAAAACATGTTTCGACAGAAACTTCTGTCATCTTCAGTTAATTATTGTACAAAGCATTGAAAGTTGAATTATATAGTAAGCAGAACAATGCTAATTAAGATGAATAGTGACAACAGCTATATAATTCAACTTTCAATGCTTGGTGCAGTAATTAACTGAAGATGACAGAAGTTTCTGTTGAAACATGTTTTACAACTCAAAACTTTTGTCACTTTCTTTAAAAAATTAGAAAGTGGAAATAACAAAATAACCCGAAAGGGAATGTGGCAAATGATAGAAAAGATTAAAAAAATCCTAACCTTAAGCATGAACATCATGATGAAATTTATAGGAAATTTATAGATAAAGTGTTCCATATGAAAAACTCCTCTTTAATGAAGACAAAACTGAACAAAGTGCCAAACCTTGTTCAGGACAGAAAAGCACAAGATCACACACTGCCATGAGCCGTACAAGGACATGATGGTTCAGGTCACACAGACAGCGTATGGCACCAAGTGTAAGAGAAGCTTCATCACTAACATTGCTCTTCTCCTCCAACAGTTCTAAAAGAGACTTCAGTTGATAATACAAAAACAAATTAAAATAAAAACTTAAGCATCCATTGCGTTCATTTTTAAGTCTCTCAAAGAACACAAAGCACAAATGTCTGATTTAGTAATATAATAATTTGCTGCTATAAATAATCCATTTGAAATACTGAAGTGTCAAATCTATTTTATCCACTGGTTAAATTGTTATCCTAACCAGTAGATAAGTGTTTACAAAAACATACTACGCAATCCAGTGGATAACAGTTTAACCATAGAATAACGCCAACCAGCCTTCCAACAACCATTTTCTCTAAAGAAGGGCTAATGCTTGAAACCTCAGTTTTCAACCTCTTTACAGTGGCCAATTTACATCATCAACTCATTTGATTACACCAATTTATCTTCGTTGTTATACTCCCCCAACGATGTAGCACCACAGTTTTATTTAATTACAAACTTACCCCCTTTATTTGAACAACCAACACCTGGAACTAACCCTTTAACTTCTACAGGTGACCAAGACAGAATTTCTCCTCACAATATCAATACAATATCAACCAGATAAGTGATGAGAATAAAGAAAAATATCAATTTAGGGATAATTAGTTGACCCAATATTAAATTCTCTTAATTAACATTATAAGAATTGAATAGTTGACAGTTAGGAGAATTACAAATTTGGTCTGGGTGTTAGAGTGTTAAACTGAATCTCTCAAAATGTCAACTTACTCAGGATGCCATATAAACACTCAGGAGGTTAAGGAGTGACAGATTTTCTTGTTACCTGAAGCACGCTTGGCCTGTGTAAGAAGATCTCAGCAGGGAAATCCTTAAACAGAACATCTCTCAGAAACTCACAAGACTTAGACACTAAGGAAGAGCTTCTACTCTGTAAACGGCTGGCTGTCACAGACAAAATGTGTCTGTCACTGGCTGACAAAGGTAACCAAGGAACAAAGGTCAGGCTTGACTTGTTGTCACTAAAGGTTCCTGAAAGCAAATTTAATGTAATGTGGGTAAAAGAGAACTACAGATTTACTTTTATCCATAAGCATCTATAATGCTCAACAGCAAAGGATTGAGAACTCTGCAAACTATTTTCTGTAAGGAATATATTGGTCAAGACATAGATCAAGGTAAAGACCTCTACCTGATAAGTTTGAGTATTCTCATCACCTGTTTGTTGAATAATGTATGGAAAATATTGGGAGAAGTTGCATTTTAATCACTTATAAGAGTTAAAGGGTTATTTAAATAACCCTTTAAAGTTCTTGAGAATTGAGAATCAAGAATCGAGCATGGAGGATTGAGTTTCAAGGAGCTGTTAACTTATTTTTGAGGGGTACTTTACCTGTGGTTTGTTTACTTGATGAGGATTCTGAGTGCATCTCACTTTGTAGAGGAATGATTGCTTTCTGAGTCATGCCACCCTGTTTCTCAAAATATCCACTGACTGGGCTGATAGATGAAAAAAAGGCTCTGCTACCCTCAGGGTGGGGGTTAGTACTAGTTGACTGGGTGCTGGCTGCAGTTTGACCTATGAATGGAGTTTCATACAAACTGCTGCCATCATGAAGGTCTCCAAGGTACTTGGCAAATTATTGATTATTTTGCAAAAAAATCTGTCATCAGTTCCATGAGACAAGTGCAACCCCTAATTTATTGTCCTATCAAATTTTCTCAAGCCCTACCAAACTTCAAAGGTGCTGTTGTTCTGACTCAAAGCAAGACAAACCTTTATTAGGCCTGAAATCTGACAGATTTTTCAATGAATAAACCATAATTTTAAGGAACTGCTACTGTTTGAGTTGAATGAATCAAAGGAAGAAAAAAAGAAGAATACAGGCAATAATATCATGATACATGTAGGTGATTTTCTTTCACTTTTTTTTCTCCACTACCTTCATTTTTCCTTCTGCTATTTCCTTTCTTCCATCTATACACTTCCAGTTCTATCTCCCAGCCCAATTAAACCAATCTGATAAATGTGTACAGGATGTCTCCTGATTACTGTCAGTTCAAATATTTTTTGCACTCACCAAGGGACTGCTGATACTCATCACGATCCACAGATGTTTGAGTTTGATCCACTGGCCCAGGGTACTGCTCCTTGTACAAGCACTGTTGACTGTGATCCACAGCATCCTCTTGCGGCAAGCTCAGTAGCTGATGTATCACATTATCAACACTTTGGTGTAATTCAGGATCAACATCTTGCCTTAAGTGTGATAGAAATTCTACTGCTCCAAGACTTAGCAGGCCCTCTGCTCCAGAAACAGGCTGATGAAAACATTCAAATAAAGAAACTTGAATTACCATAAAGCAGGAAAATATTATTGGTTTTTATTTTTTGCAGGTTTCTTGAATAGTCTTGATCTGCAGAAATGTATTATCTCTAGTCAAATGAACAAAAAATCTGCTTGCAAAGCAAGTTAGTAACCAATAATTTTGGATGGTATCAATACTCATAACAACAGTTGCTCACGTGTAACTGCAACATGAACCCAATGGGTAAAATATAGCTTCTTAACCATTTAACTCTCATGAGTGACCAAGATAGAATTTTTCCTCTCAATGTCAATACAACATCAAGAAGAAAAGTGTTGAGAATAAAGAAAAATATCAACAAGAAGACTATTAGCTGATCCAATACCAAATTCCCAGAACTAACATTGTGAGAATTATATGGCAGACAGTAAAGAGAATTACTAATACAGAGCTTGGATACTGGCATTGCACTTTATCAATGAATTGAAACTACCAGTAAATGCTTCAGTCACCTAGTGCTGTAAACTCACCCTTGACAGAATTTCAAGAATTCCCAGCACCTCCTTTTTAAGGGGTGCCTTTGGAAAGTTGAACCATTCTAAAAGATTAATCAGCAACTGCCTCTCTTGAACCAGATCAGCTGGACAAACCAACTTGTGCTCTAGCTTAAATAAAATGTTCTTCAGTGCTCTCACACGGATTTCTTCTATATGGTGACCTATCAACAATTTGCAGAGTGATCTCATAATGAATAACAGAAATTTTAAGGACATCTAGGACAGTATAAGACTGAAAATTTACAATAACAGAATAAACAGAGAATGCCTTACTAAGACCACGATTGAACTTGTATTTAACAACTACAGTATTGTACACTACAAGCTCGATATTTCTAATTAGCAAATGGATTCCATGTTGCCATGAGTCTGTTCACTAATAGATCACATATGACATCAAAATGTGGTACTGGCAACAAAGAGGAACACGAAGTGTAACCGAGTGTGTCATTGATGTTATTACCACAATTATTGTCACTTGTGATCTATTACTTTACACTTCCACAGCAACATGGAATCTGTTTGTTTTATATAATAACAAAGCAAAAAGTTGTTCATGGTGATAAATCAAAATGCGTGTACATTTATAATTCAGCTTATTTTTTTATCACCTAAGTTACAGTTGTTGAAAGTAAGCAAAGCGTGAATTGACTATCAGTGATACTTCTGATATCTGTATGTGATTATCACACACAGAAATCGGAGATAATTGATCTAGTTTTTTAAACATAAACCGAAGTGACCTAACTAAGGCTGAACTCAAACACAAGTTAAATGTAGGCTTCACTGCTCCCTTTCTTACCAAGTTTTGCGATGAACGACTGCAACACGACACTGCCATCGGGTATGACAGCTTGTTCTGTTCTTACGCGTAACTTACTTCCATCGTCCATAATTATCAATATGTCCAAGAGCTACAATAGATATTCTTCCAACTATCATCTTTACAAAATCAATAAAGATATAAGGGAGCCTTTTGTTTGAAAAACTATAACAAAACTTCGAAAATGGCGCTCAATTTACACTTTTTGTCAGCGGTTTGATTATATTGTCCTCGTGTTGTATCACGGGTAATTGTGACGCACTTTTGTCGGCCATATTGAAAAACTTTAAGTTTCGTGAGAGAGCAAGAGGCTTTCTGGCGTGAAATATCTCGCTCAGGATGTTTTCCACTAAATGTTTATCGCCAGGCTTTTCAAGATTTCTATCTGCTACCACTACCCATGTTGCACAAGCGCTAAAAGGTACTCCTGCTGCTGTTATTCCTACGTTTGAGACGGTACAGGGTCCGCCGGCAGCTCTAACAAGTCAATCGCTTGTAAAAACTATCCCAACTGGAAACATGGTCGCCACAACGACTCACATTGGTAAGGAGCGACTTTCAAAATTTAGTTAGAACTCTGAGCTGATCGTGTGCACTGGTGTGTGGCATACTTTAATCCATGACATTATTTTCTCTTCCCGGCGTTTTGAAATAGTCCGATCAGAATATTGAAGCTAATTATGTAATGTTGAGCCAGTGGACCTCTCTAGATTGATATAGCGTCCTTTGATATGGATTATTCGGTTTAAGTTCAAGGACACTAATGGAAAAGCACTGTGAAATTAGTCAAGAAATCGTGCCAAGTTTCCACATTTTGAAAACTTATGAATTTGTCGTAACCTTGCAAAGTCACGAAATTTTAAATCGTTTACGAAGATTTTCGTTTTACATCCGTTTGCACATATCACATCTCTTTCAAAATTTTCCTCACAATCAAAAGTAAATTTTATTTATATTCCCCAATTAGTTGAAATGCCAAGTAACTTTGACACTCAAGTAAGGTTCTTGTGTAACATGTATGCTTTAGTGATTTGCATTGTGTGTTGTTAGGGAATATTATGCATGTGGAAGGGGCACAAACTAACCCCTTCTGAGCTTACATTTGCATTGTGTGTTGTTAGGGGATATTATGCATGTGGAAGGGGCACAAACTAACCCCTTCTGAGCATGCATTTGCATTGTGTGTTTTTAGGGGATATAATGCATGTGGTAGGAGCACAAACTAACCCCCACTGAGCATGCAATTTTGAGAAATTCACCACTTTGTTGGCCACTCTGTAGAGGCATGTCTTGATTGGTTTTCTGCAAGACTGTCTACAAATGCTTGTAGTACCATTGTTCTTTCACTTGTTGGTCTAATTCAGGAGTTAAGTAAAAGAGGGGACAACAAGGGTCCATTTCTTGACCTAAGATATATTTTATGGGTGATAAAACATTCAGGAAATTTTGGAAATTTGTATTTTTTGGGTTTCAATAAAACCTGTCATTGGCAGTCTATCATGCTGTTTTTTCAGCCTGTGTGTACAGGCTCATGTGTTTCTGTTACTAAAACCAATATAGTCCAGGTTGCAATGTACAAAATTCTGCTTTACAACCACTTCAGTTTTTTTGGTATTCAACTTTGTGTAATCAAATGTTATTTATGGTAAAATTGGCTGAGAAACACTTTTATATGTTTATAATTAAGAGGTTGTTTCAATGCTTGCTGGTTGAAGTGATGTTTGGTGCTATCAAATTAATCTTTGTAGCAAAATATTCATTACTCTGATTTAAACTATCAACACAGGTAGGACACAAGTACGTTTCAGCCACACAGATGTGTCAATGCCTGACTTCAGTGCATACAGAAGAGATGTCTCTCAGGATCCAAATCAGCCAAACACATCAGAAATCAGTCGGCGAGCCTTCACGTATCTCATGGTGGCTGGAATGGGTGTGGCAGGCCTACATGCCGGCAAGAATGTTGTGCTGGAGTTTATTTCCACCATGAGTGCATCAGCAGATGTTTTGGCTATGGCAAAGATTGAAGTAGATCTTTCAACAATCCCTGAAGGTAAGATATTTCAATCCAAATGGTTGAATTAAACTTAGGCTAAGTTAATGCATGATATTACTGATAAACTCTATTTGTGAAAAATTGTTGGGAGCAGCTGCCTTGCTTAGACCCCATGTGGATGTCTGCGTCAAGATTTCAATGTAGTTCTATCTGGACTAAATTTTCAATCAGTTGGTGTTAGAAATCTAGAATTGTATTGGTTTTGTTCCACTCTGCTCTTTGATTTGTCCAGAAAACTTGCACCTCCTTCTGAACCCCCCTATGTTTTATGAACATAAACCAATCATGACTTTGTCACTCATGTTTTCCTGCTCATCAGGTAGTTTGCATGTATGTATATGTACTTTATCTCTTATTGACTTGTTGTGAAATTTACCTTTGTATTGAATGGCTGTTGTGTTTACTTAAGAGTTCTCTAATAGAGTTTGTCTAATAAAAAAGTTTGTCAGAATATAGAGGTCTCACTGATCTCAAAAACTAAATTTTTACCGTTTGCCCAGGAAAGAACATGGTTTTCAAATGGCGTGGAAAGCCTCTGTTTGTGCGTCGGCGCACAGCTGAAGAAATCGAAGAAGTCCGTAATGTTGATCTTGCTAGTCTGCGAGATCCTCAAGATGATACTGAGCGTGTAGTGAAGGATGAGTGGCTAGTTGTAATTGGAGTCTGTACACATCTTGGTTGTGTTCCAATTGCTAACTCTGGCGAATATGGTGGCTATTACTGCCCCTGCCATGGATCACATTATGATGCTTCTGGAAGAATCAGAAAGGGACCAGCTCCACTCAATCTTGAGGTAACAAAGCAGCAAGAAAGATTGTTGTAAAAAACTCTTCATTTCTTTGTTTTCATTCATTTCTTTTTTTTTTTTTTCAATCATGATGCGGGTACATATGTTGCAGATTCAACTTACAATTTTCTTTGTTTGATGACCAAGTGCATTAGTTACCATGTTTCTTCATTGCAAATAATATTCTTTAAACAGTGATGATTCTAACAGTATGTGGGACTTGTGTATTATATTAACCTTGAGTAACACCTAGCCCATATGCTAGTTCAAAATTTAGCTTATTTAGTTTCCATTTATGCTCATGATACTTGCAACTTAGAGAATCTCTGGGCTCACCAATGAGGACTCTGTGAATCAGTAGTAGAGCATTGAACTCCATTGACCCAAGTCTGAGATTGGAACCCCTTTTGAGGGAACAGGATCACTTTGTCTCTCACACAATGTCTATCTTTATATCTTATTCTTGCTGTGGCTGGAAGCTACCTTGAAGAAGTTAGATGACTAGTTTTTTCATGGAGTGTAGTCTGTTATGATTATTATTTCATTGTTATGGTATTTAGTTTTTGGGTATGGTTGTCTTAAAATGATGTTTATTCATTCACTCATTCAAAACACTATTTTTCTTGGTTTAAGGGACTTATTGTAAGCACTTTCTTGCATCACATCACATCACATCATATTTGTCTCAGTTTTAAAATCACAATTCTTATTTCCAACATTCTGCTCCATTTTCAGATTCCTGAGTACAACTTCCCAAATGAGAACACAATGGTGGTGGGATAGACAACTCATCTCTTGAATCTCAATTTACATGTACCAGCCATTTTTTTTAAAAGAGAAACCAATTATTGTACAGTGGATGTGATCAATTTGGTGGAACATAGTAATACTAATGAGACAATTATGGCTTCGAAAATTTTGGACTTGTGTCTCTCTGTCATGGAGTAACACTACTTTAAGTGTGTGACAGACACGTTTGTCTAATCAGCGAGCTTACTGGATTTGTCGCTATGATGAAGTGTATTATTTTGAATAAACAATCTTAAGCTATGAGTTGTTCTAACCTCCTTTCTGTGTAGTCTCAGTGGGTAGATGGGGACGACTAATGAGGGAAAGTGAGGTTATACGTAAGATTTGTATTCAACCATTGTTTGGTTAATATTCCATCAAAATCTAGATCGTTTTTTTTCGCCTTACTGCTGCTACCTCAAGTCAGGGGTAAGAGGTGTGGGCTGAGATACTTGTTGTTTTATTTGAGCTGATGAGCAGTGACCCCAGTGATGTGAAACTCAATCAGCAAAGTCATAAAAATTGGCGCAGGTTGTTTCCTGAGACTTTGCTGCTTGTGGTTTATGACTCCCAATTTCTTTAAGAAACTTAAAAATTAGTAGTGTAGTACGTCCTCTTTGTTTGTTCAAAGACGATAGTAAGGTCACAATTTTCTTTGAGATTCAAATTCTGGTTGCAATAATTACACAATGGATAACTGGAAAAATCGAAACTAGTACAGAATGGTTTTGCTTCCAGTATTATCAAATTCAATATCAGCTTCTATTTATAATAAGGATAATTTGGTTTGATCAACTAAGTTCAGACCGTAAAGAGAGTGTGAAACTAACGACTTCGTCAAAGTGAATCGAATCAAACGATGAACTGATACTCGAAACCGTGGCTTTAAAATCTCAGCAATATACGATTCACATCATCAACTCTGTTGATAAAACCAAATTAGCTCGTAATACATCCCTAATCTAACCTCCTTCGTTGTAGATATATGAAAATCATATATGAGCGCGGCGGTGAAGAAACGAATATAAGAGATCCTCGCAGCTATGAACACTACTTTAAATGAAAATGACCTGAAAATAAATTCATGAATTTATTTTCAGGTCTTATTTTCAACTACTAGCTCAGTAGTGTTCATAGCTGCGAGGATCTCTTAGATTCGCTCCTTCACTGGTTTATGGTCGCTGTGGAATTTAACGCTACGACTAAGTCCCTTCTTTTTTTTTTTTAACACATGACGGCGCTTTTTTCAGTACGCTTTTCATGCGAAGCAAACGGTTTTGGGTGCGTTTTGAACCGTCATGTGGCGGATCCGTTAAAACTGGAAAGTTTGGTATGAAAGCTAGTTTAAAGCGCGGACAAAACTGCCCAGCTATGCAGGCAAGGGGTTCGAGATCTTGAAAGGGAATGCAGGGCCTGAGAGACTGATTTAAGTGATCCCTTCCCTTACCTTCCCCTCTTTCCTTAGAGAAAAATTACCAGATTTAGACATGAAGTGGAAAATACATACTTGTTTACTTACGAGGGACATTTTCTCATCATTTTGACGTTCATGTATCAGGGATACACTTAAATAGTCACAGAAATCCATCACAAACGTGCCGGTGCTACGGTAACCATGCCTGACTCCGAAGGATTGATCTTATTAACATATATAATCGAAAATCACCCAGCGAGTTTACTCAATTCAAATGTGATGTTTAAACATCTGTAGTGTTTTTGTGCCACGGTTGTGACAAGAGGTTTTTTTTTTTGCATGTAGTTACTATTTTTACAGAATCAATGTATTTCAACCGGACTAACTGTTCACAGAGTTGTCACAATTATGGTGAGGATTTTGGTTCACCCATTTCTGAATAACGCGGCTGAAAAAAATATCATTTGGTCTATAACAATGGACAGTGATTTGAGGTGAGTCCAGGGCTGATTTCCTGTGATCACATGCAATTTTTAACTCGAAGCGACTTATTGAATTCCGGATCCCCACGAAACCCTCGATTATTTCGGCAATTTTCGCTTGAATCATTCTTCGGTGTTTCACATCTGAGTTCTTGCTGCTAAGGAAAACAAACGAAATCTTGTCGATACTTTGAAGTATTGTTAACTTCAGTACAAACGTTTTTGAGACGCAGGCGGCCGCCAGAAGTTAAAATCTCTCTGATGGTACTGACTACACCTTTTTGATCCGCTTAGTTTGGGTTGAAATGCTAAAACGACGACCTTACTGTCGATACATTGGGGTCCAGCAGGTGCACCAGAATTAGTTTCATTCTTCTTCCGGTTCCGGTATCAAAACCGTCTCTGCTCTTAATATAAGCTTAACTTAGAAGTTCTTTATGTTTAATTAGGAGATCCAGCATTAAAACAATGAATACGAGTGAACGTTTGTTAGGGATCGTAGAGATTTTCCCTGCATTATGATGACCAACTCACTCTAGCGGAGACAAACACATGCAAGTTGTTTCGTGGAACTTTTGTGAAATTAAAATGACAGGTAGAGGAGAGTAGAGGCTAAGAAAGTGTTCTTGATCGGCTCTAAACAACAACTCAGTGTAACGAATTTAGCGAGGATAACATTATTTCAAATTACATTTGCCTCCAGTGTCAACCGTAGACGATTTGTTTATATTTGTTCAGAGATAGCTGAATAAAAAAATAAAATAAAACAGAGATTTAAATAAATTATTATCACTTGGCGTTCAAATGCGAGATAAGAAAAACCACAATTTTGCACAATCGGGCGATTAATTCCTAGTAAGTTCACAGCATTGTTTTTACCAAGTATTTCGCGCTGGTGGGTAGCAAAAACTCTGCAGCAAGCTGGAACATACTTTAGCCATCATGGATAAACGAAGAGTTAGAATATTGTGAACACTGAAGAAAACTGTGTCATCAAGAAAAACTCGTAGAGCAAAAATATAAATTAGCTGTCGTGCGCGTGCGTTTTCTTCACGTATATTTGCATAATTAACAATGAAAAATCTAATATTGGTACTATAGCATTAAATTCACATTCATATTTGTCAATTACTCCGAAAATATTTTCATCCAGCATTTAATATTCATAACATAAGGGTCTGCAATTATATCTTTGTTTTTCTATTTTTTGTGGTCTCTGGAGCCATTTCAACGATCAAAATTTCTTTCTCAGATTGAATTTCTTTCGGCACTTTACTTTTCTCCCTCCTTTAGAGGAAATATCTTTATTTGTTTTCTTAACCACTCAAAGGGGATGATATTTGGGAGATTTTGATGAGTCATCTGGCCTCATCTTGCGGCACAACTTTTGACAAATAAAACCGGTTTTGGAAAACAATTCGAAGTGGTATTGACAGGTTGTTTGTGCAAGCCATTCAGAATTTTTTCTTTGTTCCACGCTCGTGACAAGTCGAAAAAAAAACATCTTTTTTTAAAAAAATGGTATGTTTGAAAATTGACATCTTTCCTGGTTAAATGGCTTTGTATCACTGAAAAATAAATGAACTATTCCCGGCAGTCTCTTAGAAAACTGTTTTGTCTTCTCAGTTCATCAAACAGGTTTTTTTTAACACGTGCAGAAGAGTTCCTTTCTTATCGATCATATATTGGGTTTAGTGGGTTATTTACATTCGATATTTACTCAAAACAAAGTGGTCACACGAGAAGTCTGGAAATTGTCAGTATTGATACCTCGCGGGCAAGTCAGTGAACAAGTTTAACTTACTACACTCGGATATTTCAGGTGTATGAAGCCCTTGCTTTCAGAGAAATAATGAAAAACACAGGTCAGTGCATTGCGTTTTCAGTTCTGATTGGAAAATCAACTTAAAACACAGGAAACATTCCGTTTGCAGCTTCATAACATTCAGTTTTCCGTGTTTCCTCGTCGCGTTTTCAGGCTCAAGAAAATTACCACTTAGACAATCAAAAGGTGCAAATTATGATTAAAAGCGGTATCAAGTTAACATAATACCATTATGAAATTTCATTTCATTTCGGAGCGTTCATCTTCTCAGACCAACAATGCATGTTCAGGACTCCCGCTAAACATAAATACAAAACAGGTAAAACAGTCGTTGACTGTTTCTCTTTGGCGATGCTCCACCTGTCTGAGGTACCTTTGACTTTTTGAAACACGGCAAGTCTTGGTCTTATGTAGGAGTTTGCCTACTTCGAGTCCTAACATATAGCAAACAGCGGTCAAATTATCTCTGTGATAGTTTACTGAATGCCTCTCTCAGGGATTAGTTTTAGTCGCGGCTTATCTGTCGCGTTAATGCATTTACTACCACAAATTCAAAGAGAAATAGCATCTAGTGTTCTAATAAAATCTTAAGTCATACGGAGAAGTTTAAGATCATTGTCTAATAAGCGGGCAAATTTTCTGAAAAGAGCAATGAAACGGATTAGTGGCTGTTCAACCCATTGACAACTTGATTCCGAATTGCACGAGTAATGTTGAACGACAAAACTTACAAAGTATTTTTATCCTATGAACGAAAAAGACATATTTAAGTATTTTCATAAGTGAATAAGACCACATGACGATCTAAAGAGTGAATTCAAGGAAGAAAAATAGGAGGGAGGAAGCAGTTTCACTTCACTGTCATGCGTTGTTTATTTAATTTTTCGCTTTTTTCCTCTACGTAATGGAGTTTTCCTCGTTCTACTACGGCAATGCTGCCACAAAATAAACTCAAAATAATTGACAGGATCTTGTCACTTCGTAGTCCAAAAAAAAGCATTTTCCGGTGAGCAGATGTTTGTATGCCAAGGGAAAGTGACAAATATGTTTCTTAGTTAAAGTTTCGAGGAACTTGCTTGCTTTCAGCTGTGTAACATATGTTTTTCTCTTCAATTGATAAAACAACATAGGACAGTTTGAATTGATACGAGAAAGACTATTTATGAGTTCAGATTTAAGCTTTCGTTTTGAGCCGTCTGAAAGAAATTCTCTCAAAAACTTTTGAGAGAAATCCCCAGAAAGCCCTCGTTCTCTCCAAATGCCTACTCAAAATATCTACCAAGAAGTTCTCCACCTTCATATGCATACGGAATGTTTGCTCGCCACTAAATTTTTACTTTTCTGTTCGATTTTTATTTATTTCAAGTTGTCTCAGAAACATGAATAATCTTTCTAATGAAAAGTGCGCCTAAAGCACTTCTTGACCAATGTCATAAACATCTCCCACGCTTCACAACGAAAGAAAACTTTGCCAAGAGATTATAAACTCTTGCCTTTGCCGATAGCAAGATTGCTAATTTACCTTCTTAGAAGTTAAGAGTATGAAACTAAAGTTTCAATCTAGTCAAATGTTTTTTTGGGAAAAATACGATATTTTCTGAATTCACAAGAGATTTCAGTAACCCTTTTCACTGCTTGTTAGAATGAAAGAAAAAGAAATAAAATTATTAAGAAACTTCTGGAAACTGTGAAAGACGTTTCTTTGCCGAAATAGTCGTTTAATCCCAAAATGAAAAAAATTTTGAATTTTATATAGTCTTTCAAATTGATAACTACACAATTTCCTCAAAAACATTGCTTTAGGCTAACAGACAGAGCTTCCTTTTTGTATGGGATAACAAACATGATAACTTGAAATTGCAAGCCCTTTTCAAAAGTTTTTATTGCCAGTTTTTAAAAAAGAAAAGTTTTTATCCCAAGATATTGAATTCATTCCTTAATCTGATCATATAT